TGCTTATTTTATGGCAATACGGTTATAATATCTGTTTTGATTAAAATTCATTACTGTAGCTTCAAGACATTTAGAGTTTTCCTTGGTTGCAAGTTAGAATTAAACCTGTTTGGGAAGCAATGGACGACTCGGCCTTGAATGTGTTGTGCATGTCGGAGATGGATGATTTAGAGTCACCTACTGAATCCCTGCCCAAACATATTGCTTATAGTGCTCTGGAGCCTATATCTGAAATTGGATTGCACATACCATCATCCAGCCAGGCTCCTGGATCAGCCTCGAGTCAGTCAGCAAGCCGACAACACCATACTCTGCCTTTGGTGACTCTTTGTGAAGGTTGGATACATCGGCTACTAATAGTTTGATGGATTGGCATCAATACTTGCATGGATTTCCTTTGAACTATCCGATCATCAAAGGAATCAATGCTATCGATGCAGAATGCGTTCAAGTTGCAAAATCAATCTTGAGAATTATCCATCAAGCTTTTTACAACTCCACTGACTTATCCTATCTGCTTGTATTACATTAATGTCTTAGATAAAGTATCTGATCTTCTTTCGGCATTGGGAGATAGCAGCGAGTCTGTTCATGATCTTGGCAATACATTTCCCCAATCTCAAAGCGCTCGCTCAGCGGATGTGGATTCTATTTCCACTCCATCGTACTCTAAGAATGCCACAATATTTGTATCAAGTATGTTGAACCTGTACTACTGCCTCGGATATTCTTTAGGAAAATCTGTACCAATAGCAACTCGAGTTTTGATACCATCTAATACTGCCTATATTTAATATCAAACCAACTTCATATAGGAACCTTGGATATCATTGAGTTGGATTTTAAAAGGTATGGGCGTGATATTGGTTGTACCACTTTCAGTTATCGCAGTTTGATAGTAGCTACAACAAGATCGTTTTGTTTTCAGTCGACTAATTGCCCCTATCAATATCCTTTTTCCTCCAGTTTGATCTTACCCGAAATGGATATTATAGATACACCAATACCTATATTGAAACGAACCATAGCAAAATTCAACTTGCTTCGACAAGAAGTTTTGGATGGACTAAAACGTTCCGAATTTGTACCCGCAGTACATGATGCTTGGATGATGCTGTTTGAGAGAATTGGTTGCGAAATTCTGCTATATGAGCAATTTTTGGACGTGAACGGTTTGTATCGCTATTTGTTTGATTTTCAAACGAATGATAGTTTAATCATATTTAGACTAATCCAACCTTTTATCTACAAAAAATAAAATTTGTATGTATCAAACCACTCGATCAGCTGCTCATCTTACTCTCGAAGAAATAATGAATGATCCCATTATCGAAGTAGACGAAAACCAAAGTCTGAAGCCTGGGTCAGACCATTCTTGTGCCACAGAATCAATGGCAAGTATTCCAGTTAGTGTGTCCTACTAATGCAGTATTAAACTCTTCACAACAAATCTATTTCTTGCATTTTTGAAATGAATCATGATTTGCTAACATGAATCTGATTTATTAGAACGGAAGACTACTTCATCGCCCAAGAAGCATTCTACCCCAAAATTCTTTAGAAAGTCTAAGGAGTGCGCAAACTACATCTACCATGCCGGACAAGCGTCGCCTTTCGTTTACTTCTTCGCAATATCTGTGCCAACCATCTACAAAATCAAAAAATTTATCATCTGTACGCTCTGAAGATTCTTTTCTTCATTTTCCTGACGGCGCCATCACATCTGCTCCGCCTGGGCCATATGATTTTGTAAAGTGGACAAAGCTACGTAAACTATCCCTATCTTTATTTTCAGAGGCATTTGCTCGTCAAGTTGGAACACCGACGTGCTTTTCAGTAAGTAGTTTATATCATTTTATTTTTGCTTGATTATGCTTTTCATGCTCATGCAAAAGCATCTTGAATTTTCAAATACCAAATATAATGGTTTTCAGGTATCTGGAGGTATTGCAGTAGGAACGTCCAAATCTGCTATTTTATTGTATGATATTGCACAGAATCTACTCGGTATTTTAGGCGATTTCAACTCGACACAAGGTATGTAATATTTTATAGCATTGCTTGCATCAATAGGCTGTAATGGTATTTAAATTAATATTCACTATATACTTGAACTCGCTGATACCTTGTCAGCTTCCTCATATGGTGCCGTAACAGCTTTAAGCATCTCACATAATCATAAACAAATATTTGCTGGGTATGCCAGAGGATTCATAATTGTGTGGGATACTGTGCGCCGCATCTCGATCAAAATTATACATCCAATCACCAATGCTGAGCAACAAAGTGGTCGAGCAGATGGGCATCTTTCGGGGAATCCGATTGCCCATACTTCAAGTCTAGGAAAAATTGGATTTGTTTCTGCCGATGATCGGGTGGGTGGCTGTATAATTTGATGTTGGAATATCTACCACATTAATGTAATCAGTTAAAGCTGATTTTATACATTTCATTTTATCTATGTTAGGGCTCGGCATTTTTGCATACCATATCTCAAGGGATAGTTTTCAACTCCATCAATTCTATTCGTATTCACGGTCGGTCACTTAACAGTTCAAACCAAAACAGTTTGCCTACAACCATTTATGCTTTGAGCACTTTACCCTATTTGTCGGGAAAGTGCATCAGTGACAACTATCAATTTATTGCCATATCTACTCCTTACAAAATGGCCATTATGACAATGAGACCCATCCCTCAAATACAGTATCGTATTTCATGGAATATTGATGACACTAACTCAGCCGGAAATACAAGGAGACCAATAGAATCTGCTTGTTTAGACTGGTGGGCACCAGTAGTTCAAAAAAATGGTATATAAAGCGCGTTTTACTGTTTTTAGTTATTTCAAAACTATGCTTATTTTTATGTTCAATGGCATGGTACAGGAAAACTTGTAGGTACTCCTCGACTGGCATTTTCCAACCAGGGAAAATTTTCTGTTTTGCGTATTCTTTGGCATGCAAATGACACTGAAAAGACAAAACGAAAAATAAACTTTGAAATCGAAGGCAGTAACCAACTGGATGAGAATATTGTCGTTATCCGATGGCTTGTTGAATCGGTAAGAGTAATGTCTGATTTTCTAAAAATTGATATTTACCAATTTTTTAGACTAAATATCGGTGTTATCTATTTTCGTCACTGGTCTTGATTAACACTTATTTTTGTGATAATGTCTAGATATTTGTCTGTGTTACGCGGTCGGAGCATTTAGTAACCGTCAATGCTTCCACTTTTGCAATACTGGAACGGGTGGATATCTCTGCCCAACGTATTGTATTTCAACCATTGTTTCACAAACCACTTGAAGCATTTGGAATTCCTATTGAATTATCATATTCTGCAAGCGTTTGTGTTTACAAAAGTAGACTGGTGTTTCTAGGTAGCTTTGAGATCGTTATTGCAAGTCTAATTTCGTGGATAGATCGTATAGCATCCCTTGTAAGAATTGGACAATTTCGAAAAGCATTTGAAATGGCAATTTCATTTTATCACGGGGAGGGAAATTATGCCGTTGTTGGACTAGCGCAAGATCCTGATACCTGTCAAAGAAAGGTTCGAGAACATGCGTCCAGCCTTATTCTGAATTATGTGTCCATGTCACTATCTAGCTATGATCCATCTGCCAATGAGGATCTGTCGACATATGAGCGAGTGACAGAAACAACATTTGATACATGCATTGCTATCGATCGTCTAGACTTGCTTTTTGGAGAAGTTTATGATCACTATGTTGACTCTGGTGTAGATCATGTTTTTGTGGAATCACTTGAGCCTTATGTTCTTAATGAGCGCATTGTGAGCATTTCCAATCCCTCTGTGGTACAGGCGATCATTGATCATTATATGAAGCGGTCATGGATGGATCGATTGGAACAAATTCTTTTGCACTTGGACCCGACTACTTTGAACATTCATCAAATTCTACAAATATGTCAGGATTATCAGCTAAATTATGCACTTATATACATATACAATGCGGTTTTGAAAGACTATGTCACCCCATTAGTCCATCTTCTGAATCTATGTCCCGTAACATCTACAAATGGACTAGTTTCAGCCACTATTTCTACAGAATCAATCATAGCCAATCAGGAAATCGTATTAATACAGCAGCATCAAAGAGCTTATGTTATTTATGTCTACCTTGCGTACGCACTTACTGGTCTTGCATTTCCAATTGGCACTCTTACACACGATCAGCAAGCTCAGGCAAAATCTGACATCTACACTCTGTTGTTGTCACCTGTTCGTATTCACTACCCTGGAACAAACTCTATTGAAATCGGTATAGAACCTTTTCCATATCTGCGACTTCTTATTATGCTAGATGTAGATGAGCTCATTAAAATGTTGGGCACGGTTTTCAATGACGAATCTCTGACAGATGGAGTGCAATGGAGTAGCAGTTTTGCTTTACCTGTTGAAGATCCGCGTACAAAGGCTTTTCGACAATTATCGCCATCAGGGGTCACTCGCCAACTAATTGTCTATGCTCTACTGCAGGTTGTCGATGCATTTCAAATGGAGTCAGTATATGGGAATATGAAAAACAGTTGCCCTGTCACATCAACATCATATACTGTTTCCCTGTTTGCTTTTCTTGCTCGTTGTTACAGCAAGCATCGCAAGCATATTCATCTATCTGATGAACTACTGGAGCGCATATTAAATGTGCTTTGCGAAAGTGGAGATGTCAATGTAAAGCCAGAACGAGAGGTATCGATACTCTCCATTATAGATAGCGGCGCTGCAATTGCATCAGTGTCAGCCAGACTAAGCTCCGCCGAACAATCGGCTCTTTTAGATAAGTATGAAAAGGCCAATTTATGGAGAGTGTATGAGCACATGGCGCGAGTTTTTGGAAAATACAATTTAGTTCTTCGAGCATATCTCAAAGATGAGCGGCGAATTCACGAATCGTTGCAAGCAGTACGAACGTTGCTAGACTCGGGAGCACTGACATATCAGCAATCTTTGGATGTAAAACAGTGTGTGTTTGACTATCTTATTCCACTAGTAGAGCTTGACAGTTACTCTACTTCGCAGCTTATATCATATTACTGGCCAAGTGAACATGATCGGATAATTGAAACCTTGTCCAACACCCCGCGACTGCTTTACAATTACCTTAAAGGGTTGCTGGTGCCAAACAGTTACTTACAGCAGGACTCTGTTGTTATTTCACCAGCTCTACTTTTAATAGATGATAATTCTACAACTACCCGACGAACAACACGCACTATCCCTTTGACTACAGCTGCATCACGATTGCGGAAAAATACATCTCGATTATTTCCACAAAGCTTTTATGATACAGTTATAACCCTAATGTCTGAATTTGATCCAAACGATGTTCATCCATACTTACTTTGGCTCAATGATACCTGTAGTGGGTTTCCATATAGCCTAGACACTGTGTTTAGCGCTCTACGACTATATCACGTTACCCATGCCACCGCTTGGTTGCTTGAACGTACTGGGGATTTTACAGGCGCACTGTCTGTACTGCTAGCTGATTTAATCGTCATTTTAGAGCAATTATTTGAAAAGTTTAAAGTTCCTAGCGATTTAAGCGTTGACACCTTGAAACACAATGCAACTTCGTTGGTCGATCTTGCTGTAGGAGTATGTGAGCGTTCTGCGGCTGCTTTAGATCCTAGCGAGCAGCTTGACATTTGGCTGCTTTTTTTGACGGAGATCTATTTTAAGCTTTTTTTACATCAGCCCCCAAGAGATTTAAAAACGGACATGTTTAGCATAGCATCCATAGCAAATCCTCCACCCACTACTACACACAGTTGCATCAACGAGCAACTTAGTGATTCTTGTCATAGCCCCACCTTGGTTCTGAGTTTACAATCAAGTTTGCCTCATCAAGATCACAGCGACATCTTAAACACAATTTCTCAAAATTCCCACGATCTAGATGCAAGTGATATGTCCGCTTTTCTTGGGTCAATAGCTCGGCTTGTAGTTAGTGCTGTAGTTGGACACGTGCCACTTCCCTTGGTGATTCACAAAATAGTACAAACTCAAAAAAATGCGAAATTTGAAGATCATCGTGATCTTATTTTTTCCATGTTGGAATCCCATGTTTATCATCGTGAGCTGTACCATGCCGCTACTCGCATTATTGCCGCTGATACGTTTCGTTTGGCCGCTTCCTTGAATATATCACGCTCCAAAGGATTTCGTCCGTTTCGTGGCCAATGTGAGTCGTGCCGTCGTCTTTTACATATTCGAGCCATGTATGAAAGCGAAGCTGAGGAAACCTTGGTCGTTTTTGCCTGTCGTCACGCTTTTCATCGGGTATGTCTTGATACAGCTCTTGAATTAGCTGCACAAGCACTTGCCATTGAATATCACCTAGACTACGGTTTGTGGTGTCCTGTCTGCGGACGTAAACAAAAAGACATGCATAAGCATTTTAAAGGAAAGGCTAAAACCGTATACAAGTCACTGGTAAGTGTTTTCTATAAAATAGAATGATTGCGCTGTATCATACAACTATGACTACTGGATGCTTTATTTTAAAAATTACTTTAATGATTAACCACCGTGCTTTAGCCGGATTTAGCCAACGGGTTTAAAGATACACCTTGTGAGTTGGATAAAAAGTATCTCCAGCTTCAACATGCCCAGTTTCAATCAGTTCCAATGGTAATGAATTGTTGCATATTTGATCTTACAATTGAATACATTTCCTATGATTCAATACTTGCTTATTCCATTGCATGCCATTTGATGCTTACATGAGATTTTTTGCTATAGATTACGGCATTTCACTCTCTCAACTCGGCATCATTTGCTTCTAGCACCAACGAGACATTGGACATCATTGACATGAATGATAGCCCCGTTGTTGGCGATGGTAGCTCTTTTTACTAGCAGCAACTTATGGATTCTACAACTAAACCATTTTTTTGAATAAAATAAACTCGCTTCTACTTTTAATCTACGCAGTTGACAGGCAGATTGTAGTAAATTGTACGTGACTATCGAGTCCATATTTATCTGGCCTGTAATATATGTGATTGATTGCCGCAATTCATGTTTAGAAATATCCAATTCTATTAAAAATTATCCAGATATAAAGTATGGGTGATTGTAGTGCATTCATTTTTTAAAGATCAAAGCGTTTCCAAGGAATTTTGGTAGCTAAACCAAAAGGTTATTGACCAGTTGGCTTTTAGACTGTAAAACACACGCAAAACATACACGCGCACCTTTGGCATTGATGGAAGCAAATAATGATTCCTCAAAACTATTTTTGATCAACAGTAGATCTTCAGCACAAAACCAAAAGGGCGAGGTTGATACATTACACATTACACAATGCACTTCTTCAATTGAAACTCCGTTTTCTGCTGATGTTTTTTTGGCTGTATCAAGCAAAGGATCCTCAGTACACAGAGGGTTGTTATTAGTGCTTGACGTCTTTTCGAGATATGGTGTTGGTTGAGGTAGACTGTCTATATGCTGTGTAACGATACTCTTGTCTTGTGATATAGATATATTTTCTTTACAAGGATCATGGCAATAGCACTGTGAATGTAGGGTTTGAGAAGCAGCTCGTCTTTGGCTACGCGTGGCATGCCCCGAAATACCAACCTTGAAACCAGAGATGTATTGAAACAAAATTTCAGAGGTAGTAGCATCAGACGATCCTGCCAAGTTATTCTCATTCTCATTCTAATTTAATAAACCAAAAAACATTAATGGCGTCAAATAACGAAGATATACAATCTTGCAATCAAAGTTACAGCAAACCTTGCTAGAATGCAATGGGCATGTAACAATGGTCGAGTAGTCCCATCCATCTTTAACGTCTGGGATAGTTTTTGTCTGTATCTTTGCGACCCAAGAATCATCATGTTGGGCACAAGTAACATGAGACGCTGCCAAGCACCCAGTTGTAGTGCACTTGACGCAAGCACCTGCATGAATGTTACATATATTACAATGCTAAACAAGTGGTGGCAATAAAAACAGGAGTTTAGCTGTGTTAGTCTATTGATTGGTCGTGTTTTCAAGAACAAACTCATACAAAAACCGCTACCATTAACCACTTTTGCTTATCAACAAGCCCGATAGATTCAACCGGTTCCAAAGATTTTAGGCATCCAAAAATAGGTTCACTGTGCCAGATGGCACACTGCACATGTACCCAATTGTTGCAAATTGTGCGTTTAATTGGGGATAATCTCGACGAAAGCTGACCAGTACAAAGAACACAATCATAAATCTATTACATGAAATCAAATTAAAAAGTCAGTTGCGTTGAAGATTCAAAATAGATCCAATAGCCATAGATATACCAGTGATGATTCTGGATTTTGTGAATTCATGCATCGATCGCACTGAAAGGAGTTTGATTTACTCGTTTTAAAAGATAAAACGCCGTAGCACACTAAAATAAATATAGCAAAAGCAAAATACATAGATTAATGTCGGTATCAAGACACTAGACAAGTAAATACAGTGTATTTGCTTACGTGTATGTACATATAATCTACATCCTGTGCAGCGAACCAGTTTGGACGCTTCTGATTCTGTAAAATCCAGACACACTGCACATGGCTCCAGTTCGGCATCGTCCAATTTATCGCTGATATCAGCCCACGTCTCTTCCGTGTTATTCTACCGTGTGAATTATATAATGCCAAGAGTATCAACTTTTAATCATCTGAGCTTTAACCTATATATTTGGCGTATATTACCTTTTTAGCAAGTTGAGATCTACCTGGAGGACGACCTCGTTTTTTAAAAACATGAGTATCTTCGTCGACCATTTCGCGAGCTTTGCGTTTTCTCTCTATCGTGGTTCAATGATAACGGTAAAAGTTAGTAACCAAAAGTATGGTCAATTCCTAAATCTAATAGAAATCGAAAACTACAGACATGCTATTCACAAAAATTAAAAACCTTTCTCCCGATTAGCCTTTTTAATAGTTTCAGATATAATCCGAGGAGTTGCATATGTGATGTAGTAGGTGTGACATTCCAAACACCAACGCTGCTGCTGACCATGTGCAAAAAGTAATCCAGCAGGCCGGGTTACTTTGGCATTTTTAAAACAATTTGAACATTCTACCCACGACATGGTCGGTTTTAAAGATTCTACATTGTCCTCTTCTGTAGACGAAAAATCGGAAAAATCTTTAATATTTGCAGCAGCAGAGCTTCGTACATCAGTATTTTTTAGAAATTTCCTTATTTTTAAATACAAAAAAGTTAGTATAGATTCCAAAAAAAATCTGGCATATATGCGTACTTTGGCCTATACACCCTGCAGTATTCCGAGTAAACAGATGTGTAATTGGGCGATTTTTTCCAAATGTAAAAATATAATATAACTTCCTTCAGCGTTCGACTAGGCACAAACTACATTGATGCACAATGTTAGCAAGAAGCATTAGTACATCATCTAATTCATTACTTGCTTCTTTACGAATCCAATTCAATTCGTGACCATATTTGGCTACACCCCGTTCAAATGATGAAATCTCGGCCACAGTCCATTGGCTACTGCGCTCTTGAGAAACAAGCTCATTAAGCCAGCTCTTGTCCTCATCGGGCCGAGATCGATTTTGGTAGAGCTGCAATAAGCACTGGTAAACAATGCGTCCTGATAAATTTTTGAATCCTCCCAACTCTGACAAAAGCCGTAAATAATGCCCAGCTAAAGGTAAATGAAACTGAGTTACTCTGTACCAACTAAATTAATCCAAAACTAAAAAACGGTTGATTGACGTACCGTCAATAGATTTTTCTGTGAGAGTATGACCACAAAAAACAACTTCGTCCACGCTGCTACGACTGACTGTTGTATCCGTACTGGAAATACGAGGCCGGCCCCTTCGTCGAACTGACAAAGTAGGCTCTTGCTGGAGATTATCAATTGCCTTGATTTGTTTAGACTCGGCATCCAACAATGTCGTATCACAGCATTCTGGCATATGTGCTTGGAATGCTTTACCGATTCTTGTAATACAATATAATAGCCAGTAAATAAAAGTCATAAAATAGATATGCGTGTATATATGCTTTTAAGTGAAGGTACCTGCTAGACGATTTTGGGTGTGATTTTTCATCAAGATTATCTATATCAACAGGTTATATTTGAATTTCTAAAAATAGATGACCAATAATAATCAGTCAAAACGGTATATTTCACTTACCATCTAGATCATTTAGGGACGCATATTTTCCAAAATAACAAAAAGGAAACAACGGGTTGTGATTATGGGTATGTGCAGCTACATGATCTGTTACATATTTTAAATCAAACATCAACTAGATTAAAATTTTATAGCAGTACTAAATGGAGTGCATTAAATGGCTGTTTTGATGCAGCATTTCAAGATAATAAATATATGCCAAAACCTGCCATCTACTTCATCGGCGTCAAAATCAATGGGCGTGGCTTTTTTAAGTTTGCTCGGTGTGTCCTTTTCATCATGATTAGAATTGTCTGATTGGCCATTTGTGCTATCCAGATCGTCGTTGGAAGCGCCCCTTTCGTTCATTTGAAAGTCTCTTAAACAACTAGAACATTGCCATGTGTAACCCTTTGAAGGTTTTCTTGTCATCCCCGCACAGTCCAAGTGCAATATATTGGAACACGTCCCACATGTAGCAATAGGTTCGTCAGGACTACACCAACCATCACAGGCTTGACAAACTCGCTTTGTAGTAAACCTATCGGCACTTCCAGCTTCTACAAGAATAAACTGAAAACTTAAAAGATGTCGCATGATTCGTTTTGGAAGATTCTTTACAGATTCCATAGGTAAAACATCGTACAGACGGCGTGTGTGCCTATCGTATACTGCGCAGAAAAAAGTATAAAGTATGTTTGTCATTCAAATCAATGTAAAAATCAAACAGCTCACTAGACACTTACGTTGATTATAATAAAATGCATATTCATCAGATTTGTATTTATCCATATTGCTGATATGGTCTATATGCTTGATCTCACATTTACAAATGATGGCCGATACTCTATCAAACGTAGACACGGCTCATTTAGTAGTTTAAGACAATGAAAATCAAGACCACCCAATATACTTACGGATTGATATCAGTGTTCATGGTTGCAATCAATAGGCGAGGATCAAAGTGTCTACGCCTATTTCCACCAAAAACATCGCGCGGACGAGAGAACCATGCTACTTTGATATTAACCAAAAAGTCTTTTGCGTCTTTATCCGGTATAAATTCAATTATTCTGCCTATATAATAACTATTAAAATTAAAATTAGAAATCTTTTGGACTTGTGTTTTATGATGGGCAAATAAATGTTCATATTTTCTGGCAAGGTAAAGCAGTTGAAAATGACAATGGAAATTTCAGTCAATAGCTCAAGATTTTTCAAAATACCAATGACCATTGAGTATAAAGAAATATAAAGAGTTAGAAGCAACCATCCGTTTTAGAATGAACACCAATTACAAAGATTATCCTGCAATGCCGCTACTCAAGATCATGACATACCATTCATCTTCAGTTTCTGGTTTGAGAAAAACAAAATCTGAAATACCAACATATGCATGTGTATTAGTTTAAACTATAAGCGATTGATATGAGACCAAACAATAAGATGGATTTGCCAATTGGGCTGGAATTAATCATGGTGTCCAGCATAACTACAAATTCAATCAGGGCCAAAAGTACCATTGAGCTTATAGGTTATCCGTCGTAAAGTGATTTGTGATATAGTATTTTCAGTTTCCGAGGCTAGAACTGTTGATGGAATCGATTCATCAATTGACATGGTAGTATGAATGCCAGTCAAGGACAAAGTATTTCAATTTTATTTTAAAGAGGGAAAGTTTGGTTGTTTCAATGTTTTTTGTGGATGGTGTTGAATCGAGAGTTGATGGAAAATACTGAAATAGAATCAGATCGAGTGACCTGCTCATGAATATCCAGTTTGATCCATGCAACTTGGCAGACCAATTGGAGGTTGATGAGCATTTTTGCTTTTGTACCCTTATCAGATAGCTGCATCTTTACCAGTTAAAACGATGCAGTGCTCGCAGAAAACCAACTCGCTTCAAATAGCAGTGCTGGTATGCGACCATCTACTGCCAGAGATTCAGACACAGTTTGGAGACTATCCTGCTCTCATTGGGAATCTACTCGTTGATGCAGGAAAGTCGCTGGGTCTTGTTGTCAAGTGTGATTCATTCTATGTGATTGATGGCCAATATCCAGCTGCACCTCAAGAATATGATGCTGTTGTCCTGTCTGGTTCAAGTGAGTGAGGGCTCTTTGTATTGTTGAGTAGGCACTGGTTCGGTTACTACTACTCTGATACAAATCATTCAACTCATTCTCATCTATTATATCCAGAGTACTCTGCCTATGATCAGCTTGATTGGATCAACAGGTTGAAGCAGTTTGTTCGAGACACTGACGCTCTTCAAACAAAGATAATTGGTATATGTTTTGGCCATCAGATCATTGCAGAGGCATTGGGAGGACAAGGTGGGTCGTAGTTGGATGGACTATTAGTTGTTAGCAATATAGTCCCATCCATAACTCTTCATATCTCTTAGTTTCCAAAAACCCTCTTGGATGGGAAGTTGGTTTTACTCGGATTAGACTTTCACAAGAGGACACTGCTGCTCAACTGGGTTTACAGTCTGGTGTACTCGAACTGGTCAGTATCATGGCCTTGTAAACCAAAACTGCATTCCAAAATCAGCAAATTCAAAAGTTTAGTCGGCACTCACATTACAATTTAATCTATTATATCAACTGCTTCATATCTTTGCTCAAACAGTGTTTGCAGTCCATGCACCAAGTATGCAATTTGCTTTATGGTTGATGTCTTGATTGCCTTTAAAGACTGATCACCAACACTCACGTAAACTGTATGCGCTTTAAACCTAGGATCATGTCACTGTTGTTCCCAAAGGCTTTACAGTGTTGGCATCGACGGATATCTCGAATGTGCAGATCATGAGTAAAGGATATTCGTGTCTGTCCCTTCAAGCTCATCCAGAATTTTGTTCAGGCATTGTGCGACATCTCATAAAGTATGTAGCCAACTGTGCATGGATCTACAATTTAGCTGCATTGCTGACCACTGTTCAATTTTCACATAATCTATGAGTGTAGTGTCCGGACTGCCAGCGGAGTGTTTGAAAAGAATGCTGCCAAAAAATGGCTTGATGTGGTAGACAACCAAACAGATGGTACTTTGTTTGCTGCATCGATCCTTTGGTTCATTAGACAACCATCACTATGATTGACTGGTATAATTCAATGGCATTTTAAACAAAGTAGCTTGAACAATAAAGGCCGATTGACCAGATTGATACAAGTGTGCTTTCAAATGTTCAGTAAACTAAACACCACAGTTGGGTTGAGTAGCAGTATTAGACTACTGATCACATCAGATGCCATTGACGATAAGTCGCGTTTTACAGCCGTATCCACGTAAAATGGATCGTTTGTATTTATCTTGCAGTGATCGACTCTAAAATAAGCAATGGTCAACTATTCAGTTTCCTACTACAGGTTGACCTAATAAACATTCTTAACTCAGTGTCTGGAATTATTCAATGAATCCATTCTTTATTATACTCGAGTCATTTTCTGTAAGGTTCAAGAATCGATAATATGCAACTCTAATCCTTGCTACCTTTGTTGGACGATTGATGAACCATGTCTAATTAGACAGTTATTTTGTAGAGTGGAATACTGTCTAGGATAGCATGCGTGTTTGGAAATGTTGCATGTCATTGTTTAGAAGGTCAATATTACGGTATTTGCAGCTCCTTTGATCGGTCTCCAAACACAGCGACCATTGTATGATACACAACTAAACTATAGTTTAAATTATTCTGTTTAAACCTTGCATCTCCTTTACTTTTGACATAGCCATACATTGTACAGTCCCAAGTTTGATAACAGACTTGTACATTGCAATCCAAACATCAAGTTTGTTTGAATATTGTCAACAAAAGTCTGGACATGTTCACTGTTGCCAATCTGTCTGTCATTCACAAGAATTGGTTTTTGTAGTAATATTATCGAAGTCATTGACATTGTTGGCCAACATTTGCGCTTGGTAAGGTCCATGAGTGCGCTCACAACGTCTCATCCAAGTGTTGATGACTACAAGAATACTGATAATAGCCCGATATTCCCATGCGGATCCTATTCACTATATCACTTATTACTGATGCATCTACTTTGTATTGGTATAACTCGGTTGAATAGCGAGGCAAGATAATTTGAATGCTTCATTAATTTCGAGCAATTTGCTGCTTTTCTAATACTATCGCATCGCCTAGTTGCAAATCTATCCTATATACCAGCTAGTCTAGATATTAGTACATGCAGTCCAATAACCGAAATGCGCAGAGCAGTGCTTTTACCGACGATACTGACATGAGAAAATTTGAGAGTAGGACTTGCTTTAAATCTATCCAACAACATTCAGTAGATAGTTGTGCTATTTCAAGCTCCGATACAGGTCCTTTACATGCTAATACATCTCGGATTATCAGTGGATTTACTGCTCATGCCTCAAAGACAAACTGCCTTCGTATCGGCCCAAAGTCCGGACGAGTGATTGTAACTGGAGGAGAAGACCGCAAAGTAAATTTATGGGCAGTGGGCCGAACATCTGCTGTTTTGGTGAGAATGTTGTCTGACAGTATAGGCTATCAAATCATTCGTTTCTTTAGATTCAACTTTCTTAATCGACATTGTGTCGATTACTTGTAAAGAATCTTGTCCCTATTGTCCATCTTTAATATATATCAGATGTACATCTAATCTGTTGCCAATTTGAAGAGCTTATCAGGGCATTCTAGTCCAGTAGAGTGTGTTTGTTTGGACTGGCCCGAAGAGCTGGTAGTGGCAGGTTCATCTTCTGGATCACTCAAGTTGTGGGATTTGGAGCATGCCAAAGGTATAATTTGCCAATCTGTGTTCCATAGTTATTGCCAACTTGGCATCAATGACTAAATTCCATTCTACTAGATTTTTGTTGTCCTGATTGTACTGATTTGTTTCAAAGCTCATTCTTCAGGTTTATAGAGCTAATCTTGTAATTGTCTGTTTAGTGATCAGGACTTTGTCTGGTCATAGATCTAGTGCAACATCAGTACAGTTTCACCCATTTGGCGAGTTTTTTGCGTCTGGATCAAGCGATTGCACAGTGCGTCTTTGGGATGTCCGGCGTAAGGGTTGTATCCAAACCTATAGTGGACATAAGAATAGCATTGATTATCTTGAAATCACACCTGATGGGAGATGGATTGCTTCTGTTGACACTGATGGAGTGGTCAAGGTAAGAATATCGCACGACTTTTGAAACACGCTTTTTTATTTATCTCGAAATTTATACAATCTGAGAATATATACACCACCATATGCGATGTTGGTCAAGCAGTGATTCCTTTTTATTATAACTTTTCACTAACACCTTATCTTTAGATTTGGGATATGACAGCTGGAAAGCTTTTACATACTATATCTGGCAGCTCAGAATCTGTTGCATCTTTGTCATTTAGTCCCTCTGAGTTTATCCTTGCAACATCGTCACTTGACGGAAATTTCCATATTTACGATCTTCAAAACTTTGAATGCATTTCAAGTTCTTTTCAAAAATTAAACGGGGTTTCAAAAATATCTTTTAGCGGTGACGGTCACACTCTTGCAACTTCATCAGTAGGCACTTTTGATGTAAGTCTTGTTTGTACGGTTGATTGCATTATGATATTTGCTTTAGACTTTGTTTTAAATACCGTGTTCTAAATGACAACAATACAAAATACCCATACTTTTATTGTCAGATTTGGAAATGGGATCGACCTCAGCAGTCTCCTATGTCCTTTGCTTCTGGATGGTCGAATATTGTTGATTTCAAGTTTTTATCAGACACCAATAGTATCATAGCCTGTAGCGTGGAGCAGAGCTTTGTAGAAGTTTGGGCTATAGATATTACTGCTTCTGTGAGTTTTTGTTTGACTTTACATTTCAATTTCATAGACAAAAAAGCCGCTTACAAGGTTGTATATTAAATATCCAGCCCAAGGGTAGAAAAGGCTCAGCTGCGCAATCATTATATCAAACTACAAAAGACTCTTTGGCACAAGTTGAACATACTGCTGAACAGCTGTCAACTGGGTCGGTATTTCCAAGTGCACAGCTTGATCAGCAAATTCCATCCGAGTTTTTTAAAAACGCAACCAATCTTACAGATTCTGAAGCAAATGGTAATATTTTTATCTTTCAAAGCAAAGTTTTGGCTAATTTAAACTAGCTGTCTGATATAATGACTTTTAAACTTAGACAATTCTCTACACCAGGAAAAAGGAAATTCAATATCGGGGAACAATATTTTTATGCCACCTGAGTTTTCTCAATTGAATTTGGAATCTAATGAAAATGCTGCTACTGAGCCTATACAGTCTTTACAGCATGAGCTACCCAATTCACGATCACTTAATTCATTGCCTTTATATACCGGATATATGCCATCACAATCTTTTAATGCACCAGCTGATAGTCTTATTGAGCAGTCTTGCTCCATAGCTTCATCATCTTTAAATCCAAAGCAGCTTTCTGGGTCTATAGAATTGAATATACAACCATTCACTACATCCCAATCCAATACATCGTCCTATATTCCAGCATGCGACGGAAACCGCCCGTTGAATTTGGATCTTTCTCGATTTATTAAACATGTACGTTTTATTAAGGGTGATTTATGCTTTAGAATACCTACAATTGTATTTTTTAAAGTTTCTACTGTTTTTAACATTTATATATTGTCTCGATATTTTTGAACGTATTTGATTAAAGCAGTTTCCTGGAAGAGCAATGCATCCAATTCCATTATCTATTAGCGATACTAGCTCTACAGTTTCCAGTGATCAGGATGTTATCGAGTCTGTCTTGAACCGACACGTCTCTATGGTGACAGTTTTAAATACCCGTCTTGAAAATATTCGCCTTGTTCGAGAAGTTTGGTCCGAAAATAATCCAAAATTAGCTTTGGATGTAGTCTGTAAATTGGAAGATCGCAGTGTTTTAGTAGAGTTCCTAAGGATTCTTAATTTAAGACCAAGACTATTGACTCTTGAGATTGCTGTGCAAATTCTACCATTGTCTTGCGAGTTGTTGTTTGAGATGTATGAAGAGTAAGTTTACTGATATGTTAAAGGGTTTGATATTAAAAACTGAATGCAATACTGTGCCTTACATCTATCTGCTTTTTGTGCTAGTTATATTCAAATTGCCTGCTCGACAGTGCTTCTTCTTTATAAAAACTTTTCTGGTATTATCATGGATACATTACGTGCATCACGGACACCAGTACACACAATGGATATGGCATTTGAGGATAGGTGTGCAATGAATGTTAATAACACCATAGTTTAAATTTTTGTCTGATAATTTTTTGGTTCGTGTGAATAGGTTGAATCGCTGCCGATCTTGTCTTGATGGATTTACCCAATTTTCTCAAATTCTTGGCGAGATGCGCAAATACCATGGGAAGCTGGGCGATCAGATTCGTGAAATATCTACAGAGCTGGAGTTATTTTGTGAGAGTGCGTATTGAATTCTATTTCTTTCAACGCTTGCATATAATAATATATTTTATTCGACTTTATATTTGAAAAAATGTATGATAGTTGGCCCATTTTGAAAGGTGGGTGTTGATACTACATACTGATGGCATATTCAGTCTTTCATACAAATATGACAATATGTTTCAGTACCAATCCAAATCTCAACGCCTGGCAGAAATTGCACAATCTACTAATTTACAATGAAATAAACAAGACCCAGTTGTGTTATACTAGAAGCTAATTATGACAAAAGCAATGCCAAAAATACTAAAGAGATGAATCTGAGAATCAGACTATATTTTGGCAACTTTATTTCAAGAGTTGGATAATGCGTAGCACATTTTCCAGCTTGTTAGCAGCTTAAGATTCAAATCAACATGCGTATCTGGAAATAGATAGTAGATATTTACAGTTAAATTCACAATCAAAAATAGTCATGATGGAAGGCGAAAAAACACATGGTTGATATTGATTTCAAACGGACTTGCCTTCGCGTCCATTCTCTTGCTATTCTATCGTGCTCTTCTCGATCCTTCACATATTGTTGAGCAATACTTCCAACCAATGGATCCACTGTATATGTTCACCCGGTTCAACAAAAAACAAATTAGCAAGTAATGTGGTATAGCATAAATGTACATATTATTATGATGGGTGGCCATGTATAATACATGCAACGTACTTGGATTACAATCTGTCAAGAGTGAGCAAATAGACAAGAGTACTTTTGATATTGTCAAAGCGGGACTCCAGTTGTCTTTTAGGATATCCAAACAAATCTGGCCCTGGCTATTAATGTTACAATGGTATATGCGAGTTCGATAAACCACCTAGAAGCATATTAAATAAAGCGTGTAAATTAAAGAATTCAAAAATATATGAATTAAAGTCCAATCCACAATAATTACAAGATTTATCTGTATAACTCACCTTGGGAGGTTTAAATGGATAATCTGGAGGGAAAAATATATCTAAAAAAAAGACACCTCCTGCATAAGGGGAACCAGCTGGGCCCATGATCGTTGAAACCCATTCATATAGATTATCTCCTTTCGGCCCTGCGCTCAGGTTGCAAGGTGGGTCAAGACTATATTAAAGTATACACCACAAAAGTCTTTTGCTTAGTATATAAATAGTTGCAGTTTAATATTGATATTGAAAAATAAATACAAGCCAAGTAAATGCTTTAGCTGTCTTGATAAAATAGCTTTTGGCATTACCTTATTTCTGCAAGTTCCTTTTGAATTCTATATCGGTAGATAAGTATGCCGATTGATATTTAAGGTGATTTGATCCATTCAGTCCATATTTACGATGAATTCATGACAAAAGGCAGGTGCCAGTTCACAGTACAAGATTATTCCGGCCAGAAAAGTTGGAATGTCGTTGGCCAAATGGCAGTTTGGGTTATCATCCGTAGAAATAAGATTGTAATATTGCGTAAAAACATATCAGTATGTAGCATTCATCGAGTATGAGTAATTGATGAATTCATCATTGAGCATTATAGTTGCCGTTGATATAACAAAAGATAGTTCAGACCTTTTAGCACTGCTGCTTAATGAAGTAGGCTTTTGCAAATATTTTACAGTTGCTTTGGTGGTTGCAATTGAAGGTGCAACAGCATTGCTGGTTCCAGGTTGTTCAACGGAGGATGCATTTGTACTAGGTATTTGATCAGCAGAAGAAGATGCTGTTCTATCATTGGGTCTGGCTTGGGACATGATCAAGAATATATAACCAACTTGGATTGGACGCCAAAGATGCTTTTTTAGGAAAAGTTTGGCACTCGCAAAAACTGTCAATCCGACAATCGCTTAAACTCCTGATGGTTAGCATAAAAAATGCTTTACCCATTGCAAGAGTAAATATTTTAAAACCCTACAACAACCATGCTTTAAACATGTATTAATATGGCTAGCTGAGAGCGTAGCTTGTAATCTCAATGATTTTGTTTTTGGGTTCAGCCAAGTCGAAAGACTGGCATTTTGATTTGATAGTGTTCTAAAAACTATTACAGTCCAATATGTTGACATAGTTTTATGAATTTAACCCGCTCAATGTTTATTTAGAAAGCAGTCGACAGATACATCTATCAAATCAGTTTCAGCATCGCGCATATTGAAAAATTGTAGTCTTAGTGCTAGTCAATTTTGGTGCGAGTAGTAGGTGCACCTGTGCTGGTGGTAGAGGGATCTCCAATATCATAAAGTAGAGCAATGACGTAGCTAGAATACAAGCTGCTTAGTCAGTGTACTATGGTGATTAAAGCATGAGTTCTAAAACCAACACTTACATGACTACGACAATGGATGCAACAGTGAACCAAAACAGAATCTGAAATGAAAAACTGATGTCTTGGTACTGGCATGAATCGCCAGTCCAGACAACATCACCATTGTAATTTGGTACCAAATTTCCAGCATCATCCGTCCATTTCCTCAATGTGCACGAGCAGGTAAAGCATTGAGTAGATGGGTTAGATGGATTAGCTTGTCCAGTACAGGAACCATGCATAGAGCAGTTGGAGTATCGACTGCATAGTTGTAGATGTGATGATCGTGAATAATGCCATATACCACATATATAGATTAGATGGTTTCAAACCAAAAGATATTTTTAAAGTATCTAGAGGCAATATTATGATTGGGTTTAGTAAAAAATACTTACGCTTGGCATTCATCAACGCTGGCAGCACAGGCTGGCAAAACAGCGCGTTTATGAAGATCAGACAATGGAGTGGTTTGAGAGAAAACTCCAAGATTTGCATCAGATGGTAGAGAAAGTTGTGCAACAGTGGCCAAGTCGCCAAATACAGATCGAAAAGCATGTTTGAGCTATATATGTTGACAAGTTACAACAGTATTCAGTGTTAAAAGTAATAGTAAGCCAATACAATTCAGCATCAACAAGCGTTGTATCTTTCAAATGATAGCCTACATCTTTCAAAAGTCGATCCTGAATAGCTATTGCCTTTTCTGGCGTGCTTCCACATTTGGTAGAATCAGATAGAGCAGTCAATTGAATTACCAGACGGTTTACAGAAGGATTTTGTTTACGAACAAGAGATATTGCGTTTTGAAGTACCATTCCTTCCATCTAGATTAAATGTTAGCAAACTATCGTGGTGATGCAGCCATATGCTCTACTTACTAGAAAGTCTGAATCGTCCTAAAAGTGTACATTTAATTGCCGTAGCCCACCAGGACAAAAAAAGAGTACATATCAACAAAGCATTATTAGCAATGCTGATTATGCAATCTAGCTTCAAACCTGACTGCACGAATTTAAACAGACTTGGCAAATACAATACCTTTAGCTCACAGTTGCCATTGCAAAGTGTATCTCTCAAATGACCGAGGATATCCCCATTTGCTTCAGTAGTCTGAGTTTGTATACAAACAGGTCAGCGCTAAAAAGATGATCAAGTTGTAGTTCTCAAAACATGTTTTACCTGGGATAATTCAGCATTATCAAGCGAATTCATCATCCAAACACGATGTTCAAGTGTGCTTGATTTTTCAAGCCCTGAAATGGCCCTAGTGATATCTTCAGGCGAAGCTTTGACCAGATAGGCAGGGTTCTGAATGCCAACTGCTCAGTACAAGCCAAATGGTTGTCAAAACATGTGTGGTTGATCAGTATAATGATATGTATAAAAAGATGGATCATAACGAGAATCCAAGATTTGGCTTAGTCTGCTGGAGAGTATCCAACCGAAAAAGCACATACCATTGACAGGACGCTGTTGAACAATGAATGCAAGTGGACGGTGTTGAAAAGGGCTGGCAGAAACCTTGAAGTAGAAAATCAAAGAGAAACAGATAAGAACACATTGCAATGCCATGGATGGCGAGATGAGCTTCCAGACTCATTGGTGACAAGATTAAACTAGAGCTACAAACACTCCGATATTGGCTGATCTAAAAAGGTCATACAAGCAGAATTATCAGCACTCACAGGAAAGACTTTTGAAAGCAGAGCATCGTTGGTTGCCGAGAGTTTGGGATTATCCTGTAGTTGCATTTGTTGAGCTACCATCGCAAGAGCATGCTGTGGATAATGAGCAGTGGTTCCCATCAACAGACCCTCGACATCGTTCCATTCAAGAAGGATGTTTTGAGAAATATCAGCATTATTAATGGCCAGACTACAGTGGAGTAATGGGCCGGTCGCAATACAGGATCCAATGGCAGCAGCCAGAGCAAGCACCAGGGTGGTCAGATCCATAGTGTTTGATGTGATGGTCAAGTTTCAGTTTGAATGTAAAACCTCACAATTTGCATATTGCCCAAATATTGAATTATTGCCCAAATATTAAATTATTGCCCAAAATTCAATACTGTTGAATCTCTTCTTATTGTATTACAGTCCATGCCTGATAAAACTGCTAGGTCCAGCGAATCGGATATTGCTCAAAACTCTCTTGCAAAAAGACCAAAGGTCGACTCTTTTGATAATGATGCTTCTGGGAAAGAGCTGATGGCTGCTACTAGTGTGACTTCCGGCTCTCTTACTAGATCAGTATGTCTATTGTGTTATTCTATCCAGCTTGGACTTGGATCACTCCTTATTGGGAATATGTAGTTAATAGCATGCGTTTACTAATGGATTTATTGAACGTACTTTAATAACAGGTGAAGCGAGTATCAGATTTGAATGCTCCTATTATGCATCTGACTGGCCATGAGGGCGAAGTGGTTTCTTGTAAATTTAGTCCAAACGGCAGGAATCTGGCTACTGCTTCGTTTGATCGCTTGATCCGTAGGTCTATCTTGTCTTTGCACTATGTATAAAGTGATTGGTTCATTTTTTCTCACGATTCCATCTTTTATACATCCATTAGTACTCTGGAATGCCTTTGGCGCGGCAGAGAATCACCACAAACTAGCAGGTCACACTGGTGCAGTCTTGCAAGTGCAGTGGTCTCGAGATGGATTGTATGTAGTTTATGTCAAGTACTATTTCATTGTGGTCCCACCACTGTCAATCTTGTATCTATCCATAATGGGTTGATGTAAACTAATTCAACCAATTTAAACTTACATTTTAGGCATATCTACTCTTCTTCTGCTGATAAAACAGTAGCCGTTTGGGACGCCGTCAATGGAGAACGAGTTCGAAAGTTCAAGGGCCACACTTCATTTGTCAATGCATGCTCAGCCAGTCGACGCGGTCCTGAGCTTGTTGCAAGTACTGGCGATGATGGTCTAATATTTTTGTGGGATCCTCGGCAAAAACAACATGCAAAAAAATTCAACGATCCTTATCCTCTCACCTCCATTGCATTCTCTTTGGACGGAGGGTCTATTTTTGCTGGCGGAATAGAAAATGATATCAAGGTTGGTTGAGGTTTTCTACCAAACCTGTTCGATTTTTTCAACATCCATGCTAATGTTGTTTTAATAGGCATGGGATCTTCGAACTGACAATGTAGCATACGTTATGGCTGGGCATGATGATACAATCACTGGACTTTGTCTAAATGCTGATGGCGATAAACTTTTGTCCAATGGACTGGACAATACTGGTAATATATGTGTTTATTCAAAATTCTCCATAGTTGTACTGGCTTATTTTGCGTTGCTGATATCCTTGTATCACTATACTGTTTGTCATGTCTGCCAATTCAACTATTTAAATTTAGTTCGCATCTGGGATGTCAAACCCTTTACTCTCACACCTTCTCGGCTTTCGAAAACATTTGAAGGTATGTTTTTGCATTTCCAACTGTTTTGAATCACATTTGAAATGGTACAGCCCATCTCATGCCTACGCGTTCAATAGGTGCACCTCATGGATTTGAAAAAAACCTAATTCGCCCATGCTGGTCTCCGGACTCTCAGTTTATTGCTGCAGGAAGCGGTGATAGATCAGTGGTGGTATGGGATGTTGGGTCTAGTGATATAGTTTATAAATTGCCTGGACACAAGGGCTGTGTCAATGATGTGGACTGGACTGGATCTATTATTGTCTCGGGGAGCAATGACAAGACTGCTTTCATGGGTGAATTGAATACCAGTGAAGTAAAATAGCAAATAAACAAACTCTGACTTTAATTTTAAATCGGAAGTTCTTTTGACCATTCAACAAGATCATCGGCTTCCATCTCCCAGCTGCGATCTTTTACTGGAATTGGTTGCACTATAGGCTGGGTTATTTCTAAAGTGCTTTGCTTGGATGTATGAGCCGAGTTGGAGCGCACTGATGATTTGGTTGAATTGGATTCCACATGGATTAGGTCTTCTGCTTGTTCAAGTGTACTTGGTAGAGTGATAGAGTCTAATGCATTTCCTCTCATGGAGATGCCATTGCTGCTTAGGTGTGGTACGTCCTGAAAAGGCTCTTCTGCTAAAGTGGATTTTTGTGAATTTGTAACTCGTGTTGATACCATATCGCACCGAGTATGATGATTTGTATCAATCAAATTACTTAAATTATAGATACGTTTCATGGATTCTATTCGATCCAACTTTAGCTGAAGTTTTCTATCTGTTATTCCCGAATCAACAATATCGTGTTTTTTTGATTTGAATTTGCCATACCAAAGACGATCCTGCCTGGATTGGGTTTAAAATAGTGATTTAAAAATGCAAATCAAATCAAAAGAATAATGTATATTAGCATACTTTTCAAATCATAGCAATAGAATGAAAATCAAGATACCTTTTTATTAGATCTTGGTATTGAAATTTGGTTATTTGACTGCGGTTAGATACTGTAAGGTTTCAAAAAGTATTTAGATACAGATTTGTATATTAAATCAATGTTGTAGATTTTTCCCAGCATGACAGGTCAATGATAATTACCCCAGGGCTGTGGTGTAGCAAGTGATGTCCCAATTTTTTTCCAGTCGCTATGATAAGTTTCGTAAGATACATTCACCATTGAGTATTTGTCTTTGGAAACGCTTGGCAAAGTATCTAAATCTAGACTATTTTTAGGGCTTGATGGAGTTTTAATTTCTTCATCAAAAATGGGAAGTCCAGCATCGAGACGTCGACTAGCAACCACACTATCTTGAACTAGTTGGTCATAAAGTCTAGGCGATCTTTGAAATATATCCGCGGCAGCAGGATTGACAGGAGATTCCAAGCATGGTTCAGAAAGCATACACTAATAAAGTTTAATTTTACATTTTCAAAGTCACAAAGGTCATACTCGAGCATTAGAATCACGATGCCATCATACCAATTCATTTTGAAAGTGCAACGTGTACCTGGAGCTGCAATAAAATGGCTTGCATCGAGATGGAAGAGTTCCATTCATTCTCAAAATCCAAAAATGAAATGCAAGGTTTCCCAGTGTTCATGTCAATGTTGGGATGAAAAGGTACTGTAAGAAAGTAAATAGATGGAGGCTCATCGTTGTAACCCTCACCAAAATAGATATCTACTTTAAATATGCCTCCTTCCCATAGCGTATCCTTAAGGCCCTGAAGAGTGACATGCCATTGAAAAAGACTATTGTTTACAAATCGATATGATATACCCTTTGCATGCCATTGGGTTTAGTAAAGTTTAAATACACGGCCGATATAGAGTAAAAATCGGTTAGATACAGCCAAGCCACGAATCGACAGATTATACTTGTTTTAAACAAATCTTACATGGAGCGTATTGTCTTTCTGTAACCGGTGATGCTCTCGTTCTAAAAGAAGTGCTGTTCTGGAGGACATTAAATTGCTTTGTGCTGAGCAGCTGGACTTGTTTCAAGAAAAGGCAAATGCACAACTTGTTCAGATTGCAAGGCGGTTGAATGGTCCGCGTAAGCAAGCATTTAATGATCGAAAACGATCATTGCGTTGGAATTCAAGCGCATTGCAGATCTGTAATAGAAACCAACTTGCCAACATAGTCATAAACGTCTTGGGGTTGTGTAGCACTGTCCATGGCCAAAGTTGATAGCGGCTTTGTTTTGTCACATTCAAGAGTCGCTCTTGACATTGACTTTGTGAATAGTTCTGTTCAGGTATGCTGCATATCAACATCATCCTGCCTTCAGATTGTAGTTGAATTTATAGAGTATTGACTTGACTGGATGAGCAAGGCGATATTGACTCGGCAAAATTTCAATGAATATTAGGGAATTGTCGAACTTACTGTCACTCCGCTTGTTTCTACTTTAACGGAACTCTATTTGCATTGCCGACAATGTGGTATGAATGAATCATTTAGTTATCGGCCAAGTGTGCACTTGATAGATCATCCGACCATTTCATCAGCCAATAGTACTTGCTGCAATATACGGATCGATCATTAATATTGATTTTCTATAACAGTACATATCTATGGGTACAATCGCTAACGATTGTTTATAATGATTCAATATTGCCATAGTTATTCTGAGTGTCAAAGTTGATGGAATATTGGCGTCGTATGTACACACTGATCCAGATGAGGATCTAATCAACTTTGCAAAGGCAGGAAGTTTTTCTAAACTCTCTGAAATGCATCTAAGCAATTCTAAGAAGCCTGATAATGGAGAGCTTTATATTCAAGTTCCTCCCGAGCTTGAGTGTGAAAAGGTTTTGAAAAGTTGCTGTTTTAATCTTGAGACTACTTTAGGATTGGGATCATTGATTAAGCATCGTGTATAATATGCTAATCTCTTATATTATATAGATGCAATTTGAGCAAGCAACACTGGATAGTTCAGGTATTACTTATAATTGACCATGCGTATGAATCTGTTACAGTCAATATCAGCACGACTTTAAGACTAATTGATATGGTGTTAATAATATGTACGGTTCTACTTGCTAAATATTATATTGAAAATTTAGCGTGCTACAGAAGTTGGACCTTGGTTATTGAATATATAATTCAGCAGCCCGAGGTCGCAATCACATTTGTGGTATCTCCGACCGATGTTGTTCCTGAAAAACGAGCGGTACATTGGATCAAAATGATATGTTGATAGTTATTTGTACATTGACTAATCCGTATTGTCTAGTATCCACACATGTTTATTGCTCCAGTGCATAACCAAGCCCGCTGGTGGATGCCATGCACTGACAAGATTCATGATCGACTCACCTACGAATTTGAAATCACTATACCTCGTACAGTGAGCGATGTTTACTCGTTATCGAATGGATATGCAGATATCAATCACAATGGTTTAAAAACACTCAGCCAGCGGCAGTCGCGCGGGTTAGATCACTCTTTAAAAATGGTAGCTGTTTGTAGCGGAGAGCTTGTTGAGCAGTTTGTGCATCCTGAAAATGCTTGCAAATCAGTTTGGATATACTCAATACAGACTGCCATGGATGCAGCAAGTGTTATTCTTGCCGCTGGACCATTTGAGATTCTTCCTATTCATGGTTGGGGTCGACCGACATTGACTACATTGAGAAACACCGAGTCTGCGCTTTCCGATGAAGAGTTATTTGAGAATGGAATTCAACGAGTAGGAGGAAAAGGCCTTATTTTTGTGCTTCCCGACTATAAGCGCGATATTCGAGTTAGCACGTTCTTTTTATCACAGGTATGCCGAGTGGCTTTAACTAATGGTTTCCTCGCTAAACTGCTATCTGTAATGGATAGGCTCTGGAGTTTTTTGAACAATGGACTGGATCTTCATTTCCCTTTTCCTCTTTTAAATTGGTGTTTGTAAAAGAAAGCTACCCTTCGATTGTTACGGGAAGCACAATAGCTCTTGCAAGGTATGAGCTCGAGATAGGGCTTTAAATATTCAAAGTAGCTGGAGTGCTGCAGGTGAATTGCTGACTTTTTACATTTGGCAAACACAGCGTGGATATTTTGGTAGACGAAACAATGATCGATCAAGTGTACGAAACCCGGCTGCATTTTGCCAAATCCCTTGCATCACAGTGGTTTGGTCACTACATGGCACCAAATAGATGGTGTGTTGAGCTTTACTTTTTTTGTGCATCTTGCTGATTACTGTGATAAATAGTATATTAATTTTAATATCTGCATTGTATCGACTTTGTAATAACAGGACTGACGTGTGGGTACTAGTAGGGTTTACCAACTGGTTAGCAGCACTATTTATGAGAAAAATGTTTGGAAACAACGAGTTTAAGTACAGATTACAACAGGTATAAATGTTATAATTTGTAGAATGCTATTTTTATCAGTGCTTTATACTTACTGGCTGAATATGCATTCTTGCCTTATTTTGGTTACTATGCTTTGCTGTTATTAAATTACAATCGACTTTGATACTTAAGGATATCAATCGAGTTTGCGAACTAGATGTCAATCAACCACCATTGTGTCCAGACGTGTCAATTCTAGGAGGGGCAATTGACGAAGATGGATCACCTGCTGCGCTTACCATTAGTAGTTTGATTTCACGAAATTTTTACTCCAATGATAGCACATTTTCAGCTCGTACCGAGTTGATGATGCTCAAATCTCCTCTCGTGTTGAACATGCTTGAAAAGCGAATGGGAAAAAATCTTTTACAAAAAATTGCCAATAAGCTCATGGTTAGTGCCATGTCGGGAGAGTTGCCCACAGGCCTTTCAACTACCCACTTTCTTAAAATGGTGCGCAAAATCAGTGGAAAATTGGAGACAAAGGAATTTGCAGATCAATGGATTTTCAGGAGTGGATGTCCCATATTCACTATTCGCTATCATTTTAATCGGAAAAAAATGGTAATCGAGCTGCGGGTTAAACAAGACTGTTCTAATGTAGATGTTATTGGAGCAAATCAGCGGTTTTCAGTAAGTGTTTTTATTTGCTAGATTTAATTGAAATTTGTAACCATGTCTACTTATTTACCTATATCCTTGACGGCTTAGGGTGCATTCATGGTTCGAGTACAAGAGCCTGGCGGTACGTTTGATACAGAGGTTCGCATTGAAGAAAAAACAAAACAGTACGATATTATTTATCATACAAAGTACAAGCGGATTCGTCGCCGTGCTGGAAAAAAATATAAAAAAGTAGCAGACAATGATGATGATGATGACGACGAAGATGTTTACTATATGGAGGAAGATGAGAAGGCAAATGATGCCATAGCTGATGCTGAGGCTCAAAACCAAGATACAAATGGAAACTTTAATATTATCGAACCAGATCGGTAAGTTTTTTCAATCAAATTTCAAGTTGTTTATTTCTGTGCAAAGTTATTCAAACTCAATCACATACAATACTTGCAGAATCACATTTGAATGGATTCGGCTGGATCCTGACAATGTATGGATATGTACAAAAACATTTGAACAAGAGGATTTTATGTGGAATGCTCTTCTTCGAAAAGAAAAGGATATTGGTGCTCAGAGCGAGGTAATGCTGCTTATAAATTGGCAAAATATCTGGTTTAGAATTGAAATCGATCAATATAACTAAAGCGATATGTTTTGGTTAATATAATTATAGGCTATCGTAGCACTTTCAAAAATCCAATCTCTTGCATCACTAAATACGATTACCACGTTTGTTCGAGATCACTCTCATTTTTATCATTTGAGATTGCTTGCCGTCAGTGTGCTTTCCAAGGTAGAGCTCGTTTAAAAATATGTTTTACCTTGCGCAATTTACTGCAGAACTTGCTTGAAGTAGTGCTGTTAATATTATACCTTTGACTAATGCCTAGTTTTTTTGCCATATCATAGTTTGACTCGGACGAGCTATACAGTACTGCTTTAGGAAACTTAATCAAAATATATCGTGACATTTTTTGTATCTCATATGACGGTCCAATTATTCCCAAAAAAAACAACTTTTCTTCATTACAGGACTATAAACTACGCTTGGAAATTGTTCGCTCACTTGCCAAGTTTGTTGATGCGCGCGGAGCTACACTTCCTGTTGTCCGAATGATGTTTGTAAATCTCTTAAAATACAATGACAACTCTGGAAACGAGGTAAAAATAGCTGCTTGCACTGAATATATTCTTATGTCAGTTTTTTTTAACTATCATTATATGCTATACCGTGGTCAATTCAAGTATTCTGATGGAGAATGGGTTTCACTTTTAGTCAAGTTGATCGGAGATGCTTTTATTATTCGTCCTAGGCAAGATATGTCAGCCCACGCTCGAACATCAAAGCGATCTGTTTTGTTGGCATCAACTGATGTTGAGGATTTTGAGATATTGGCAGGCGATAAACATTTGAAGGCACATATGTCTGATTCATTACAATCTACACTGTCACCCGAAGATCAGCAGTTATTTGCTGAGGCACATGTGCAGATTCTACGACAGTTTGTTCGTGATAAAGTCATTCCTTCCCATCAAAATGCTGTTACTGTTAGCTGTTTAGAGGTATTTAGCTGTGGTCGTGTTTTACCTGATTGGTTTGAAAGCAACCATTTGCTATTTTCTACAAATTTCTTGCTAATTTTCAAGCTGGTTTCTATTTTTTGTAGACACTTCTTAAATGGCAGCTTGTTGGGTTACTTCCTATTAATCTCATGCTGTTTCTTGGCTATTCGCGGTATGTAGCTTGAATTCTATTTTTTTGAAAAGATACTGATCCATCAATGATTGCGTTTTATCAGAGTTGGAAATTTCATTTCGATTCGACGAATGGCTGTGGAGTGCCTTATTGTACTTTCATCTATGGGAAATAGTGATATTACCGAGTATCTGGTATACCTTGTGTTTCACGAATCTGATAGACAGTTTCGGTACAACATATTTAAGAGTATGGTTAGTTTTTTCTCTATATCGATGTATGGTCACAAACCTAGCGTCACCATAGAACAGGCGGTTACTACATTGTCTAAACATGCAGTTTTTTTGGCTAGTCGAACTGCCAAAGAAATTCGGTAATTATATCTATATTATATTATCTTGTTTTGAAATAATAGTCTAATTGCATGTTGACTACGTCTATAGTTCGCCTACATCACCTCGCCTGTGGCTATTATTTTTACGTCTATCTGAAATGGCTGCGGAATGTTTAGAGTCTGATCCAGAGTTGTATCAGTTGGCGATGGCTTGCGCTTCTACTGTACACCCCTCAGGTAACCAAGTATATATATTTTGAAGATACACCAGTTGGAGTCATTGTCAGGATTTCCTATTTTAAAATACAGCGGAAAGTTTACCGACTAAATAGAGATGTGAGAATCTAACTAGTTTGCTGTATTTGAATTGCAGGGATCACATTGACATTGTCACAGTCTTTATTATCAGGCAAATTCAATCAGAATTTGAAAAATCAGGTGCCAGCATACTCCCAGGCAAATACATCATTTCATTCATCCATGGAGGGTGTAGCTGTCGTTCCGTCAACATCGCGAGCACCACTTCGAATGACATTTTCTGGTTCTAATTCATCTGTCTCTCAAAATCAAGAAGCCGAGACTTTGCAGATGGATATGAATATTTCTACTCCTTCAAGTGATCAAAAATCATCAGTTTTTTCAAATTCAAATTCAGTTTCTGAAACAGGAACAAAGAAAAGGTCCATTCGAAATCGTCTAATCCAACAAAGAGCCCAAACTGATGATTCTAGTCCGGCAAAGTCCTTTGTATCAACTCCTGTGGCAGGAAATACGATTTCGACAGGATCAGCTAGATCTAGACAGCAAACGAATTCAAACACAAGACTATCGTTCAACACGACATCAATCTTACAGGCACAGTCACTCGAACGGATGATTTTAGATGAACTTATGATACGAAAAGACGCGGCCATTTTTCTCTATCCAGTGGATGCTACAATGTACCCAGACTATTATGAAAAAATTGAGTTTCCGATTGATCTGCATACAATCCGTGAGCGTGTACAAAATAGTGAATACGGGTCATTTCAGGACTTTGAGAAGGATATTCACCAGCTTTTTACAAACTGCTTTATTTACAACAAAAAAGGCACTATGGGACACGCTGTAGGAAAGTCTTTGGAGGCATTCTACAGCCGGCGGAGCAAGGTAAACTTGGTACGACTATCCCCTCATTGTAGGTATTAGAGTTGCTAAAATTTTGGCACATATTTTTGGAACAGGATTTACTCAAGGCCAGCAGACCAGCAATTGAATTGGATGCCAATGCTAAACCATTGTCTACACCAACACGCTCGCGCTTGTTAGAGTCTGAAGTGTTGGCTGAACCAAAGTTAAAATTGAAGTTTTCTTTCAACAAATGATGGAGAAAAAAGATGGAATGCCTACCAAAGGGCAGAGGAATGTTGGGTCGCTTTTCACCACATGGGACATTCCACAATTTCCAAAGAGTCTTCCAATAGCCATTGCTCGTGCAGAGCGACGAGAGCATATTCGGCTTCAACTTCATAAACTTCAAAATAAACGCTCATCCTTTGCATCTGGTGCGTTGGGTGTTCGACAGAGATACAGTCGTGTATTAGGGCAGATTGGATATGAACAACTGCCTCTGCTTCCGTTACAAGATATTCCTGAAGTAGAGGTAATATATGCACGTATTAACAGATTCGAATGGGTGTCAATCAGACCTGTTTGTATGGACAGCAAGACAGTCTGATATTGAGCCATTGAAGTATTAAAATTGCCTTTTTGGTGATATATTGAATGCATAGGTGCATCGAGATAGACGATTACAAGCTGATAGCATTATTAATACCAATACCAATATCGATAATTCAATCCAGCAAAATGGTACCAATATAATGCATTGGGGTTGAAACCTTGATGCCTTGAGTGATAGTTCTGAGGATTTAATTCATTGCTGGCATTAACCATAAGATCCACTGTGAATGCATTAGCCGAATTTGAGTCCGACACTGTAGAGCTTAGAGAAAATATACGAGCCATCGTGACAGATATCGAGTCCTTGGCATGGCTATCTGCAGAGGAGCGACAGCAGCTGGTAAAAATGATCTCTGCTCAACAGCTTGCTGGATCAACTATTGAGCTTTGCTAATGCTATCCAGTCCAGACCAATACTTTTATTATAGATATTTCTAGTCGGTACAGCCATCTCCAGTTCGTTACTCATTGTAGCTCTGGCCATGCCAACAACAGACAGCTGCTATCAAAAGTGTTTGAGCAGATCAGACTGCTGGTGGCAGGAATCCTTGTTATGCTGCGACGAAAGAAGAAGAGTGAGATCTTGTATTAGTGCATGCTGACTTGAAAACAAGTTAACCAACATGCTATTAACTTGTTTCAAACCCATCAGAAATGGGTCGGCTGGGCATCTTTGACAGCACATCGAATTCAAATAGACTTCGAGCATTTTTTCTAATAGAGTTGAGGAGAAGGCATGTATTTTATCTATTGAATGACATGGCATTGGAGTTCAATGCACCAGACGACTAATCCAAATGGTTTAAAGAGTCAACCCCAAAAAAATCATTAAACATGCATCACTCGAGCTACGAAGTGACTACATAGTTACTCGCAAATTCTCGATTTCTAAGCCTGATGCTGCACTGTCAGAACTTCAAGATGTATGGGCTTTACAAGTTGTACAATGTTTTTGATTTAGCCATTGATGTTAACCATAAACGATTCTTAGATGCGACAAATACTGGAAAAGATTTCACGACCTATGTCCCAGTTGGTAGCTCCGCAGCTTATTCAGCGTAATGTCAATAGCAAGTCTGAAATACAAAATATAGGCAATTCTGATCTTAAATCGCAAGGCCATGTCAGATCTGAACAGGCCGCCATGTCAAGGCAGCTGAAAAAAGAGCTTATGCAACAGCAGGTAAACCGCCAACACAAGATTATTTCGGATGATCTGATCGCGTTATTATGCAAGCCTCAAGACCCCACTCAAAAGTCTATAGTCATGGCTGGTGAGGGAGAACTATGGGAAGATCAAGGCGACATTGAGCTTGAAAATGATGCAGTCGTGGAGCTTGAGTACGACGATGCCGATATTCAGGTCATGGCTACAAATGCAACAGACGATCCTCTTTTGCAAGCTCATACAGAGATGTCGCAGTATAGTAGACACAAGCACATTTTTTCAGTATGATTGCATTATTTATCTGTCATATTAATATGATTACTTGAAATAACATTGATAGAATCTTAAACTATTGTATTGTAGAGTTGTGCTAATTCATTGGCTGAATTATATCATAATATTTTTAGGAAAATTCTGAACCGCCTAAACGCTACCTTCGAGCAACAAAATATATTTTTTCAACAGCTGCACCAGAACCAGCATCTGAATCCTTAAAACTATACCGTTTAAATGAAAAGGTGCGTGCATTTGGTACAAGACGCTTAATGGTTTTATTGGAATTCATTTATGCTGTATAATATTTTGAATCACCAACCTTTTTTTAGCCAATCCCGCATATTTCCAATCTAGTGACACAATCAGCTACATCTAAACTATCCGACTACATTTCCATAGCAGAAAAAGTATGAGCCATGTTGAGTTGCATAATTTACATGCTAATTATCCAACTCGACTTACTTTACTGACATTTTTAAAAGTCGAGTATTCGTTCATTCGATTCTAGGTTTTCCACTAGAGTTCCTAAAGACTTTATTTCTCTTTCAGCAGAGCACACAACCGGGATCGGAGAATTAAATAACGAGTCGGAAAACAAAGTTCTTGGTGTGCTTGGTAGGTTTAATTTAGAAATGGGCGGCTTTAATTTTTTTAAACTATTTTTCAAAATTATAGTTTCTGATAGAATGTTTATTTTTGAAAATAGATGAGAAGCTCACACGTTACAAAGAAGTCGAGGAGCTGTATGATGAGATCATGAAAAGTGTCAGAGGAAGCCATCTAGAAACATATGAAGGTTAGGCAGTTTATACCTATCGAGAGAATGGTCAAGTCAAATGAATCCATTGATCTAATATACAATTATAGATGAGGATCAGGTATTTGCATGCCCAACTGCCCCACTTGACAGCCAAATTCCTTTGACGGATGCATTTCTTGGAGTAAAGGCAGTGTATCGGTCTAAAAAAATAAAGCAGTGGCAAAATAAACCCACTGAGCGAATAGAAATGACACGCTCGACAAGTGCAGCACTTCGGAACAAATCATCATCTGCACACACACTGCGACCAAGGCGACAAAGTGCTCATGTTCAAGCAGATGAGTTTTCAGTAGATCGAAATGCAGCCATGAAGAAAATCCAGTCGTCCAAACACAGCATGCGATACAACTATGGTGGATATATTCCGAAACATCTTGAAGAGGTTAGCAAGAAACCAAAAGAAGAGTTTTGTGCTACCGATTATGCCGATTATTTAAAGCATCGAGTGTGTGATTTCCTCCCCAATATTATATTCCAAGAAATGGATGACGAATCGGTCACTTTTGAGCAAGAAAGCGCCAGCGCGGTTTTTGCAGAAGACCATCAAAAAGCCTTGAAAAAAAAGCACCAGGAACAGGCAGAGCGACTTAAAAAGCTTTTCGCCTATGATAAAAATTATTGGAATGCTGGCACGATTGACTATCTAAGCGAGATTGAAAACCAAAAAGATGCAGAAAGTGATGCATGGCAAGAGATTGAGTCGTCCAACAATCGTAACACAAACGAAGTAGACAGTTCAGTGCTGGAAACAGAACCAGACTTGAAACATTTGAATGAAAGCAAAGAGAATTTTGCCAACAGTTCAACTACTACTTCAGAACCAAATATAGAAGTTTTTGCCCAGCCCAAAACGAATTTGCTTGATACAAACTCTGCAAAGCTAATTTATGGAACACACTTAGTAAGCCAACTATTTTTATATCCAATATTTTCATGTTTAAATTCTTGATAAAATTGTATGCTAAACAATTTAACATATAGATTTCAAACCCCAAAGCCAATATTCAAGATCCACAAGCTGAATTGGAGCTAATCTGGGTTACTCTGAAAATACCACTTGATCAAAAGCTTGATATGGCTATCAAATACGGAAGTCACAAATTCACAAAGTTTGCCACGGTAATGTCTACTCTTATATACAGTTTAGCTTTGAATCACAATATTCTATAGTTGTTGACGACGCTATTTCCAATGAACGCGAATTTAGGCTATTAAGCTGTGGAAGACAGCATCCGAGTACATCATTCATCGAGAGGGTATTTTACGTCAAATCGAGTCATTTGAAATGACGGCATCTGATCCTTCGTAAGTAAACAGCATTGTATAGACTATAGGAAAGGTCAATTTTTTAAAAACACACACTTGCCATGTATTGACTTTCTACAATTTAGCCGTTTTTTTGGTAAAGGATACACAGGATCATCTGCTGCACGGCTCAAAGAAGCAGAGGTTCGAGAAGAACTTATGCGCCGACTTCACTCTCTTGAAACAAAAATCACAAATATTGCCAGTCATATCAAATACGAGCTTCGCGAAACATTAACATATGACGGTAGTTGTTTCACTTGACATAGTTTAGACAAGTGTATGGATTCAAAATTTAATACAAGTTTATTCATTTTATAGGTGTCCCATATTTGGAAAAAATAAAGACCGATTATAGCGAGATTATCAAGCGATGCTCGATTCTTCGTACAGAGACTAGGCAAAGCTCATGACCCAACACTGTTTAACTATTCCTGGCCACTCATTAGCTTTTGAAGTTTTTCGATTCTCCCATTAAATGCATTCGTACTTTCAACCTAACAAGTAAGCAATGTTAAGTTTCTTGATAAAATAGACTAGGCAAAATAGCTAGATACTTACAAACTCTGCAACAGCTTGTTGATTGGCTTGGGTAGTTGATTCTTTTTTTAATGGCACAATAACATCTTCTGGCACGTTGCGTTTCGGCAGAATTGAAGTATGCTGCTGGTTGAATTTAAATGCAGCAAATGAAGGGAAGCAATCTTCTATTTGACAGATTCTATCTTCCAGTCGCTTCAATCTTTGTGAAGTTTCAGCAGATGGACCTAATAAAAATAAAATAAATAAAATGCTGTTAGTTATAAAAAGCTGCAGAAAAGTGGTATGTCCAATGGCAGATTGTGAATCAATAGTTTAAATAATAATAATATTTCAAGCATGTATTGAATATACAAGCAAGGTAATCACACCAGTGCAAAGACCAAGGTGAGTTTCAAGTAAACCGATCCTTTCATTCATAGCTGTAGAAATCCGAGAAGCATCAAGATCTGCCATATTCATATTCTCTGCAGACTGTCCTAATGTAGATCTTTCGAGAGGTCCAGCAAAATTGTGCACCACGTTCCTCTTCATTTGAGTCTCTCGATCTATCTTCAATGCATCTACTCGAGCAGCACCGGCTATTAATATTTATTAGATATTCAAAACTTTCTTTTAATACATAGTCGACACATTTTAAAAAGATATTTGACCAGCAAACCTACTTTTTTTGGATACTAGAAACTCGTCTTTGTTGCTGGTATTCACGAATTCTTGTTGAGATTTCAAAAAAGAAGCCATCTCTGCCTCTAGCTAATACGATGTATATAGTCAGCAACCACATCATCTTTGTAAACCATTTCATCATGCAGAGAAGAGTCTACCTCTAAGCTACTGGTCTCGCTCTCTTTTGGGATCAAGTTTGTTGCTAGTTCCTAGTTGATACGAAAGTCCATGTTAAAATCTAATCAATGTCTGCCATCAGTATTACAGTTAGTATGGCCATTACTACCTGAATCTTTTGAACAAGTCTGTGCAGCTCTTGTGCTGTATGTTGTGGATTCAGCCTGAATGCTTCAGAGAAAGATTCTTCACACATTCCTATCTATACACAAAGCGCTAGTAATCATGAGCATGATTGTGATGAATGGTTGGCTCTGCAGGCCACTTACATTACGAAGAAAGAGGCCAATGTTGGCTAGTATTTGAAGGTCGATTTCTGCTGGTTGATCCATTCTGATCGTATCTAAACAGCTTTGCGCAATCCCAACAAATTCTACAGTCGTATTCACGTAAGATGAACCACTTCTGTATTTATCTTGCAGTGACTATCTTGGAATAAGCAATCGTTGAATATTTCAAGTTTTCTACTAGAAATTGCACATTCACATTAGGACGCTTTCTTTGAGAGCATTGCAAGCTAAATTAGCCAAACATGTTCTCACTAACGATGAATCAATTTTAATTTATTTAATATTCCAACCTTACTGACATCTAGTAAAGGTCTGACTGCTGCATAGGCTGTATTCTAAATAAAAACTGTCGAATGACCAGTGAATATGATCCCATATGGCACCAATATCTAGACAAACCTATATATTCAGGCTTTTAATCATTCAAACTTAACAAGGCACATACACCACGTAAAACCCAAATATCTTCTGGCACTTTAGTTGGGATACGCATGGACATAACATAGTTTGTACTATGCCTATAAATATAATCAGGATTGATTGATTAGCTGCTACTTTACTTATCCCAATACGTCCAAAAACTCATATTTATCAACTTACCCAGTAGTCGACAGAGTTCCACGTCGTGCACCAGTTTTATATACGGGACAGTCATATGTATTTAAAAGATTAAACTTTGAACGTTCGCCAGGCTTAAGCCAGATAATGGGCATAGAATTGTACAAGACTCGTGGGTGAGATTCTGCAATAGAATTTTCCTTGATATCCCAGCGAGCACCTTCAAGAAAAAGACCGTTAATGTGCTGACCCTCTTCAGGTCGAACACCAGCAGTGCGTGTTAATTGAACTTGATACTCAAATGCCAGCAAATCAATCGGAATCGCATGTTTACGTGCAAAGTTTTGAAGGCAACCCGTCAGGAAACTCTGAGTAAAGAAAAATCCGCTGAGCCAAAATACAATTGGCGGACCATCTTCAATCCATTTTCTAAAGAACGCTAGTCTTTCCAATAAATCATTGTAGTAACTGCCTAGAGGTTTCATGGAAGGGTATGATCGTCCGCTCCACATTTTTGGAATACTACCAAGCATGATGCTTGAACCGACATCCTCTAGATCCGCCGACATGACTACTAGACCCTTGAGTGCCTTTTGAATATTAATTAAGCTATCTCGTATAACTTCTGTCAAGTTTTTGAAACGAATTGCTTCTTGAATCAGGACTGTGTTCATGCTTTCAGTGTAGGTTACTGGGTACTTTCCTGAAATTGCATTTAAATCAAATGCAGCGGGCAATCGAGCAAGCATTTCAAATGCAGCTTTTGACACAATTTGCTCGTTTGAATTTGATCCAGCTGCACTCATAACTCCCTGTGTAGACAAAATTGTTTTGAAAAGAGTATCGGTCTCTAACTGATTTTTTGCAATGTCCGCATTATCATGTAGACAAAATACTTCTGGCTTTGCTTCAGCTGGAAGTGATTTGATGTACTCGGTTATTCCGGTGTAAGAAGTACCGGCATGGGGAACGTAGTATAGTCCACTTGTTGAAAATTTATAATTCTAAAATTTGAAATCCAGTTCAAAATAAGATTACTATTCCATATCAGCGGTGTATGCATGGTTTACAAAAATATGGCTTACCTGCTGGAGATTAATACTAGGATTGTAAACAACTGATAATAGAGTCATGAGAGTCCGTCTGTCTTTATCATCTGTAACTCGACCACCGTAGTTGCATTGCCCTAGTGTATATAATGCATAGTTTGAGATAAGTGGATCAAAAACAGTTAAAATAATGTGTAAGCTTGAACTTACCAGTTAAATAGGTAACAGCGTCGTATGGAATTTCTTCGTACTCTCCCAAGAAATTCCGCAACTGACGTGCAGATATTCTCAAATCCGTTTCATTGAATTCATAAGGAATGTTCCATCCAATTGGGCCAAATTGGCGTCTTTCTTGTATAACTGCATGAAAGAAGCACAACCCGAAAAGCATTCGTTCAAAAACAGTCTGTTTTTTGCATCCTTCATAAAAGGATGGGTCGTTAATAGGATCACTTAGATACGATTTGAGTAGATTTGCACGCAGCCCCTTTGGAGGTTCGTTGGTCATTTTTACACTATTTTGAAGCAATGAGACTGGAAATTTTTCAGATGGATACGAAGTCAGCCATAGCCTAAAATCTCGATGAGTATTTTCAGAAGCCAACTCTTCACAGATTCGCTCCAAATGTGGCATCCAGCTGATTGCCAAGTGACAGTTTTGAAGTACAATCCACGAGCCATCATTTATCGCAGCATTAATCATTTTTGCAGCAATTGGACCTTGACCTTGACCAAGAGAAATTGAATTTAATTTTGAGCCTCCCATTTTTTTGTCTTCTGCAAATCGAAGAAGACCAGTCATTGGATCTGCACCTGGCGATAATACAAAGATCAGTGGTACAGAAGATATTGAGTCTGCATAGCTACTGGCCAGATCAAATGGTGGAGGCTCAACGTAGAGTTGACCCATTTTTTCAATAATATAGTTTGAAATTGCAACTGTTATGCGATCCGGTCGTAAACATCGAAGAACCAATAGTTTTTCAAAAGAAGTCAAGGCCAGATGCCATTTTCCTATAGGTTAAAATACAAACCATTTCCAATTTTAAAATAAGCTTTCACATTTATAAACATACACGTGTAGATTTGTAAACCCTGATATTTCACGTGTACCTGGTAAATTAAAGTCTTGTGGATCTGGACTTTCAAAAAGACGCTTCCACTCGGCCAAATTCTCCGAGAACCCAGTATCAAAACCGGTAAACGAGTCCATGCTGGCCAAGCGACTGATCTCGCTCCAACTTTTTTCAGATATCCATTGTGGGTCTGGATTAGAAGTTTGCAGTCCGCTCATTCCGGCACCTCCCGTCAATAAAAATCGCCATTCCCAAGCGTCAATTTCGTTTTTAGCCTTTTGAATGGCTATTGTAAGTAGAAAAGAAAATACAAGCTTATCCTTTTCAAAAAGGGATCTACATATGTTTTTGTAGAGCGACTCTGTAAAATACACCCGAAGTATCTCAAGTCGCTGTGCAATATCTGTAGTTTTTTCGCTGGTTTCTATAGAGTTGACAAACAAAGAAATGTACCAATTAAGCGAATATTGATACATGGGCTCGATGTTGCTTAAGTCTGCAATGCAAAAGAATAGTCCAGAAGAATGTTTGGCAATTGGAGTGTAGCCAACCCGAATTTCATCAATCTTGATTTCAGTTTTCTCGGCAATAGCTTGCTTTTCGCTGATCGTTTTGGCCAGAATTTTAGACGAAGATAAGACTTGGATTCCAGTTTCATCTTCCAAAATATTTCCTTCGGAGCTTGACAGTACTTCCAAGATTTTATCTTCGATTTCCTGCAGTTGCTTTTTATTTTCTGCAGATTGCAACAAAAGCTGGATTTTCATTTCCTCTAGCTCAGGTCGCTCCTTTGCAATGACAATTCCCAGTAACTGATCTTCTAAACCTTCAGGAGTTATCATAAAGTTTAAGAGAGTGACTTTGGTAGATAGCTCTGGAAGGTAATGGGGGTTTCGAAGCTTTGTAGTGACATAGAATCTGAATTCGGGCGAATATTCTACTGTAGCATCACCAAGCCGAATACACATTATTCCTCCTTGTTTGAATGTCTGCTTCAGTAAAAGAGGTTCAAGTACAGGATCAAGCTCCTCGGACACGTTTTCAAGAAGTATAGGTGTACCAAACTGAACCGCATTTTCAATCGTACGAATATAGTCGGAATCAGTAAGCTTGACTACTTGTAATGACTTGGATTTTTCCATGTTTTTTATCCATCTGTTGGCTTGTCCCTGTGGATCAATCATTAATGGCCATCGACGAGCATTGGATATCATAATTCCATTATCAATTGAAAAGGAGTCATTAGGAAGCCCTGCCAGTGTCCATGAACGTATTTTGACAGATTCACCGAGCACGTTAACCAGTCGAATTTCTTCAGAACATGGGATATTACGTTGTTTGCAAATAATAGACCAGTCTGCCACACATTCATCGCGATATAGCTTAGTGAATGCACCAAGATATGCTACCACTCCAGACGAAATCAACACATCGCCTGTCAGAGATATAAATTTGGCTTCTAAATCAGTCGCACACTGAGTCCATCGATCTCGTTCATCTCCCAAACTGCCAATAAGCTTTTCAGCTCGAACCAATTGCTGAGATACAGAGCTCACCTGATTTTCTAGCTGTTCTTTTTTTGCCACCATAGCTTTGAAATTGGCTTCTAATTTTGCCATTCGGTCTTCAACATCTTTTAACATTTCTCGTTTTTCGTTGAGACTTTTCATGGTTTCGGCAAGCTCTGCCTCTGCCTTTGCAAGAGCCTCTTTTTTCGGAGCCACGACTTTGGCAACGCGATCATAGCATTCCATTGCTCGAACCCATCGGCATAAACCTTCAGCAGCAGATGAAGCAGTTTTGATTTTTTCTGGATCAAATTCAGGGTTTTCCATGTATTTTGAGCGAATAACTTTCATAACTGCCACCGAAATGTTGTCTTTATCATAAGATTTAAGGCTGTCCAAAAACTTCAAATCAGACATGAGTGTTTTAGAAGGTCCCCAAAAGTCTTCGATTTTCTTGCCGGATCCTGCGGGATCTGGAATCTTTACTGGCTTAATATCTTTCATGACACAAACAGCCTCCATAGCAAGCTTAACACCTGCTGGAGGACTTTTCATGGATTTTAATACAGTAATATCTGCAGGTTTTAATGTATCAAGTGCTTGAATGGCAGATTCAAGTGCTGGAATGGCTTCTGCTAACTGTGCTTCGCAATCTTCTTTGATGGCAGTTGCTTCCGATGCTTTTTTGCTTGCCACTTCTTCATCAGCTTGTACAATTGTTTTTGTAGCTTGCACTTCTTTAGACTCTTTTTCAATCTGAATCATGATTTCGTCCGTATCTTGCTTTGTTTTGATCAACTGCGGTTGAAGCTCACCAAGATCTACTTGCATTTTGGACACCGAACTTTGAGCAAAGTTGAGTTTTTCTAGACCATTAACATAGCGGAATTTAAGTTTTGAGACTGCTGTACGCTTTGATCCAAGCAAAGTTTTAAATGTTCGAATAAGTTCCAAATACGATGTTGGTGTAACATAATTATATCTGCGTAACATCGTCATAAACTTTTCAGACTGTTTTTGAGTACTTTTGTGGAGATGTTTGCACATTTGGACAATTTCAGCACGCACCGAATCTTCCATCTCAACGTCTCGCAAAAACTTTGTGGCAACCATCTCAAGAGCATCATCTGGCCAATCTTTGAGCCAGTCGATTGTACAGCAATTAACCAACGATGGAAATTTGCGGAGACGATGCCTGAAAGCTTCACCAACAGGACTCATACACAGACAAACATGTAGATTTTCGCGACAGCGATTAACAAATTCAGCAAACATTGCAGTCGGTGTGCCATCAAATACCTTGCCCGTGCTTTTCATATCAGCACGAATAAGCTCAAATAACTCTTGTTTTTCATCCGCTGCATAAAGGTTTGGAACCTCTCCTGAATTAAGAATATTATTAAGATCCTCCAAAAACTCCTCCTGCTGAATTTGCGTATCTGTAAACAGAAACACAGTTTGTTTTCCTTGACCGCCAGCAATCTTGAAAACCTTTTTGAGATCATCGTGCCAGTTTGTAGTGTTGTAGTTTTTGGCAATTTCCACCTGGAACAAATCGTACTCGGCAACATAGGCTGCTAATCGCGAAAGCGATTGTCTACCACTACCTCCCACGCCAACAAGTAGAATATTTCCTCGAGGCTGTCGCAAAATACGACTAATCCGAGAAAGATGCTCAATGGCAAATCTAAACATCACCAAATCCATTGGTTTTTTGCTGATTTGATTGTATTCAAAAAGTGAGCGATCCATATAGCTTGTCAACTCGGCAAGGTCAACAATCTCATCATATGCTTTTCCATTGGTATCAGAAGGAGATAAATAAGTGCCGAATATCAAACTGCGCAAATCTTCCTCTTCTATTTTTCCGTCGCCATTGCTATCATACGTTTTCATAACACTTGAAAAGTCTACTTCGAAAGTTTGGCCAATGGTGCCAACAACATAATTAAAAAGCCATTGACGATCTTCGTCATCAACTAATCTATCGTAGAATACTCGGAATGTTTCATTAATCCAGAGACGAATCATTTTGAATGGCTCTGATACAGTTTCCGGCCGAGAAAGTAACATTCCTTGAATAACTCTTGCAAAATCACGAAGATTAAAGGTGTAGTGCGACTTTTTGGGTGTAGGGAGTAGGTTAGACATTGCACCACGATATACTTGCTTGGTTGCAGTAACAATCTTTTGGCTCATGCTCACAATGGATTTTGAAAATGAATTGCTTGAAATATGCCAGTTTAAAATTGTTTCAAAAATCTTGTGCAGTGTCATGTCATCAAATTGAACTACCGATACAATATTGAAATGCCGTAAAAGCTACAATTAACAAAATATCAAATTTGGTCAGCATGCATCTAAATAAAATGCTGTAGTATATCAAGCAATCTACTTACTCGAGGTGTAATTGGATTTCTACCACCACCAGGCAACCCCATTGCGCCAATCAACTGAATATCCACAAACTCTTGCATCAGATTTTCTGTAAGATTATACCAACCACCATGATCAAACCATTGTCTAAGTAGTTCAATTGGAGGCTGTGCACCGTATTGTTCACGAGCAGGCATATTAAGGTCGTCCACCAATATCAGACATCGCTTTCCAAGAGGTGGACCAAAAACTCCTTTGCGCCGCTTGTCTAGTTTAGATTCTAGAATTTCTTGGGTCTGTAGTGCTGATGTTTGTGCAGAAAAATTGATAAAAACAGGAATGTAAACTTCCTTGGGCATTTTAGTCATAAGCGTGTCACGGATATACATCGACTTTCCTGTTCCAGTTGGTCCAATAAATAAAACATGTTTGTTGTTGCCAGCTAGAAGCTTTAGCAAATAAGAGTACCTAGCAGTATCCACTGTAGGCACCATAATGTTGTCATATTTTGTTTTTGGTGGAATGCTGTAGTTTAAAGGAAGCATTTCCAGCCATGATTTCCAAGAGTTTGGTTCGCTCCGATCAAAATAATAGTCATAAACAAGTCCTTCTGATGGCAAAGAAAGCTCAACATCAAATGAATTTGGCTTTGGTATATCGCCTGTAGAAAAAAGCACTGATCTCAAAAAATCGCTAAATTTGTGTCGGCCCGCTTCGTTTACACTTCCTCCAACTGCCCAAATAATTGCAAATACACAACAACCCTGAATAAACTTTGATGTAAATTCAGGCGATCGCTCCTGTACAGTTTCTTTCAGCAAGCTTTCTAAAATATTGAGCATCGACATGACCAAACCTGAATTACTTGTTTCAGAAACCTCTGTGCACTCAGAGCGAATAAACTTAAGACACGGAGGAATGATCCAGTCAATTACAGCGCAAATCAGCTTCTTGTGTTCCTCATCAAGCATCTCTTGTACATTCAGCCAAGATAAAACAATAGTTTCACGCCATCCTAGTCTAAACGGCTCCATAAATATCATTCCACATCGACTAACAGTAGCTAGAATTTCACATAAAAAATTGATTTAGCCTACAGGTTGAATATATTCAATTCGCCATGCACAAAAAAATCTGCTAACCTGGAGAAGCAACTGCTAGATCCCGTACTTCAAAAATTAGACTCATTGTGTTGGACAATTGAATGATTTCACCACTATTGAGACAAAGTTTTTTGTTATCATCAAGCACGGTGTTCATGTTTTCAATCCAAATGGCGTCGACTGGTCCATCAAAAACAATCCATTTCCTATCTGGTGTTGCCTGAGATGCAAAATTACGGAATCCTACAGCAAGTACACCATCTGACCACTCATGTGTCACCGAGTCAAATTGGCCGTACAATTGTCCCATAGTAATAGATTTGGGGTTGAGTACTTGTACCAGTACTTTGGATTCTTGTTTAGGATTTGATTTGTTAATATCAGAAAGTGCACCTTGGAGGACACGATACGCTGCAGTTTTTCCAGAGAATGGCTCTCCAACAAGCATAAATCCATGTCGGACAAGCATCATCTCATAGATTTGCAAAGTTTTTTCCAGAAAAGAGCCAACACATTGTAAGTTAAGTTTTTCGCAGTTTGCATAAATGCTCTTTACCAACATCCCGTAGTCAGGAACTGGAAGTGTTACCCCTGGGAAAAGATCGGCAGTGATACCTTTAAAAAGTGGAATGTCCTGTGATAAAAACTTTGCTAGATTGACGTCAATGATGGAACGCAGCACAACAATACTTTCATTCTCTGCTGGATATTTGAGTTTTAATGCACCTGTTGCATTTAGAACTGACTTTACAGCGCGCATACCATAGTCGTAATGATCCTGCGATGAGAGCTGTTCAGAGCAAAGACGATAAGTTGCTGTAATCTTTACTGCAAGATTACGCGCGTGAACAAACCCAAACGAATAGAGGGAAATCTCGGCAATCAAAGTATAATCAGGCACCATCATTGCTACGGGTCTAAATAGTGCTTTAAGATTGTCCGGAAGCTCTGATCGTCCAGCGTATCCTGGATTCATAGTAATAAACACATTGCTCACAGGATTCAAATTAAGCTCCGTCCCTTCAAATATAAATGTAGTAAGTTTGGCTGCCTTGGCACGCTGAATGGTGAGAATCTGCTGAGCAACCACAGACAAGACTTCAAGATCAATACGATTAAATTCATCAAAGCACGCCCATGCTCCAGCAGAAGCTAGTCCTTTGAAAAACTTTCCCATAGCAATGTAATCCAAGCCATCAGAGCAGTTGTAGACAACGCAAAACATTGCTAGAGCTTTGGCCAGATCTTTGACGGATTCAGTTTTTCCAGTGCCTTGATATAATTTATTTTTGATTTTTTAAAATGTTAGCCCTATATCAACAATCACTAAATATTTGAAGTTGTTTTACCTGCAGGACCTTCGGGTGCACCGCCAAGATTTAGCTGCAAAGCACCAAACAACGTACGATAGCATCTATCTGTAAGCGGAGTGATAACCAGTCGGCCAGTGTTTCCGAGATATTCATATCCATACTTTTGGACCGAGTTGATCATTTTGACAACAATTCCAGTCTCTTTGTCTGGATAATAATACCTCAGCTGGCTAAGCCAGCTAAAATCGTTAATCGATATTACATTGTTTTCACTCAGTTGAGCTACAACATCACGAGCGTGCACATCAATCACTACAAGTGCTTCAAGTGTTGTGCGAGATAAATGGGAAAGATTTCCGCGTACCAGTTCGACTACTTTTGATAATCTTTCAGTATTGGTCTCCACCAATCGCTTAAGAGAATTGGCACGCCCCTCTAAAATTGTAAACTCTACTTCTTTAGTCCAGTATATCTGACTGACACCCAAAACAATCTGGCCGGGCCAATTAACGACCCAGCTTTCTCGTGGAGTATCCTTGTAGTTTTCAAATGCATTTGCAGCCACCTGGCGCATGCTGGCCAGCATGGTTTTTTCAACTTCCAAAAGCCATTTTTCAACAGCTCCTGCTGCATCCAATGTTGATACCAATGATGTGAACTTGATAAACTCCTTTTGTGCAGAGTACATACCACTGATATCGAGGTTGGACTCAAATTCCAGACTGTTGACTCCTTCAAAACACTTTTTCAGATGTGGTTGCACACGCGTTGGATCTCTGGTCTCGGACAAAATCTCGAGCATCTCATCATTAGACAGAAAAAAGAATCTTGGGAAATAAAGACGTTTGATTTCCAAATATTGGTTAAGACCTTTTTGAATCAGTTCCAATTCGTAATTGCTGTCTTTGAGACGCTGAAGAATGTCCGGCATTTCACACACGACTTGCACATGTTTATCGCGAGAGCAATGTAGCATAGTATCTTTCCACGTTTTGTTTACAGAAATAAACCGTTTTCCCTCTGAAGGCATTTGGCGCATAATATCATCTGAACTGAATATAGGCTCGAGATACAGCCATGTTGTCTGAACTTTAAGCCATTCATCCAGTATCTCCTATTCAATGAAAATTGACAAAAAATAATCAGTTGTAGCTTGAATCCAGTTTCAGTTCATCTGGATCGAGTCAAAAAATAAGCAGTTACCTGAATCAACATTAGTTTTCCATCCCAAATCTTGGTTTCATCCTCAAACGCTTTAATGAATGGAGATCCTCTCATGGTCTGTGTGCGCACAATATGATCATCAAGTAAGGTTTGAATATCATCTACACTAGCAAGAATCTGCGTGCCTGTGTCGCGATACTCAATTGTGACAAACTCTACATCTTTCCATTCGCCATACATCTTGGTCAGAGCCTTTTCAAATGAATACTCTTTTGTAGCAACAGCAGATATCTTCTCGAGTGTCTCCATATACTGCTCAAAGTTTTTCTCAAGCACTGCTGATAAACTCGTGGTTTCATCTGGTTGAAATCGAAATCCAACAATCTGGGATATATCTTTCCAGTGTCTATCGCGTAATCCCGGGTTACAAAGAGTGCTAACCAGTGGAAGATGAACCTTGAATCTTTCAATCTGCTCTTTGGTTATTTGTGCAAAGTTAAATGGAGCAGAGTCTGCTGGAAAAGTGAGAGTCAGCTTGTAAATATTACGATGCATATTCATCACGTCATTTTCAATTCCTTCTGGCTCCAGTTTTAAAAATGACCCGGTCATCCAGTTGTGATATAGGCGTTGGAAATCAACAGATGTTTGATATAATGTAAGGAATGGTGATATTCCCTCAAGAGCACTGGTGAGTGTAGAGAATTTTGACCTTTCCCAGCCAAGAAGATCTTCTTCGTGATTAAAACTTGCAATTCGCTCAGCAACAGAGTCTAGTCTAGACACAAGCTTTTGTGCAGATTTTAGATACTTGTGGATTTCAGAATATTCGCTATAGCTGTTATATTCTTCAATCTGCTTGGTGTAACCATCAAGTTCGCTTATTAACTTTTCTTTGCGTACTTTCAAGTCGTCTTGATTGAGCGATCGTGACTTGGCCAAGTTATTTTCGCCATCCAAAAAAATTGGTCCAATTTTTTGAGACCAGGTAAACAGCACAGTATTGGCTTCAAAGTCTTCCTTTTTAAGCTCGGAATATGTAATGATAAAATTCAGCCTAAATCAGTACCAATATGAAAGGTTTGTAAGTACTAGGTTGATACACTATTTATACAATCATCTATACATACTTTCTTTTTGCCTCTTCAACGGCATCTTCCAAGCTTTTTGTTATTACACTACACGTAGTGGACATAAACTTTTGCAAAGCAACCATTTCTTCAACATTGGATGGCATCGTAGTGATTTTCCGAGCCATGTCTTCAAAGGAGTTGATCAATCTACATTCAAAATATTATATTAGTGCATACAATGCGTATGCTACGTTTCAAGCGGATCAAAGCGTAAAGTGTACTTACTCGGCATTTGTGTTGTGATAATCCAAAGTCATTTTATCCAAGATACGATTGGCGTGACCATGAGCGCGCTCGGCAAGCTCATTGATAAAATCAGCACACTGTAGCTCCACCAATGGAAAATAAACCGTGAATGGATAGGCACTGTATATCATGTTGTTGGCAAGATGTTTATATTTTTTAACCTCCTAATGAAACAAAAGTCAGAGTTTAAAGCCATGTAAAACAAATTGTTTTGATAGAATCTAGATTATGTTTGATGTAGTACTTACTGCCATCATTTTTTCTTGGGAATTTTCCTTTGAGAGAAACTCGGTCACGTCCATTTCCGAAGCTTTGCTAATCAATGTTTTATGCTTATCAAACTCGCTCAAATATGCGTTTGGAGCATATAGCAACTTGTCGATATTCTCTTGGATAGAGTTCCTTATTTCTTGAATGGTTTTGTGAAACGTAGACTCAACTGCGACTCGAATACATTGATCTGGCTTGACTGGATTCATTCCAACACGACTGTTGACAGTGATGGCCTGACCACTGGCAAATAACTGTGTTTCAACTTTTGGAATACGATCGGCAGCAACAAGCATACTATTGATTAAAAAGTCGACTACGCTTTGAATTTCAGACAAGGGCGGATCAAATTTGATTTTTGTGTCATCCAAGACAAGACGTACAGAAAACGTAAACATTTTTACATCAGAAGATGCATTATTGGTAGTGTTGGCCAAATTTGGATCAAACAAACATGCAAATTCCTTGAGCGTTTCAAGCACAACATGACGCAGCTGATCCCCAAGAATTAGTGATATAGTGCGAAAAAAAGACTCCATACGATTGTTAGGAATAGAAGACCATTCATTGCGTTTGCTTCCTTGATAGAAAACATTGAGTATTGCTGGATACCATCTATAAAATAATATTTTCACAAAGCAATACAATGTTAATGCATTGAAGCAACACTGATTGACCACTTGATGTATAGGCTTACGTGGTCAAAAGTTTTTCATGCGACTTGTCGAGTTTTTGAGATATTGCAGATTTGAAGGCTCGTAGTTCCATTGCAACTCCACGTGTCAAAAGCGATTGCATTTCAATCAATCTCATATCTTTAAAATTACCCCAAACATTCAAAATCTCGAGAATGGATGGGTTAGTAGTGAATAACATAGATATAATAGATTTTTTTGCATCATTATATGCAGTTTGCCAGGTTGGTGTTGACATTCTAATACTATTTGCAAAAAATATGTCAGAAACAGTTGATGTCGACTCTTAATATAAAACTGCCTTACTTTAAAAAATCTTCAGGACTATCGCATTCATGGCTGCTATATTCATTTTTTTGTCGTGGGTCTTTTAATACAAAGTCAACTAAACTGTAAAAGTCAGTATCAATATCGTAGTAAGCCGATCTATTTACAGATATACTGGCATACCAATAGCTTTTTTTACGCCCATGTGATAATCTTCGCGCATCTCCAACGAAAGTTGATGAACAGAGTGCCGAAGGTTTTTTAATCGTTGAGGAATGAGACGAAGAACATTTGAAAGCCACCTTTCTTCCATTTCTGCAACATGCTGAGTATCAACGCCATTTGTGATATAGTAGTAATAACGTTGCTACAAAAATAGATTTAGTATAATCAACAGTGATGTGGTTTACAGTCGCATTCACGTCAAATGAAACATTAAATAAGAGTGCCAAAGTGTATAATAGACAGTCTCATGAAGTGATTGAAGTCTGTTTGCTGTATAATGTTTTTAGGCTCTTTAGTTGACTGGTCTGTCATCTGTGCTCATTTTGTATGACTGAACAAGTGTTTACATAACAGTCCCAGTCAATCCCACACTTGTTCAACCTTCAATTCTCCCTTGATTACAATTAAACATTGAGTAATTGGCATGTATAATTGCATTCCTGACATACAATCTTTGTTCTCTTGAACTAGAGCGCAAACGTGTCTGAGTTTGTAGAGTTGGATTGACAGCAATATGACCCAGTATTTGGGTCGTAATGGATGAGTTTGGATTCAAACCTAATGATCGTACAATGCATGGTTATGTCAAAGAAGGAGAAAAGACACGTTCAAACTATAGTTTGATTATATCATGATGAGCGTTGTGTCTACTGAACAAGCAGTCAATTTCTAGTAGGAAAGCGCAGCGAATATTGTCTATTCCAAAGCAAAATACGAGTGTTCCATTTTACGTGAATACGCTGCAATTCAAATAATCAGCTATACCATTTTATCTTTGTCTTGAGTATCTCCGTTGGAAACATCGTTCATTATTTCTTCCAAGGTTTGCTCTGTATCTTTTTTATTTTCATTGTCAGACTGTATGTTTTGCCTAAAATAAAAACAGCAATCCAGCAGAGCGTTAGAATAGCTAGATGGCATCCAATAAACAGCGAAACCAAATTCTACTCACATAACAATGTTTACTAGAGTGGTACGAAACGACTCTTTGTCCTTCTTGATTTCCTTGTCAGTTCGCACAAGTAGGTCATCTAGTTGAGAAGGCTTTTCGTAAGTAGTTTTAGCTCGCTTGATATTTTTAAGAGAAGGGCATTCAGTATCTAGTAGTAATGCATATTGAAGTTAGCTCGTGCAAACTCATTAGAGTTTGAACTATAACCATAGATCACATAGTGGATATCTAGTTTGATGTACCAAATTGTTTGGCATGACTAAGAAAACGAGCATGTATGTCATCAAATCGATCTAGGGATGTTATCTTGGCAGCTCCCTCTCGAGGAAGATAAGAGAGCTCTCCTTTCCATGACCGGCCACGCGTTCCTGTATGCAAGATTGGCTATTATTATCAGATAGGGCCAGTATTAGCGAATAGTGTCTACCCAAATGTGCTCTAGATAAAGAGATAGCAAAAAATACCTTTGGCTTATCTTTTTGTTCAGTTGAACGACATGCTGTTGGAAACATAGGCCAAATCCAGCTTGTTCCGCTTTAACGGTTTGAATACAAATCGAGGTTGAGCGTGTTTTGTAGATACAAATCAGACACGTGCTGGCCATTAGTCTGTTTTTGAATATCCCGATATTATTGACCAGACAAATCAACCGAAACATGTTTGATTGAACTCGAAGCTCTCTACTATCATGAATTTTCATTGACAGTATAGCAGTAAAATTTTGTTGAATCTGACGTCATAATGCAAGGAATAAATATAGATTATACAGTTCCAAAATCAAAGTTTATTTATTGGTAAAATGTAAAAACTTTAAATAGTGGTTGGGGATTTGGATTCTGTGGAGGGCAAAGGAATATTTTGAGTAAGTGTGACTTTTGAAAAGTCCTCGTTGCTAGAGTCGACGGCTGTCGCTGGAACAAAAATAGGGTTGATACTCAGAGATTTGAAGGGGGTTTCTGGAGAAACTGAAGCTGGCATATTTGCAGATTCAGGTGATATTTTTGTGAAAGAAGTCGAGCTGATATCGGTTTTTTTGATTGGTGAAATGGGTTTCGATGATGCTACTATGGGTGTGGCAGGAGTAGCCAAAAATGAAGTTTCCATTGCTTTGATTGGAGAAACAGGCTTTAGTGATGTTTGAGTTGATGTGGGGACTGCAAGATTATCCATTAGCTTGTCTGAAATTCTAGTATGCGACTCAAAATTCGGCTCTGTAAAAGGTTTGACACTAGATTCAATAGTGGTTGATTTTAAATCGGGCTTGGCTAATTCCTCGCTAGTAGAACTTTTTTTTATAGATTCGATAGACTCGGCTACAGTGTCGCTTGCAGGAATTGATTCGTCAGAAGTCACGTTGCGTAGTTCAAGTTTCCAGCGCTCGAGTAATGCATTGCATCTCTGAATAAAATTATATTTGTCGTCTGAAAGCTGGATCTTACTCATGTGTTTGATGAATTTGCCAATTTTGGTTTCTCGAAAAAGATCTAAAGAAACGTGAGCCTCTTCAACACGCCTGAGCCATTTGTCTGCTTTTATAAAGTCGGTTGACTATTGCATAGCATTCAAGTGCCATAGTTGGCCAAAATATGGGTAAATTATCAGTCGACTAGTAAAAATTAAACGCAGATTGTTTCAAAAGTATCAACATACCTGTCGATCCTCATTTTTTAAAAAAATCTGCAACTTCAAGCGAAGATGCATCAAAAATTCACGCTTAGTAAGTACTTCACGTCCAGTGGTGGTAGAAACCTCATACTTGTTGTCTGAATTGATACATTAGCATGTAGATACAGGTTTAGTATGATCATATCTTACCAAAATGGGATTTAAACAATTTGTATTAAATTCAACTGTTGAAAATAAGCAAGTGTTAATTACCCGAGTTTTCTGTCGCTACTTTAACAGGCATGGTTTCAGAACCTTGGGAAACTGCCCTTGTCGATTTTAAAGTATTGTCTTTTGAATGTTTAGTGGACTAGATATAATAGTTTATATTTTATAATATTGAGTTTTTCATACTGTAACATAGAACCACATGACAGCAAGATTGTTCCTGCCACTCAAAATAAGCAATGACAACTTACAATCGTATCTTTCGTATCACCTGCACTACTAGACCGTCTTCTTTTGGATCCAGCGACTGAAGTTTGTTTTGTGGCGCTTTTGGGAGTATTAACGGGCTTGAGAGATGCTTTGTCTAGAATTCAAAAAACATTAGGCTTGAACAATTTTATGGAAACTCATACTATTCAAAGTACCAGAAGTTGGCTTGGAGTGTTTCACTTTGACATCAGACCGAGAGGTGCGCTTCATTCTTTTCGAAACCCCATCCTTCTTTAGTCGTTTGTTTTGCTTTCGAGATCCATCCTCACCATCGCTTAAACCATCAGAAGAAACAGCAGTGTCGTTTGCGTTCCTATCAGATGCATCTTTCATTTCTTCGTCGCTATCACGCTCAGTTCCACTCTCTTCTGAATCACTAGGAGCAGTTTGCATCAGGATATGCTTTGGCCATAAGGTGGTATCCTTGGCCTCCTTGACTGCTTCTTGAAATGATTTTGTTTTGCTTTTGTTTTCAAACTCGGATCTAAATTCTTCAAAGGGTTTAACGGAGCGAGTAGGAAGCCAGGAACTAAAATAGTTTGAAAAAACAATGTCAAAACAGCCTGCTTGCCAAGCATTTCGAATACAAGTGCAATTGGACGTACTAGTCATGCGAACCAAAGTAAAATACAGGGACATGTTTGTCTGTTCCTTTTGGTTTTGCGGAGCGCATAACTCGAGTCAAGTGTTCCTCATTTGCAATCACCTACACATGTTGAATGATTAGCCCATGACTATTTTTGGCCCATGTTTATTAAAACAAATAGATCTAGTTGCGAGGTGTTGAAAAGTTTTGGTGCACATTTACCTTGCAAGGCCACCATGGATATCCTTTAATATAACCCCAGAAGATGCCATCAACAAGTGACAATGCCTTGACATCCCTGTCAGAATATGGAGCATTGGAATGAGAATTGACCTCACTGTGGTTGTTTGGGCTGGATCGTTTGTTTGGTGATACTGGAGCTTGACTTGGAAGCATGAGACTCTAAACAATGAGTTCCAAATTCAAGTTGATGCAGGTCAATAAGGGATGTGTGCAGACAGCCATGGCGGAAGTGATAAAACGCAAGCTCAAGAAATAGAATGCACAAAAGTCATGCACCGCTTATAGGACAAGATGCATAGTTGCAGTTTCACTCATGCGCTTCTCATTGATACCCACAAAGACCAACAGCACAACCCACTCACCATGCCTAACAATTGTCGAGTTTGTAGTCGCGAAACGAGAAGGAAACTTTCAATTTATTCGCAATTTGAATCTCTCGATCACAAGCCCAAACTACATATAAACTAATTCAAAGGGCAGAAACATTCATTTGTATCTACTCGGATGGAGCGCTAATAATGTCTGAATCACCGGCATCAAGGATAGAAAGACTTCCAACACGGAAATACTTTCCGCAGGCAGTGCCAAGCTCGATGTTGTCTAATTTTCAGGATAAATGTGTAAGCAAGATTGATCCCAATTATCCATGTCTAGTAAATGTCGGGATTAAACTTACTGCCAGAGTAATGATGGACATTGGTCTTGGAAAGCATGGCATAGTATTCAATCTCAGATTTGCGGAGGGGAGGGCAGTTTCCAGAAATGATAATGAGCTTGGCTATATACATGATTAGGGACACGCAGTTGTATTAGCAAATCTGGTTTAGTCCATACAGACAGCACTTACAATTCGGTATCCCGCAATTGCAATAGTAAAACCCACAAATAAGTCGGATAACCGCTGAGAAACAGCAGCCTCCACATCCAATGATAAATTCAGGTAAAATGGATTGAAGTCCAGCATTCAAGAATTACATTTTCCGTTTCTCAGGCTCTCAAGAGTAGACTTGTATCCGAGAGTGGTCTTGCCACTTTTCATGACTAAACAAAGATCAGAGTGAGTACAAAGAAACCAATAAAATCATAGTCTGTTAATCGACAACTCACCAAGTGCCAGCTTGGAGTTGATGGTCTCTATAATAATTCAAACCCAGCGATAAAATTGTCAGCAAGTCACTCGAGTCAAACCATCATGGCCAAAAGCTGTTTATGATTTCATGCAATCATGCATGCAACTTGGCAGACTTTCAAGATAGATGGATTGCGTGCATGCATGCATGGATGATAGTTCCTACCTGATCCCTTTGCCTTTCCCTTCTTGGTTGGTGCCATTGTAGCTGCAGTCTTATTCGTGAGGGTGAAAGTATGGATGCTCAATATTCATGCCGTCGGATTTCAATGCAAACACCACGTGATACAGACTATTAGTCACGTGTAAATCAGTTTTTTACAAGTCCAACTCGCAAGTGTTTTGCTGAGCGTGTCGAGCAGATTTAAACCATAAACAGTGCGAGTCTATGCTATTCAAAGAACAACAAGCAGCGTTTAATAATAAGTTGATGTAGCAATAAAAGGCTGATGGATTGGTAAAACATAGACTCGAGTACAAACAAAACATCCAAAGTCAAGTGCCAGTATACCAAGATACACATCTGGAATATGACAGCTGTAATCATATGAAATGGAACACTGTTTTGCAGCGATTGCCTATTTTCTTTGAATAGCGTATACTCTATGCTCCATCGTTAGACATTGGCTTTCAACACAACGCTCATCATACTGTTGTATCTTGAAATATTATACATTTGCGTTCTAGTTCAAGAAAACAACGATTGACTGAAACTGTGATGGAAACACTCGTTCAGTTATACAAAAATGAGCACAACCCAGTGAGCCAAAGAGTTCAATAAACATTCTAATCGCTTCACGAGACTATTTCGACTGCATTTTACGTGAATGCGGTTGTAAAATCCAATTGAAAGTATCAAGACTGTGATAACCCAAACGTTTGCTTTTTCAGTACATTGTTCAATACGATAACATGGAGCCAGTCGTTGTGCAACACTTTAATAGGATTGTGGCTCTTAACCCTGACATGTCACTGCCAGTAGTTGCTATCAAGGTACACAGTGATGGCATAAATTTATGCACATTCTGTTGAGCCATTCATCACTAATGGAGTTTGCATGTTTACTTGCTGCTCGATCATATCGATTCCACAGCAACCATGATTTGGATTTGATATACATGGTCGGTACTGTTTTACATTTAATAACACCATTTCTGCTTTGACTGCAACATCTACCTCTGGAATCTACTGTTTCAATAGGCACTCATTGAATTCAGCAAAAAATGCGAAGGTATGCAAATCTGCTCTGATTCAACAATTTACACAGGCGACAGATTAAACAAGGCAATGCCATATTATATTGGTGTATAACATAAATTCACGCATAATATAGCTTCAACCTTGGCAGAGTTATTTGATAAGCTAGATGCCGCAAGCGGGATTCTTAAAGCAATTCCTAGTCATACAATCTCGATGGTTGCAGGCTGCGATTTGTTTATGAGACTTGCAAAAGACACTCCCTCTGCAATTCAGGTGCATAACAGAATGCGTTCAATAGTGATATTGCTTGAACTGCTGGATTAAATTGATTTTGCTTCATTGTGTATCTAGGCTTTTGAAGATATCAAGCAGGATCTTTTCAGAAGAAGTGATGTGCTGGTCTCGAGCTGTATTGAATCAAGAAAAAAAGCAGCTAATCACGGCTCAAAGTTTATCAGAGATGACACTGTAATAACTTTGCATTATATGTTGAATATATGCTCTACTCGTTCGTTTTGACGTTTTATGGTTTAAACAACCTTGATACGATCGTTTAGGTTATTTTAGTTCATTCATATTCACGAGTAGTTATGAGCATGCTCACAAATGCTCCAAACAAGGCACTCATCAAGGTACTTGTCACAGAGGCTAAACCATCGGATTCTGGAAAGCGAGCCGTAGAAGAACTGCGAAAAGCCAATATACAGGCAGCACTCATTAGTGATTCGGCTGTTGGCCATATCATTGAAAGAGTAGATATGGTATTGGTAGGTGCCGAAGTCGTTGTACAAAATGGTGGACTGATCAATCAAATTGGCACATACCAGATTGCCTTGGTTGCCAAGGCTGCAAATAAACCATTCTATGTGGTTGCAGAAAGGTGGAGTGCAATCTGTTTAATCGTATTTATAGTACTTTTGAGAAAAGCTTAGATTAACAATAATTTGGTTATCCAAATATAGTTTCAAGTTTGCTCGGCTATTTCCATTGAATCAAGATGACTTGCCAATTAGCTCGCCCATGTATTTTACCGATGAGGAGGATCAAGGAGAATGCCGCGTAAGTCTATTGTTACTGTGTTGGTCTGTGATGGGTAGACATAACTTGCATTGGCTTACCTTTTGGCATACTGATGAAACAACACCAAACTAATAATATAGCTGAGCAATCCCGATATTGATTATACACCACCCACGCATATCAATTTGATATTCACAGATGTTGGTGTATTGACTCCTTCTGGAGTTTCTGAGCAACTCAGTAGGTTTATTGGTTTGAATCGCTTTTTGAGTCAAGCCTTGATACACCTCAAGAGATCTGACGCGTTTTTTCTTTGCAAACCAACTTTATCTAACCAGTCAGCACACTTTAAAAATGGGTCAGCATGCCAAAGTGTTTTTAAGAATGAAGCCGCTTTCATCTCAACGATATACGTTTAATGATTTTTCCTGGTCTGTTGATACATCAACACGGACAATAACTGTACCCGACGAGAATAAAAATGAAAGGTTGTAGTGTCGAGTCAAATGCTTAAAGCAAAATACATACGTGTCAAGACATCATTTAGTTAGTATAAGGGCTTAGACTGGCTGACCTCTCTTGCAAGTGGTGTTTTTGAATTGATATATTTGATAGGAAAAAAACGTTTCAATTTGACCATATTTTAGATGTCTCGGAGAGTGTTGAAACCCTTTTTCAAGAAGCTATCCTTCCACAAGTGAAAATATGTTTGAATGGGTTTAACGTGTCCCTAATATCCGTAGGTGCATCCAAAAGTGGAAAATCATATGCTCTTGAAGGGGCCATGGGGAAAAACAAAAAAATGCCAGGTACTTGAGTTTAAATCAGTGCAGTGATATAAAGTACTGATTTTGAGTTGATGGATCTAAAACCATGCATGTAATTTATATTCATGTTAACGGGATTGTATTGGATATCATATAGGTCTACTGCAAATGATTGCTGAAAGCATTTTCATCGAGTGCAATAGTAGAAATGCTGCAAGCATTAACATAAGATATCCTTTTTAGACTACTGCTGTAAATTTCAGATTGGACCTTTATACCTTAAACACAGCTTGATTTGCAAATGCACCATGACATTTTTATGTTTACTGTATGTGAGGTATATGGAGCATGGGTACGAGATCTATTGAACCCACAGCGTGATGGATTGCAAGTTGACACAAGTAGTGCAACGGGTGTAGCAGTGACAGGGTTGTCAACTCGGCGCATTTCTGATGTAGAAACATGCATGGATGCAATTGAAAGGGTATTGTCAGTATTGTTTTGAATATGGCTCGACACTTTCAAGTGATCATTAACTGTTAGTTTTTAGTCACAACTGCACCGATTAGGAAATAGTTCAAAAGCATCTGATCGCTCATTTGTACTCTACATGTTTGAAATTAACAAATTTCTTGAAAATGATTTGACTTCACATAGTGTATGCTATATGATGAATCAGATTCTGATGCCAATCCCAATTCTAAAGCTAATTTTTAGGTTATTTTTCACTTGATTATAGCCAACCAAATCTAAATTTACAGTGGTTGATTTTTGTGCGCTGGATCATTTTTTTACTGATCCGACTCAACTACTAATGAAAGAAGGTACGTTGTTTACAACTCATACAATCAAGTATTTGATCAAGCATGTTTATTTATTTGGTATCTTTAACTGTGAACGAGCAGGTACGAATGTGGGCAATTCAATCATTGCCTGCCACAAGACAATAAAGCAAGTTGCACTTCAAAAGGTGATACTGTCGAGAGCTGAGATTGAGAGCATTTGTTAAAGACGGATAGAATTTATTAAATATTTGATGCATCCACCATGAATTTAGAAAATTGCACCCGAGGCAGAGCAAACGCCAATAACAAGGTTGCTTTTGGAGGAGTTTGGAGGAAATTGCTATACCAATTTCCTTTTTTCGATGGATTATTTAGAAGCCAAGGCAATGAATTTGAATCTGTTAAACTTTTCGGAATTGTTGCGAAAAATTGAAACATATCCGATTTGCAACGACGAAACTTTTTTTCATCTTGTATCGCTTGTTCAAGTAGGGTTGATAAAGTTATTTAAAGAATCTATTCTGTAGAAACAAGCTAATTTAAAAACTGATTTTGCTTAAATCTCAGGAAAGAGCCGGCCATATTGGCAAACGCGCTGCACTGGTTGAAATTCCAAGTATGGCTGTAGATTTGATATTCAAGTGCGCTGTTAGCGTGTTGTATGCTAAATATAAAGATATTTATTTGAAGTTTAGCTAATCAAAAGCAGCTACTGGTGGATCTTAATGAAAGGTAAAGGACCTGCATGCCAACTATATTAAAATTATTGTGCTAGTGAATAGAGATAAAAGCATATACTCATCAAAACAATCATGGTTTAACATTAGGATCAATGTTGTTATTGAGCAAAACACCACGATGCAAAAAGAGCTCATACTTAAAGAGAGGCTTTTATTAGATACTCAGAAAACGCAGTTGGATTTGGAAATCGAACAAAATTTACAGCTTGAAGCAGCAGAAAACAAGATCAGTGATGTATGATATAGATTGAGTATGAATACTTTTAATTTTTTCATTATCTGACATGTTATTGTGTAGCTTCTGGATCGATTGGCATTTTATGAAAAGGCAGAAAACAATTTGAATTCTACTTGTAGCATTCAAGATCAAAAGACAGTGAATGAAAAACTATATGCGCAAGTTTTACAGGTATGTTTTGAAAACAGCTGGTATTGCATTTGATACATCTCGAATCAACTGACTGGTTTATAATAAAGCTTAATGTGCAGGTAGCACAACTTGAGGCTATTATTCAGCAGACCTCAAAAGATCTTCAAGCATCGTTGCTCAAAAATGAGGAGTTGGGACTTGAGATGATTGCTTTAATCAACCAAAAGGTAATTTCTTTAATCGATTTTGTAGATTTAAACGCCAGCTGTTTATACATGAATGACTGTTTTTAGGAAGATTTGACTATTAAAAGTCTAAATGAGACGTATGAGAATGGCACATTGATACGACAGTAGGGTTATATGGCAATTTTACAATATAAAGATGCATATGTTTCAGTATTTAACCACAAACGATTTAAAACTTTTTGAAATGGCAATTTCATCTTGGAAGTCGCTTAAAACCACTTTCCAACACGGCATCGATACACACGAGAATTGGTTCTAAAAGGTGATTTATTGAAAGCAGGGCACTGATTGTATAAAAGTATAAACTCGTGTATTTTTGAAATTCTAGTTGTATCGACACAAAGGAGCTCGGTTCTTTAAATGTAGGAAATATTGAAAGTCTACGAGTACTACAAATCCATTCCAGTCGAGATTAATCTAAATGTTGATTTAGAAGATATGCAGTATTGACGATTCGATGTCAAGACTGAACATGGAAGGAGAAGCAAGTCGACATGACTCATTCAATGCAGATCGCTATGAAAGATTATTTTCAGATGTAAACTATTATGGATTAATTGTAAATAGTACAACTTATGATGAATCTAGTCGTTGGCTTATATTTTACCTTTTAGAATTTAGCCACGATCAAAGAGCTTGAAAGCAGTATCAAAGACAGACTATACAAAAGTATAAAAACGCATCCAGGTAAAGCAATGAATATAAGCACGGACCAGTATAGAATGAATTTATATTAATACGCAGTGCTGGTAGATGAAGGAAGAATGGAGATAGAGATGCTCGTAGAAGGGATTGCAAATGCAACACAAAAATACGAGCAGATTCTTCAACGACAGAATGAGTATTACAAGGTAAGTGGATGAGTTGAAATTGTATAGAGAAAGCATTCACCAACCAGTTGAATGGAATAGACGCGAGCATACGAGACATCAAAGCAGGAAAGTTTAAAGCAACTGCATGAGTGCAGATCCAACAGCTAACACTTGATGGTATTGAATAGACTCTGACACCCGAGGATGGACTAGCAGAGTTACGTAAGCAGGTAGTGTATTAGTTTGACAGACGATCATCAAGACCACGACTGACCTTTACAATGAACAGGTTAAAGAGTTTGTGTTGAATACACAGAGCGATCTGGAGAGAGAGAGAGCAACACTGCTGTCCAGATGTGTGAGTCTGCAACAGCAACTCCATGCATTTCAAACTAAATAAATGATCCTGTCAGTACAATAGTTGATGGTCTTGAGGGTTGAGACAAAAAGGGTTTTATTCAAGTCTTATCAAGCAGTTGTCTTTGGTCTATCCCAGACTCCTTGTGCTTTCCATCCCTTATCCAGTCTTGCATCCGCTTCTATCCTCAACTCCAGCATGGCTACAAAATGGCCACTCTCAAAGGTCCGCAAGACCTTCATCGACTACTTTGAGCAACATGGTCATACTCATGTTGTGTCTTCTTCCACCATTCCTCATGGGGATCCCACTTTGATGTTTGCCAACTCAGGAATGAACCAGGTTGGTCTTGATGGTCTTGCTAGTGTCTTGAGACAGCCTGCAGGCTGTCTAGTTCTATCATGTTCACCATGTTCATGACTATGTTCATGATTATGTTCATGAATATGTTCATGTTGCTCACCACTTTCTTTTTCTACAGTTTAAACCTATTTTCCTTGGAACTGTCGATCCCAACTCGGATCTGGCTAGACTGTCCCGTGCTGCCAACAGTCAAAAGTGCATTCGTGCTGGTGTGTATGCAATGCATTGATGTCTATTGTGTCGACTATTCAATTGATTCGTCTTTTTTTGACTCCATTTAGGTGGAAAACACAACGATCTCGAGGATGTTGGCCGAGATACTTATCATCATACTTTCTTTGAAATGCTTGGAAACTGGTCTTTTGGCAACTATTTCAAGGTATTTGATTGTAATTTAACCATGAATTCAAGTGTTGTGTATTCTGTTTGGCTCCAACATTTATCTGTTTTGTTAGACCGAGGCAATTGAAATGGCTTGGGAAATTCTTACAAAAGTATACGGTCTTCCAAAAGATCGGCTTTACATTACCTACTTTGGTGGTGACAAGTCGCTTGGTTTGGAATCTGATATTGAAGCTAAACACTTGTGGCGCAACATTGGTGTCGAGGAAGATCATATTATTCCAGGAAGTGTCAAGGACAACTTTTGGGGTAATGCCATGTTTTATATTCGAATATTCATTCTTGATCCTCATTCTTTTCATATGCATTTATGTCTATTTAGAAATGGGTGATCAAGGTCCATGTGGCCCTTGTAGTGAAATCCATTTTGATCGCATTGGTGGACGTAATGCTGCTGATCTGGTCAATATGGACGATCCTGATGTTCTTGAAATCTGGAATCTGGTTTTCATGCAGTACAATCGTGAAGTCGACAGGTCCTTGAAACTGCTTCCCAATAAGCATATTGATACTGGCATGGGTCTTGAGCGTTTGGTGTCAATTTTACAAGACAAGCGTTCCAACTATGACACTGACGTTTTTACTGGCATTTTTTCTGCTATTCAAAAACTCACTGGTGTCAGAGAATATCAAGGTCGGCTCGGTGAAGCTGATCAGGACGGCATTGATACTGCTTACCGTGTCATTGCAGATCATGTTCGTACTCTTACCTTTGCCATCAGCGATGGAGGTGTTCCCTCTAATGAAGGTCGTGGGTATGTCCTTCGGCGTATTTTGCGTCGCGGAGCTCGTTATGCGCGCAAAAAGTTCAATGTTCCAATTGGCTGCTTTTTCTCCAGTTTGGTAGATACTGTTGTTACTGAAATGGTACGTTTGTATACCTCTCATATCTGTTTTTCAGTTTTTTAATCATGTTTGCATTGTTCATTACAGGGTGACGCCTTTCCTGAAATCACCGAGCGTGTAGACGATCTCAAGGAAATTCTTGATGAAGAAGAGCGCAGCTTTTCAAAAACATTGGATCGTGGCGAACGTCTTTTTGGCGAATACCTTGCCAAAACTAAAGCTTCGGGTGGAAAAGTCATTAGTGGGGCTGATGCATGGAGACTCTATGATACCTATGGTTTTCCTGTTGATCTCACTCGTTTGATGGCTGAGGAAAACGGGCTTACCGTTGACGAAGTTGAGTTTGAGCAAGAGCAAAAGATTGCCAAAGAGAGATCTCGTGGTCGTAATGAAAAGGAGACTGGCATAGTAGTCTCATTGGATATTCATGCTATAGGAGAGCTCGAGGCTAATCCCAATGTTCAGCCTACTGATGACCAGTACAAATATGGTTTGTGTTTTGTATTGTTCTTACAGGTCTATTGGATATGTGAATAGTTGAATATTGATATTTTTGATAGGATTTGATGATATTAGTTCCAAAGTCAAGGCGCTTTTTGTCAATGGAAAGTTTGTCGAGTCTGTATCTTCCACAAACCATCAAGGTCGATTTGGTGTGATTCTTGACAAAACCAACTTTTACGCCGAGCAAGGTGGCCAGCAGTTTGATACTGGAAGTCTAACAGTTGATGGAAGTCTGGAGTTTGCAATTGAGGATGTACAGGTTTTTGGTGGTTACGTGCTTCACATTGGCTACCTCAAGTACGGATCCCTTTCCCTCGATGATTCTATTATGTGCACGTATGATGAGGTGCGTTGACTGTTGATTTGTAAAGTTGTATTCATTAAAATTCTAATACAATGTGTTATTATTAAACAGTTGCGCAGATGGCCATTGCGAAATAACCATACTGCCACACATGTGCTCAACTATGGACTAAGATCGGTTATTGGAACCATTGTTGATCAGAAAGGATCATTGGTATCCCCCGAAAAGTTGCGATTTGATTACTCTTGCAAGGTAAACAAATGCTTCGAGTATAATATATACTCACGGCGAAAGATTGGGCTAACTGGTGATATGTTTAGAACTCACCATCAATAGCTGAGCTTGCCAAAGTTGAAAAAATCACCAATTCTTTCATTGCAAAGAACGATATTATTTACACTTCCGAGGTTTCTCTTGCGCTTGCCAAGTCTATCAATGGACTGCGTGCAGTGTTTGGAGAGGTCTACCCAGACCCTGTCCGCGTCGTTTCGATTGGATTTCCAATTGATGAAATGCTCAAAGATCCATCCAATGCCAAGTGGGCTGAAACCTCTATCGAGTTTTGTGGTGGAACGTAAGTTGTTTTGATTGTAGATTGGCAGATTTGTATTGCTACTTTGCTAATGTATTTGTACAACACTAGTCATGTCCAGAGAACGGGTGACATTAAGCGGTTTGTGATCATCGAAGACTCTGCTCTGGCCAAGGGTATTCGCCGAATTGTGGGTGTTACTGGCGACGAAGCGCTTAAATATCAGAAGCTTGCCGATGAATTTGAAATTAAACTCGAGCAGTTGCGCAGAATCAAAGGTGCTTTGTTTGAAACGACTTTGAAGGAGATTGGCAAGACGCTTGATTCTTCGGTGCTTCCAGTTCTTCGTAAGCATTCACTTAAAGAGACTTTTTCTGCCATCAAAAAGGACTTTGATGACAAGGACAAGGCACGCAAGGCTCTTGAATCCAAAGAGGTTTGTTTTGTTCTTGGATTCATAGAATCTACATTAAAACTTATTTTTGTTTGTACTGATCTTGAATCTATATGTGATTGTTTGATTGTGCTAGGCTGTTGATACTGTCAAGTCATTCTTTGAAGCCAATCCAGAAAAAACCGTGTTTGTATCGGTGATTAACCAATCTGGCAACACCAAAGCTCTTGCTCAGGCTATTGCTCATGTTCGTACACTAAAAGACAAGGCTGCCATGTTGATTGCGGTGGATCCTGAAACGAGCAAGGTTGCACATCAGTGCATTGTACCCCAGGTGATTGCTTACATATAATTCAAAGTCTTGTCCTTTATTTTACTAGGCAACTCATGTAATATTCTATTGTGATGCTATGTAAATAGATTCTTATTGATCGTGGACTAAAAGCTACAGAATGGGCTGATGCAGTAGCCAGTAAAGTCGGTGGTAAAAAGGGTGGATCTGAATCTGCTGCTCAAGGTGCTGGTGATCGTGCTGCATCAGTACAAGAAGCTGTCGATGCTGCCACTGCATTTATTGCGAAGCTAACTATTTAAAGCCTGTTCGTGTTGACGATTTCAACCTTTACACTTCTTGTACTCTCATCTAAGGGCTACGCAGTTGTTTTTTGAGTTGGAAATATGTAATCATTGAAATACAAATAGGTTTTGATTTAGTTTTATTTGCTTTTTTTGTTTGCAGCTGAGTATCTGCTAATGCTTTTACATTAGCTTAAAGAATCTATAGTAAAAGCAATTGAGATCGATTCGAGAGAGAGCAGTAAGAGTGGGATTGGCATGCATCTAAATGGTAGAATGATGATTCCATTATTCATAGCAAATGCTAGATCATTGCTGTTTACACCCAGCAGCTGTCTGAGCAGAATTGGCCGCATCGTGCATTGAAGTAGTAGATTGCACAGGTATATGTTCCGAATCGACATATTGAGTAGATGCACCATTCACTTGTTTGAAAACATCTGCATGGTTATCATCCATCAAGAGTTGGTCCGTCACGTCGGCAGTGTGATTGTCATCAACGTACTTTTCTTTTTCTATCACCTGCGAGTGGGTATCGGTGTAAACGCCATTAGTATGCATTATACTATTTTCCGTGTAAACGGGTTGGACTAAAGGTAAATGATTGGTTTCTGCATGTTCAGTAATGGAAGACAAGTGCTCAGTATGATGCTCAAAACTGTTGTGATTTAAAATAGGTGCATTTTCTACACAAGGTTGAGCAGAATCCACAACCGCCTCCTTGGAATGTTCAATAGGATAGGCAACGGGGTTTGAAATCGCCTCGTCAATATGCTGCGCAATATGGAAAGTCTTGTCCATGGGTTCTACATCAACATTTTTACCGTGTATTTCCTTTTCTTTAACGGAAAATGCAAGAGGTATTTGTTCGACTTCAGTAACTGAATGAACAGTTTTGCACTCCTTAGTTTTGTCGACAATTTCGGCTGGGAGTTCATTTGATTGTATGCGTTCATGAGTAAAATGATCGTCAACAAGAGTCTCGCTCGTGACAGAGTGTTTAAGAGTCTGCTTTTCATCACTGTGCTGGAGATCATGTGAATCAGCATGAGAAGATTTGTCTGGGTGGGCCTGATTTACTTTTTCAACAGATTCACTTTCCATCACCTCAACATGCTTTTGGGCAGTGTTTTCATGCATATATGTAGACGATTGGGAGGCAGTATGAGGAGTATCGGTATGCTCTTCAACAATTGTATCAAAAAGTGGGTTTTTTTGATCAAGCACTTTGAACCCATATTCTTGACTCATGACACTCATGTATGCAGCCTGCTGATCACATATTTGCTGCAGCTCATCTAATTTTGCTTGATCAAGCTCGCTTTGCTCCTGTGATTGTCGGTATAGCACATCAATTAAAATGGATTTGTCACTTAAAGCAGATTCTGATTGAGCAAGTTGATCCTGTAGCTGTTTTGCGAGCATAATTTGAGAGTCCAGATCGTTGACAGCATTTTCAAATTCGTTTCGCATGGCTTCAATCAAGACATCCTTTTGGGTCGCGTTTTCCTCAATCTGAGCAAGTTCTTCTTGTGATATAATAGATTTCTGAGTAACACTGGGCATTTCTGCATTGGCCAAAGCCGTATGAAGGTCACTGTTTTCTTGTCGAGCTGCTTCAAGAAATTCTTCAGTTTGAGAAAGTTTGGTAGAAACAGAGACCAACATAGTTTCCGTTTCGGCCAATTTATCATTAAGTTGATCAACACAGGTTTTAGATTCTTCAAGAGCAGCCAGCATTTTGGCATCTGCATCAGACTGTTCTTGACGGGTAAAGGTAGCGAGATCAAGCGCTTTAGTGGCAGATTCAAGCTGATCAGCAAGATGACTATACTCTTGATTCTTTAATGCAAGCTGTTCGCGAAGGCACTCGATTTCTTCTGGCTTAGTATTGGTAGGAATAGTAGCGTTGCTCAACTCATTGATTTTCAAAGTCAATTCAAAAACGGTTTCATCTTTGGCATCGATTTGAGCTAAAGCATCTAAAAGCCTTGCAGTTATATCGGCATGGGCAGTTCGATGTTGCTCAATAACGGCCTCATATTCTTGAGAATCCTTAGACTCTTGCTTCAGTTGATCAACGTAGTGCTCAAATTCCTTGATGGCAGACTCTTTTTGAGAAACAGTTTCAATAAGTGCACTGGATGCAGACTTGAGCTCAATAATAGTGTCTTCAAGAAATTGAATTTTTGCATTGGCGTCTTCAAATTGAGATGCCATCAGTTGCGTCGACGTTCGTTCTTTGGAAAACTGTTCATTGGCATCATTTATTTTTTCCTTTGCATCAGCGCGCTCTTGAGATAGCATTGCGTTAGCTTTTTCAAGCTCCAAAGTCAGATGTTGAATCTGCTCGGTAAAAACAGATGTATCAGTGGTGGTGAGAAGTGCACGATCGTGTTGCTCATGCACAGAACTAAGATCTGCTTTCAAAGAAGCAATAGCTACATCTTTATCGAGCAAAGCAGCATTCTTTGAATCTATTTCCTTTAGCAATGTTTCATGAGATTCAGAAATGCTTGCCAAACGGGTCTCATTGTGCTGCATTTTTTCAGTGATTGAAACGATATCATTTGATTTGTGCAAAAGTTCCTGTTTTAAAACTTGAATATCATTGAGAAGTTCAGAGTTGGACTCGATGGAGCGAGCTTTATGGATAGCTGAATGTTCTTGAAGTTCATTATCGTGATGTTGTTTGAGTGCACTCAGTTCAGCTTCATACGCATCTTTTTGATCAGTAAAAACCTTGCGCTCACTTTCGAATAGAGATTGAACAGTAAGAAGCTCATTTTTTTGATTCTTATGATCATTCGAAAGCTGATTCAATTGGACAGTCAATGCTTCGCGTTCAGAATCAAGAGTAGCTAGCGCTTCACGACTAGTAGCATGCTCCGCCTCTGCTTTCGTAAGCGTTTCTTGCAATTCAAGCATTGCCATGGTAGCAGCACTTGCCTTTGAAGTGGCTGCTAGTAATTGCTCTTCCATATCATCAGAGTTGAATTTTGAGGCGTGTTGCTCAATAGTTTGAGAAAAAGTAAGTTTTAAAGAATCAGTTTCTTGGGTTAATAGCGAGACTTGGATTTTCAAAGAATTATTGAGCTCAGTCATACGTGAGAGTTCAGTCTTTAGAATTTCAACATCATCAAATGTGGAACTATGAGCAATAGTATCCATATGATTTTGCTGTACTTGACCAATCTATTTACAAATTAAATTAAAATTTAGTGAAAATAAGCGTCAGCTAGCAATATAAATGCATCCAGATCAAGGTACGCATTTACCTTTTTAATCAAAGTTTCATTTTCCGATTCCAATGTAGCAATGCGTGTTTGGAGAGTTGAAATCCCAATAGATTCAGCAGGAGTAGCCTTGACTGCAGTTTTAGTAGCAATCGGTTTGGTGGCACGAATGTTTGAAATTGTTTCCGGACGACTTGGTTTAGCAGCTTTTAAGGGTGATGAAGCGGACAAGCCAGTCAATTTTCTGGGCGAATTGCTTATTGAGGATACCGCAGATCGCGCAACAGTAGTCAAGCTAGCATTAACTGAAGGCTTTCTTACAGCAACTTTTGTAGACTTTGGTTCAATAGCGATTGGTTTTTTGGTTGCAGGTACATGGTATTCGGATTTTTTGGTTAAAGCAGTACCAAGTTTCTTATCCGGTGTGACACGTAGAGACGCTGTGGATAGTGCAACAGTCTTTTGACTATGAGAAGAGGTTGGTTTTTGAGAAACTGCACCAATCGATGGCCTTGGTGTAACTACTGCAGGTCTCTTGAGGGCTGCAGTTTGTGCAGGCGTAGATTTGGATATGGTATTGGCAGTTCTGACTGTGCCCAATGATTTGGATGCAGTAACTAGTGGCTTGGTAGTATGCACAGCAGGTTTAGCTACAGATGTCAAAGCATTTTTAGTAGTGGTAGCTGACTTGATCTTTGAAGCAGGAGAAACAGTAGTTTTTGAAGTTTTGGCGGATAGTGGTTTTGTGGCGGAAGATAAAGTGGGCTTTAACTTTTTAGGTGCTTCTTTAATAGGTACTGGAGATGAGATTTCATTTGCCACATTTAGAACTGGATCTGCTTTAGAAACAACTGCATCAGCTACAGTGCTAGCGATTGAAATCTCTTGTGGCTCTGCAGCAACTGGCACATCAATGTTTTCTTCCTTGACAGCTGTTTCAGCAACCATACGAACATCTTGAACAAAGCGTGTAGGAGTACGAAGTTTGTGTAGCGGCACAAATACACCTATGAAAACAGATTGAGTTTAAAACAAACGATTGAATATTTAGCTATTAAAGAAATCAATAAATAATCAAATCTACGCACCAGTATTGTCAGGACAAACAAAATATACGATTTCTTGAAATGTGCCATTATTCAGCCCAGTGCCATGTTCAAAAAGCTCGATTCCTAGAAACCAACCAGTGATTCAGATAAAACGATCATTTGAACGTCGAGCGTAAATGACAAGACAGTTTATCACATTAATAAAAAGTTGACGAATTGAGCGAATCATGAATTTGCATTTTAAATAAGTTCATACCAGCCCAAATTCCATCAGAAAACTGAGTTTCCCCAAGAAAGACCAATGTTCCGTTGTAAGTGTGAGTTGACTAGCGTATCAATTTAGGCAATCGTGAATGATCGGACGGTTATATTGGCAGTTGGAGGGTTGTAAAATAAAACAGTAGAAAAAATTGAGTTAATCATTTGCAATCTACAGTAAAACAAGTAGGTATTTTTAATACCATCCAATCCAACCACCAGCTTGAATTTAAAGCGAGACTTTATTCCCATCTGGATACACCATAACATGACATGGAGTGTTTTCTAAACATCAAAAGCGGCGTTCAAAACAAAGGATTTGCACTCTGCAACCCGTATCTTAGCAAGCCCATTCAATGTGTGATTTGAAGGCTGTCAAGACGCCGCTGCCACCACAAGCCGATGAACTCAGATTATGTATTTGCTCACTTCAGTCAGGCATTGAATATGATTGTTTGCATGGGATTTAATCAACTCAAATCAGTAGATCGGCATGAACCTGTTTATGACTAGAATTTCAATTCCATCAATCATGCCCACATAACCAGAGTGTGTATAGCTCTGTATGCTTTTAAACACTTGGCTTTATATACAACTAGAGCAGTGTTGGGTTTAAAATTCAAGTGAATCTACAAGTAATTGTACTCACCTCGGCACTATCTGCGCAAACATGATCACCAATTTTAAATGAAGAAGAGGAATTGGATTCAATATGATAAGGGTTGGGTTCGCAGTTGACAACATCTGTAGGATTCATTGTTCAAGTTTTTAATAGTGTGGGTAAGAATTCAAGACTAATGTTGAGGCTTCACACGCCACAATTTGACCAATGAACTGCAGTATGAAACGTAGTGTTTTGTACGCTTACGAATGTGTAAAATATTGTATTTAAAATCATTGAGCGAGATTCAGTCAATTTGATTCAACTGGAAAGTTGTCGATTTGTGAAATGGCGTTTTAATAGAGCACGATTGACTCGTACTCATAAAATGCAACACTTGTATTTATCCTGCAGCGATTGTTTTGGAATCATAATGATCAATTGTTCATTTGACTTATTCAATAAACAGAACGTTCATTATATGATGCACACACAATCAAACTCTGTTTTATTCTAACGTATCAGATACGCTCGCGTTCTAGTTCATATCTCAAAAGTGTGCTCAAGTTTACTCAACTTGAAATCACGTTTAATCACATGATCTCATATGATTGACTACATCAATTCCTGCTAATTGGTTGGTGGAAAATTCGCCGATAACAACTATAAAAGCCCATAAAGCAAATTTGTTTTTCTTTCAATACTCTCTTCTATTACCTTCTCTTCTATTGCCTGTCCTGGGTTGTTGCTGGTGGTGTGGACCAAGTTGTGCTGCATTGTAGCAACAATACATTCTCTGACTGTGTTCTTGCATTTGACCAACTTGCTCCCATCCATTGGTGATTCCCACTTTTTGCATCTCTATTTTGTTTGTGTATTCTATTTACCGATGACTGAAGGCTTACTTTCCTCTGTTGGTGTCGAAGCACGCATTGCAAAGGAGTAGTACGATCATTAGATTCTGTCTTTTGAAGTATTGCCACCCATGCAAAATCAGTAGTGTATAGTTCATTCCAACACATCGAACAACAACTTCCTCAATCTACTTGTCTTTCATTGCTGTTTCTGTTCCTTGGTTTCCCTCGGGAAACTGAGTGAGCGCTGCAGCTTTGGCTGGTAATGGATTGGGTTGCAAGCTCCCCATATTCTATATCTTTCCTGACGCTTTACAGCGTGGCTGCTCTGCAGTCTTGAAGGTTGAGAAAAACCATGGGGATAACATTTTTTGCAATAAATATTTTTTCTATTTATTTGAACCTGGCGTTTTAGAGGCTTGTTGGCCATTGTTTGACTAGCGGATGCCATGTTTAAAATAGGCTGTTGCAATGTGTTGAACCCACCCCATTCGGACATTCAATTATACATGACGTGTATAGCAAACTATGCAATTAATTTGTTTAAAAGTGCAGCCAAAAGAAAAAATTGTAATAAATTTAGGCGGAAATGATGACCAAGCAAAATCCAAAACGTCTTTTTAAAATGCATCTTGAGCAGAGTGCACTTTAAAGACCTGTAAAAATATGTATATACAAAAGTCGAGCAAGCAGAGATTTGCACAGTATGCTTAGTGAATGGGTATATACGACTCAAACGTGAACTTGGAATCGTCGTGTTGCAGTATGTTCTGAAGAAGAGTTTGAGTATCCCATCCACGATTGCGGTGCAGCAGTGGGTCGTGGTCGAAGATTGTACTTTCTAACACAACCAGTGAATATGGGTGAAACTTGTGCAAGACTCAACGAGCCGTGATTAGAATTGGCAGATGCGACCATTTCACCAATTGTATGAGCACTCAAAGCCGATGGAGATATTGCATTACACATCATATGAGCAGGTGCTGTCGAAGACAGTTTGGTATCTTTGCTTGACAACGTGCCCAAATCTGATATAGCTGCATTAGTGGCTGCTGCCAAATCTTGTCTTGATAAAAGTGCCTTTGGACACTTGATTGGACGATCAAAACATAGTTTTGTTGCTGCAGCACTACGTAAATGGCCTTCTCGGCGTAAATTATTGCTCGACTGAGTTGCAACAACTGTATGGTATTTGCCACCATTGACAAGAGAATCCAAGCAAGGATTTGATGGTACACTTTCCGAGTCAGCATCATCTTGCCGCATATATGAATTTTGTCCTGATGCAGCCATTGAATGTGTTTTCATGTTGGTTTGACTAGAGTGTGAGATGCGGCGCTTCTTGATGCCTTGAGTAGACTCGGGAGTCTTGGGCGGCAAGGTACGTGATGAGCAAGCATTGTCTTCAATCTGCCATGCCAGCCCAATTAAATTCCTATATTCTGGCAATAGTGTGATGTCAATAGATTCAAGAGCACCTTTCTGACGACTATGCAATGCCATTGTGGCGTGAGTATCAGGCGCGGCTGCATCATCAAAAAGATCGAAACCAATAATGGTTAGCACATGCTTTAAAATTTGAATGACAGGATATTAGTCATTAAAAAACTCACACAAAACGGCATTCTCCTTGTCAATCTCATAGTTGGTCAAAAGTGTAGAGTCAGTCTGTGCAGTGTTGCTAGCATCGTTGAAGCCATCACTGTGCAAGTCAATCACCATATCCGAATCGCATGGGTCGTCAGGAAACGAGTCCTGAATAAATAGCTCAAAGTAGTGTTCTGAATTAGCTTCAACATGTGCATTATTGCGAGATTTTAAAGAAAGTTGGAGTGCTGATTGGGGTGTCTTGGCGTGCTCCCTTGATTGTGGAATGGTGAACAAGAATCCAGCCTGTGGAGTATTGAATATAGAATCAGCATCAACAATTGGGGTGCGCAGCTGGCCGCTTGGAGTGGCCATTCCTTGAAAATGTGATGCTGTAGGTTTCGTCATTGCTATGGACACTGGCAATGCATGCCGCTGGTTATGTTGCAGAGTAGATGAATCAAGACAAACTGAAGATTCTCGGTGCAAGGAAGAGGTGACGGGAGCAATATCGTCGAATGAACAGGAGTGAGTCGAGGTCATAGAGTTTTTGACAAAAAGCTGACAGGACTGAGCTGTGGAGTGCGTACTAGAATGGTAACGGTCGAGGTTAAATAACAATAGGGTATAAAGTCAATAAGGCTTAAGATGTTATAATTTGGCGAGATGAAATAAGCAACTATGTAGCAAAGTTTTAGGGTTTGTTGTAGCAAACTAAGGCCAGAAGTTCGATCATTCAATTGTGACTATATATGCTTAAATGGGATGGCATAATGGCAAGAATAAACAACTTCTTGGCAATCTGCTGGCTAAACACATCTTGCAGCCAACCCAATCGTATCCGCAAAATGCTACAAAGCCCCACGCATCTCAGTTGATCATCCATCACACACTAGATTTATGCGCAAGGTAATTCTAGACACCCCTCGTTTGATTACTTGATTATTTCGCCGCTATTGGCGCGATTGTATTTAATCTTGTCCTTGACGAACTCCCCCGTACCAATACGCCATAACAAACGATACGATGGGCCAACACACAGCAATACAGCAGAAGAATTGCTAGGCGCAATAAATGCGTGTAGGATGTGTGTCCGTATAAAGTATTTCAGAGTCATGGGGAAATATTGCAGACATACCAAACAATTGGCATGCCCATAGGTTGGAACAAACCACGATATGGGTTGGGTTTATCATCAAGTTTTCCAATAACATTACCATCCAATAGTAAACAGATTGTGGTGTTGCGGATGGGTTACAGCAGTATGGGATATGGTGGTTGGCAGTGCAAACATTAAGCTGCGTTGCAATTTATCAACTTGGTAATGTTTGCTCAGTTCTAAACTGAGGAGTGTCGCAATAGATAATTGAGCAGCATGGTATCTGCTCAACGCCATCGGGTAGAAATATGACAAACAATACTAGCCAGCAGGACTGAATATCATTATTAGATCTGTTCAACCCAAAAATTGATACTACTCTGACCACTGCTTTATCTGACACCACAGTCTCGAATCCTCAATTTTCAACAATAAAATGTTGCTTGAACAAGATGATGTCATGCCAATAATCAGATAATAGACTCACCCTGGATGCGGCATTTTCGTTTTAGAAAGTGGTGTTTGGGTCTGCAGGTCCTGCAGCATAAGAGTTACTCCAGCCGTAGGCGACAGCATCGGTGTTAGGGAATGTTTTGGCTGCAATATGGGCAACGAGTCAGATTTATAAGCACCAATTATAATTTCAGTCCTAGATTTTTCTGTCTGTAATAAATCACCAGTGTTACTCTTGGCGAGTTCATCCTTGACAGACTCGGGATATTCGTGCCTAGCACTTTTCCTGCGACCATCTCTAATACTGCGTCTAAACATTGGCTGGGTTAGTGGATTGTGCCAAATATTATATGGCCAAAATATAATGCAATTTGCTCAAAGTTGGTGGCGTCAACCATGTCGGCATTACACATGGCATGAGTTCACGCAACTCAGCTCTACATCAAATGCCATTATATTGCTTTCTTTGAATTCTAAATTGCATTAGCTTATCTAAGCATGTTTTACCTTGATGTCTGGTCTGCTTGCCTTTTGTGAGGTTTTCTAGGCGAGGTACTATTGTCAGTCATTTGCTGTTTGTCGTCCAATAAAGTGGTGGTGTTTTGGGTAGACACGTTAGAGTATGTATTGATAAGGATTGGAGTATGCGTATCTGAAGCGCTGGATGCAAGGGCGGGTTTGTGCTCAGTAGATTCTATTGGTTGCAATGCAATGTGTTTGGTTGCTCTAGTAACTCGGCGAATTTCTATACCAGTGCTCATGGAACATTCTGTAGACTTGGCAGACATAGCACCCATACATCCCATTTCCTGTGAGTGACTAACAGATTATCTCAAGCGTGTAGTTGCCAGCTTACAAGTAGTTTTAAAATCACCAGCCGTACAAATGTTTGTGATGTAGGTCAAGTGCGTGTCTAAATTCCAACTCCCGCTTTCTGCTACCGACTTGGAATTTTAAGCCTATTCACGCAAAATGGAACTCTTGTATCTATCTCCTTTGCTCCAGAATACACAATATTTAATTATTCCTTGTGCTTTCTTGATAGAAATAATTGCTTCTTCAATCAATATTTTTAATTTCAGTTCAAGCTATAATTTGATTTGTGAGCATATATAATCAGCGTTGTGTTTACTGAATCATCTTTTTTAAACCAAGATTTTCCTCTTTTGGTAGTCATACTTGTATGATCATTGAATTCATTCATTGTAATCCAGATAGGGTTTGGTTGTTGTCAATACAACTCCACTCTGTTGTAACTTAATCTCACAAATACGTTCGCGCTCTAGCTCAAGAAAGCAATTTTGGAAATGCAACTGCTGTTTTGATGCCAGTTACCCAACGTTTGGATGAAAGGAGAGTTGGAGATTAAACAAGTGTGGGTTGATTGAAACAGATGTGAACATTCGTTGAGTTGTTTTATAAAAAATAAGCACAAAGACCAGTCAGGGTTAACGAGTTTAAAGGATGCTATTCAATAAGCTTGGAGGGAATTGACACCCATCATTTCATAAAACTGGCTGTTTATTGCACTTTGACACTGGTGATCTGTGCTTTTTAAAATCACACATTTTCAATGCTAAACAGTATAGTATACAATAAAGTGGTGGTCTTGTCTTCATATGAATGCAAGGTAAACTATAAACGATTTTATTTGGGATTCGACCATGACAGATAAAAGTAGGATTGTGAGTTTTAGCCTCTAAAGCTTTATTGGTAGATAGACAGCAATAACAAGAAACCAGATTAGATGCGGTAAAACCAAGCCATGACAAGAACTGGCATTCAGAACAGTTGGAGTCATCATATTACCATACAGAACGAAGATGCTGACAGAGTTGGGGAGTGGCGCAGTCTCGGACAGAGTCAAGATTCACGAGCATTAAAACTCAAACAACAGTCACAAGTTGTCGAGTCTGAATATTGTCTAAACCCCGCTTTCTTTACCTGTCTTTAGATAACCGTTTTGTTTCTGTAAACGCCTACAACCGCAAAAAGGTACAAGTGTGCAGCTACCGCATTTATACGTGGGTTAAACCTACACTTGAACGGTCCAATTCTTCAAGATTCACGTTTATCCCCAGTGCTATTATAAACTCCATTAACACTACTCATCGCTAACTTGGTCTTTTTCTACACACCCATTCGTCTCGCTATCATACTGAATTTCAAATTTTGCTGAATATAGCACTTTACAAGAACTTTTAAATATGGCTCCCACAAAATCTGCTGCTGTTTCCAGCAAAAAAACTGGCAACCATCCTGCCTACAAGGAAATGATTACCCAAGCTCTTGCAGATTTGGTGAGTTTTTAATATTATATTATGGCTGTATATCTTGAATATTCTTTTATGGCTACTGCTACAACAGTAGCTGATTTTATATCACTCAAGCTTGCGTTTCAGTATTCGAAATCTGGTGGTTTTTGTATATGAGCGAGCCCAAATTTATTGCTGGTACACTTTGGCATGCATGCCTAGTCTCAGTACTACTTTGTTGGCAAGATGCTACCGAGTATCATTCGTTTGAAACAACCAGTTTATAGGCTTTCAGGAATTCTGTAAATAGTGGCCATGGTTATGATACATGTACTTTGATTAGTAGAAAAGATTATCTTGCTGCACGCTCATTAATGGGGTGTGGTATATGCTTTCAGAGTATAGATTCTTAGCTGTTCCGACACGGACGTCCGTTGGTCTGGGATAGTCGAGGCTTTACTCGACTATCAGACCATGAGACTGCATAGAGGATGTTTCAAGTGCATCTGATGCTTAGTTATTGGTTTCTGCAGTGTGTTCAAATAGCATTCTTGCTCTAGGACCACTATGCTTCAGAATTCTTGTGGCTTGTCATCATGTCTTGTTTAGCTATGAAACTGGTACAACTAAGAGTATCTAGTGTGAAACGTCAGTTTCTGGTTGATGCATACCTGATTAAGCATGTATTTGAAGTGAAAAATTGCTAGCCTTGCTACTCGACTATAATTCTGATACTGACATGTGTACTTTACCGACATACTTTTTGATCTTTGAACCAACAGAAGACTCGTAATGGGATCTCTCGCCATGCCATCAAAAAGTATATTCACGCCAACTTCAAGGTATATCGTGTTTGCTTTTTGTTGCATTATCCGCCCATTTGGCTGTCAAGCACATTATTATTTTGCTAGCCCTGTCTTTCATGCACTAACAGGATTTCATCCATTTTTACGGTAAACAAACTCGTCCAAACCATTACAAATTGTGATTTGGATAAGCAGGGACTGGTCAGCAATGCCGATAGTCACATCAACACGGCCATTACTCGTGGCTGCGAGACTGGTGATTTCGTCCAACCCAAAGGATCTTCTGGGCCATTAAAGCTTGTCAAGAAGGGCGAAAAGAAGAAGAATGAGGAAAAGCACGAACCCACTGTTGCCAAGCCTCGTGCACCAGCAGCTGTCAAAAAAGCCATTATGACCAAAAAGGCCACAGGCACTGCCAAAAGGACTGCTACCAAGACAAAGGCTATATCCCCATCTACCAAGACAAAAGTCACATCCCCATCTACCAAGACAAAAGTCGTATCTCCACCTACCAAGAAAATTGCCACTACCACTGCTACTAAAAAGAATGCCAAGATCAAAAAGGCTGTCGTATCTACCAAGAGCAGTCGGACTGCCACGATCAAGGCCACCAAGACAAAGGTTGTTGTGCCAGTTAAAAAGGCAAGTTCTACCGGCAAGGCAGTCAAAAAGATAGTTGCCAAAGCTGCACCTACCAGAATGAAGCAAAAAGCAACTGCATCAGTCGTTGCTGCTGTCAAGGCAGTCGCCAAGAAATCCGATGCCATCAAAACAAAAACTGTCGCAAAACCCAAGACTACCAAAACAGCTTCTGCCAAAGCAACTGTAAAAAAGGCAGCAGCCAAATCATCCAAAACGGTCAAGACATCAAAAAAGCCGGCCGCTTCTAAAAAGACTTAGAGTTGTAAATATCCGGAAAGCTTATTTTATTGGATGGTTTGGGGTTTTAAAGATGGTAGATAATTACTAGGGCCTATAAGCAGACGATATTGGGCTACGATGGGATGGGTATTTTTTATTACACATGAAGTATTTTTCAAAAAGTGGTTTATATTATTTGGAGTGGTGCAAGTTGGTCATATTCACACAAGATGCAGCATTTGACTGTTTTACTTTGGAGTGGACAATTTATTCAAGCGATTGTCAGCAGGGATTATGAAGAATATGGAGTTTTATACCTTGCGACATTACTGCAGTTTGGTCAACAGACCATGTATAATTAGCGAGTTTGTAACCTTGAACATTTCATATGACGCAATGCTGTCCAGTAAATAGGGTGAGAATTGGACACTTTATTTTAGGTGAATACGATTGCAGATGATCAACTGCTAGACTTTTATAGGGACCAGACTTTAAATATGGTGGCTAGAATCAAGACGAATGCAGTTTCTTGAAGATTGACAAAATCCAACTCACTGGCAATCAAATGGCGGATGTGCTCACCAACCAGCCAGTAGTCATTGACAATGTAGATCTACATGCACTGAATCACCTATTCCGTTTCTTGCTCTAACCCAATGATTTATTGATAGGGCTCGGGAACCATCAAGGCCGGATTTGCTGGTCAGGACAATCCAAAGTGTTTATTTCCTTCAATGCAAGTGGCCATCTTACTATTTATCCCATAGATCGATCTAGCACTGCTAGTTGCATGATGGCTTATACTGCATTGCAAATCACCTTTATATAGTATCGGAAGACCTAAACACACAAAAGTCATGGCAGGTGCAGTTGAGGGAGATTCATTTATTGGAAAAAAGGCTCAGGAACTCAGAGGCTTGTTACGGATAAGATATCCTATGCAGCATGGAGTTGTCACTGACTGGGGAGATATGGAGAGAATTTGGCAGTATCTTTATACAGAAGAACTCAAAACTGCTTCTGAAGAGGTAGTTTATGTCGGTCATCCAACCCATTAATTTCATGCGCCACTTTATTGAACTGTCCGATCATGGCATGTCTAGTTGGCCTAATACAGATCTGACTGTTTTTCTGGATTCTTCTATAAATGCTTCTAGCATCCAGTCCTTTTTACAGAAGCACCTTTGAATCCTCGTTCCAATCGTGACCAAGCTGCACAGATTTTTTTCGAAACGTTCAATGTTCCTGCCATGTTTATTTCAATCCAAGCTGTTCTTTCTCTGTATGCCTCTGGACGCACAACAGGTGTTGTTTTAGATGTCGGTGATGGTGTCACGCATGCTGTTCCGGTTTATGAAGGCTTTGCAATCACAAATGCCGTTCGCCGTATCGATGTAGCTGGAAGGTACATCCAATCGTTGTATAATAATACCAGGCGTGTATTATCACCAACTCTTAATGTTAAATTTACATAGGGACATTACTGAATACTTGCAACTATTGTTGCGAAAATCCGGATACCATTTTCACACATCTGCCGAAATGGAGGTAGTGCGTATTATAAAAGAAAAGGCTTGCTATTTTTCATTGAATCCCGCTAAAGAAGAAAAAAGTACCAATAATAGAGCAGATGCATTCGTGCTTCCTGATGGCCGTACTATCAAGGTAAATCTCGTTACTCTGTCAAATTCGAGCTGATTTGATCATATCCAAGGGCTTTTACATTAGCCAACATATCTTTTGTTCAACCATTTAATTTGTCATTCCTACAGCTTGGATCGGAGAGATTCAAAGCCCCTGAAATCCTGTTTGCTCCAGATATGATTGGTCAAGAGTATTCTGGCATTCACCACGTAGTATCCGACTCCATTGGCAAAGTAGACATGGATTTGCGCAAAGGGTTGTACAGTAACATCATTCTATCCGGGGGTACCACGCTCACCAAAGGTTTAGAACATGTTCTTGGCCCATGTTTGCTTTGTGGCACATATTGATTCTTGTAATATTTTTGAAATCTGTAGGGTTTGGTGATCGGCTGTTGTATGAAACGAAACGGTTGGCACTCAAAGATGTTCAAATCAAAATCTATGCTCCGCCTGAACGCAAGTATTCAACATGGATTGGTGGGTCCATTCTAGCATCACTTAGTAAGTAGAATTTGTAGGTTATTATATACGTTGAGCAGCTTGATTGATTTTAAGCTATATATTTAGGTACGTTCAAAAAAATGTGGGTGTCGGCCGAAGAATACCATGAAGATCCTGATGTAATTCATAAGCGATTGATGAGTTAGATGGACGCAAACGCATGGTTTAAACGCGTTGGTGCCATATCCAATGACTAATTGATGAGCAATATACATCTGAAATAAATCTATCAAGTGTAACTGTGTCGAGTTTGTTGATTTGCAATTGCCTAGTCATTTAAAATACTACAAACCTTGGTTAAAGTACCAGTAGCATCTGCAAAAAGTTGTCCTAGTTCATGTTTACATCTAATCAAAACAAGATCAACTTTATTTGCTTAACAATGCTTTCAATTTTTGGAACGAGAATTGGCAGCTGCCTTGCGCTGGGCAAGACGCTCCGTTACACTAAGCCCGTCGTTATTTTTTGAGAAAGTGGGAGGGGGTGTAAATCCACTGGGATCACGACGAGGTCCAGCCGAAGACGAGTTGCCAAAAGCAGGACGGGATGACGTATTGGCCGCAAAAGCACCACTTCGATTGTCAGAAGCATGGGAGCCAGGTCCAGGACGAGATGAGTTGAATCCAGATTGTTCAAATGGACGAGCTGTAGATGCACCACTCAAAGCAGCACGAGCAGCAGGCGATACGTACTTGTCAGAACTTTCAACAGATTTTGAAGGTTCAACTGCAGCAGGTCTTGGACGCCAACTAGAATTAAAGGCTTCCACAGGTTTACGACGAGGCTCTTCAGCCACACGGAGACGTTTTTGTTCAACCTCGAGTTCACGCTCACGCTGCTTATTTGCAATTTCATCTGCCTTGCGACGATACTCCTCAGCCTTGGCTTTTTCTTCTTCTGCTTTAATGGCATTTTGTTTAGCACGTTCGGCTTCAAGAAGCTCTTCTTCTTCACGCTTGATACGCTCAGCTTCTTCATTGGCACGGCGGATTTTGTCAGCCTCATGTCTAGCACGTAGTTCTTTGACACGCTTGGCTTTAGCGGCTTTCAACTTGGCAGCAGCTTGTTCTTGCAATACAGCAAACTCTTCCTTTTGGCGAGACTTGAGATCGTTCAAATAACAAGTGTAGTCATCCATCATACGCAAAACAGAAGTCTTTTGCTTTTTGTCACAAGCATATTTGGCCTTTGCAGCTTCAAGACGAGCAGCATGACCATTATCAAATGCCAAGCGATCCATTTCATCTTGTTTTTTGTAATCCTTTTCTAAAAGTGGAATTTCCTCGAGTCGCATTGCCCGCTCAGTATGATCAATACGCCTATGAACAGCTTTGATTTTGAGCATCAATTCACGACGTTCCTTGTCAAGTTGACTGATTTGAAGCATAACCAGTTTGTTGGTGTCCATGTTGCTAAGATCTTCTTCCTTAAAGTTGACATTCTTTTCACGAAGTTCACTTGCTAGCTGTTCAGCAAGTTTCTGTGCTTCTTGACGTTGGATATCGCGACGAACTTCTTCCATACGCTCAATCTCACGACGCTTGAATTCTTCTTCAAGACGGATCTTTTCAGCAGCTTGCTCTTGTTGAAGACGCTGAGCACGAAGAGCCAAAGCCTCCTGTTTTTTACTAGCAGCGTCGGCATCGCGCATTTCTTTTTTTTTAAATACAAGAGCACGGCGAACACTGACAGCTGAACGCTCCTCTTCAAGATGGGCAGCAGCATTTTGGAACGATTTGATTTTAAAAGCAGTTTTCTGCTTAGTAATCGAAGGATCAACAAAGCCCATGACAGAGTGAAGACGTTTGGCAAAACAAGTAAGGTGCAAACGAACACGCTCTCCTGGAAGCATAATTTGATGTAAGCGGGGACCTTCGGAAGAGGATTCGGACGTAGAAGCAAAGAAACCAGCATCAAACGAAAGGGTTTTTGTTTTGTGGTCAACACGGATTGTGAGTTCACCGCGCTTGCAGCCATTCATTACAAATCGTTCAATAGCATGAGCATCAAAGTTGTAAGGAGCTGGAAGGGAGGCAAGCTGCACGACATGATCGATCTTGATGATGGAATATACTTGAGAAAGCTGTTGAAGAAGACGAGTCAAGACAACCTGGTGCAGCAGTTTGGCATATCGAGAAAATTCGGCATTCTCCGAAAAATAAGCAATACTGGGAGCAATCTTTTTGCAAATCGACAAAGGATGAAAGTCGACCTCGAGAGACTTGTAGAGATGCTTAATTTCTGGACGAACTAAAGGAAATACGTTTTTGCCAAGGGCTTCCTTGAGAAGACTTTCTCGAGTAGGAAGCTGAGTGACTCGCAGCAGAGTCATCAGACGTTGAGTACGCTGTTTGCTTTCATCGGCCTCTGCAGTGCGAGAACCAGACAAAACGATGATAGGAATTGACAAAACAGAAACCAGTACCAACGATGCAAGACGTTCGTGTTCTTCCTGTGGCAAGTTCTTGTTTTGACGCATAATCGAGTAGAATTTGCTCAAGGCAGCCGAATGAAAAAGATAGTTTTCACCCACCATAAAAATACGAGCAAGTTTTTCATAATAGTTGGCCATCATATAAGATTTTGGTGCATTTTTAGACACTTCGAGAAGATGATGAATGTCTTCAATAGAACGAAATCCCTCTTGCCAATGCTCAAGCTCGGCAGCAGCATTCAGTTGGACAAAGCGGGTGTCAAGATGCCGTTGAAGAGTTTCTGGATCGTTTAGATCGATCGAATGATCGTGACTTTGATATTTGGTAGCAGACGACAAATGCTGACGCAAAATATCACAAAGACGACGAAACTCTGTTTTGCGAGAATATTTAAGACAGAAAGCAAATGCTTGATTGGCAACGTACTGGTAGAGCATTTCCAATCTAGCATTATTACGCAGGGTGTCGAGCGATGTACGGTAAGCTTCCCACAAAAACCTCAGCCAAGGAGTAACGACTGCACGATCTGTGCGATCTTTAGTATCGTCTGTAGATACGGTACTCATAAGAATAGATTCAGGAGTTTCAAAGGCTTCCAGATCGTCAACAACATCAAGATTAATCTTTTCGGCTTTTTGTTGAGCCTGAGCAAGCTGCTCTTCAGCGAGTTCAAGATAACGCTTGATAACATGCTACACACAAGAATACAAAGCAATCGAATTAATGACACATGAATACTTGGCAGAAACAGCAGCACTCAATTCATACACACCTCAATGGTGACAACAGTGGTGTTTTGCACAATATTTTTATACTGATAGAGAGCCTCGCGAACCACTTTTCCCTTTCCAAGAATAACAGCAAACTCGATAAACTTGATGACGATGGGCTCAAGAACCTGAATGGAAGTGGAGCGAGCACGCTTTGAGAGAATGACCTCATGCAGCAAGTTCAAGGCAGCAGAATGCTGATTTACAGCAACCAGTTCTGCAGGTCAAGGTGAGTCTTGTGTGCATTCTTGCCATCATCATTGCAATAGAAATACGATTACCTTCAGCTCGCTTGATGGCATTTTCGGGTTTTTGATAAAATGGAGCCATTATATACCAACTATTGGTTCTGAATCACAAAATAAAGTAATAAGTAAGGAGTTTCCTGTTGAATTCACCAATCGTTCTGCTTCGTCACTGACCGATTCTCCTGCAATAACTCGGATCTTGACTGCGATAACTTCATTCTCGCCTGCAAAAATCCCAAAAAGAAAACTGGATTCCTGAGGAATTACTTTGAACTTGTTGGAATTTCTCGACTAATTCAAACTTGAATGTCGTTGCAACAACCTTGCATTTCTCCTTATTCCATCGCCTTGCTGGTGCTTGTTCGTCTTGCTCTAGATCATCAATTATACGGCCCTTTGCATGTTTCTGATTTAGGCGACCAGCACGCTCAATCTTCTGATTCTGCTGATAATTCTGCTTTCACCACATCTCAGATCCTCTTGTTTCTAGGAGATTGTCTCGATGTAAATGTCCTTTTATATCTGTTAAATTCTCATGCAAATCCTTCATTTTTATTGTTTTATTCATTTATCTTTATATGTTTTGTTGGAAAATCTAGGGTGATACTGTGTTGAAAGTCCAATCGTTGGATACACTGCTTGCCAGACTGCAGCACACATCTAAGCTACAGCTGTATATTAAAAATGACACCGATTTTCAATCAGTACCCTTTCTTGCATATTACAAACAGCAGGCAAGAAATAACTATTTACACTTTGATCATTGGCACGACTTTTAGGATTTATATCAACTGCATCTCTAATTAACCTTATTAGTGTCTGGATCTTTCTGAAAACTATTTAGGTCTTAAATACTTTTTAAATAGTATGGATCTGTTTCGTGATAATGAAGATGACTTGTCTGATCAAAACGCAAGTCAACTTTTATTACTATCTCGTCTGATATCATAGTTTGAAGCTAATACAAATACCTTTGTTTTACTTTGAATTGGTTTTAACAGATTACAGAATCAAGTCCGATCGGACTCTTTGTAAACAAGAATATTGCAGCTTTTCAAACTCTTGAACTGGATGGCTGGATGGTTTTAAATCAACAGTATGAAGCGTTTTGTAAAGGGGAATCTTTGGATGATATAGGCAAGTAAAACAATTGTTTTAATTCCAACTATTTAAATCATACTGACTTTATTGGTATTGTACTACCTGCTAACAAGTGAAATTAAAATGATTTTTAATTCTCTACATTTTTAGACATGATTGGTTTAACCGATTCAATTGTTGAGCAGTACATTGATAGTCAAGTAAAACTTTTTGAAAGTATGTACAACTGCAATATATAATACACCACTATTACTTAGAGTGCATCAACATATAATTTATGCGTGTGTTTTTACAGAATCTTCGGGATTACCTACGCCACATGATATACAGCAAGAATTGCAACACATTTTGAAATGCCTTTCAAATCTGGCAAAGTCTCATTATCTTAGGCAATCTAATATGCATTTTTCATTATTTTATAATGACTTTATACTCATATTTTTAAAACAGCTACCTCAATCATCTTAGATCTGGAGAGATATATCGTGCGTTAGAAGACTTGCGTCGGTTCATTGACTATAGTGTTGTTGGTGATACCAACAAGTAAGTTTGCTATAGCATATCCCAACTCATTTTGATGCTACTCTTGAATACAGCCTTTAATTGTAATCTTGCATAATCATACATTAATTTAAACTTTGTGGCCTGATTGTAGAATACCCTTTCAGTATGTATCCCTCAATATGGCTGCTGTGCATTCAGAAATGGGTCAGCATATGGAGGCTTTAGAGTTTGTTTCAGATGCACTCCGCTATGCGAGATTTGTTGGAGATGACACATGTCTGAGTTATATTCTCATGTGGCTCGATCGACTCACTTGGAAGCTTGGCCGTGATACTATGTGCAACAAGTATGGAAATATGCCCAATGAAGAAGAAATATTAGACACGTTGGCGGAACGTACACAACGATTTGGACAGCACCAGCTTCAAGTGTTGTCCCATTTACGCAATGCAACCTGGAGATTGATGAATGGAAAATCACCTATTCTTGTCTTTCATTCTGTTCAAATTGCCACATCTCTTGTAAACCATCATCGTGGCCTGGAAGCTCTCGTAAGCACTGTAGAGCTTACCAAGGCTGGAATATGGGAGATTTATGGCAATACACAATCCGCGCGCGCTGCAATTCAGCAGGTTCTTATTGTAAACCAAAAGGAATATAGTGCCAATGATCTTTCCATGGCATATTCTAAAAATGCACTTTATGTAGGTATTGTTAGTACATGATCTTTTGATTGTATGACAATATTTAGCAGTTTATAATATTAGAATACTTTCACTAATGAGTATATTGCTAATTAGGAAGCATCTGAAGGTCGCTTTAAAGAAGCCTTTTCCCTGATAAAAACCGCCAAGCAACGATTTCCAATTGTTGGTTTTTTTGAAGCTTCCAAACACTGGCTTGTTGCAATGGGATATATACTGCTGGATCGTGCGCTGTTTAGGTTGAATATGCCATTGGCTGCTCATATACTCGCCAATCTATCAGCTCACTGCATTGATACACCGCACAATAATCAAGCCATTAAGATATACGGAGCCCGACTTGCAAAAAGATATGGAAAACGTGACGAAGTGAGTTTTTTGAAACTTGATTGATACTTTTTGATTAAATTGCCAACTTACTTTGAAACCTGTATTTAGGCCTATCGACTATTCATGGAAGCATCGGAACCACCAGAAGAAGGTGTCATTGAAGGATCTCTCAATTACATTCCTGCTATGCTTGAACAAGCAGATTTGCTATTGGTACTGTAATCTTTGAGCCTGGATCGTGTATATTTGTGTGGATTTAGTCAAACAACAATCTGACACGTTTTATTTTAGGAAGAGGGACGAGAGGGAGCCATTGCTGCACTTCCAATCACACTAAAATGTCTTGCTTTAGCAGACCAGTACTCTATGAACTTGATACGAATAATGGGTCTTGTCCGACTAAGTCATATCCTTGTTCATCTGCAATATTTTCGACAAGCATTGGATCTAATCACCGAGCTTCTACCAAGTGTTCTTGTGGCCGCGTCGGCTGTGGATCGTGGCTATACATACTTTGTGCACGCACAAATTCTAATAGCAGCCATGGCTGGCAGCGATCGACCCATAACTGGTTCAAACGCAACTGAACCTTTTACACTTTTGGAAAAAAAAGCAGTTGATCAGTCAGTGAAAGAAGCAACTAGGCTGGCAGGCAATAACACGGATAAACGTATAGTGACTAGCACTCTACATTCCATGCTTACCACCACTTGGGCTTCTGTTATATATTCATTGAAAGAAGCAGAGAAATGTAAGTTTAAAGTGTATGTTTTGGCATTTAATCCTACTTGAGCTGATGGTTAAACACTGCTTTACTTTGTTAAACTATGACACGGCAATATGCAAATAGGTTATATAAATCTTGCTTCCGTATATCATCTTGAACGCTGCTACCACCTCATGTCACTTGCATACAATAGAGCAGGATTGATAGCTGAACGCAACGAAGCATGCAAAAAAATGAGGGCTCTTTGTATACCGTTTGAAGTTTCAGATGATGCAGAAAATGAGCAATATACATGGGAGTATCAAATTAAACATTAATGTACTTTTTTCAAACGACTCAAGTATGAAGTTATTGTCATGCTGATTTTATTTTGAACTGAAAACTTTTTAATCGTTACTTTTATGTAGTTTTATTCTGTGGTGTTATATCATTGGCACCATTAAAATAAATTGATACTATCAAAATGATACGGATCTGTTTAATGAATATCAAGATAGTAACTCCTATGAAATAATGCATAGTTTAGAACATATTGGCAATTGTTTAGATATTACTTTGAACTATATCACGCCAATATCAAGCATGTCTATTTTACCTGTCGTTGTTTTTCAATCATTGATTCCAACTGACCATTTCGAAATGTTAGCTCATCTTGTTTTGCCTTGAGAGATGCAATCATGTCGTCCTTGTGACGCAGTGTTTGCCTGACCCGCTCCTCAATGTGCATCATCGTTTCTTCCTGTTTTCGTATTATATTCAGTTTATATATTGATAATACATTACCAAGTAATCCAAGCTAAAATCACTAAATTGCTTTTACGGCAACCGAGTTCCTTACCTTGTCTTTCATGATGCAACTCAGCTCGTGCTGATACTTTCGTTGTAATACTTCAGTCTGCTCATTCAATAATAAAATTGCTCGTTCTTTGGTATCAATTTGATCATGAAACTCGCCTCGAATGGTATTCATTAGCGTCTCTTCATCGACTTTTAGTCGTGCCAGCTCACCTTTTTGTTGACGGATCGTTGCCTCTTTGCTACAAGTTTCGTGTTGGATCTTTAATACTTCCTTTTGAAGTTGCCGTCTATGCTCTTCCAGCTGGCAAATGGTATTTTGGGCTGACAAAACTTTGTCTAGAGCCATACTGTGCTGGTCACGTAGGTGCTTAATCTCATCGGCAGTTTCAGCTTTAAGTCGCTCCATGTCCATGCGGTATTTTCGTGTAACATCGCTGGAGCTAGAGTTGTTTTCTGACTCTAACCGTTGAATGATCATTTCTAACTCTGCATCTCGTTCCTTTATCAACTTGTCTTTGAATGATTTCTGTACAAGGTAAACCAAATATATGAGCCATACATTCATATAAAAAGTCAAAATACTTGCCTATTGAAGCACACTAAACAATGGTTGATTGCAAGTATAAACTAGATTTTGCTTTTACCTCTTTTGTACGAATGTCAGCTTCCATTTTCTTTATATAACAATCCTGCCATTCCTCTTTTTCCACTTGCATTTTTTCCTGCAGTAATTTTAGCTACAATTATGCAACCATTTGATAATTAAATTGTAAATAAAACCAGTTATAGCTGAAACAATCAGTCAACTACCAATACATCATACATCGGCCTCATGCTTTTTCTTTAGCGCAGACATGTCTTGCTCCATCGAGACACGATCTGATTCCATCTGGTAACGTAGATCTTCAATGGCCTTTCGGTGAGTTTGATCATCAAGGTTGCGCTCTTCTTTAAACGATTTTAAAAGGTTATGTTTTTGCTCGTCGAACTCGGCACACAGTTTGCGTTTTTGCTGTTGAAACTGTAGTAGCCAAGCCATAATGTATTTGAAAACGCCAATGGTTTTTAAAATTTAGCATCATTTTCAGCAATACTGCTAATTTAACTGTATAACCACTGTTTTACCTCCATCTCATCTCTTTCCAGTTGTTTTAGGTATCTCTGTCGGCCAAATTCTCGCTCGTCTTCGCATGCCTTTTGACGCTCAGCAACGCTCCTATCTCTTAATGAATCCTATAAATTTAAAAATAGAGTTAAAATAGAGTCTATACTGCAGTTATATCATTTAAATTAACTTTACAAGCTGCCGTTGGTGCTGTTCAATGAGTAGATTTTTCTCCTTGATAAACTGTTCACGCGACTTTTCCTCCAGACCCAAGACTTGTGCCTTGTGTTGCTATATAAACCAGCCCATGCAGTCATGAATTGGCTTTAGCATCATCTATTTGTTATCGGTACCAAATTAGGGTTTTAACTTACAGCAATCATGCGCTGAATCTCTGGTTCAAGACCCTTGACTGTTTGATCTTTGATTGATTTTGTTTTATCTTGGATCCATTTGTCGCGCTTGATCTTCTCTGCAGCTTGCCACATATCTCGCTGCTGTTTAATATCTCTCGCCTGCTGTTCTTCTACAGTTTTCATCTGTACTCATCATATTTATAAACTATGAGTTTAACCCCGTAATATCAGGATCTAGTAGCATTAAGTTGAAATGTGTGGTTTGGATTACCTTTGCAGTAAACTGTTTTTCCATTTGTTTGACATCAGCAGTCAATTCTTCGCATTTTTTTGACAATTCCTCCTTTTCTGCTAAAAGCTTATCGATGAATCCAAGATGACGTTTTACAATTGTTTCATACTCTTTTCTTTGTAACGATAGCTGGGATTTTAACGTTTTTTGACTATCATTATTTCACACAGTTTGCACTTGTTTAGTCATGTAGATTTGTCAGCAATGCAAACATGATATAATCCTTCAAAAAGCATGCTCAACTGTTGAGAAAACTGCTCGACAGTAGTGTCTCGGGTTTTTTTGAGTTCTGTTTTTAATAAATCCACCATTCTCGACTTTTCTTCAATCTCCATTTGCTGACCCAATATTTTTGCCTTGACTCCATCAAACACGGCAGCTATTGAATTGAATAGATTTGATGATCAAATCAATTTAGTTTATGATGGTAGTAGAGTTGTACTTATTTTCGGTTTAATTCAAACGTATCATTATTTGAAATACCTGTTTGCTCCGCTGGTCCTTTGGCAGCAGCTGTTATGTGAGATGGATTTCTAAACAGAATCGGTAAATACGTGTATTAGTTTTAAAGTTGCATCCATTGAATACAACCACATGCGTTTCAAAAAACTTGATGCAAAACAAGCCAGTCAAGACCATAACAGACAAAATTACTTTAAAAATTCAGACATTGACTCAATGGTATTGGTAACCGATAGAGTTGAATCCGTGTATCGTTTATCATGTTCATTGTCCTCCATATCAACATCTTTCAAAAGTCCTAATATGCGATCAACTTGCTTTGACACGACCGAATCATTGATTGTCGAGTTTGATTTTAATGATACTGATGATTGTATATAAGATCTGCATGGTTCAGTTAAATTCAGTCTATATGTATTTGATGGCACCGAGTTTGAATTTAAAGACGGAGTGACAGGTGTTGGATCAGCAGTCGAGCTGTGAAACAAGGGCAACACAGTAGAACTTTTTGTTGGGCAAGTTTCATTTGAAACCGATGATGGAATATGTCCAACCTCAAATTTGTATTCGACTTTTGAGGGATGATGTGTGATTGATTGGTAAGATGAAGTTCTAGAACGATCGAGTGATTTGGATGGATTGCTGAGTGTACTTTTTGGCTCGATTAAAGATTGCTTAAAAATGGAATCATTTTCAGCCTGAGTATGGGTAGAGTAAGTTGGCCTAGTGCAAGAAAATATTGTGGTATCGTTTGAAACGTCGAATTGATCGCGAATTACAATTGGCTCCAAGGTTGCGATAATTGGACTATGTGTATCAGAATTAATGGAATCAAGTTTAGGTGTAGTTTCTGTTTCTGCATTTTTAAGTTCTGAGGTAGTAGTTGTTACGATCAAATTGGCTGCTAAATATTCATCTGTACACTTGAAATCGGTTTCATCCTCATAATCGTAGTTGTAATCATAAACACTTGAAATAGGAGTTGCCGCGGAATAAGCTTCTGCGTTGTAGACTGATGTTGTATTGATTTCGGCAGGCAAGTCCTGACAAAAAATCTCGGTATCTATAACTGATTTTTGCTGCTGTGGTATTTTGGCTTTTACTGGAGAAATTACATCATCAGATCGGCACGGCTCGACACTGGGAGCAATCAATGGCTTGCTTTCACTTTTCTGCAGCATTGCCATTTCTTTAATAATCTCCTAAATGCAAGCAGTAAAACGTATCACTTGTACATTAGTGAATGCTTAGTAATACCTATATTCACATCCATTTGTATTGAAACTCGATTTACCTGTCGTGCAGCATTTGCAAGCTTTTGGCGTCGGATTTTAGATTCAGAATTGTCCAGTTGATTATCCAAATCTGATTCTTTAATAAATGATTGAGTTGGGGTGTTTTTAATATGTGCATCCGAAATCTTATTTTGTAATGACTGATTTCTTTTAGACATGATTGCATGATACCATCGTTGAATTATCAATGCATTTCTATTCAGTCTCTCCATAAACGTTTCAACTGGCACACAGTGACTATTTTCATTCCTTTTTGCAGTTTTTTCAGCTGCATTGCATTTCAAATGAGATTTAGTGGCTGAAGCAGCTTGAGTTTGGCGAGACGTCTTGATGGATCTGGTTGATGACTTGGAAGAACACGTTGAGGAAGCAGTACTGACTGTTTTGTTGGCTTTTTTAAAACCAGCGGTTGATTTTGAAGTATTGTTTGACATCAAGGTTGTTTGAGGTTTGGGGGATGATGTTGGCAATAGCACTGAACTCCCAGAAAAGTTTAATGTAGATGTAGCAACAGTACGCAAAGGCAGTGGCTTGGTACTCAACAAAGCTCGAGATGCAAAAGGCTGTTTTGATTTAGATGGCGAGCTTGAGAAAGATGTCGTACTAGATACAGATGACTTGGAAGACCTTGGTCGCTGCAATTGACTCGCAGAAGAGTTGTATGCAGACAATAGTCCATCCATTTCTTTCATAATTCACCAAACTTTGTTTGAATGCTTTATATAAGATATAAAGTCGAGTACTATGTGGGCCTATTTAAGTTGAACACTGGGATGAGTTATTCAGGTCGATCTGGTTCCAGCCAGATATATTTCTTCTACGCGTTTGGCTGATATGAACACAATAAGATGGCACGACACTTTACTCGACAAGTATAAGCTATTAAATAGCAGCTTTATCTAAACAAGATGAACACGGTACTTCCACCACCGCTGCCTACCAAGACAATTATTTCCAAGACATCGGATGTTTCTGCTCCTACTGGGTTGAGCCAAGCCAAAGGCGTTGCACTACTGCCGATAAACGAAGAAGACGAACCCAAAACCTATTATTTAGAAGGTAGTTAAACACAACCGTCATTACCAATGGTATAATTGCAAGATGGTAAAGACTGGCATATGGCAGCTATTTTACTGATTTGATGTGTTTATAACTTGTTGCAGTCGCTGACCAAGCCTCGGCGGATGACTCTGATGACAACATGGAGTATGAAGATATTGCTGTAGAGCAATTTGATGACTATTCAGATTCTGATGTAGATGAAACTTTGGATCAAGCTGTAAGGAATATTCACGAAAAAGACTATTTTGGAAGTATGTTCATTTCGATACTGTGCAGATTAAACTACAGCATACTAGCACTAAAACCCACCAAATTCTCAACTTTTATGCTTATGATCAAACACTATAGTTTCATTGGATTCAATTACCCGATTAGTAGAGCTCACACCCACACTCACAAAGCACCCCGAGGTGATTGACGATTATATTCGCAACTACTTGTCAAGCAAAGGACTTGTTAAATCTCTCGAGACATTTCAGGCAAGTATTTTGATATAATTGGTTTTAAATTGCCAAATTAACCAACGAGGCAAAAGCAGCTTTGTTTAAATCAGAATATCTTTTTAAAAAATTGCTAATTATACATTGAAACCAATCCTATAAATTAGAACGAATGGTATGAGTTTCAGCAAAAAGAACGGCTTGCACCCGAAGATATTACAATTGTTCCCAATGTCTACCAAAAAAACCAAGAACTGTCTGATGCTTTACAAAAGCTACGTGTAGATGTAGAGACGTACAAGGACATTGCAAGTAAAGCTCGTGCTACATACGACAAGTTGCGCAAGGAGCGAGATTTTCATCGTATGCATCATAAACGTGTTGTACAAGAAAAAAATAAGTTGATTTCAGATATAAAGCGACTCAAGAAACACTATGAAAACTATGAGCCAACTTTGAAGCAACTTCAACACAAGTACGAGATCGCCATGAAAGAAAAAATGCTGACCAAAATTGAGCGTGATCGGCTGATCTCTAAAGTATGTTGGTATGGAGTGCTTTACTCAATTTTAAAATGCTATTGACCATTAATTTTATGATTGAATAGGTTGTTACATTGGAAGATAGTGTAAAGAATGCCGAAGTGGCATCTAAAGGTATGGATAGCAATAGGTTTTCATGATACTTGCTTTTTCAATTACCTATTTGTTATGATCAACTTTTTTAAATTTTGTATATTATTGTGTATATATTAGCTAATAACTGTTATTGATAGGTGTGTCGAAATCATCACGAACCAGTGCAGTGCAGCGCGAAATAGCTATTCCAGCCCCTCTTGGATCTACACGAACTACTCCAGCTCCACAAGACGGACAGCAGCAAGCGCCAATTCAAAAAAAATCATCCAGTTTTAAAGAAGCAGTACTTTTGGCAGATGTCAAAACCAATCCATTTATATCTACAGAATTTCCGACTCCCAAGTACGAAAGTTTCAAGCAAATTCATCAAGTCAAAGGCCATACATTGGCAATCAGTTCGTAAGAAATTTATGTTTTGAGACTTGTTATGCTAGACAAGAGTAAGCCAAGGGTTACTTTGGACAATTCAAAAACGCTGACTATTATTATACTATTGTACTGTGTAGCTTGAAATTTCATCCAAAAAAACCAATATTGGCCAGTGTTTCAGATGATCGCTCTTGGAAGATGTGGGCATTTCCATCTGGTGAATTAATCATGAGTGGCGAAGGACATAAAGACTGGATTGCAGACTGTGATTTTCATCCTCGGTAATAGTATGACTATTTGGAAAAAATTATGATACTGCCAACCAACATTATGCTTTATCATTAATATAGTGGAACACAACTTGCGACCGCTTCTGGAGATGGAACAGTCAAGCTTTGGGACTTTTCAAAAGGAATTGCTACACTAACAATGAGCGATCATACTCAGGCTGTATGGAGCTGTGCCTTTCACGATCATGGTGATTTTCTTGCCAGTAGTTCGATGGATCACACTGCAAAACTATGGGATATTCACACGTAAGTTGGTATAGAAAGTCTTGAATTGTGATTGAACCAGTATTAAACTGCGTGCACCATCAACTGGTTGAAATTATAGGGGGAAATGTCGACAAACGTTCCGCGGTCATACCGACTCGGTCAATCAAGTTGGATGGCAGCCTTTTACAAATACTTTATTCACATGTTCTGGGGACAAGACAATATCACTATGGGATGGCCGCACTGGTGTATGCACCCAAACTCTCTTTGGACACCTGAATGCCATCAATAGTGGGTGTTTCTCTATAAAGGTGAGCATTTCTGTACGAATCGATCATTTCTGATGTAGTAATTGGTTGCACTGATACTTTTTGGATAAAATCATACTTTAGGGAAATAGGTTTGCGTCGTGTGATGCAGATGGTATTGTCAAGCTTTGGGATCTTCGCAATACTAGCGAATTGGCATCAATGAACATGGGACCTCATGCAGCAAACAAGGTGGCATTTGATCCCAGCGGAGAGGTTTTAGCAGTTGCAAGTAACAATGGGTCTGCGCGATTGATTAATGTGAATGATAGCAGTAAGAGTCGTGACATCAAGGTATACCAAGATTCTGTTCAAACAGTAGTGTTTGATCGAACATCAGAGTATATGGTGACTGCAGGCAGTGACGGAATGTATCAAATATTTCAATAGAAACTATATATTGGCTGTCATGGTTTGACTCGAACACTCATTGAATATGCTTCAAATAAAGGAATGATGCTATCAAAACATTGCCCTTTGATTATATAGTCTGACAACTGCCATCATCTTGAAATGTTGGAGTAATTTGGAATCAATCGAGAGCAAACATCAATACAATTATGATTGATGAAAACTATTTCTAGTGCATTGTAAAGTAGAAAATAGCGATTTAAAAGTTTAAAATTATTCAATGATAAATAGAAATAGGATTGAAGAGTATTTTAATAAATGTTGAATAGACTGAGATTGGATCTTGAATGGACTGAGACTGGATCTTGAATGGACTGAGACTGGATCTTGAATGCTATATGGAAATAGTAGAATCTACATGAATTCGCTCTGTTCAACATTCAAGAGTATCAGCTAATGTAAAGCAATTCTAATAAAATGTCAAGTTAACTCAACTACAGACCTTGACTCTTTCCATCAACTATTACCGTAAATATACATTATTATGGCTGGTCCAACAGTTCCTACTATGCTGGGAAACTTTGGTCTTGTTAATGAAGCTGCAAGAGAAACAGCCTATCAGTTGGTCATTGCTGTAAACACCACCTACACTGTTGCTGCTCAGCTGTATGCATCCATTCCAGGTTCTCAGATTCTGTATCGCTACATCAAGGCATCGTATCAAGATGATCCATTCCGCACTCTGTTGGAAGCTGGTTTGATTTTATTTATGGTCTGGTATTTCGTTGCCAAGAGATATCAGCCTGGTCAAAGAGCCGAGGTCGAACTGACTGAAAAGGTGTTGCAAATGTCATGTTTATATTCAATGCTGTCTGCCAAACACCGATAGCTAACCCAGGTCAGGACTATACAGGAAATTCAAGATCTTATCGATGAGTGGGAGCCAGAACCTTTGACTCCTAAGCTCACCAAGTTCCAAACAGATGAGCTTGCCAAAACCCCTGTGTTTAGCTCGTGAGTCCATTGTTGTAGCTCATCTATCTGGTCTAGTTTTCTGGCAACTGAACCGGGCTGTTGTCTTGGCTCTAATAGCCAACAACACTCTATCCAGCACTCTACTGACTACACTCATGATTTGCTTTATTTTATGCAGGATGGCCGGACTTAAAGTCAAGTCTGCTGATGGCAAGGAAAGACTCAATTGGGCTAGTTTCAACTTTTTGGGAATTATGAACAACGAAGCAATCAAGGTTGGATTCAAATGTGATGTTTATAGATTTGCCACTGGTTTATAATTATGCTTTACAGATTCAGAGTGCGCTAATCACGATAGTCTTTGGAATAGGAAAAAGCAATTGCTGCACTCCGAAAATACGGTGTTGGAAGCTGTGGACCTCCAGGTTTCTATGGAACCCTTGATGTGCATGTTGAGCTAGAAGAAAGGATTGCTCGATTTGTTGGATCCGAAGCGGCAATCATTTATGCTCAAGGCTTTGCATGCATTTCCAGTTGTATCCCAGCATTCGCCAAACGAGGCGATATTATTATTGCGTAAGCTCATAGTGCTACAATCAAACACTTTAGTTTGTTTTTAACATGTCTCTATTTTTACCAGTGACGATGCTGTTAGTTTTGCTGCTCAAAAGGGAATGCAGATTTCTCGTGCTCAGATCAAATGGTTCAAGCACAACGATATGGGAGATCTAGAAAAAGTGCTGCGTAAAGTTCAAACAGATTGCGCCAAAGTATGGCAGGATTTGTTGATGCTTGATTGCATCTCGATGTATTTGATGGAGTTTTTAATTTTTGTATAATTTTCAAATCTATCCATTTTATTTCCAAGAAACCGTTAACACGCAGGTTTATTGTCGTTGAAGGTCTCTATATAAACCTTGGAGATATATGCCCTTTTCCCGAACTTGTAGCTCTTAAAAACAAGTACAAATACCGCCTGATTGTAGAGGAGAGCATGTCTTTTGGCGTACTTGGTCCTCGTGGTGCAGGTATTGCTGACCATTTTGGTATTCCGGTAAGTTTAACTTTTGATGGTTTTGCTACTAAGCTTTGGTCTTGTCATATTTTACTGACGTTTTCCTTTTTGTTTAATATGCGATTTTTGGATCTAGAGTTCGGAAATTGATATTATGGTTGCGTCTATGAGTAACGCTCTTTCCTCTGCGGGTGGGTTCTGTGCCGGATCAAAGGAGATTGTCGAACATCAGCGACTTTCTGGTCTTTCTTACACATTCTCTGCATCACTTCCAGCAATTCTTGCTGTGGGTGCTATTGAAGCATTGAATGAGTTAGAAACACAACCAGAAGTACTTGGTAGGCTTGCAGAAAACACCAATATTTTGAAATCCAAACTTCAGAAAATAGGTGGTGAGTTTGTATTAAATGTTTCATCTGCACCAGGATCTCCTGTTATCCACTTGCAACTTCAATCTGGATCTAACCGACAAGAAAACGACCGAATCCTGCAAGAAATCGTTGATTTGGCGCTTAAAGACGGCATACTTGTTACTCGTGCCAAGTATGTGTATAATCAAGAGCATAATCCACCACCACCTTCAATACGTATTATTGTGTCTGCTGGATTTACTGCTCGTGAAGTTGAACGTTGTGGTGTTGTGATTTGCGATGCTGTTAAACGTGTATTTAAGCAATATCGTCTAGATAGTCGCTAAAATGTCGATTCAATTTGGTATTGATTTGAAAATGCATCAACTAGGATTAAATAGTTGTGTGAAGCCGAATCATTTGTTTATGGTATTACTGGTGTGGATATGTCCATTTAATGTAATGGATTGATAAAAGCAAGTCAATTTTTTGTACACGGGTTAACATGGCTATAAAAATACGACTATCTATTAGTCATGGTAGTTTACTATGGTCCGTTAAGCAGACCAAAACGATGCGCTTTAAACCTTTTTTGGTTTGTGGCATGCTTACTATTGAGCTATGTCGGGTACAACCTTATTTTTGTATATTGAGATATCACCGACTTTTTATAACCAGTGCATTGGTGGTAAATTTTTACTAAATACAATAGATTTATATGGTAAAGCGCGAAGGAGAGCCTGATGATAGCTGGGACAATCTCGAATATCCGAGCACAGCGATAGTTTCTTTATGGTCAGTATTGGACGACGGTGGAGTTTTGATGGATGACCAAGAGGCGATTTTGAGGGTAAATGATAAAAGAGCCACGGATTCGAAAATCACCTCACATCCTAGACAAATGGTTGCCAATTGATAGAATAGACATGCAGGATTGTAATAGGGCGAATCAGGCGGATAACTGCCAAAAAGTCCACTACTAATAACAAACCCGACCGCAGCAATCCCTAATACTGTTCCCAAGACCAGCGGCACGGTAATCTGGTAGCTTTTTGAGTTGGAGATGGGCTGGCCCAGATTTTGGTGGTGGATAAACAGCTGTTTGGAAATAACAACTGTTTGGTACATGCTCACAGAAGTGATCCAAATTACTTGGAGGGGTAAACCAATACTATGCCACTAGATATACGATCAGTTTGTCAACACCAGTGATTTATACCATACACGTTTAAAACTTGGATTTAAAGTAAAACCAAAGCATATAGTTCAAGATGCATCTACTCTCGACACAAAGTAAGACTCACCCATATAGTAAAACGGGTAGGATTTCCGAACAAAAACATATAGTCTGCCCAACAAAAGAAAATATGAATCAGTACCAATACCATGATTGCTCGAGGTTGTCCAATCCGCTCAGTTTCGCGGGCTCGTAAAAGCGCTGAAAATGCAATCCGAATCTCTAATTGAAGTAGCATCAAACCCAAAAGACATAGCAGTCCGACAACTAGACTAATGCCCATAACGATACTAGTAAAACTCCCCATTGGCATATACATGATTAAAAGCCCAACGATTTGGGAAATAATGGCGGCTGCGTTGATAATGACAATCAGATGGGGAAGTGACCACATTCGTTTGGAATGTGCAATGGAACAGATAAAATATGCCATGACTAGTGCATTACCAAATATGACGATGATATTGATAACCAACACCAGTAGATTTTCTGGTTGTAGCAATTGGGCAGTGGAGAGGAGGGGAGCAGACATGTTACTACCGCCGTATTCACGTAAATGAAACACTAGATAGGAATATCAAAATCTATAATAAACAGTTTCATGAAACGATTGATGCCAATTTACGCCAATTCATTGGTCAGCATTGTGTCCTAAACTCTAAAGTTTGCGGGTCTTCTCCGCCGTGCCCATTTTTGTATAAAAAACTGTATGAATGATCACATCACAAGTTCAGTAAATCTCACTTGTTCAATCTCCAATCCTTCTTTCATCCAAATTGGGCATTACAAGAAATATTGGGTGATTGACATGGAAATAGCAGCTGCATTTTCGAGACGTGCAATTTTGTTGTCTTGAACTAAAACGCGAATGTACAAGTTTTTAGTTTCGTTGATAATATCAAAAGTCGACCCCAATATCTGAATTAAAGTGGGTAGATCTGGTGATTGTAGAATGTATGGCTATGTTAAAAGTGGATCATCTCAATTTAAAACCATAGCTTGATTGTATTATATGATGGACATTGTTTAAAAGAATTGTGAATATCTATTAAAGTCAATCTGTAGTAGGAAAGCGCAACAAATATTGTACATTACAAAGCAGAGTCACTGTAAGATGATGCAAAAGGAATCTGGTGTATAAACTATCTGCCCATAGCAATTGAAGTGTTGGAAGTTGAACTGATTTCAGCCTCCAATTCCATCATTACTCTTCACGAGGTAAGGGTCTAGTTTGGATCAAATAAGGCTCACGACTACTTTTTACATGGCCCACATGATCACCTGAAAATATGGATTACAGCCGTATTCACGTAAAATGGAACTAGTATTTATCTCGCACTGTTTTGCTTTGGAATAAACAATGCTTAAATATTCGTTCCGTTTTCCTACTAGACATTGGCTGCTTATTCAACATTATCAATTCTTCCTGTGTATGGGATCGCCCGCCCTACAAAACCATTCCTTATTCAAGCAATTGCCATCAGGGTTTAGGAATAGGCAATATGGAACTCTATACCTCGCGACATGACTGTTTGTTGAACGGCTGGCAAGCCATGTCTAATCAGTCAATTTGTAGCCTTGTGAAATGGTGTATTGTCTAGAATCAAATAGATATTAGGACATGTTTTTTCAGAGTTGTTATCAAGGAGTTCAGGCGACACGATGTTCAGTAAATTTAGCGGAAACTGGCATCAATGATTTGACAAAGTGGCTGTTTACTATATATTTTGGCATCCTTATTTAGTGATCCATTTTACGTGAATATGGCGCAAGACTCCTTTACCCGAATCTAAAAAGTATATTGACTTGTCCACAACAAAAATTTCCGCAATTTTTACTGCTATATCACTAAAATACATTTTAAACAGTCCAGAAAATATCTATATAAATTATTGTCCAGCAGCAGTAAACTCAAACAATATATTTTGCACCACCAACATCAAAGATACCCAGTGGTCGTAATAGCCATGTCAGAGGCAAAAGCGCGTTCGAAACCGTCTTCAGCTATGGCAACAACAGCTCTAGTCAAATCCACAAAGGTTTCACAGCCTCGATCAAGTAACCGCCTTGGATCCTCTGCCAGTCCTAATAAGCTGGTATACGCTTACAAGCATCAGGCATCACCCATCATTTCTTTACAAACACCAAAAGAATCTAAAGGTAAAGTATTTTGAAATGGCAATTCTAAATTTGGCAATATAGCTCAAATCTTGATCGGCTTAACATTTAGCCATGTATTAAATTTACCAAGAATCGTTTGAAATGCATGCCACACACAGTGATATGAACATTACAGATTCACAATCAACAAAACCGCATTTTGAACAGATCGATCTGTCTGTAAGTGATGTATTAGATTTGAAAAGGTGGTAATACATCGAGGATTGTGCTGTTTTAACATTATAACTCGCTGATTCGAAACAAATGAACAGGATACTAATGGAGTAGCCTCAAACACGCAGCAGGCACCATCAATCAAAGGATCAGCAAGACTTGAGGAAAATGCAAGTATATTGCCATCGAGCCATCCGAATATCAATGCTCATCCACCGGTATCGACTAGCTTGAGTGTGGATCAGACACAATCGCATTCATATCTCCAACTTTCTTCAACACTGGAAAAACGATCTGTAACTCGGCCAACCAGTGCTAGTGTACAGAAACAAAAAGGCTATAGTTTATTGCAGCGACCAGATGGGATCTCGTCAGGAGCGATTCCGTTGGCGTCCATGAATAGCTTAAATATGGGAAAACAGACTCTTGGATCGTCAGTATCTAAACAAGCAAGCAATAGTATCCAGCAACAGACATCGAGTCAGTCCTCACGACAACAGAAACTAAGCCAAGTCCCGGCTAACAAGAGTGTTCTCAAAACAGGAAACGCATCTGTATCTGCCAATTCTATTGCAACCAAGTCATCAAGGCCTGTGTCTGCCATCCATTCAGACACATCTACAGCCTCTGCTTGGTCCAAGAGATATACTACTGCTGGTCCAGAAATATCGATTACTCAACCCATCCTGGAATATGCTTCGGAGCAGCCGGCCGAAACCAACATTGGTATTCTGCAAGATTCGACCCAGCGACCAAAAACATCCCCAGCTACGTTTGGAATGGGTACGTTGATCGAAGGAGAAGCAGATCAGTTTAATGATGGATCCATGTCTACACCTGTATTGGGCGAGGCAGGCACTCTCAAGTCTCGTCCGTCTAGTTCTGCCTCGACTCAAGGACAGTCGACAGCCATGTCAAAAAAACCTCTTGTTACGGTAAGATTTAATGACAGTGAATCTTGGCTTTTCCAGCATTTTATTGCTATCGGGAATAAACTATTGCAGTTTAGAAGCGAGACACTATTATTATTTTTAGGCTCGCTGCATTGGTTCAAACTATTACACATGAAATGCTTATATACTCAATGGTTGGATCAAATAGTGACTGATTCATTTTTTGTTGTGATTACAATAATAGAGACCTACCTCATCTCGATCTCGCCAGCCTAATGCAGAGCAGTCTGCACAAGATGATCTTGTCAAGTCTCTTCGCGACCAGATCTCTCAGCACCAACACGACAAGAGAGAACTCACATCGACCAACCAATCCCTGATGGATAAGACTACAGTTCTTGAAAAGCGAGTCAAAGTACTTGAACAGCACGAGCAGCATTTAATCAAAGAAAAGGAATTGGCACTTCGGGATTTAGAAAACCATAGGCGTGCTGGAGCAGGTGAGCGCACAAGTGTGGATACACTTCGTGCACAAATTGCTGAAGAGCGGGCACAAAACGCATCGCTGATTGTTCATAACCGGTGAGTTGATACTGTTGACAAAATAGTGTTTTAAACCCATTTTAATTAATGTTATTTACGTATGGCTTTTGGCCGAGTAACTTGATAGCTCGCTCAAAACACAAATCTACGAGCTTGAAACAGTAATAGAGACATTAATGCAAACCGCACCACCAGATGCAGCACGGCAGGCAGCAGCGGCACTCAAAGGTATCTCCTAATATTTGAGCCAACACTTGACCAATGATTACCCATACCTATTTGATGTGTTACATTTCAATTCATGTATGCCATACACTTGCAATTTGACACGATACATTGACCATGACCTTGAAATCATTTCTATACACTTTACCGTTGCTTTCCATCAATAAATATATAATCAATATTCTAGTCTATAACCACTATTTGATCTCATAAAGTGTATAATCGCGAATACAAGATAAAGGGTATATAATTATATTTGAATTGTTGCCACAGCATATCATTGAAAATATATCAAGATCTAACAAGGCTTAGTCAAGCACACTATTCATGATTCCAGTCACCCAACTACACTACTGATTGCTTCTGGACGCGACTGGACAAACAAAAATCGTTGAACAGGTGGCAGCGTTTCATTTGCTAAAGGTGATCGAAGCATTCGCACATCGTTGAGTGATATTCTTCTATAATGCATATCAGCACAACCCAGCAACATGCAGTTAGCAGTGTTTGACAAGAATCAAAATTTGGAACAGTAATATAGTCGCAAGACATACTTGTGTCGGGTATCCACTGTATTTGGTCTAGAATTTAATGCAAGAGTGTTTATATCACTAGATACCCTGCTACGGCCTCTAACGGAAGAAGAAAGGGTTGAACCAGGATGACCAGAAGAATGAGCAGCACCAATCCCTTCAGTAGATGAAAGTTGCATAAAATTAGAGCTAGTATCCAAGCTTGCATGCATGGGTTTTAATTTTTGATTGTGTCGTGATGTTCCAACATAGTTTCCCCATTTACCGACACCACCCATACGTGGTAGTGATGATGCATGTGTATTTTTACAACGGCTGTTTTGGTTATGTTTGAGTGCTGAACCTAGTGGATCAAACGATTGATTGGATGGCAAGTCTTGCATTCCATCATGCAACTTTTTTCCACACGGCAAAGATGACGAGTCTCTACGATTTAAGTTAATAAAGTGTAGCATGCCCATGCTTTCAAGTGGGTTGTTAGAGTGACCTTGAAGTGTGCCGTTTTTATTAGAGCACGATTGCAAATCACGTATAGCAGAAATAAATTGCTGCTGAATCGGATCAATCATGGTTTTTGTTGGAAGCGTTGCAAACAATGGTGATCGAAATAGAAAGTTTAATTCGTGATCAATGACTTGATCGAGTGAATGTGCCGACAGGGTAGACTTTACAAAACTAATTGCAATGTTATATATTCCCTAAATGTGCACAATACATATTTATTTGTAGTGCCTTGTTAATGATTGTCGACATGATTAGATATTCAACGCTTACCTCGAAATGATATCTTTCTTTGGCTAAACCATGCGATTTTCGAGAGTTGTATAGTAGTAGAAAGCAATACGACAATGAAAAGTTGTGTAATTTGGTTTTTGTTTCATGGCAAGCATCTGCACTTGAGATGCCTTCTATTGAGAAAAGCTCTTGCCTATAAAACAAACCAAATAAGCATCAAGCCATTTAAATTCAGTAAAATATTGGAGATAAAATAGTGCAAAAAGATGCATTCTACTGGTTAAAATATCATTAAACAATCCTACTTTGAAATTTCATTTACTTGGCGAATGAATGCTGGAGGAACATTGTTCCAAGACTTGGATGCTTGCTCTTGAGCTCGTACAAGCTGCTCACGAATAAATGCTTGCACAAAAAGCACACCTGCTTTTAGAAAATTTTCAAACTCGATCGAGTCGAGGACTTTTTGAAGTTCCCGATTAGGTTTTATCGCATGGGTGATCACTGCTTCACCTATTCTTCAAAAGCATAGCATCATCAATAGTTTAAAGTGTATTTATATTGATAATCTATACGACTGGATTATATATGCGCCATGTACTTACGAATAAAATGGTCGATATCAAACTGCTTTGTGTCTATAACCAAAAGGCGTGTAGGTTGCCTATCAGTGTTGAAATAGCAGTCGAGATGATCTGATTAAATAGGGTTTGATGTATCACTTGTATTTGCAGCTAAAGCATCATCAAACAGTATAATATATGGAATTGATGCTGGATTACCTACCGCACTTCAATTGGAGTAAACATGTTTTTGGAGTGGGAAATGATTGGTGTTGTTGGTACTGAAGGACGCGACCCATATGCATCTAATTGCTCCAAATGTAGTCCACTAACAGTTTCCAGAACGCATGGCCAGTTACAAAGTGTCAGAATACTCTATTATTTTGATCCAGAGTTTAAAGCGACAATACTCAACTCTTTAAACGATCCTGTGCCTTTACGAGTCGCTATGCTTGGTGGTTTTACTGATTGCTTGCGACTTTTTGTGTTTGTAAAGTATTTACTTGGTTCCAATTGGCTTACACCTGTCTGGGAAAACGATACGGATGATCGTCTCATGGCTGTCAAGAGTAGTACAACGAGCAAAAGTAGCTGTTTCAGAATGGCGAGTTGAGTTGCAAAGCACGTTTTCAATTAACTTGTGCAGGGAAATTCATTGGCCACTGACTAAACATGTAAGCGTGTGTAGGCTTGCATATTATTCCAACCCCATTATCCAAAAAATATAAAAACGAGATTTTAGTGTGCAATATACATTTTTGTATTTTAAAAATGTCATTTTAATCAAATGTCGCCAGATGTTAGACTGGAAACCCTTGCAAAGTTAAAAAAGGTATGAAAACATGGCAGAAAAACAAGACACGCAGAATGTATGCAAACAGAGAGAGACTACCAAGTACTGTAATATAATGAAGATGTGATCATTGGGAGACTGCTTGCGTTCCAGCGCGGAACAGTTGTGAAAAAAATCCGCCAGTGCTACGTTTTCGTTGTTGCATGTGTTGTTGAGCAAGCAGATTTTGCTGGTGTTGGTTTTGCAACTGATAGTGATGCTGCAATTGGTGGTGTTGTTGGGAATACATACGCTGTGATGCAGTTAGCGGGAGATTGCTAGAGACATCTTGCTCTTCGCGCTGTATAGTCCATGGACAGACCTCGTGAATTTTACCCTGCTGGTTGAGGCCCTTGCGCTGACATGTATCATCAAATCCAGAATCACGACGAATATGTGACTGATGGAGCATTGCAGCCTCTGCCTCGGACTGTGGGTGGAAAAAACTTGAAACTACGGTAGGCATATTGGGTTCATTGGCAGACGATGAAACCCCATTTGCACGCCAAGGGTAAGAGATCAAGGTGTTTAAATAAATTTCCAATTTTTGGACCTTTGTGGCAGGATCCAGGAGTTGATAAGAGCTAGAAAAAGGAGATTCGGGAAGCGAAACGGTAGGACATTGACAGACAATCTGTCGATGCAACTCAACCAAGTCGGTGGTGGAGCGAATCATCACATGGCTACAAGCACCGCGAATTACTTTGATTCTAAACTCATCGCCAGTAGTGCGTCCAGTAGCACGAACAGACATGACGTCGGCAAAGATGACATGAGGCTGAAAGCGCAAGAGAGTAGCCCATTCTGCAGAGATCTGAAACCCCTGCTTATGATTGGAGTTGGGCTGAGAGCGAGGGATGGCAGCATCTCTGACTCTGTCCATAGTACTCGATGTAAAGTGAGTAGCATTCTTGGCTGGCACAGCTGGAGCTGGTGGTAATGACACATGTGCTTCAGCCACAGTGGCTGCCATGGACTGTGGCACAATAGCAGCCTGTGGCGAACTGCGCTTTGCATGAGCCTGAGGGTATGCGGCAGTCTTGGCCGCAACCTGAGTTTCTGACTGAATCTGCATTTGGTCGGAGTTGGCCGCATTGGATTCATTTTTCTTGGATGTTGTCTGAGCAACCGCGGATTGGCGTTGACGGTCCGTCTTCTGTGAAGTAGACTGGCTAGGAAGACCATTGTCCCTGCTCATCAGATCAACCTCTTGGAAATAGCGGATGGGAACCATGCCTGATACAGCAGTGCGAGCAAAAGGAGTCGCATACTGGGTAGATACAAAGTAGACCCCACGCTCACTGTCAGCAGAAAGAGCATAAAACGGCTGTCCTTTGCGGAATGAGAGCAGATGTGGAGACGGAGAAATGTAATCGGCAATAGCCTTGATTTTGAAAATAGTGGATGCAAGTGCAGGCATTGTGAAGTACAAGTCGTAAAGTTAAAAGATGATTTCTGGATTGAGAAAAAGGTTGGTCTTTAAGAATCAAACTGCGATTGGAAAGGTTATAGCAGAACGTCGGAGTTGATACTGATCAAATTGTCGGATTCGAAATTTAATATATAGTTGAGGTGATCCAAGACAAAGTGTGAGCAGATGTAATAACAGCTAAATAGACAAGTCTGTTTATGTAGTGGATTTGTATGACTGGGTTGATGCCGGGTATACACAATATGGAAAGATGATAGAAATGACGATCCTTTTATCATGATGGTTTGTTTATTCAAAGTGTGCCTCTTGGTGTTGGGCCACTGAGCTTGTGCCTTTGTTGTATTGTAGTGGAGCTCTTGAGCCCACGGAAATGCATTGATGAGGCACTTGCTACGAATCCCAACTATCTACAAATGACTTATGGTCTACCGCATAGCACTGTTACCCTGCTATTGCTTGACGGTGCCTCTTATTATGAATATCATCTGCGACAAATGCTTTGACTTGCTACATATGCTTTGCAAATCTATTGACTTCACTTTCATTTTGACCCTCGTCATGCTGACTTGCTACACATACATCATACCTGATTATCTTTTTTTCAACTCTCCAGCCTCTAGTGCACCCTTCTTTCTGCAGCTCAAGATAAAAGGGTTAGGGACTCTGAAAAATATTTATATTCAATAGCCCAATTTATTGTGTTTCGGAAATATTAATAGCATCAAGCAAGCTGCAATAGCAGCCTTTCGGAAACGTGAATTCTCCATTTGTAAAACTGCACGGTTGTTTTAGGTTAATATAGACTCTACTGGTCGAGAATCAAAGCTCTTTCGTCATAGCAGAACCAAGATCGGCGAGTAACCGCTAGACCAAATGAGTGACGTCCTGCATTCAATCAAGAAGAGCAGCAGGTCGCCCGACAAACTGATCGTGTCAACAAGTCAGATTGTCGCCACGGCATAGGAGATATAAGCAATAGGTGTTCATGCCATTCAAGTCAGTACTTTTCTTTAAGCCGAAATTGGGTGGCCAACATGGAAATAACGGCTGTTGTATTCCCGAGACATGCAACCTTTGTTTTCTTTGGCTAAAATGTGAGCATATCTGTGCAATATTAGAATACAACAAATACAAGTTTGATTAAAATAGTCACTCAATATCTGAATTGCAATGGATAAACTTGGTGATCGTGCAATGTATGACTATACCAAAGGGAGGAGGGGATAATCTCAGTTTAAAACTACAGCTTAATTTTGTGTGTCATATAGAGGTTATTAAGGGATCTGTAAATGCTTTTATATTTTAGAATTTTCCGAACAATAACTAAAAGGATACTTGACATTCATTTGATTCTAGACAATACACCATTTCACAAGACTACAAATTGACTGATTAGACATGGCTTGCCAGCCGTTCAACAAACAGTCATGTCGCGAGGTATAGAGTTCCATATTGCCTATTCCTAAACCCTGATGGCAATTGCTTGAATAAGGAATGGTTTTGTAGGGCGGGCGATCCCATACACAGGAAGAATTGATAATGTTGAATAAGCAGCCAATGTCTAGTAGGAAAACGGAACGAATATTTAAGCATTGTTTATTCCAAAGCAAAACAGTGCGAGATAAATACTAGTTCCATTTTACGTGAATACGGCTGTAATCCATATTTTCAATCATTTCACTGTCAAACTATTATTCAGTACTTACCATTTGCAAGTGAAAGTACTTGCATAAAGCATGAACCCAATCATGAAAACTTCACCAACTACAGAGTTGCATCAACCAAAAACAACTGCAACTGGTCCTCTTCATGCAAAAAACACTCGCTTCTTCATCGATGCCATAACAGGACGCACAGTTCTCCTTCGAGGTGTCAACCTATCTGGCAGTGTAAAGCAACCTTACACGCCTCGCTTGCCATCACATTCATTTTTAACTGAAGAGTTTTTTGACCATCGCAATATATCTTTTGTGGGAAGGCCCTTTCCTTTGGATGAGGCTGACCAGCACTTTGCTAGACTGCATTCATGGGGATTCAACTTTTTAAGATTTAATACAACTTGGGAGGCTATTGAACATGCTGGGCCGTAAGTATTATTGCAAATGTTTGCATATTCATCATATCACTGTAGCAATGGATAGATATACAAATCCATATAGTATAGCTTGTAGCTGATATTTTTTCAATTTATTGTCTATTCCGCAATACCCAAACTATAGAGGAATATACGACCACGACTACATCAATTATGTTGTTCAAATTCTACTTGTAGCCAAGCGGTATGGATTTCGCGTATTCATTGACCCTCATCAAGATGTATGGTCTCGTCATTGTGGTGGATCGGGAGCACCTGGATGGTCACTGGATCTAGTAGGTCTCAACCCTCGCAACTTTGCTTCAACCAATGCTGCAATTGTCCAGAACTTATACCCTGATCCTGCCCACTATCCCAAGATGATTTGGGCGACTAATTACTACAAACTGGCTGCAGCAACAATGTTCACCTTGTTCTTTGCCGGCCGTATATTTGCACCCAACTGTCTTGTATCGGGTGTAAATATTCAAGACTTTTTACAATCGCATTATTTGGGTGCGGTGACTGCTCTAGCTAAAGCCATCCACGCTACGCCTGGGCTTGAATCGGATGTAGTGGTTGGGTATGATACGCTCAATGAGCCGTCATCGGGATATATTGGCTGCGAGGATATTACTAAGCTTATGGAGTCACAAGAGCTGCGAAAAGGCTTGACCCCTACTCCGTTGCAAACCATGCTTCTTGGCGCGGGCATTGCATGCCAAAACGTTCAGGTCTGGGACGTAGGCTCATTTGGTCCAACCTGTGTGGCCACCCAGACTGTTGATCCTCACGGTATCCGAGCATGGCACGACAACATACCTTGTATTTGGGCCGACCATGGTGTATGGGATCCGCTCTCTCATACTGTTCTCAAGCCCGATTACTTTTCCAAGCATCCTACAACAGGGAAGCACATTAATTTTCTCACTGATGCGTGGATGCCCTTTATCCAGAAGTTTGCCACCGGAATTCGCTCTGTCCATTCTTCTGCTATTATTTTTGTCGAGCCTCCTGTGAATGCCTATCCACCGAGTTTTTCCTCGAATGGAGAATATGGCAGCAACTCTTCGACCCACGCCCTTGACGGACCATTGTGCTTTGCTCCACATTGGTACGATGGGCTCACTCTCATTACCAAGCATTTCAACACGTGGTATGGAGTGGACTATCTCGGGTTTTTGAGAGGCCAGTATTCAAGCATAGCTTTTGCAGTGCGATTTGGAGAAGCAGGCGTCAGATCGACATTTAAAAGTCAATTGAAACTGTTGCAGCAAGAGGGTTTGGATCAAATGGGAAACTACCCTTGTGTAGTGGGTGAAATTGGAATTCCATATGATATGGATAACAGGCATGCATATCTTACTGGTGACTATTCGGCCCAAATCCAAGCTCTTGACGCCAACATGAATGCCCTTGAACGGAATCTGATGAATTTCACATTGTGGAACTATTGTTCTGACAACAACAATTTGTGGGGAGATCAATGGAATGGAGAAGATTTGAGTATTTGGGCACCGCCCATAGCAATGGTGGTCGCAAAAGAAGTAGAGAAACACATGTATGACTCGGAAACGAAAAGTAATTTGACTGCCGACGTGTCAACAACTGCTAGCAGTAGCAGCAAAGTAGAGACACTTACTTTTAATACTGACGGTGTGGTAGACCCATCATCCAGCAAGTCAGCTCTTTTGGCAGATGAGTTTTATTCTGGAGCTCATGAGGGATCTACTTTGCTAGATGCAGGAGCACGTGCACTTACAGCATTTACTCGCCCGTTTGCTATTCAAACTCCAGGCACGCCCATTGCTCAAGATTTCAATCTGAACCTAAAACAGTTTGTATACACGTTTGAGCATAGTGTAGATACTACAGGGGCGTGGATTGGCGATCCTAGGCTTTTTATGAACAAGGGTGAAAATGCCACTACAGAAATCTATCTCCCTCGTGTACACTTTTTCAATGAAATAGCTGACAAAGTTCGAGTGGTCCAAGTTTGGGTGTCCCATGGCGTATGGGACATCAAACCCAATTTGCAACGTTGTATATGGAGTTGTGGATGCAAACCCTCCTCGACGCTTAAAACTTCGAATCTGGATGGCGATGATATGGATGAAAGTCGTGGAGTGATTCAACACACAATCCGCATTTCGGCTATTTCGCGCAGCATCGCTTCTCATTTGGATGAAAAAGTACAGGCGTCATCTGGAAGTAAATTGGTACTGTTTGAAGAAGATCCAGAACAGGGTAGGGCAATTAGGAGCATCGAAGACGAGGAGTCTATGGAGCTGTGCCCTCAGTGCAACGTTATGTAGCTCGTTAGATGAACGTTAGCTCGGGCTTAAATGATTCGTATCATCCGTCTTGTAACCCAACTGTCATTCTCATTTTGCAAGACCTAGAATTTTGGCCAATCATTTTTTTCAATATCTTAATCAAATAAAAGTCTAATTCAAAAGAATGCGAATTCATTTAGTAGATGGTGAGATTTCAAGATTGTAAATCAAAATACACCCAAGGTCCTATTTGTACTATGTATCTGTACCTCGGACAGGGTACTATAACTGGACATAATTTCCTGGAAACTATAAACGACTCAGTTAGCATTCAATTGTATTATCAAAATGTAGTACGACAACTTACTTCGCCCTTGCGACCATCACATTCGCCTTCCCACCAGCTTTCAGTACTATCTGTGCGCTTAGTAACAATGACAATATCATCCTTCTTGAAACTCAGATCGGTCGGCTGCTCTCCATTAAAATCATACAGAGCGCGAGCAGCAAGTACACGAGGAGGAAGAACAGGAGGGATTGGAGGTGGCTTGCGTAAACCAGTGGAAGTTGTAGGTGTAGCAATATATCCGGGGGTAGGTGGCGAAACTTTAGAAGAACCGACTGGTCCTCCATAAGTATACGCTGGCAGATTACTAGAGTTATGAATGGGTGCCGACATAGGATTGGCCGTGTTTAATTCAGAGCCTTGTGGCATCTGTGGATTAGAAGCAGCTACACGTCTGTCCAAAGCACGATACAACACTTGAGCTGCATTTGGCTTCATGACTGATCCCGAAAGAATCTCGCGAGGAGTATGACGAGCATTATAAAAGGATGCATTGGTTTCTTTTCGTTCGACAATAACAGATCCTTCAATAGAAACTCCAGCAAAAAGTCCTTTTGTTTTTGAGTACGAGTATATAGCAGCTAAACATCCAATGGCTCCACTTGCTTCAGCGTTTCTACCAAAAGGGCCAGCAGCAACTTTGCAATTCAAATTTGTGTTAGTAAAGCTTACGGTTTAATTGCGTTGTGATTGCAATACAGTTGACATCGCACCAACAAGCTTCCAAGCTACATACCTGACAGATTTCCACCAATAGTGACATTTCCACCCATACTAAATGCACGAACCGCATCATCGGTATTTAAGATGATAACAAAATCGGTGATTTCCGCACCAATCTGTCCTCCAACACCCTATATACATGCATGTTCAGTTCCAAAACAAAATTAGTACATCAGATAGTCCCAGCAACAAAGGATATAGACATACCATTCCAGCAGTGCCCTGATTTTGAAACCGAAGCAGATTCATAAAAGTTTAGTAAACAGAAGCTCAATTAGCAAAAAGGTTGAAATTACACAATTGCATCCTAAACGAAAAACAGTTGTTGGTCTTACGATAGCAGACGGTGCAGACCAGGCTGTAAAACATATCAAACAACATATAGATGAGTAAAAGCAATACAAGCAGACTAATATATGGCTAGTCTGCCACTTTCAACAGATGCAAAGTATCAACAAACCAATAAGCTTCAAGCTCATTTTTGTTACGATCGCCAATAATTATAGCCAGCAAAAACAGACAACTTACATCCATCAGCGAGTCTATCCGTTGTAGCAAAGAATAACAGCACCATGTGAACATTGTTTCAATACCGAAACAAACAACCAATTAGTAACAAGACAATTCAGCAAGTCCGTAATAAAGCAATCCATATGGCTCACTTGGCAACAACAAGACCACTTCCGCCCCGTCCAGAAAAGATGAATCCTGCTTTGATGACAGTGATGATGGCAACTCCCTTGGCATTCGCTAGTTAGAAAGTTAGCATGCTGTTGTATCAATGCAGTTGGCAAGATTCTGGTTAGTTTGCATTAATGATTCTTACCCAGAATATGAGTGGGAATAAGCTGGTCAGGACCTTTATTTTTCTCGGGTTTAACAAAGTGGTCGATGATATTAGCGCATTTGCGACACTCGGTAGTGATGTCTGTAGGAATAGGCGAGTTGACACTAAAGGACACCATTTCGTAGTATGGGATCGATGCAAGTGAGTTTCAGAAAGAATATTAAATATATTGTCGAAATAACTGTCTTGAACAAGCGCAAGAAACCCTCTTTTGCTTAGATGGTCCATTTTCCGGTCCATCTTCCGGTTGACTTGCTACTGCTTACGATGCCACATAACGTGACTCTCGAGAGTCTGCAATCGATCTGCACTGCTTTAATAGTACAGCCATCTTCACGTAAACGAGCCTCTTCTATACCATCTCTTTGAACATAAATCATGTTGGAATCTTTGTTGCACTTTCTACAAATCAATGTCTTCAATTCTCCCTCTGTGTCTGGGATCACGCCCTACAAAACTACTCTTTACTCAAGCGATTGTCTACAGGGCTTATAGACACTATCAACTTCTATACCTTGCGACACTGCTTTTTGTTACACAATTGAAGACCATGTCATGAGATTGGTTGTTTATTGTATTTTGACACCCTTATTTAGTGTTTTATCAAGTGAATACGGCCGTGATGACGCGAATAGTTAATGATTGGTTCGCATTCTAAATCATGTCGTAACTGCCTGTCACTCATTTTTGTCTGTAGTGTTGATTTTGCTGTTTTTGAGTAATCCAGTGTTCCATTTGTTGTTTAAATTCTGTTATTAATCCTGCTGATAGATTCGTTTTCATTTTAAATTGATGCTCCATCTACCAAAAAAATTAAATCAGTTGGAGCATTGAATCCAATTGACAAACCCGCCAATGCCACAATCCATCATGTATTTGGAACAAGCATTTGTTACCTCAGACTGTCGTTGGCGAGATCGATCAAGAATCTCAGAAATAACTGATTCGTACTGTGTTGATGCTGAATCCGGTTCTTTGTCAACACCAATATGGGTGAGTGATTTGGATTGAATTGAATTGGTTTGTGTATCAATGCGTGGCAATACACGCTCATTTGAATCATCATCGGATTCATCAGAATAGCTTTCGCTATCCATCCCGTTCAAATCAGTAGTGTTGCTTGATGCTACCAATATATCTTCACTATATTGAATTCAACCAAAACACCAAATTGATTTTTAGAAATTAAACTCCATGTTTGAATATGCGGTATGTTTAGTATAACAACTTACATTCCACCAAATGTATGTTTTGCTAGTCGACGCTCAATGCAACCAACACGACTTTGATTTATTTCCCTGATACTTGTAATGCTGTTTGCAACTCGCAGTCTGAAATCTGGCGATTCCGCACATGGATTGTTTTGCATCATGAGATACTCGATAGATTTTGGGTATGCATCTGAAATACAATACCTGAATGGGTCAGTTTTGTATATACTCAACATGATGTATTCAATATAAACTGTACTCCACCTTTATCGAAAATAATAATTTGGTTGTCAGAGAGATCTAACAATTCCAAAGCAGTGCATTGTTGAATTCCTTGAACAGTTTTTAATCTGTTATGAGAAAGAATCAAAAATCGTATAGTATTTTGACAGAAATCCAAATTTGGAATAGAGTCCAGCATATTCTAGATTATATGCTTTAATTTAGTCTACCTCGATATCTGACTATCAATATTGCACTGTCTTGCAACCCATATAAAATAGTAAATGTTTGATCGACACAAAATCAACCTACCCTTGATAGGTAGAGATGAGTCATTCTTGGTAATCGGTATAGCTCAGCTACCTTTACAATGCATTCGTTGTCAAGTCGAACGTGTGTCATGATATTCATTTCCTCTAATCTGATAGCATTAAAGATTCAAACTGGATTACAAACAATATACTTTGAAAATAATACACCTGTTTAAGCAGCCTGTGATACACTATAACTTACAGCTCAGAACAAGATAATAACGACCAGTTGGGAATGTTTCGTTTGGCAATCATTGCAAGAGTAACCGTGTTTGGGATTTCTAAATGTTGCGTCCATTTAAACATCAAAGTTGAAAACACACTAGTTTATCAGCACTGATGTTTTTACATATTCAGTAAAATATTAGCAATCTTGATATAAAGCACCTGGTCCAAGGCCATTTTTCTTTATGTGTTGCATTAAACTTGGAGCTTCAGCCGACTAGAAGGATTAATTCGATTGGCAATGGCATAATCAGTATTATTTATGCTTTGTATTTGATCAAACTCCTGAAACCCATATTTTTAGCAAACCTTGGCAGTTAAAGAATAGGCCGAGACGGAATGCCTTTGCACTCCTGACACCTTTTGCACGGGTTTGAGTTGAGCAGATCGAGACTTGGACATGGTAGTAGTCATTTTTGATACTGGAGTAGATTGACGAGTATTTGAAACTGATTTGGGTTTAGATACAACACTATTAGTTTTTGCAGCAGCAAGAGTCGAGTGTGTCGTTGAACGTGGTTTCGTTGATAAGACGCGCGAATCGACTGCAGTTGGTGTTGAACATTGAACCAGTCTTTGAGCCGAGGTTAAAGTAGATGAAAGTGACGTTGGTCTTGCTATACGAATACTTGACTTGTCTTTTGTAGTTTGTTTTTTTTCTACAAATACAGCATCTTTTGGACAAAATCCAAGTCAATACAAGTCATTCGACCAACAAAAACACCATTCAACTGCATAGCAGTTAATGAATAGACAGTTGGTGGACTTGCGAATCAATAAGAAATGTATTGTGCAATACCCTTTGTATTAGCCTTTTTCAAAGACTCGGAACGAGCAACAGTTTTAATATCAGCAGATGAGCGTAACATAATCGGGTAAAAACAATACAAGCTTTATTGAAGTTGCAGTGATAATAAAGCAGTGGATCGAGACGAGTTAAGCTTGAATCTTGCTACAAGTAGAATATGATAAGCCATTACAGCATGATTAGGGACGCATTAACCGCTGATCCACCTGTAGGGTTTACCCGCACTATTCATCTACGATGCCAGAGTCGGGTGAGTTTTAAACTAAAGGTCGCTGCTGAAGCAGCTGGATGGAATCTGCAATCAATATTATACTTTTGTATAAGATATTGGACTGTCCAAAGGGCTTTGGCTGGTTCTACTACAGCCCGAGCATCCAGTCAACTGATTTCATCGTTATACTAAACTGTATGCATTTGCTGTTGATTCAGTATATATTGTTAGTGCTGTTCGTACTCCAGTGGGTTCCTTTGGTGGTGCTCTCAAGCCTCTTACTGCAACAGAGCTTGGCTCCATTGCTCTGAAAGGTAAGCAGCTTGAATAGAGTCCGAGTGTTCAACAATCTCATGTTTCTGTTATAACTTGTAAAACCAGCTGCTATTACAAAGGCCAAGATCAATCCTGAGCTGATTGAGGAGATCTTTTTCGGTAATGTCCTCTCAGCAAACAATGGCCAGAATCCTGCTAGACAGGTTGCTCTCGGTGCTGGTTGTTCAAAGAGCATTCCTGCCACTACGCTCAACAAGGTGTGCGCATCTGGCATGAAGGCCATTGAGCTTGCTGCTCTGACGATATCTTCTGGAAATGCTCATGTATGTTATCTTGCACAGTTGTATGATGTTTGCGGTTGCTTCATAAACCATCTATAGTCTGTATTGAAGCTAATCAAGTTTATCTAGATTATTGCTGCAGGTGGTTGTGAGAGCATGTCCAACGCTCCTTTCTATCTTCCTGGACAGAGATGGGGTACAAAGTTTGGTAATCAAGAGATCGTTGACAGTATTATCAAGGATGGTCTGTTTGACGTCTACAACAAGTATGTCATGGGCAATGCTGCAGAGTTGTGTGCCAAAGAGTTTGAGATTTCTCGCGAAGCTCAGGTATATTATCGATGTTTATCACCTAGTCATGTCTGGTATGCTAATTTAAATCTGTTGTAATCCATATAGGATGACTATGCCATTTCATCTTACCAACGTGCTCAAGCAGCTACAAAGGCTGGTCATTCCTCAAACGAAATTGTCAATGTGGAAATTCCTGGCGTTCGTGGTAAACCTGGAAAAACCATTTCTGAAGATGAGGGCATCAACAACTTGGATATTTCCAAACTTCGTGCTATGAAACCTGCCTTTCAGTCTGTTGATGGAACTGTCACTGCTCCAAACTCTAGTCCCTTGAACGATGGTGCTGCTGCTTTGATCCTTGTTTCTGGATCAAAACTCAAGGAATTGGGACTCGTTCCAGTGGCCAAAATTCTTGGCTGGGCTGATGCTGCTCGAGTACGTATATATTGTATCTAGCACAGATTTGAATACATGCAACTGACCTGTATCAATCTTTGTCTTTTAGGAACCTGAACGCTTCACGATTGCACCGTCCCTTGCCATTCCTAAAGCACTGAAACACGCTAATCAAACCATCGAGGACATGGACTTTTTCGAACTCAACGAAGCTTTTTCTGTTGTTGCGATTGCCAACAGCAAAATCCTTGGATTGTCTGCTGAAAAGGTAAATGTCTTTGGTGGTGCAGTTGCCATTGGCCACCCACTTGGTTGTTCTGGTGCACGTATCGTTGTTACGTTGATCAATGTTCTCAAAACACGTGGTGGTCGTAAAGGCATTGCTGGAATCTGTAACGGAGGTGGTGGTGCTAGCGCTGTTGTGATCGAGTCAATGCTTTAAGCGGCTCTCAAGCTATCTACCTTTTTCAACGTTTGTTACAAACTACAACTGCATTTTGTTTGTTACACAATGAATGAATTTTAAAACAAACCCTGTTTGAACTTGACAGCAACCCATTGTGATGATCAACTACACACTTTGTAGAAAACAGTCCATTTATTTTTTAAAAGCACATTTTATAAAATACCAATTTGTTTCATCTGTTTACGCACGGCAGCCATCTTGCGATCCACCACATCCAAACTCTCCTCAATCTCATCTAGTCTCTTGCGGCTTTTGTTTCCACCACCACCACTGCTAGCAGGAATACGACTAAGCTCAAATGTCAACTATAAAATAATAAACGGATACAAAGCACAAGAAATCAGTCAACACAGCAGTGCATAAACTAAAAGTACTACTATTTTGATTTACAAAACTTACTCTTGATTTTTCTTCAGATAGTGAGCGCAGCTCCTTGTCCAGTGTCTTGCGCTTTGAAATAAACTCGTGTAAAAGTGATTCCGATTTGCCACTACTATCATGTTCAGAATCACGCTGTCCCCAATCCCCTACCGGAGTACGTCGATCATTATGATGTCCTTGATCTGCTTCGTGAGAAAGTGGAGACGAAGGTACTATACTGTTGGTACTAAACCGTCTTGCACCACTCTGAACAGCAGCAAAACGCGAAGTCAGATTTATACTCGTTGGATCTCTGCCACTGTGGTGGTGGGTATGTAAAGGAAGTTTCATTCCAGGAGATTCAGTAGATGGTGACTGTGCAGCCCAAGCTTGACTTGCTCTTCTATTCAAATTCAACGCAGATTGGGTAGGACTCGGCGTAATTGTATCTTTGGCACGCACACCTTCAGTCAACCCTGAGCGGTAAGGTGTATTTGCACCACTAATACAAGACAAATGGGTTTGTGAAAGAGAAGATTGCGACCGAGAGTTGACATCATTTTCTGGATTGGTAATATGGTCTTCAAACCCATAAGCTGTAGTAGCTCGAATACGTCTAGATGAACTAGGTGTAGTATGCTCAGGCTCTTCATGATCAATATTACATTGCTGCGTGTCCGAAGCAAAAATACTAGGAGTAGGTGTAGCTCTCGATGCTTGATGTGGAATCTCATCCCATGCATTGCAAAGTGTATTCGATTCCCTTGCAAGACTGTTGGAGCCAACACTATGGCCACCATCTGAACGCATCCTACTGATCATTAATTTTAAGCTTTCGTTGTCATACAAAGCATGTTCAAGACGCTCGCGATAAAAACTTTCGTTGGTAGTTACTTGTGCTGGCGAAACTGATTCATACTGCAATTTCTATTATATATAACAAGAAACAATAAAACATATTAGCTCAGACTCACCACGCCTCAATATCCCAGGTTTTCTTGTATCATTCTACCACATATCAATGTGGATAAAGTGGTAAATAGAATCAATACGTGGGCGATTTAACATACTCTCAATGACGATTTTAATGTTTCATTTTCCATCATCAGCTCGCTATGTAAATATTCAAAACAGCATTAATAGTAAGTTAGTAATTCATCAATCACTTATGACTGACAATGATTTAATTTGCTGTATGCATACAACACATTTATTGTAAAATAGTCAAGTATATTGCCTACCTGATTCGATCTTGCTGAGTATGTATTTTATGAGAAAACAATCTAAAATCTGCTTCGTGTCGTTCATTTTGTGTCTAAGCAGTTAACACGACAGAAAAGATTATATTAGAATTTAGAAATACAGTCATGATAAATTTAAAATAATCTACCTTTTCGTGTTTAAGTCTGTTTGTCAACTCATCAATATCAATGCGTTGCTGCGAAATCAATTCCTGCTCGCTTTTTAATTGATCAAGCAAATCTAAATCAGAGTTTGCATGAAATTAGTTGATCTGCAAACAAGCCAATTGACATTATCATGGTAATAAATTCGATTTAAACATATTCTGTAAACAACTCGATGCAAAAACTAACCCTGATGCTGTTGATCAGATTGCACACTGACACGATATACTCTCACATAGTCCTCGCGCGCATTATCCAATTCTCTCAACGCATCAGAAAGACGAGATTCCAGCTGTAAAATGGTATTCTGCTGCTCTTCTGCAGCCGGGTTGAATAGTTGCAGACTCTGGTGGTCATGTCGAGAATGGATATGAGGCTGATTCAAAATATGAGATTGCCGAGCCTGGTGTTGTACTTGAAGCTGCACAGGGTGTGAATATGTAGTGTCTTGACGCAAATCCCTTTTAGAAATAGACTCATCAAACCGACTTGGAGAAAAGGATGGATTTTGAACTTCTAAATGATCAGTATGAGACCGTGGTGAATGTTTTGGGGATATCTGTGTAGCTATCTTGACGATATTATGCACTGGAGTTTCATGGATACGAGAGTTGGAAAAAGATGCAGGAGAAACATCAACAAGGTTAGGTTTAGCGTCAGTTGTTGTGGGAGATTTAGATTCATCTTTTGAATCATCTTGCTTTTCGATTTGATTATAATGCGGTATTTGGTTTGTTATAACTGGAAATTCAAGACTGTTTTGAGTTTTTTCAATAGACTGTGTGATTGGAAGCGGTTGAGAACTGGAATAAGTCGATTCAGTCGTTGGTGAAATAGCAGCAGGCAAAATCAGCACGTCCATAAGTGGATTTTTAGAGACTTCTGGTGCAATATATATATTTTCTGTGTTGGCACAATAGACAGAATCTATATCATGTTCATGGTGTGGTGCATTAGGTAAAACCACAGGTGACAGTTTGATAGTTGGACTTGGTTGAGCAAGAGGCGCAATAACGGGAGAGCGTTGAACAGGCCGCCTTGCATTACTTTTCAATGAAAGACCAAATGGATCTTCTACTTCTAGATCTTGTGGTAAGATGACAGCTTGAACAGGCGGACATGTTTGTTTTATAAATGAATCTGATTTTTCCGTTTGACTCGATTGGTTATAAATAGTATCGCCAGTGAAATCTGCACATTCTGAAAATGGGTTTGGTATGTTTGTCAGCGTGCTTTCTGGATTTATCGATATAATTGAGATCGATTCTTGTAACGTAGCCTCAATATCTTTATGTGGAGTAGAGTCAAACTTTTGAGATACAATAGCATCCTGTGCAGACTTGCCAAGGGTTTCAGACTGGCTTTGTTCAGGATGAATAGGTTTACAAGTAGAACTAGTATTGGCAAAAACCAATTCAAGCTGTGAAGACTCCTTATAAGGAGATTTTGATAGTTTGACAGCTGTTTTGAAAGAATTGCTGCTTCGAGGAAGTAGGGTTGAGCCAGGAGATCTAGTATTTTAAAGGAGGAATAAAAGGCAATGCCAGATTATTACAAGGTAAACATCTCAGTATGATGACATGAAATAATCAACGTCGAGTAATACTGATTTAAAAATTAGTTCAAGTTAAAAATGAATATAGTATTTTACCTGATGGAACGATCAGAAGGTGGCAATTTTCCCAGTGTAGATTCTTTGACAGGAACGGAAATATCGGCTTGCTTTAAAGTGGTTGCTTGAAGAACTTGAGTTGGAATAAAACATTTAAATAATCAGATTCAGATTGGCCATTTTAATAGTAGGATTTCTCTGCATGTTTATAATGAGCAATATAAATGTGGACTATTTACTCGAAATGATATTTGAAACATTACCTGGTATTGATCTTGCAGACCGCAACTCAGAAGTCATCTTGGTAGTAACTAATGACTGTTTTTTCCTGACGTCTTCGCCAGGTAAAGTTTTGTCGCTATCACTCTCGCTGCCCTCTTTGTCCAACGTGGCCATGGATTGACGGAGCTTCAGTCCAAACTCCAGAGACCGATGCGGTTGTTTTTGCTGCTGGAACTTTTCTAGATGCCTTGAGTCATTTCCAAACGATTGTCGCTTAGTAACAGTTTGAGACTGGCGGCCAGTAGCAGTCGTAGAGGTTAGTTTGACAATGCTCGGCGCAGGAGTAGATTTGGACGTTGAGCTAGATGACAATGGGATTCTGATGGTGTTTTTTTTGCTTGAAGTTCCGTTTGTAGAAGATACAATCTCGTTTTTACGTATAGATCTACTGGCAGCTGTAGTTACAGAATCCCCGAGCACCATACTTGCTAGATGCAAACCTGAATTCGATGCTCGCAACAACTTCAACAGTTCAATTCCAGCCAATCAAATGTGAATTAAACACGTGACTTTACTGTCTTGTTGGCATGTCTGCAAATGCTATTTTGCTGTTTAATATCGGATTTGAGTGTCAAACTCGACTGACTCGCTGTTTCCTTTCATGCCATTTCTTTTTAATCAAAATTCATTCTTTGATATTGTTTAGACATAAACCCCAGTTTACCAATAAACTGAACCTTGCAATAAAAACTATCGATGTAATAAAACCTTTGAACCAGCGTTTATAATTGACCAGGTTCTTGGTTAGTAACATTATATATTTATATTATTTCCAGTCTTTTAATGCTGTGTTATACTTTGTATGCAATAAATGAGTCGGCACTCTAATTCAATTAGAACGCCATAAACTGTCCGAATATTTGGGCACACCGCGTTTTAACAAGTAGTCTAATCTGACCCTAAACTGACAAATGTAGTGCCACAATCCATCATTTTAAACCTATAAAGTAGTTTATAATTATTAAACTCTCAATCAATCATGGACCCAATCCGATTTCCTCCCGATAACGATGAACCACCATGGACAAAGGACATTATCAGTGGTAACTTTGATCGCATGGATAAAGAAGAGTTAAAGCAATGGTTCTCCATTCGTCCAATTCAACTAGCAAATTTTCTTAAAAATTATCATGATGCTCGTCAATGCGATGACCCATTGAAAGATGGCTTTGTTTTTCCTTCTCGATATCTCCGTAGACACAAAAGTTGCACCAAGTCATTGAATGATTCCAGTTATGCATCCGATGATTGTTTGGAAGAAATCGAGTATCCAAGTCCCCTGGCATTTCTTGGCGAGCTATTCAAACCCAAATGTGCCAGTATTTTTGATGCTACAACACAGAACGAAAGCTTAATGCATGCAAATTCTTTTGACCAGTCGCTGCATTCTCAAAACATATCCAATTCAATAACGGGCAGTTGCGACGCTTTTGACAAAAAAGGCCTATCTACATCCTCGAGTGTATCCATTACTGGGAACAGCATAACAGCAGAACCCGAAGGTGATGATACAAGCCAGGTGCCTATAGTCCAGCCCAATCCTCTTCGTAGACAGAGCCTTAAAGATATAGTTCGACTACCTCCTACACGAGCACAATCCCGCATTACTTTTGGATGGACTGATGCTCCAGCTCAATCGCCAGAAACAGACTCCACGTCGTCTGAAAACAATGCTTCCTATACTCCTCAATCGCTACCAGCAATTCCGCCCATGAAAAAGCGAATCATGAATACTGCATTTGATTCTATAGTCACTAAACATATATCAGACTTTCTCGATCTTGCCAAAACGATCAAGACCCAAGTAACTGAAGAGGAGTATACTTTACTCTTGGAATCTATCCATCCATCGTTTACTACCTCTGTACCCGCACAATCTCTTGATAATAGTGATACAGAAAGCACAGATAGCGCAGAAAGCACGGATAGTAACGATGATATCTTTTTACTAGCCGATCCAACTGATGAATTCTCCCACGCCGATTCTTCTGAACTGAATTTATTACCGCATCAAGAACCTCCTAAACTGCGGGAAATCACTCGTGGCGAGATTCGTCGACTTTTACTCGAAAAGGAAGAACGTATCGATAAAGAAGCTGAGCGACGAGAATACACTACAAGAATCCCCTGCAACATTCCACTCAAGTCGTTTTGGGAAGTACTTTCACTCCCGCATACTGAACCAGTGTGGACTTTCCGAGTAGAGAGAGATTTGAGTTCGGTCAGAATTCCTTATCTTTATGCCGAGTGATCTCAAAAAGTTGGCCCATCTGATATAGTTTGCAATAAAACCATCTTTGAATCCATATTGTTTGCCTTGTGATGGAATTGCATTTTTGAGATTAATACTAATTTGGCGCATCCCAAGCAGGACAATTGGAAATAGTTTATAGTACGCCTGGCCGGGTTGTTTTGGCCGAATCAATGGAATAAGATGCGCCTTCAACTCAGATGGTTGGCATACACTGGTAATGGAGTGGAGATGCGTCAATAAGGTGGAGATGCGTTTAAAATGTACGCCAGTTGGTACAGGAAATAATATTAGCCAAGCGTTTGTACTACCATGGCCAACTCTTGGTAGGCACACTCTAGCCCAGAGTTGCCTAATATTGCATGCAATAACTCGATACAAACTTTTATCAAACGAACCTGTTTTTGGTTATTCCATCACATTATTTCTACCAATTACTACTGGATCTCCATTCTTCATCAATGACTACAAACATATCTTGGTCCCTATTAAAGGATACTTTTGGTAATACCGAGTACACCTACAGCCTTTTAATCTACGATGCACTGTTGACTGCTCTGGTGGACAAGGCGCTATTCTTGATAGTTGCAAGCATAGGTTTAGTCGCAGTACTCAAAACCTCTAAAGTAAGCTGTTTTTTTTGCTCTACAATCAAGCGATAATCTAGAGTACAATATACTGCGAGTATATGTTTAGCTAAATACTTTTGTGGATTTTGATATTGGCGTATTCCTAATATTGTGTCTGAATTGATTAGAAGCATACTCAAGAGTCTGATATTTCAAAAGCTTCTTGGTGGTCCAACATTCTTTCACAACTCTGTTATGGACAAAAGGCGCATCAGTCTCTGCCTTCACACCGTTCTAGGCGTTTGGTCGGGCGGCGGTGGAGCTTAAAACCCCATTCACGTCAGCTGGTCACCACGTTTGACTATATTTTGGCAATCTTTAAGCTTGCTCCATTCAGTCGTATCCATCGTAGTAAAAACACAACTGCTTCCTTGGAATCTTATCTCCCAGACCAGATACAAAAGGTAACAAGCCGTCTGACAACTGCCAATGCTTTTTTGATATGGACTGGTTTTGATTTAGTTTTTCAAATATTGCATCTCTAAACTCGTTCTGTATAGTCGGCTCCTATTGACGATATTAATATGGAACAAAAAGTATGTTCCAAAGTATCTTCTCGGCTACATACTCTGCTCAATATGATACCATCTATTTGTTTGCATTCATATGCAGATTGTTTGAATATCATCACATTGGCGTTTAGTCGAATATTCAAATTTACACACCGTAGATTATTCCAAAGACGCCAAAGTAATACGAGACGCAAATCCAATTCAATGATTCGTCGTATCTCGTCTTCTGGCTCCATACGCACCACTATAACCTCGTCGGTGCCTGCCAAAATGGTCAAATCATCACACAACACAACCATCACAGATCAGAAATCACTCTATTCTGAAAAATTATACAAGAATGAATCTGTACCAGACTCATCTCATTCATTACCCATCTCTAATCAGTTATGTGTTACCCAACAGCAGGATATTCGTCCAACTTTTACACATATCCATCCGCTTGTACGCTTCATTTACATTGTTGACACGATTGCAGAATTTGGTTTGCTAGGTGTATCAGCGTGTCTTGTAGGGGTGTTTTTGATGGCGAGTTTTTTATTGATTGCGTGGTGAGATTGTGGTCGAACCACAAGGGCAAAAGCCCGGCTGAAATGGCTGAACAAGAACAGTTATATCAACAAGCACGCCAATATGAACTTTTATGGAGAGAGCAAAGAATTTTAGCCAGTTTGAATGCTCAGCGCACCGAATTGGAAAAACTAGTGGATTTAGTTGAGCTGGATAAATTAGCAGATCTAATCAGGTTGGAAACATTAACGAAGCGAAAAAAACCAATCAGTTTTCAAAACATGCTCAGAAACTATGCTGGTATGATCAACTGTGAAATTTAAAAGTACTTTGCTATTTGATTCTTTAAACCGCCTCTCATTGCTGTTGTGCACTTTTTCTCTCTGGCATTTCTTTATTCAACTCATGTCTATGATTCGCCCATGTTGTTATAACAAACTGTAGTTATTTCAAAGTCTGATCGACACTCGCGCTAGTTCTATTTCAAGTTATTTGCAAAACAAAAATCGATTCATTTGATGCAAAAATAAGTGCCAAATCCAAATTTAAAAATAAACTTGGTTTGATTTTGAAATATTGTTTAATACTATGAACCAAAAAATGCAGTGTTGAAATACACCTGCATCACTTTTTGTCCTACCCAATATGCACATATCATACTTCTGCGGATGTTACAGTTGTATTGAATCCGTTTTGTCGCACACGATCTAATACCATTTGTAACCCCACAATCACTTTACTGTCAATCCTATCTACAGTAGAGTCAATGTATCCTCGAGCGTAGTCCAAATGAGTTTCTAAAGCCTCTGATCGAATCAAAAACGGTGTGGTATTAGTGGCAGCCATAGGCGAGTCCGTTTCAAAAGATGGTGGTTTAGAAGTCTGATTGGGCTCTAAAACACCATCACCTGTGTATTGAAATTGAGTGTCCAAAGCAGAAAGTTGCTCATATCGCTTTCGTGTAATTTCATGCTCTAGTTTAAACGACTCAATCAACTCGCTGTATTTGGAGATACGCCGACGTTGGTCTTGTAAACTGCAAATTTCCCGCTGAATGAGCTGCTCGTTTGTAAGAGGTAAACATAAGGGTTCAGGAATATTTGTATCTGTGGGAGTAGTAATAGAAGTAGGAGCACGACGAACTCGTTTTCCCGATTCATTAACCGAGCTTTTGCGTTTAGACAGTCGTGGTAAATCAGGTTGAGCAAGTTTTTTTAAAGCAGTTGCTCCCGAGTTTGAAAAGTCGTCGTCTTCTACTTCATCAAGTGAAAAATGGTCAACATCAAACATGAGATCCTCGTACGTAAGATTTTCGGGATCATTGATAATATCTATGGAGATGGGCCGGAATGTGCGCTGATGTTTGGTCCGACCGTGAGCAAGACAATTTGAGCGAACAGCAAATCGATGCCCACAATTTCTTACTGGGCACTATTAAAGAGTAAAGCAACGGGATGAGTAACGCAGAGTATAATATCAAGTCTGTTTTTAACGGAACGAGAAGATTAATACGTACCATGAACGGTTTTTCAAGTGTATGTGCTCGCATATGTTCTATAGTTGGATATTTGATTAGTATCATCAAGTCAATGACCATTCATTATGCACATATGTAAAGAAATCAAGTATATCTAGGTCAACATACCAATCATGCGCTGTTGATACTGAAAAGCCTGAGTATTCCAGCATCCATCCCAACGACATCTAAAAGTGCTGTCTCTGTTTGTTCTAGATATGATAATAAATTAAAGATGACAAAGGGAAATCAATAAAGGTCTAAATAATAACATGCATGATAGAAAACCCACTTTGTAGACCATGGAAGAGCTACGAGATGGCCAGCAGCATGTAGCACTAAATCTCGTTGCGTTGGAAAGGTTAATCGACAACCCTCCCATTCGCACATGCAATCAGTCAACATTGCAGAACCATCATCTTGCGACTGTTGCACAGACAGATCTTGTTGGTCAGCCAATTCAGATGAAATCTGAGCAGACTGAGGATCAATGCCTCGCTCGACTAAAGACTGGATAGTCATGGGCACTGCTACAGATTTAGTATTGTGCAAAGGTGAATTCTGCTGTTGCTGGTGCACAATTCCCATATCATCGACCATGACAGTCTCGACATGTGGAGATGGATGGACGGACTGGACATCATTTTGGTTCAAAGGGTATGCGGAAGCATGGTTTGTCTGCAACTGAGCAGGACTGTGTTTGTTTCGAGTGTCGTCAGCTTGCAACAACCGACTATTAGAGTATGAATCAAGATGATGGTTTGAATGGAAGGGCAGATGAGCAATGGCTGGTTGCTCAGCAGCTCGAGCAATAAGGAATTCATGTTCATGTGAGTCGGTGCTCTCCATGACTGCTGTAGCATTAATGGAAGGATCTGCAGTGTGATGAGAGTCTTGCACTTCAGCCCTAATGGCTAGCGACATGTTTTCTGTATTAGTAGTGTGAGCAGAGGACGGAGCACGAACACTTGGATGCGACGCATCTGTCACTGCAGATGGTATTCTGACTGGCACAACTTGTCTGCATTGGTCTTGTATTTGACAAGTATCAAGTAGATGAGCATTGACATTCATATCTGAAACCTCTATACCAGACATAGGAGTGGTATAAGTAAAACTCGGAGATAATGCAGTACTGTCCAGTTTGGTATTTCCCGCAAGTTTACTATTTATTGAAACCAAGTTGGATTCGGTTCTTGGTGTGTTCACAGCTATCATGTCTGAGTAAACCAGCGAGAAATTTACAAGTTAACAAGAGACTATAACCAGATAGAAGAATCCTCATTAGAACAAGTGCTGTGTACTATTCTCAACTTGTTCCTCATCATTGTGATGATGGATTGAGTATTCATCGTTGAATACATGCGGCTTTAGCGACCGTATCTTCAAGTTTCCCAAATTCGACGGCTTACTATTCAATCCGTACACTCACACAATGTATTCAAGTTTATTGTTATCCTATTCGAATACAGCCTTTAACGAAATACATCGATTCATTCTAGCCCTTAACATAGGGCTGACTAATGCGAATCCTTACCAAACTATACAAGCTTGTGGCTGCACAGCTTTTGTCATGACAAAAATGACTATTTATAGTACAAGTCGAAAACTAAAGCGCAGCCTATTTTGCTTTAACAAGTTTGCGACCTTTGTGAATCAATTCCTAATTCAGAGTAGTTATGCATTGGCAGTTAATTGTCTTGGCAGCAATAAACTTTGTGACTATTTTAGCCGCTCCAACTGACGACAAGTGCGTGCAGGATTCACCCGATGATCAAATCAACATAGAGGAATTCGTTATGGTAGAGCTTCCCACCACCAGCGATATCGAATCGAAGCTCCTACTGATGAGCACACCTGAATTGGAAAACGAGAAAATCTACTTTGAATATAGAGCCGGTGAAATACAAAGATCGATTTGCCAAGCAACTTGGAATCAACAGAAATACGCACAAAAGTGCGACAAGATTCGAAAGCGGATTGAAAACCTCAAGTCCAAGTACTTGCTGATAAAGCAGTTCGACCATCAGTCGCCAAATCCCGATCGTGTTCCTATGAAGCTTGCACTAAAAAAGGAACTGAAACAGCTGAAGGAAGACTATTTGGAATGCTATCGTATGCTACAACATTGGACTGAATGTGTCACAAAAGTACGAAATACTGAAAAGGAATGGAAAGCAGACACTGTTTTAATGAATGCCGAATTGGATAGGCGAAAAGCTGATGCGTCGTTATCGTATTTCGAATGGGTAGGCGCCTGGTTTCGTAACTAATCGTGTAAACACAATCCCATGTATAGTACTGACTACGGGATTATTGCCATTTCAAAGACTCAGCATTGATTCAATCTAATATATAGCAATGTTTGTACTGATGTAACAATAGTCTAATAAAATTGAAATTGATGTGGTATTCATTATACGCTGTATTGAAGTACATAGATCTGAAGGGATAGCAACCCTAACCCTTGGATTACAACTGGTAATAAGTACACAAGTTTGTCAGCAACTATCGCAATCAGTGTGTATCATGCGTTTAAAGTTGTATTCACGTAAAACTCGTTCAACCACACCTTTGTGTATGGTCAGGTTTGGTGATATTCTCTCATCAGTGGATCATTTGCTGGCTTGGATGGTAAAAACACCCATCTCATTTGATCTTACCGACACATTTTTTGGCACTCCACCTATACGGTTTATGCATTGATCCGAAACAAATGTGCAATTTACAAACGAATAATTCATGGCTTTGAAATGCTGCAATAATAATCTGCTTGATACTATCTGGATGTTTTCAAAGCATGGCGGTGATGGTTTCTGACAGTATCATCCCTTTTATTACCAATCATGGCTGTGCATATACCCATTGTGAGTCCTTACACTAGTCACATCAAGATGTCATGCCTCGAAATATCGAGATCGCAACTAGCCAATATCATTCATCTTGCTGGAAAAACTGCAAGCCTGCCAAAACCCACTTTCATTTAAATGTATTCAACTATGCATTCCTTTTCCATTGCGAATCCAAGCATCAATTATTATCTTAGTGAAAACCTTATTTGGAAAATCTGCTAGTTCTGATTCTGATGGTATTCTTTGAAGCTGCTGCAAATGCATCGGTAAACATGTTTCCTCCACTGCTACTATGTGTAGTTCCTGAAATGGATAATGCAGTTTCTTCTAGCCAATCTAACGATCCACGAATATCTGCACTAAAAACACATATGCATGGGATGGTTACTTTTGTGGATTCATTTGCAAGCATATTCACAAGCACTTATATTTGCCTAGTTTCAGCAGTATACATCTGATCAATAAACAGGGGCTTTCAATACATACATTTGTTGAGAGAGTCTTTGTACAGTAAGCATATCCTGTGAGATATCGTCCACTACTTGGACAAATTCAGAAGTGTGAACAATGTTTTCCTCGACAGCATCGCATAGTTTATCTACAGCGACCTTGTGTAGCTCAACACTTTCCAATGTATATCCAGATATCTATATTAGTTGACAAGACAACCCAATTAGTCGCATGTAGCATCAATGAATTGAACCCAAGAGATCAGCTTGCCTCCTTCAACCTGATTTGGAGATTCTGAATCAGTTGGGCAAGTTCCTGTCCAATCGTTTCCGCTTGGAGCTCAATCTCTTCTAGCAAGCTGGGATCCAAGGGTACGCTAAAGGAACTCTCTCTCAATACAGGTGTACATAGATTAGGAGTGGCTACAGATGACATGCCCGCTACGCTGCTTTACAAGAATAGTTTGAATGTTAAAAATGCGAGATTGATAATCAGCTGCCAATTCAGATTGGCAGTGTAAAATAATTTGCAGATTATTCTAGTGTAATATATTCACTAGTCTTGCATTTCCGACCTTGACATACACCATCGACAACTTTTTGCTCACTGACAATGTCTACTATTCATGCTTTCTCCACGTGATTGTCAAGGTCGCTTGTAAACTTGAGTTCTTAGCAACTCAAATTTCAAGTAATTCAAACATCTTCAAGCACTGTTGTATATTGGTACAATAGTACAAACCACTAAAATAACATATATTCACTTGAAATATCAAGCACTATTTAATAATGCGATTGGAATCGCCATCTATCTTTGGAAATAAACTGCCTTTACATTTCGTTGGCAGTATCATTCTAATTATTGCCATAGCATGCAACGTCCCATGTATATGGGCTTTATCTGATATCAATAGCCTTACATGGTATCCATCACTAGACGCTCCATCACCGTGCCTTTTCTTTACAAACATCACTGCCTTCTCCGGAGTCATTACACATAGCTCGGTTATACCACAGCCGCTATACCAACCTTTCAGCAATTGTATATGGGTAATCAACGCACCACTACAAAAGCAAATTGTCCAGGTATTCAATCATTGTAGCTGAAAACTCTTGTATTGGCTTCAACATTCCAAACCTATTGTCTTGAAATTCCTCGACGCGTTTATCATGAATAACCAAATGATATGGTTACAGGCTAAACAGCAATGCAACTAACCTAATCCTAACTGTTATCATTTTATTAAAACCCATTGTTTTTCTATCAATATTTGGTTAAAGTTGCAATTTAGTAGCTTTGCGACGGAATGTGGGTAAGCCGATCAACACAATAGCACTTGTATCACATTATTCCACTGCTCAAATGCGTTGCTGAATTGACCGTTTGGTTTAGGAAAAGTCATTGTTTTAGTCAATATAAATCTTACAATATTTAAATTTAGATGGGATTTTGTATCGATATACGACGGCCCCGCAACTTCATCTCCACCACTAGCAGTACTTTGTGGAAATCGATCATTAGCGTATGGTTATAACGATACATTTGTCTCTACAGGATCCTCCATGACAGTTATGTTTACAAGTGATTCGCTAGTCAATACGAATGGGTTTATTGGTGTATTTCAATCTCAAAGTAAAAACAGTCAAACTTTGAACTGATATCAACTGCGATTACCGAGACATGTTTATGAGCTGTATAAATGCTAATCAATAGTTGGTGATGGATAATTAGATGCTACAGAAACATGTGATGTTTTATCAGACTGTGGGTCTAATGGGCAGTGCAACAATGGATTGTGTCTGTGCAATTCCGGTTACTACGGAGCATACTGCCAACACGCATTTTCAGACATGACTGTGTTTTCTCCACGACAGCAGCATGCAGTAGCGTATGATAAGACACTTGATGTAAGCAAGCATTTTAAATGTCTGTCAGTATTTACACTTTTATCAAAAATGCTTGACATTCTAACTGCATTGTCTTTGGGATTGGCATTCATGTGATTAGGTCATGTATTTAACATTTGGAAGAAATTGGACAGATTATTACTCAGACATGTGGGCATATAGTTTTGGTACGTAGGTGATCAATGTGACTTGTTTAAAATGTACAGAATCGATTATTGCTAAATGTTGAATGCTTTAGCAAATGCTACATGGAGCAAATTGTTACCTGGAAACACTACAGATGATGCACCATTGGCTAGGCAAGTAATCACAACTTTCTGGAATAGCAACCACACAATCTAACGTGTTAAACCTGTACAATCAATTTTGTATAAAGGAGTGGACACACCTCATGGGTGTTCAATTCAACGTTGATGATATATGGAGGTAGTTCAAACTATCGTGCAATGACTGACCTTTGGTCATTTGATCCAGGTGAATATAAATGATTCATTTATCATCAAAAGCACTCACGATCAGTGTTTAAATATAAGCCGAGTGTATGTGTACTGATCCAATTTTTTGAATTCAACATTATAGTCATAAAATCATGGAAATCAATTCAATCTTCCATTAGCAGTTCACCTACACCAACAATGGACTCGTCAACAGTAGTGGTAGTAAAAAGCCAGTCATACCAGTTATATGTTTACGGTGGATTTGATGCACTTGGATACTTTACACGAGTCTTGTCAATGTTTGATTCAGGTAAACATATCAGATAGACTGTTGAATCATTACAATTCACAGCCTTGTAATGGAATCAATATACGAAATGTCCTAACTTTTGGATTGATTTATACAAATTTGTATAGCTACGCTCAAATGGACTAATCTGGCTTCTGGACCGATTGCACTTGCTGGTGGAACAGGCGTCTATAACGAAAAAACCAACACGATTCAATTTTTCTCAGCTTATCCGCTTCTTCTTACCGACAGTATCTTGCAAAGACATCAGTATGTTTTTGAATACTCCATTTCAACCGATACATGGTCACAGAACGCTGTTCAGGGAATTTCACATAATCGATACTTGGCTCAAGCTGTTTATATTGATCAGGAATACGCAATCATGTTTGGCGGACAGGAAAAGGGATGGGATTCGTCGCGAATTGACGACGATTGTTTTTCTGGAGAAATGCAGATACTGGATATAGGTAAGTTGATTTGCAATGCAATACAAAAGCAAGGAACTAACAAATTTAATTGATGTCAATCAAATATGCTATGCCTACCACATTTATTCAGCTTGTGGTACGTGGTCGTACTATGATGACCCAACAGTGACTAGATACAGAAGGCTTGGATTTGGGATGGTCATGCGGAATAATTCATTGGTTTTAGTTGGTGGTTCAGACGGAGTACTCAAAAATGATATAGTTCAAATTAATCTTTCTACTTTACCTCAGCCTAGTACAGTCCCTCCTGATGGTCAATGCAATCTTGTTTCTGGGAATTTGACTCTGCCACCCCAATGCAAACCTACAGTGAATCGTGACATATGTCGAGGTAGTTTCTGTTTATTTGGAAAATATTGGTTTAACATGCATCTGCTAGGTGAATACGCTGATTTTCTTGAATTTAAACAATCATGGTTCAATGTATACTTTAGCTCAAACGTATTGCTCTGCCGAATTTGCATGCTCGACATGCTCGGAAAGACTGTACTGTGGATGGTGCAACGATAGATGTGGATTCGACAACTCCACACTTCCATTACCCAATCTCCAAATATCTCAAAACATGTCTTTTGTGAATTTGTGTTTAGCAGCAACCTCGATAAAATCGCCAAACTCATGTCCAGCAGGTATATCTTTGTTCAAGCACATGAATGGAATATTTCTGTAGTGGTGCAACGTGTTAACTTGACAATTATGAATATGTATCAAATGTGTTGGGTCTATAGCTTCGATTATAACAACCACTAACCCTCAGACTGCAAATATATCATACGGGAACTTTCATGACTATATATTCACTATAACTGATCCAACATTGAGCAAGTAACATCCCTTTCTAGTGTTGATTTAATATCTAATCCAAGGCAATTTGATCACAGTAAATAGACTAACATATTGACCCGACACATTGTTTTAAAAAGACGTAGATGTAATACTATCTAATTTATCATCGCCATTTGTAATGCTACGATCCACGATTATTGCTGTGCGTCCATCAACTCCGACATCTACTGCAGGGAAACTGACATTCAATTCAACCATGCTTAAAGGTTACCTTGGTCCAATTACAATCCGTATATCCTATAACAATGATGTAGGTGTGTACCCACTGCCACCTTCTCCAGCACGTATGATGAATCAATTCAACTCGACAACATACATGCTGTCTATTCTATATACAAGCCCTGGTGTGACAAATAGCAATCCAGCAACTGTTGCATTTCCTTTATCGGATATTGCAACGTTGGTGCTGATTTTTCTCGCAGGGATATTTATGAGTGTAGGCGCCTCATATTTGTTGCGATATTCAAGAGAGCATTTTTTGCGAAGACAGTTTGCAGGAACTAGAGCAGGACATGGTGCTCTAGGAGCACCAGCGGCTTTGCCCAAAGATCCGCCTAGAATGTATCGATTAATGGTTGATTTGGGAAGTGGGGCGGGTATCAAATGGTATGGAGCTGCAATGAGCCAAGCATCCATTTGCTCTATTGATATTTCAGATAATTATGTGAACCCCAGCAAGAATGATCGAAAATCAGTCATCGATGTGTTTCCGCATCCGATTTCAGGGGCTTACAACGGAACCAACACTACTTTACAAAAAACCATTCCGCGAGTCTTGGTTACACGGCCGCCAACACGTTGGGTAAGCTTGTATTTTGAGCTGGACAAAATAAAAGTCTTGCCGCTCAACTAACTTGTTTATAGCCTATCAGTGTTGAAAATTTAACAAACAGGCATCCCAATACCATGCATCCTCTAGCTAGTACAACCTGCTTTATACTCTATCCTGGTGCAGAGAAATACATTAGACAAGGTGATCTGCCTGTCATGGCATTAGGAACACACATATTTAAAGTGTATCCAGTAGAGTATCCAGTCAAGTCAAAGCTGGACGAGATGAGCATAGAAGATGGATCGGTAGAAAAAAATCGACATCAGACACTTGCACAGCGGAGTGGGCTGATCATTAAAACAATATTTACTAGTACAAATCACTGAAATAAACAAAACCACCGTTTAAATTAAATCCCGATCGAGTGTAATAGACTATCTAGCATTAGAATTCAAACCAATCTGTATGAAAACACCCAATGCAATCAGCAACACGTATAAAAAATAAAGATTATATATTTGGTGTATTGTTTTGCAAACAGTCTGCATCAGTCTGCCATTCAGGGTTTACCATTGGTGGTACTGACTGATTCATCGTTCATTCGAGACATTAGGGGATTTCCTCCCCTTTCCTCGTCATTCTTTTGTTCTACTTTACCAACTTCTGGAACAACTCCACCATTCAGCAGTATTTCCTCGTCGCTCAAAGACTTTAGCCGGCTTGCCAACACAGAAACGCCAGCAAAAATCACACACACACTAAAGATAAACAGTGCGTATTGCTTGGTGTTGAATCCTCTAAATTCATCAAAGTAGATTCCACCACCAACAACATCAAATAATGTCCACACAACGTAGAATACTGGGATTTGCAAAAGTGCGTCGTACCGTTGAAGACCCATATTGATCCAGTATATTTGACTTACAGCAGTAACAACCGTCACACCTGTAATCAACCACGATCCAAAGTTGTTGAACTGGTTGTTACCTTCAAAAAAAGTGGCTGAAAGCAGATGGACTGTAGCTTTTGCAAAAAGAACAGTAATGGTTGCCATTAAACCGCCGAGCGAGGCATAGCTAAAAGGAAGAATCACTCGAACAGCAATTGAGCTGAGCGAGATTTTGTGCTTGAGTCGTGGAACAAGTTTGATATTTTTGAGAAAAATAATGAATGGAAGCTGGTTGAATGCATTACGGATAGACTGCAAACACTTCAATCTATGCGGTTTGAAGGATTTTACTGTCGATGTGGATGTTGGTTCACGAGATAGAGAAATAGGTGGCATCATGGGATGATGCTCAATATGAGTGTCGTGCGAATGCCTGGAAGATATTCCAAATGGAGTAGGTCGACCAGGAACAGTAGCAATTTGGCCTAAATGGTGTATCGTATCATCGGCTTGGTCTTGAGACGAGGCACAAACAGCCTCATGTATGTCATTGCTGCAATCCAATGAAGGAGATCGAGTATCAACTTTAGCAGTCTGGCTTACATTCTCGAATCCGCCAATAGATGATGTTTTGGGGACGACTGGAAGAAAGCTTGCACTGGCATTGGGTGCGGACGTGCTGAGCGACGGCGTGTTGGATTGTGTCGTTTTTTGCTTGTTGGCATCATCAACAACAAAAGTAAGACATACCGAGTACACTGACCGGCCATCAGAATTTTTAGCATTCAATAGATTACCAACCGTGTTTTCTTTAGGAATGAATCTCGAAGCATCTCCATTTTGTAATTCTTCTCCAAAGCCAGATTTGAGGGGAGATGGAGCCTCTGCAAGTGTTAGAGTACGCCGAGTTTCACCATCTGATGTCATGCGTTCACGAACACTCACAGTCAGTCCATTTATATTATCCGCAATCACAGGCACCTGGGCATCGCTCTCATCACTAGGCCGATCTTCGTCATTTCCATCCCCATTTGTTTCAACCTTGATAAGTCGTCCAGCAAGTGTTTCCTTGATTGTTGCAGCAGTTGGTTCATCTACAATATCCAAATTCTTTTCCACTATGACAATAGTACAAAATACGACGGCAATCAAGGTACTTGTCACTACTAAAAACGCAATGGTTGGAACACGACGAAACAGTGCCATCAACACGCAAAGGTTGTAGTCTTTGCCGCTAACACCAGCAAATGCTACAACCATACTTGATCCACCCACAATCAAAATCACACCAACAACATCTTTGTATGTCCATTTTTCGTTGTTAAGCAACGGTGCAATAATTACGTTCACCACAAGAGAAATAGATCCTAATGGAGCAACAAGAGACTGAGCAGCAAATTGCAAAGCGATAAAGTTTAAAAAGTTTCCAATAATAAACACCAGCATTCCCAACATCCATGCTGGGCTACGTAGCAGACTGCTGAAATTGAGCTTCTTTTCAAATTCTGGTGTGTTTCCCATGCTAAGACGATGAGCTCGATGATCATTTGTAGACTTGGCTCGAGGAACAGGTGCTGGGTACTTGCCGTTTGCTAATTTAGTATTTTCTGCTCCTGACTTGGGTTTCAATGCATCCTGAGAAACGATTTCATCCTGGTCAGCTTGCTGATTCAAAACAGTGCTATATTCGGATGTTTCTGGAAATCCTGTACGATCATAATCGGTGTGAGCTACTTTATTCTCTGACTGCGTAAGAGTTAAATGTGATGAATCTAGAGCAACAATGGGTGCATTCGTTGATGATGCTTCGAATGTATTAAGATGCTCACGAGACTTGGAGAAATCTTGCGTTTGAGACACGTTGGTAGTAGGACGAGCAAAAGAATCGGTCGTGTGTGCTTTTGAAGTTGGCAAACCATCCAACAAAAGATTTGTTTCACCAGGATTAGGCCGAAGATCGCCTGTTGTGGTTGGATTAGGACTTCGGCTGTTGGAATTGAAGGTAGATTCAGGCATGTTTATGGTAGATAACTCATCCGTTTGAGTCGAAGCTGGGGGAGGCGACTCTGATGGAGTACGACGACCAAATGGCAAACTAGCAAATGAATATTTCCGATACAAATCAGAAAGGCCTACACGAAAAGAAGTAATTTTGCGAACCACGTTGGATCGCTGCTGTTCTTTTTTCTTGACAAACTTTTCTTGACGCTTTCGCAATGCCAATTTTTGCAGATTAAGACCAATGTTAAGAGTAGCTGCACCAACCAGAGTGATAATGACACCAATCCACTGAGTAGAGCGCTCACTAACTGGAGCACATGTTAAATGATCTATAGTTGGATCAGGAGAAGCGGAGCAAGTATGATCAATACTACAAATATCGAGAAAAGAGCCTAGTTGTGAGCAAGCATCATGGTCTGTTGCACCACCACAACAAGAGTTTCCCACGTGTTGATCTGGAAGATTAATTATGCCAAATGTAGGGTCATAGTTGAAAAGTGGATCGGAAATTCGCGAGCAAGTAGATGCAATCGTGCAGTATGATGGACTGCAAATTGAGTTCATATATCCCGTCATGTTAGCAACGGAACCTGTTGGTAAAAGTGATGCGGAAGCATTTCGTGCTACTGTCCGTCTGATATATTCATAAACACTACAATCCGATGACCTTGAACAAAGCTCACCTAATTAAAAAATGAAAAGATCAGTAAAATTAAGCTAGAAACATGCAGGTATCTGCATTCATATCTATGCAACATAAAACACTAATAGGATTGCTAAGTTGCATAACAAACAGCCAGCCTCGTGATAATTTACACCAAATTTACTGAACATTGGGTGATTGACATGCATAGTTGCATTGCCGAGATATTCTCAAACTAGAGCGCGAACGTATCCGAGATTTTAGGATACAATAGGGAATTGGATTGAGGAAGTTAAACCAATATCTGGATGAATACGATGATTGTACAATGTATGGTCACACCAAAAGAAAAGATGATAAACTCGGTTCAAAATTATAGTTTGATTGTGCATCATATGATGGACACTGTTTGAAACAGTAATTGAAGATGTCTATTGAAGAAATAGTCAATTTGTAGTAGGAAAGCACAGCGAATATTTAGTCATTGTCTACTCCAAAGCGGAGCAGAGGCAATCACTGCAAGGTCAACAATGTTGCATTTTACGTGAATATGGCAAGTCGGCCGAATCGCTTGGCCGATGCTTTGTTGCAAAAATAAAAGGGTTGGCAATTTCGACTTTGACCATTCAAGGATCCGACAATAATGATGGACCAACAATGGAATTCACAATACTGATGCATCAAAGCGAGTGCTTTGGTAGTTACCGTGATGTTTAGATGCATTGTCAATGGACTACAAAGCATTCCAAATGAAATAGAATGTCGAGTCATCATCAACGCCCATGCAAGTATTGGAATCTCGATCAATTTGCATCAAAAATGATAGTGGAAACTGGATTATAAAACCAATTTATATTGACTGAATGGTCTCCATCATTTTCAACAGAAAGAATATGCTACAGTGACTAAAGCGGCTAGCTAATTGTGCTAAAAATAGCCAGTATAAAAAAAGATCGTTACATAAATGCTGTAGGGAAAGTTGCAGTTGGCTCGAGTCAATGCAGTGCCATGTGCACTGAATGAATGCTCGACAGGAGGCATTTCATGTCATTAAGCGATACTATGGGAATGATAGCAATAGGATCGAATGTACTATTGATGGCAATATAATTACTCACCAGCAGCCACAACGTATTTACACATGGCATTCACGCACAGATATCCGCCGGGCTGTGGACCAGGAGCCCATCCAGCAAGACGTTTGTTGTATACAGCACAGTCTTCGTCAGCAATGCAAGGACCAGAAATGGCGGATTGTGGTAGTGCATCGGCAAGGACCAAAGGTGCAGCAATCCAAATGCTTGATAACAGCGAGAGCAACAGCATTAATGGCAGTGGATATAGCGTATTTCTGCAATTCATTTAGTTTGAGTATGTGATGACAATGGTTGGCAACGGCCTCAATGCTCGGCTGAATGTATTATAATAGATTAACTTGTTTTACAACTGTATTCATGTAAAATGGAACTAAATAAGGAAGTCAAATTATATAAAAACAGACGAATTCTGTGAAATGATTGGTGCGATTTTACACCGCATTTACTGAACATTGTTGACTAATTCCTTGACAAAGTTGGATTTTCTCCATGCTCGTTTTTGTACAGAAAGCCAAACGAGTGTTTAAAGCAACATTCTTTGTTCCAATCAACTCACTCTTGGAATTTGTTCAACTTTGACTCTCCTTTGATTATGGGTAAGCATTGGGTGACCAGCACCAAACAACAGTTGTTTCTTGAACTAGTCGCGTGCGTATCTGATAGTCTAGAATGCAAAGATGGGTTTGTATAGTTTGATTGACAATGTCGATTCAAGTTGATTTCTAATAGGCGTAACAAATATTCAACTATTTTGTATTCTTGAATAATCACTGCAAGAATGTTCTATTTTACATGAATACAGCTGTGAAATCAATCCACGCTTGATAAATTCCCCTCAGGAAAAGACTTGCATGGCTCTATAATTATTCAGTCTAGCCACCATTTGTTTTCTTGACATTTCCATTCATCTTTCAATCAACTCGACAATTGTATTTGCCATTGAGGATGCAACCAGTCTTGCGATTGTCCACTGGCCTTGGACCATCTTGTCATTTATTATTTTCATTGAATGCTCGCTCTTTCAACTCATACACACCACTTTTTGCTCGAAAATCCGCTGGGGATAGTGCTAGCAACACTGGAATTCCTAGCATACCACTTACTGGTGATCTAGATGTAGATGGACTTACTAGATTTGAGATAGATTTTATGGAAACTGCAGATTGGGTAAAGACTTCCCTGCTTAAAATGAAGCATGCCAAAAAGGATCTAGCTCGTGAGTAAAATGCCATTTGGGTTGGAATATCAAGTTTTTGGTTAATGTTGATAATGCACTCGAGTACGAATCATGTATTTTTATTTTCTAATCTACCTGAATTAGATCTGCACAAGCCATTCGAACCTGCTACTCCTACCAAGCCCATCTGTGTAAAATACACTGAGAGATACACATACGACTTTACACGTCCACCACCTGTTAATAATGCCGTTGCATTGCAAGTCAGAGTGGCAGACTTGGGTCTGACTCCTCCACAAAAACACAAGTTTTTGCTTCTTGCTGGAAAGGCATACGATCCTTATATGGATTTGGTTTCCATGGCCGATTCCAAAGGACAGTCACATTCCTTGTCTGAGGATATCGATCGTGCTCTTTCTCTCAAACAGCTCAGTGGATACATGGACGAAATGATTGCAGCAGCCAAGGTAATATTATATTTATATTTATATTTAGAATGTCTATTAAACTTTTTTATGCACTGTTGATCAGGACACAACGGATTCGTTTACTGATGTGCCAGTGAATCTCACCCATGCAAAACGACCAAAAGGTGTTCGTCAGACTGCACGAAACCTTGAATTTCCCACTACATGGCTTAAGCAAACCTCAAAAACTGTTCAAGAGAATTAAAAAACATTTCAAATTGTATGTGAATAGAGGTGGTTGATAAATGTCGGCGGATGAGTGCATGAAACCTATTTTCTTGATTCAATTTACAGTCGAAAATTTTGGAAAAAAAGTTTACCGATTACTGGTCAGCATATAAGCCAGTACTGGTCGGTCGCCTAGTTCTATTGCTTTGTATCTCTACTTTATTTCAAACAGTATTATTCAAATATGAAGTATATCATTGTTTCTGGTGGTGTGATTTCTGGTATTGGAAAAGGTGTAATTGCCTCTTCTACTGGTCTTTTACTCCACACTCGAGGCATGCGAGTAACGTCTATCAAGATTGATCCGTACCTTAACATCGATGCTGGAACTATGACTCCTCTTGATCACGGTAAGAGTCAAATGCATTCAAAGTTTGAATAGGAGGTAGTTGAATAGCTATTCAAGCGTATGATACGAGGTTTTTGGTTGCTGGATTTTTCTCTTTTCTGTTTGATCCGTCATTGTAAAAATGTTTGACACATACAATTGGCACAAGAAACAACATTTGCCCTATTTTAAATAGTACTATGGTTGTTTTATGCAAATTGCATGGCTTACCTTTGAGTTCCCTACAGCTTGAAATCATACTATGCGTCACTAATTTATTTCTGGACATAAACTACTGTTTACTAGGAGAAGTATTTGTTCTTGACGATGGTGGTGAGGTCGATCTCGACCTTGGAAATTATGAGCGATTCTTAGATATCTGTTTGACTCGTGATAACAACATCACCACTGGCAAGATTTATCAGAGTGTGATCGAAAAAGAGGTAAATTTTATTGTTGTACTGTTTTGAATATACAGATTGAGTGTGAATTGATTGTCTTGTATACTACAATATTAGCGCAAAGGAGATTATCTTGGAAAAACTGTCCAGGTTGTGCCTCATGTTACAGACGCCATTCAAGACTGGATTGAGCGTGTTGCCAAGGTTCCAGTAGATGGATCTGGTCTTGAGCCAGATGTATGCATCATTGAATTAGGTGGAACTGTAGGTGATATTGAGTCTGCTCCATTTATTGAAGCCATGCGCCAGTTTCAATTCCGCGTAGGCCATGACAACTTTGCTCTTATTCATGTATCTCTTGTTCCTATTGTTGGATCTGTGGGAGAGCAAAAGACCAAGCCTACCCAGGCCAGTGTTCGTGATCTTCGAGGTCTTGGACTTTCTCCAGACTTGATTGCTTGTCGCTGCACTACTCCAATTGAGCCTGATGTCAAGAAAAAGCTTTCAATGTTTTGTCATGTTCCACCAGAGCATGTCATGGCGGTTCATGATTGCAAGTCTGTTTTCCACGTCCCCCTACTTTTAAATGATCAAGGGTTGGTTGAGATGCTTGAAAAGCGACTCAATATGCAGCCTAGGCCTAGCCCTGAAGCAGCATCTTTATTCAACAAGTGGCAGCAGTTATGCACCCGAATCGATCGCTTGCATGATACTGTGCGTATTGTTCTTGTTGGAAAATACACGTCTTTGCATGACTCGTATATATCTGTGGTGAAGTCACTGGAGCATGCAGCCATGGCGTGCAATCTCAAACTAATTCTTGACTGGGTAGAAGCAGAGGAGCTCGAGTCTACCTTTTTAGCCAAAGATCCACTCAAGTACCATGAGGCATGGAAATACGTTGTGAGTGCCAATGGTATTCTTGTTCCAGGAGGATTTGGTGAGCGAGGTACTGAAGGCAAAATCGCGGCCATCAAATGGGCTCGTGAAAACAAAATCCCATACTTGGGTATTTGCCTGGGTATGCAGCTTGCAGTGATTGAGTATGCTCGTAATGTTCTTGGTCTTGCCAAAGCCAATTCTACCGAGATGGACAAGGAGACTCCACACCCAGTTGTTGTGTTTATGCCTGAAATATCCAAGACACATATGGGTGGTACAATGCGCTTAGGATCTCGTGCAACGCTTTTTGCCGCAACAACCAAAAATTCTATTGTTCGCCGGATGTATGGCGGAGTTGATATGGTGCACGAGCGTCACCGCCACCGATATGAAGTGAATCCAGAGTACATTGCTCGCCTTGAAGAAGGAGGACTCAGATTTGTTGGACGTGATGAAAAAGGAGAACGAATGATCATCACAGAGCTTCCAGATCACCCATATTTTGTTGGAACACAGTATCATCCAGAATATCTCACTCGTCCATTGAAACCTACACCAGTATTCCTTGGATTTATTCTTGCGGCAGGAGGACTTTTAGAAGAACACTTGAAGTCACTTGAAGAACACACAGCACCTGCACTCGGACGATATCCAAGTATTGGAGATTCGATGAATTTTGCTACAAGTGTTGTTGCTGAAGTCAAGAAAGTCAAGGGACCATCACCACTTGGCAATACTGAGATACAAAAGAATTAAAATGAAATTGTAAACCCAATTATTGAATGAGATTTACAGCCATATTCACGTAGATGAGCATTTGTATTTATCATACAGACTATATTTTGCTTTGGAATAAACAATGGTTAAACATCTGCTGCGCTTATTAAAAATTGACTTTCAATTGGTGTTGGCAATTCTTTGAAATACAACGTCCATCCTATGTACAGAATCTATAGTTTGGGACCTCTTATCATTTTGCATAGTTCTACATTGTATAATCGCCCATTCATCCATTGCGCCCATATATTGCCAATCAAACAGTAAAAACTCGTATTATTGTATTCTAATCTCATGCTTGGGTTCAAAACAAAGATGGACACGCCTCGGAAATATTGTTTTCATGTCCATCACTCAGTGTTTGTGGAGAGTTGGAGATTGGACAAGTGTCGAGAATGTGAGATTGAATGAAACTGTATGTGAACACTTGTACAGTCTTGTATACAAAATGAGCACAGGAGAAAGATTTGTGAACTTTATTCAGGGTTTGGGTGCACAACGCTGTCCAGTAAATTTTGTGAGTCGACACCAATCGTCTTTGATTGTATGTGCCAACACCCTTATTTAGTGTTTCATTTTACGTGAATAAGTGGTAAATCAGGGGCCCAACCATCAATACTTGCGACTATAATATATCTGACTGTTCCTCACTCAACTTTTCACATTATATTTTGGGGTTCAAGGCTTAAAATTTGCTACTCTACTTCTTAATTTACTACTGATACTACTTGAATGATTGGATTTGGATCAGACTCTGAGCGACAGCCAAGTACTGTCGAGGCTATTAAGCACCGTCGTGCACACGATGTGATGTGTCGACCTTGCTTCTCTCTAACAGTCAAGCTACGTTCAGGCGAGCAGCTATCTTATGCAGAAATTGGTGACAAGGCAGGCTATCCAGTAGTATGGATTCCAGGACCCAACTACAACCGGTTTCTCATGGCCATCTATGAGAATATGGCCATTGAATCTGGGCTACGTATTATATGCTTTGATCGACCGGGAAGAGGAGCTTCTACTCCCCTTCGACATCCAAAGCTATGGGAGTTTCGGTCATTAGCAGGTGTGTTTTTATTGGTACACGGACTTTGCAAGTTTCATGAGGGGGGTTTATGTATGTGGGGATATGGATAGGAAGATGGATACATGAGCTGGACAGTCTACCAGTACAGCTCATGTCCTATTATCTTTACTCCACGCTCCGACTACAAGATATCATTCCAAGCACTGCTTTGAAGCTGATGAAAATATTTTGTTGATTGTTGTATTAGACATTTGTTTATGCATTTCTAATCTACTAGTGGCAACTAGACTAACCATCATGTATTTGTTATGACAGGCTATATTGACGAACTGACCAGCATTCTTGGCATCAACAAATTCTTCATTATTGGCCACTCGATTGGATCCAGCTATGCTCTTGCATCCTACGAGTTTCTTAAACACAAAATCATTGGACCACTGAGACTTTTGGGCACATGGGCTCCATCCAACCTGCCGTGCATGCCAGTCAGCTATGCCATTCAACGCTCACTTCCTACTCGCATGTTACGTGGTGTATATTCTTTGAGCACAAACTCCAGTTTGTCTTCAACTCGCCAGATTCCTACGCAAATGGGTGCCATTGGCTCTCGAGAACTAATCAATACTCGAGATCGTTTTGTGCACCAAGTCTTGGAACGTGTTGCCGAGGACCATGCTACGGATGCATACAAGGCATTTGAGCTGGACTGGCTGTTAGCTCTTGAAATCAACAAGCCGTTTGGATTCGATCATCGTGCTCTAACATGCTCTGTAAAATGCTGGCACGGCATGGATGATACGATTTCTCCTCTTGGTGCATCTATGTGGATGCAGCGAGAGATGAAGCAATTTCTGCTGTATGCAGTCGAAGGAGCAACCCACAACATCATACTGGACTTTGCAATTGTGAGAGCAGTGATGATGGATATCAGCAAAGAGGCGGCTACTGTGTTCTTGAAGCCAACCGACATTGCTGCTGTGACTCCCACAGCCTCACCTACACCATCATCGGATGTTGCTCCTGTAGTGACATGCGATGCACAACAGAATGCGCCGGATACCGATGATGGTCCATTGACTCCTACATCTATGTCCGAGTCTCCAATCTCAAAAAAAATGGCTGATCTTCCTCACATACCCACGCCTGACTCCTCCCCAGCTGTACCACAACAACCAGGTATGAGAGCATCGGCTAGCTCAGAGAATGTGTGGGCCGACTAGACTATTTGAAACAACTCGAATCTGTTCATGTTTCTATCCTGACCGTTGCTTTTCTACTTATTGTGTTTTGGTAATAAACAATATTTTGGTTTAAATCGAATCATGCTTTGTAAGCTAAATGTCCCAAATTCAAGCACTCCGCTCGGCTGTTTATTGGACTGTTTCTGCAATCTTGAGTAGATCGGACATCATGCCAAAAGCAGTAACGGCCGCACCAGCACCCGCACCTTGAATAATCAGAGGTACAGGAAACCTTTTGGTTGTAAAAGCAATAACGTTTTCGCTCCCCTTCATACCTGCAAATGGATGAGAAAAAGGAAACATGGCCAGCTTTACCGAGCCACATTTGTTTTTAATATCCACTTGACCCACATAACGCAACACGCTGCCTTGCTCAGCGGCCTGTTGGTTCAGCATATCAAAATGTTTATCATGCTCTGAAAGAAGCGACATGAATTCGTCTGAAGTTGCAACTGTTTGTAGAGGTTGAGGAACAATGTTTTCAATGGGAAGGGTGTCCACGGATAGATCTAATCCAGCAATACGTGCAAGTATCACTACTTTGCGTGCAACGTCCATGCCATTGAGATCGTCTCTTGGATCTGGTTCCTAATGGTATCAGAGTTTAAAATGCATGCTTTGAATTAGATTCAGATGCTTTGATAAAATCATTTTCCCATTGAAAGCTATACCGTATATCCAAGCTGTTTAGCTTGCTGGACCACATCCGAGAACAAAGGCAGCTTGCCATGTGCGGTGGTTGGGGTTGAGAACGAGTTGAAAATGTAAGACAAAGTACCAGAAAAGATTCCTTCAATCTTGACAATATCATCGCCAGTTTGAACTAGATCATTCAAAGTACAGAGAATTGGCAATCCAGCACTATCAACACATTAGATTTACAAAACGTCGCATTAAACTACAATGTCGAGACCAAAGTGCATCCATATTCAACCTACCCAACAGTGGCTTCGTGACGAACATGTTTGTTATGCTTGGCGGCCAGACTTGTAATACGCTGATACAGAGTCAGATCGCCGCTAAATGCTTTTTTATTCGGAGTAACGATATGTAGGCCATATTTAGCAATCAAATCGGGATAAGACTCTGCGATATCGTTGTTACTTGTGGCATCGACAAGAACGCATGAAGTATGCTTGGATGCATGATCAAGAAATGCAGAGAGTGAGCTCGAGGGACTTTCTGCAAGTGCCTTTTTCCAAGTGAGCAGATCAATATTGGAGGAGATTAAATGACGAGTGGATGATGCGATGCCCACTACGACCAGATTGTAGAGAGGTTTGGAGAGTGGTGGTAGAGAAAGTGCCCGGTGCTGATATGCAGCTACTTGCGAAAGAAACTCGGACCCGACCAGGCCAGGCCCAATCATAGCAATATGCAATGTGTGTGTCATCTTGTTGATATTTTGGTATTGAAAGCAGGAAAGAAACGGATGACCGCACACAACTGTATGAATACAGCTCGACACTTTATGACCGAGTGTTGGGTCATTATTTGTTGGTATAACAATATCTACTAGACAACCGTATTCGCGCAAGATGAAACACTAGAAGCATCAAAGTATAAACAATCTCATGGCTGGTGCTAGTTTACTGGACCATATTGTGTCCTCGGCTCCGGTCTTTGCCTTGTTCATTTTGTACAACTGAATGAATGTTCAAAGCAGCACCCACACCAGTTTCGGTAAACCCTCGACTTGTTTAGTTTCCAACTCTTTTATTCAAACCAAGCATTACAAACATTGGACAGTCAAACTTGATATATGGATTGCAATGGATAAACTCAGTTTCAAACTTGGTGATCGTACAATGCATGGCTATGCCAAATGAGGAGAGGTTCAAAACTATAGATTCTGTACATAGGATGGACGCTGTATTTCAAAGAATTGCCAACACCAATTGAAACAGCCTTCAACAGGTATAATGTTTAATCACTATCTATTCCAAAGTAAAGGAAAGGAAAGTCGCTGGAATATGGTGTTCTGTTTTGCGCGAATACAGCTGTAATGGGATCAGTCGATCAAAAGCAGTAATTTTTAACTCGACAACTGATATTCGATAGCAACAGACTGCTGGTTAATTCTAGCCTCATATTGAATAAAAATTGAATCTAGCCGTCAAAACAAATCTGATCTTGCTGTATTACTTTTATTCTCATATCGGGTTCTAATTTGAATCTAAATGTATCTCGACAGTTCAATAGCTGACTAGTATGAGTCGATCCTACTGTAGCACAGCCTTGGTAGTGGTAATTTCAGAGCAACCCTAAAACTGTGGCAAAATTGGAATTGAGAGGTAAGTCGGATGTAATAAAGCCGCTGTTTCTAAGCAATACAAGTTTGGCCGTTTGTATTTTAAAGCTTTTGTATAGGATTGGGATCTAGTTTGGGACGATGGCATAAAGTGGTATTTACCATGCTTATGGATAGTGAGATTTCCAGCATTGACCGTTTGCAAGGTCAAATTCAGTCAACGTTGATGGTTACAAATTCACAGACTCTCCCAGCCCTGCTTATCACAATAAAGCAGTGGTGCTTGCAGCTTGAGATAAGCACCTGATCGCGGGTTTGTCTCAGCAGCCACGCAGGAGTTTAAATTCTCCAAGCAAAATATTCTCGTGTTAGTCCACGTGATGTCGGTTTATTCTATTGGCTTCCTCGATAGTTTAATCTTAACCTTATTCAACAAATGTCATTCTTCTCTTCTCACCCACTGATGGGGACTATTGTCCAAGCCAACAAAGGCTCTTCTTCTATTAGTCCGTCAATGATGGACGTTTTTGATGCTGTTAAGCACAGCCAAACACCAGAGTCTCTGTTTGAACCCATGCCTTTTGAAAATACTACTTCAATCTATCGTTATCGACGGCAAAATGATGGTCAGGAAAGCAGCAGCATATATACTTCAAGTAGCGATGACGAAGATGAAGTCACAACAGACAACACCATGTCAAACTCATGTGGTAATACCGGGCAATCCGTTCCATTTATCAGTGATCCATTTAGGAGGTCGTTCCAGCGCACACCACATCGATCTCACACTCATCCAGTACCCAACCATCGTAATTCAACTGCCAATATCTCTACTGAACAAGTGTCCTGCACCTCTACACGGTCTCTGCCACTCAGAAAAGTGCGGTTTTCGGACGCTGTCACTCATATTGATACTTTGTCATCAACACGCCGATTTTCAGACTTGGGCGAAGCCCCGCTTAGTCGGCAGCAACTTGCTGCATCTCCAACATCCCATCTCTCTCCGTCTGTATTGTCTTCATCCATGACATCTTTATCTGCTTCCCTTGCTGCTCTGACTCGTCCTACTTGGTTCAAGTCCCTTATGACCAAAGTCCAATCCAGGAGAGACTCGGCCACTTCCGATCTAGACATATTCCCTTGACCGAACCCCACTACCGATACATTATACATTTCTTTTATCTTTTCATATTTACATACTTCATTTCCTTGCTTCACATCTTTCTGAATGCCAGAGGCTGACTAGCCTTTTTGTTTAAATGATTGGCAAATATATTTCTTTCTGGAATTAGCTAGCCAATAAAATTTAAGGACCAGTAAACACATTCAGTTATTTTTGGTAATGCGGTGACTTGATGACTGCACTTTATAGTCATCTAGCAAGTGACGATGGATTGTTTCAAATAAGGGTTAGGGTTTATTGGACAGAATTTGTTGATTTTCTCATCTTTTGATTTATTTTCCAGCATCTATTCAATCATAGACGATGATGAGCAGCATCCCACTGCCAAAACATGTCGAATCTTCCATCAGTACCCACCAGCAGCGCAAATGGCAGCAGACAGCTGTTCCTATCACCCACTCCTCACTTCCAATTGACTTTCTTATTACGGATTGTCCTGACAAGAATCATATCGATGAGTTTAGCCATCTCTTGCTTTCCCATCAAGTTTCTGATGTCTTGCGGATATGTGATCCTTCTGCATACGATGCTTCTTTGTTGAGTGTCGCTGGGATCAAAGTTCATGAGTTGTATTTTGAGGATGGTAGGCTATACAAGTTGTGGTTATTTTTGGTGAATACTGGATGGATGCAGCACATCAACCATGAATTAGACTACTAGAACAAACCTGTGGTAATTTATGGCATCAGGTTGGCTAATGAGGTCTTGACCATTGATCAACGATGAAGCCAACATGCACATTCCATTGAATACCAACTCTCAACCTAGACAATTGTAGCATACAACTAATATTGTGTTCAACTGTTTTAGGAACACCTCCCACAGCACAAGTCGTCAATGCATTCAGGTCCATCTTGAATCAAAAAGCAAAGCTCCTGTCCACTTCATCCACACTCGACAAAAAAATATCCTCCAGCTCACTCACATCAACAAAACCTGTCTTGGCCATTCACTGTGTAAGCGGGATTGGTCGTGCTCCTGTACTTGTTTGCTGCGCTCTGATTGATTATGGAATGGATCCATCGGATGCGGTTGCATACGTTCGAAAGTATCGTCGAGGTGCAATTAACAAATCACAGTTGGCATGGATTCTGGATCGTCATAAGGGGTTTAAACCAAGTTTGGGTAGATTGCAGCAGAAATTTAGTCTAGATGCTTTTAAAAACATCTTTTCAAAAAAGAGCAATTGCTCTCTATAGAATTTTTATACAGAACAGTTGGGTGATGGAAACACTGGCTCGGATAATACAATCTCAAATATATATTCGATTGGAGTCTTTATTCTTGCGATTTGATAAAAATCTAAAATACTCCTTGTGTGGTGCTTGATCCGGATCTCTAGTTAGGAACATACCCAAATAGGTACGATATACTTTCGCCATTGTGGGTTCGCCTAATCGCCTCGGCAAATGTCGACGCAACATCAATCGTATCCAACCGACTACACAACAGCTTCTTTTCATCGTGAGGGATTGTATTGGTTACAATAATTCTCTCCAGGGAGCTGTTGTTGATGACATTGATGGCTTTTCCTGAAAGAACTGCGTGTGTGACCATGGCATAAACACTCGTCGCACCATTCTCAATCAACACTTTAGCAGCAAGACCAAGAGTACCACACGTATCAGCCATATCATCCACGAGAAGACAAGGACGGCCTTTGACGTCACCTACAAGAATCATTCGAGAAACTTCGTTGGCCTTTTTGCGCTCTTTATGAATGAGTGCAAAGTCTACATCAAGCTTATCAGCAATAGCGGCAGCTCTATTTATAGTAAAGCAAGAGGTTTAGATCATTAGTCATATTGATTTAAAGTGATTACTACAACAAATGAACCTACCTCTTGGCACCACCAGCATCAGGCGAGACAATCACAATACTTTTATAGTCCTCGATATGCTCAATAATGTATTTGAGCGTACTGGGCTCAGCATACAAGTTGTCTACGGGGATGTTGAAAAAACCTTGGATTTGAGATGCGTGCAAGTCCATGGTGATGACGTGGTTAGCACCAGCAACAGTGAGCATGTTGGCAACCAGTTTAGCAGTGATTGGTGCGCGCGACTTGTCTTTTTTGTCTTGGCGAGCATACGGGAAACATGGAACCACTGCAGTGATACGACGAGCAGATGCAGTTTTGCATGCGTTGATCATAATAAGAAGCTCCATCAAGTTGTCGTTGATTTCGCCACAGCCTGATTGAATAATGAACACATCCTCATCACGAACTATTGGATTGATAGCAATGGATAGTGCCATTTTAGAAGCGTTCAAGTGTAATTCAAGACTAGCATGAATGTACAATGAATGGTATATAGATTACACATACCAGATTCTCCAATTGTGACAGAGGTTTCTTGGTTAGAGTACTTGACAACTACACATTTGGCAAGCTCAAGTCCAAGGCGTCTAATTTAATCATAAAAAAATAAACAATGAGCTACACTATTCACTCGAATAATTTGAAAATAAAAAACTGACAGTTTACGCAGTATTGATATTGGGTTGAAACAAAACATCAAAAAAACTGGCATGCATTCAATTTCAATGATCATGGACAAACTGTCATTGAAAAGACGAGCCAGAATGGTGAATGCAGGTTAGTCGAATCCAAATGCCCAACATAGGTAGTGGCAAGTAATGAATCGACAAAATAAAATTGAGTGGATAACCTTTTGTTTTTTCAGCTCAGTCTAGCTGAGTTGTGATTGGAGCAGGCTGTCAATGCAATACTGAATTGACGCCAATACACAGCAATGTGAGAATAGGTGTAGGCAGTTTATACGCAGCAGGATATGTCTTGTTGTTATCTGATATTGGATTCACTATGATCATTGACACAATGAGAATTTGTCATATGGTGAATATTTAACATGCATCAAGTTTTTGAGCATATTTTAGGTTCTGTTAAAGTAAAGACGAAGCAAATGCATGATAATGATATAGGAAAATGAAGCCAACGGCGCATACTTGGCAACAAGCTTTGCAAACTCAATGTGTGAGTTGCCTGCAAATATCTTGATTGACCCAGTCATTAGTTTTTGTGGTTGTTGAATGATGGGCAAAAACAAATATTTTACACAGGTTCGGTCAAATCAATTGCTGTTGAAACCATGGCATTTTGGCCATACAAAACTTTGACGGCCAGTTGATTCAGAGTACAGCAGAAACGGAACATTGCTGCTAAATAATACAGATTGGTTTTTATTGATGTTGAAGAATACGTTAGGTTTGACTGCTTCAAGCAACTAAGTTGTCAATATGTTGTATGATTGGTCTTTAAACCTTGAAAGAGCCTGAATGTTGACCAAGACAAGTCTGCTCAAACCCAAGAGTATTATAAAGTTTTACAGTTTTATTCATGCAGAATGGAACACTATCTTGCAATGATCGACTTTTAATTTGGATATGCAATGATTAAATATTCACTGCTTTCCTACTAGAAATTGATTGCTTTTTCAAGACAGCATCCATTATATAACACAAACTATAGTTCTGAACTTGGATTATCCTCATGTTACATTGTATAATCATCAGATAATGAGCCCTGATGCTTTCAATCCAACTCGTCTTTGTATTCTAAAATCATGCGTTCGCGTTCAAGAAAACAAGATTGCACATTAGAAATGCAGCCATGCATGTGAATCGTCAGCAAAAGACCAGTGAGTTTAAAAAACGATGTTGTCCAGTAAATTAGCATCAGTCATACCGTGGGACTGGTTATTTACTATATACTTTGATGCCTCTATTCAGTGTTTTGTTTTGCACGAATACGACTGTAGATGCATGAATGCTATTGCTTTAAACCTATATTTTGTAGCGTCGTTCATGGCAAACAAGATTGGAGTGGATTATACAAGTCCACCATCAATGCAAAGTCTCCCTCGAATATATCAAAACTGATATCGGTTTGCAATACAATGCCTACACACCCTAATAAACTACTTGCTAAGCAGTAGAACCAAAGCATATACATTCCACAAGCGTTGGTAGTAAGAGAAAAGGCTGCTTGAGTTTATTCTTGATTTAGAATTGATCCTGCTACATTATACCTAGTTTCGCCTATTACTGAGCCTTTAAGATGACTGGCTTTATACCGCACCACTAGTGTTTCAAAAGCAGAACCAGTTAGATCTAAGACCAGTTAGAAATGAGAACAGCAACAAGATTCGACTTACACAATGATATTGTTTATGGGGATATGAATCAACTTGACAAAGAAACCAATGAATCCCATAAGAATGAAGCCGACGCCTACAGCCTGAGTGACCTTGACAAACTCTATGTAGACATGAAAGAACTTGATAGTTAGTCGATCATATATTAAAGGCATGTGAGGCGCCATACAAATAATTGGATGAATGAGCTTGTGGATGCTGGTGTAGTCCAACCACTGACAGTGCAGGAGTGAAGCATTGTGATCAGCAAGTCAAGCAACAGTGCATCCATTCCAATCCATATATGTTCATAAAGACAATCCTGGATGTAATGGCCAGTTTAGCAGTGGGTATGCAGAACCAACTCTATGGCCAAACCACTCCTGGTTTCTACTGATCCAATCCTACCAGGATTTCCATTACATGTCAATAGACGATACTTTAGCAGTGTCCATAATAAAGTGATGGTTGCCATTGAGACTGTTATCAGAGCTGGATCTATTCTTATATGCCGAGTCTGCTGCTCACTTCAACACCTACAATAATCAAAGCAGCCATATGACGAATACGAACCCTTTCTATCAGGCTTGGTGCATCTGCTAACAAACTGGATACTTTCTTTAACAAACTGTTGGGGGCCATCGAGGAGTTCAACAAAGTTTTCCATTATATCACGAATGCTGGTTGAATTTATCAGTTACAAGCAAACTGACGAGTTGCAAGTTTGTGACTTGAATTCGATTTTGTATGCATTTTCCAGGCTAATTTACTATTCTGATAACACTTCATATCGTGGTTTATCAGAACATGACAAGATTTAAATCTATTAAATTAATACTCGAACATTACAGAGCAATCGAGTGTTGATTCGAGTTTCATGGAATAACTCAAGACTAACAACTTGTCGTTTTATGAGATTGTTGAATGCATTCAACACTGTTTTACGTGAACTAAAACAGACGCCACATTGATTCTTGAACTGGTTTGAACTGGTTTGGCACTTGTCTAAACAACCATCAATCCTAGTCAGCGTCATGGTATGCTTTGACTTATTTCATTCATCATTCGTGCTGCGTTGCCTTGAGAAAAATTGGATTTGCTACTGTTGACGGTGATGACATGATTTCTATCGAAACTGTCTGAAATCTGTAATCATTGCATGCAATATTCTACCATACCAACCATCGTTGTATAGTGCTTTATATCCGATTACTCGTATTGCTTACCTACTAAACTATCAATCTCCTGTGCATGAATTCATCTTGATGGTATATGCTTTAGAGCAGCAACCGCATCCACTCGGATGCACCACTCCAAAACCAAACCGAATCATCAACATCCAATCTGTTTAGAAGATATCAGCTCTTGATTGAATAGTAGGTCCAATATGTTACATCCTGTGTTTCAGGTTTTGATCGTTATATCCAGTTCTGGGCATTGAATCTGGATACTTTGAAATAGTAAGAATCTACGTAGCTCAAACAGTTGTCCAACCGGTGTTTATGTTATTCCCGATATTGACAACTTGTATCGTAAGTCTGATGTCTGACTGATTTGATTTAAAAGACATTGGTTTGCTATTGTACTAGTTCAGTTTAGTGATCCTATTTTATTTAGTCTGGCATGGAACTATATTTTTACACAGAGGCCATTATAAGGAAGGAGTATTCAAGTTTTACATAGAGATCCCTGACAGTTATCCTGAGCAGATTCCTATAGTGCGCTTCATCACCGACATGTTCCATCCACTGATTGATCGGGACGGTTATTTTAATCTGGGTCAGCAATTTATTCGATGGCGTCCATATAAGGATTTCATTTGCCATATTCTGCATTATATCAAGAATTCATTTAGGGAAAGCACCATGTGTTCGTTAGAAGGCAAGTGTATGTCTGAGCTGTATTGTATTCAAGATTGCTAATGTATTTTGATATAGAACCAACGTGTTTCAATGTAGAAGCCATTAGAATGTATAGTGTTGAATTTCAACCCATCTTTAAACTATTTTCCAGATTAATCCAATCACTACTATACAATATATTTTAGGTTCAAGAATGAAAAGCAATACTTTTCCAAGTTGGCCGCCCAATGTGCTCAATTATCGTCCTCTGAACCCATTCTCTTTGACAAGGACAGTAACCATCTCATGACTTTCACGCCTATCGATGATTCTCAGTTTGCCCATATCCAATCATTGCTATATGTATGCTTAATTTATAAAGTTGAACAGTTTTCAAAAGTGTAATGTTTTCACGGATGCTAAACAATGAATACATGCTTAGGAATCTGTTGGACACAAAGCCCAGCCAGTGACTGAGACTTGATTAGAAAATTGCAAATTCAAATATCAGTAGCACTCTTTCATTCAATGCAATCAGATACGGGGTTCATGGCTTGAGTTTGCTTAAACAAAATCATCCATCTCTGTCAATGCCTTGCAAACACTATGGCCAAGAAATAAAGCGTATTATATTTCAATAAAAACAAACTATAAAGTGGGAATAAACTGTTTATCTCCTGCCTCTACCACCACCGCGGCCTCTACCGCCTCGTCCTCGTCCACGAAGATTAAGATCTCTGATACCGCGTCGCTCTTGATCGCCTTCTCGGCTGTTATGTCCACCTTGAGTATCACGGTCCTCACGACTGCCACCAAATTTACGATTCGGTCTGCGCTGACCAGGTTTAAACGTAATCGACATATTACCAGCAATATTGCGTTCAATTAATGCATTCGAATCATGACCATTTTGCTGCACACGCTGGCCAAATGCCATTTTGTGAACATCGCTGCCGTGACTTTGAGAATACTTTCCATGACTATATCGTGACCTGTCTTTTTCCTTGTGCACATCATTGGCATTAAATCCATCTTTTAGCTCATAAAACGTAGGTTTGCGTTTGGATGGTTCGGTAGTAGCGTTAGATTTACTTTGACTTATCCCAGTATGTTTTCCAACAACATGTGGAGCACTCGACTTTACACCATGCTTATCAAATCTTGAAAATCGAATAGCATCATCACCCGATTCAGACGAATCACTAGCATTTCCTTCAGGGTCAGACATGTCCTTGTAAGCACTGCCAGGGTTTTGGACTGGATCGATATGGCGCGATTTGGCTGCGACAGCAGCAGCAGCTTGTGTAGGATAATGCAGCCTATATTCATGACTTTCTTCATCAACCTGAAACTCTTCATCTTGGAACAGGGCTGCAAATCGATCATCTCCCAGTGGGTTAGTGCTAGAAACTTCTTCTCCTTCTTCCAGTCCTCGCACAGCAGCATTTAGGGCTCGCTTCTTTTTGAGTTTCGAGTGTTTGTTCCTTTTACTGGTTTCGTCACCTGAATCAGGCTCGTCCGATAAATTGGCATTGTCAAACACTAATTTGGCAGCAAGGTTACGATTGATTTTCGGAAGGTTTTTGATTGCTGTAATACGGGATTTGCGCTGGGTCTCAATCTTTTGTTGAACCAGACGACGCTTATGATCTTCAAATTCAAAGGGATTGGCAATTGCTTTAGCTTTCTCGTATAAACGAAGATCCACAAAAAAGCCATGCATGTATGCCTTGAGCAGATTGGTTCCAACCAAATGATCCAAACTCAAGCTAATAAAGTCAATGTTCAACATTTAAATAGAATCATTAGATTGATAAAAAGTCAAATATTAGTACCGGAAATAGCCTAGACAGTGAATCAGAACATGTCTTGAAATACAACTTACTTTGCCAAATCTTTTCGGGTAACAAATTTGTAATCATCGTACATTGTCATGCCAGTCCCTTCTTCCAGTTCTTCAGTCAAATTGTCTAAAAATGGACACCATCTAGGTGCAGGACCCATAGCAGGGATATAATAGCTTTGGATCTGGACACCCTCATTAGCAAGCATCACCAACCCAGATTCGCCACTCACACACACGTCATTGATATCGTGTGGACTTTCAATAGAGGTAAACGGTGTGCCGTCCATTCTGTTCCAAATCTTGATAATTTTCGAGTCTGCTGACAAGATATTTTGACTAGCGTCGTGATATAACAGCTTTTTAATTGGAAACCCGTATTGATGATCTTTGATAAGAATTGGAGTAGGGCGTCGAAGATCGTACATGACAATTTGTCCCGTTTTTGAACCAACGCAAAAAGAAAGACCGTCGGATGAAAATGCAAGTGATTCAATTTCTGGAAACGTCTCGAGAAGTGAGGAATCAATGTCACGAGCAATAGCTGCAGCAACATCTAACCTGCCAATACGACTACGCTCACGAGGGTCCCAAAACTCGACACATCCGTTTGATCCACCAAACCCAAAAAGCTGATGAGCTGGATTAATGGCAGATACGTTGATTTCAGACATGCCAGTTTGAAGTGAGTTGAGAAATCTGCCTTGCTCAAGGTTAAGACGCCATACTTCACTTGAAGATCCAACTATCATGAGATCGCATGATGGGTAGTGGTATGACAAATCTCGCCCAAACTATGGATTGGCAATGCAAAGATATAAATTAAATCGTTAAAAGTAGCACGACAGATTTCAGAACCATGTGGTTGTTTTTGTAAGCAAGCCAAATTGCAGTTTACCTTTGGAACTCGTGTTTTGTAATGAAGTCCAAATTGAGAATGTAGCTCAATAGTACGATCAGATTGCAACAACACAGATTTGGTCCAGTCATCAGATAGAATCTATCATAAACATAAAACAATTGGCTTAATATAATGTACAAACGGCAATTATGTTGCATTTGTCTACAATGAGTATACCTCAAATTGAACATTTTCTGCTTCAGTGTGACGATCAAGTTTCATTGCCATTTGGGAAACCTCAAATACTCGCATCTGAGGTTGATATACACCTAATTATACACGAGTTTAATGTTGTGCTACTTGATAAAAACATCAAAATCAAATGGTATCATTTTGATCATCATCTACAACTGAATCAACTTGCCTGTTGCCATAATATATTCACCGTCTCTAGTCATCTGAAGTCGCAATGATGCCTCTGGGAATTCAAAATCTTGAATCAACTCTATTCTATTTCTCCATGCTGCCATTCCAAAGTGCCCAATTAGGATTTAAAATCGATCGCCCAAGAATAATGCCCAAATTAAGCAAAAAAATTCAAGTATTGGTTAATATAAAAATAAACAAGTAGAACCAAGTGAAATGGCTTGATGGGGTTGCAGAGTCAAAAGTAATGCTTTTAATTCTAACCATGAAAGATTACAGTCGTATCCACGTAAAATAAAACATCAACTATGAGAATTGGAATCCATTACTCCATGAAACTGATTGTTTATGCACTTTTTCACTCTTCACATTTACTGGACAAGACTATATCCTTTGAACTCCTTGACAAAGTTGAATGGGGTTTCTTTGTGATCATTCTTGTATAAAACAACTAAACGAATGCTCACAGTTCCAGTCAATCCCACACTTGCTCAATCTTTAGGCTCTTGAACTGGAGCGCGAACATATGAGATTCCAGGACGCAAAGATGAGTTTATAGAGTTTGATTGACAACATCAAAACAGTTGAATCCAATATTTGAATTGCAATGAATGAATCTAGTGATCGTACAATGCATGAATATGTCAAATGGAAAGAAAAGAGGCTCAAACTAGTCTGTATCCTATGATGGACATTATGTTTGAAAGAACTGAGAATGCCAATTGAAGAGGTGATTAATGTCTAGTAGAAAGACAGCGGATATTTAACCACTATATTTCAAAGTAAAATACAAGTAATGACTGCGAGTGTTCCATTTTACGTGAATGCGACTGCAAGTTAGTTTCTCAAAGAGTCAACGGCCATTCAGCAGTTTACCTTGATCATGCTTTAGTTTTTCCTTATTCTTTTGTACTGCCCAGTCTGGAATAGCGGACCGAGATGCACTCGTAATCGAGTATATTTTGACATCGTTGTTATTGGCGACTTGCATTCCAATTTTTAATTGTAATTTTTTTTCATTGGTTTTGACAATTGTTGAAATATGATGAACGCATTGCATTTAAGGACCAAACCGTATACATTTCAGAAATAGTGGTTGTACACTAAAATAAAGAGATTGGCATCGAAACATGAATAATAAAACTGCTTTCATTTGACAGACAGATCATGATAAATCTGATCACTATTTGTTATAATATTGGTGGAAGTGAGGGCCAATCGGATGGAATACAAGACATCAGTAAACCGCTAAACACGGTCCAGCGTTTAAAAGAATTAAACTTTAGGCTTCTTGGATGCATGATCTTCATTGCTAGACTCGGTAGCAGTCTCGGCAGTAGTCTCGGCATCGGAAATAGCACGCTTGTTGGTATCAGCAACTTTGGCCGTCTTTTTGACCAAACCAGACACATCGGTAGTATTAACCGATGTTTTTGATTTTTCAGTCTTCAACTCGTTACCAATCGTTTCTCCGTCCTGTTCCTTTTCAAGAGCAGCACCAAGATCAAACATTTTTGCCGACATCTCGGCAAGAAGAGATTCCACCTCTTTGATCTCTTTAGAAACAGCTTCGGGAACGGGATCAGCAGCTTTCTTTCCCTTGATATCAGCGCCATCACCATTTTCTGTAACTGCATCGCGGTTGGTGAGTTTGTGAAGATGCTTCTCGAGAACTGTAGTGGTTTGTGTAACCTGAACGATGGCATCCTCGATCTGCTCGGAATATTCAAGCGCCAATGCAAGCTTGTAGTGCGCCTCTGCCAACTCTCTGTCATCGCTATCAAGAGTTTCCTCTTTGATTCGCAAAGCAGTTAAAAAGTCTGTAATGGCTTGCTCAAAATTGCCTGTCAGTCAATGGTTTAAATCAACTGTTAGTCTGCATGAACTGCAATGCAAAGTGAATTGAACACAAGATACGAATCAATCGGCATTGAAGCACAGACTGCTTACCAGACTCAAGAGATACATCTCCTAAAGCCATGTACACCTCGCCAAGTTTCTTTTTATCTTCTGGCACTTCTGACTCAGTGTAAATGATACGGACAAGATCAAATGTTTCCCAGGCAATTTCAAGATCTTCTGGATCTTCTTCATCGATATCACCCAATGCAACACCATCGTCGCCGCCATTCTCATCGACATCGGCTCTTTCTACCTGCTCTTCTGCACATTCATCGTCATCCTCCGAGTTCTCCTCATCACCATTAAAAACAAAATGACCAGCCTTTCCAGCTGTCGTGTTCAATTCAAGCAAATATCAGTGTTAATCGCCTAATACCGGCAAGATCCATGCAATACCACTAGTGCATGAACAGTAAACCTACGTGTGGAACCAGTAGCAACAGATTCAGAAAAAGATGCAGCACCGGCTTCGCCCACATTCTCTCCAAGAAGAGAGTTCTTTTGCACAGCATTCGCAAGAAGTGCTCGTCCATAATGAAACAGAATCTCTGCACTTTCCCTCGACTTTTGGCCATACATTTCGGTCCTACAAAAAATTGTCCGAATTCAAACATATTACACAATGTCAACACGATAGCAAGTCACAACAGATTTGCAACATAGTATATCAATAGCAAAGTGCGTATATAAAAAGAATGAGTTGATTCAATATGAAAGCATATTGAACAACCAGTCAAAACCTGAAGTAGACAATCTGTTCAGGATAGAGTATATATTGGTTGCAGAAAGATCAAGTATGAGCATGGTAATAAAGAGACTCAATACAAGACGAACAGTATTAAGAAACAAATCGGATTGCTCAGACGCTATGATCACAAGTGTTTAATCTGAAACGATGGAAAATAGTTGGAATAGTAACTGTCATTCCCAAGACATGGCACAACATGCGCTGGCATACAACAATGTTTGTAGAAATAAAACAGCGGGAGCTTACTGGAGTTGAGAGGCAATGGACAACTTCTCGGCTGCCAGAGAAAAGTTGCTCATGGCATAGGCTTGTGCACCAGCAGCCAACAGAGTAGGAATGTCGCTGACTGACAAGCCTTTAAGCTCGTCAGAAGCGGTTTCTTCAGCAGCAGCAGCGGGATGTTCCATAAAAATAGCCTTCTTTACAGGACTATCGGTAGCAGATTGCTCAACAGGATCGGCAGTTTGTTCCTTGGTCATCATTCAATTAGAAATGGTTGAACAAGAAAAGCGTCGCTTCAATCAAGTTTGTTGCTCGTCCACAGGAAAATGTTGGTTGGTTTCAAGCTGTTTATTTCTTATTCAACAACATATTCCTGAAATCATTGTGTTTTGGATGATTCGTGACTATCCTTGTTTGCTGGTCTTTTTTCATTGTTGGTGAGTGCGGTTCCAGCTGCAAACGCATCGTCTGGTTTAGCCTTGATCACAATAGATGAACGACCACGCTTCTTTGGTGCTCGCACTGCACGTGGAGTAAATGCCATGGAATTAGTTGCTGTAAACTTTACTGACGAATCCGACTTGATATCCTTGCTGGTAGCTGCAGTGGATGAGGAAGTAGCGTTCAATTGTGTTTTTTCCTTTCCTGCTGTACGCGCTGATTCCATAGTCGACTTACCCTTGCGTAGATTGGGATCTGATACTGACACTACAATCAGTCGACCATCTACCATTGTCCCATTAAGCGTCATGGCTTCTTTTGCATGATCCTGTATATTTGTAAATAAATATAAGCTCATTTGGTTAAAAGGCGATACTGTGAGTCATGCTAGCTATTACTGCTGTTACCTCTTGATTATACTCGACAAATGCAATACCCTTCGAATTGCCATTGGGCATACGCACCACTCTCAACGCTAAAACATTGATTGTAAACTATGAAATTAGCGTACAGAGACGACTAGCTGTAATCCATTGCATTGGATCAACTCAACAAAAATGACTTACCACTGATTTCTCCAAACTGACAAGATTAAAGTAATAAACAAATCAGTATCCATCAACATACCAAACTCACTACATTTCAAAAAGCAGTTTTTATACAAACCTTGCTAAATAGCTCCTGAAGATCATCCTCCGTCATGGTATGAGAAAGATTGGATACATAGAGTTTCTTGTGATCAATCTCTTTTGCCCTGGTGGTTTACAATCAAAATAAAACATTAAAATCACATTTTGATTAAACTAGGCTAATATGTTTAACTTGCATTTTTTTAGTAGGATCCGAAATCGCTACTCCTATCTTGCGATCGCCAGTTTTTTCAATAACCGCTTGGTTCATTTTGAGACTCTTTATTGCATCTTCCTAAAGCAGATAAAATCAAAGACGCTCATGTTAAAATCACATTGACATTGTAAACTCTAGTCAGCACACAAAGCATACTTCTTTTTCAAAATCAATATATGCAAATGCCATTGTTTTGCGATTTTGCAATCGGATCTCGCGAATTTTGCCAAACTAAAATCAATCAAAATATAAATCAAATGCAAGACTTGGTTGATACACTCCCAGTAAAAAACATTCAAAATACTATAGTTTCACTCAACATATCGGGTTTTACCTCGGAAAAAATATGTCGCAATTGACGCTTCTGCATCTGTGGTGATAGGTTCGACACATATATTTTGGTTTTTTCCTCGTGCTGCTTAAAATCCCATACCATTTGAGAAGGTCGACATCGACAAGGTGTAACTACGGTCCCATTGATACTAATAGGTCCATCTAGGACGATTTTTCGGACCAGCTCCTACTCATTCCAATCACAAGTAGATGCATATTTCAATATACACTCTTGATGCAATGATTTCAACTTAATACTATTGATTCACTTACCGCTTTGGAAAACTCGACAAAAGCCTCCAATTCTCCAGATTCTTCATTTGGCTGCATAAACAAATCCTCAACCTGGCCATACTAGAATGGTTGGGTATGTACAATGAAAATCAGTCATCTTTTAAACCCATTCCATACATGCCGGCATCTACATACCACGCCAAAATGTTTCAAAATAGTTGATTCGGTTGTATTCTGAGAGAGTTTTGAGAGATATACCATATTTCCTGCCATTGAACTGTGTGCATGGTATGCCGTGATTAATGATGAATTTACAAAATAATAGTTTAGCTCATAGCTCAATGCAAATTTGAAAAACGTACTTGTTAATGACTTTGTATTCTGCTAAGCTACCAGGAAGCTTTCCGGCATGTGGTTCTTGGGATGGTTCGTGTATAGCTTCTTCGACTATTACCCGTATATATACAAATGAATTAGAACTATATCGGTATGTAGTAATCAACGTATAAATGAAATCAATACTGTTTACTTTTTGCACGCTTGGAATGTGCCTCGGCTTCGTTCTCAACAACAGATCGTTTCTTGGTATTTTCAACCAATAGTGGTGAAGCGGAATCGGCTGAAATTGCGTGTTGATTTTGAGATGCTATCAAACAGGTTGCAGCAGCATGGTATTGATCGCCAACGCCAGTTGATTTTGCATCCCTCACCTAGATCATTAAACAAAATCGTCGAATCAGTAATGCACAAAAACCATCTATAAATAAGCTAAACATACTTTAGCCAGTCGTGCCTGCAAAACATGGATTTTATCCAGCGCCTCATAAAGTGTATCCAATCCACCACGAATACGCTCAAACTCGATCCACTGCTCATAAATTTGCTCAGGTGCATTCGTGTTTTGCAATGCAGCTTGTTTTAAAAGAGATCTTGCTTTGGAAATATTATCGTGTCGACTATTGAATCAAGATATGATCAAGATATGATTTGAAAAGTGAGTTTTCATAGAAAATTGTACTTGCTAAAATTTAAATGTGACAATAAAGCCATTCCAATAGATATCAAATAGAATAATACATTTCAAACTGCACAAACTCTAGCCATGCCTCTGTTAAAAAAGGTACACGCTTTACCACTATATGATAGATGTTTCGTGCAGTAGAAACATCTTTGAAAAAATACTCCTATAAAAATAGATATTTGGTTTAGATCAAACAAATACCTGCAGTATGACATGATCAATTTGAACTTACTTCCGCCTTGGCCCAAAAACGCTGAAATTTTGCCAATGGATCAATATTAGTGATCGCTGTGTCAGCAAAAATGAGTTAGTTAAAACGGGAATAATCATGCACTGTATACAGCAACTCACCATCCAAATACATTGCAGTTTCTTGGAATACAGCTCGAACAGTGTCTGGTGTATATGCTATTGACCATTTTAAAATCAATCAAAACTTTGAATCATGAATAATTTGAAAATTTAGCAGCTTAACTACAACTTACTATCATCAAATGCAATGCATTTGAGTTCTACTTCGCAGTGACACATGGCCACAGCTAAAATTTGCTGAAAATCGCCTGCCATGGATAAAAACCTTATTGCGCGTTGGTAATCCTCTATTTAGCAACAAAATGTCCAAAATTCAGCATTTATAATCAAAATTCATATTATAGAGTTTCAATGTTGTTTCTACTTACCAGTAACATCAGATCTTGGTTTTCGAGCAATAGTCTATCACGTCATACAAAAAAATAAGTTGGGCATCTCAACAATCATTTAAACCTATATACATTACTTTGATACGGAGTAAATGACACCAGAGAGGTCCAGATGTCATACAGTTTCGCACAGCTCTTTCAGCAATTGAAACAAGAGTAGTCGGTAGTTTATCCCAAACTGTCATGTAGATTAGATACGAGTTCCATAATGTTGGATCAAGACAGTGCAGAGAAAGCGCACGCTCATATAAAGTTTGAATAAACTTTATATTGCCCCCATTTGCCTGTTTCTTTTCAAATGACAGATATGCATTAAATGCGTCTAGCGAATATTCACTTTGTTCCTATTATTTTTCCATTGAATTTATACGATTGGTATTAGCAAATATAAGATATTTAAGCAAGCGATTGAACAGTTGACATAATTCATTACACACCAGTTTTCTTTCAAGTGACTCGCAATACTTTTGATCCTTTTTGGTTTTGTTACAAATTTGGGTTGCAAGTTTAAGACGTTCAAAGTATTCTTTTTGATTATATTGTGATTCGAATGGTGAGTATGACTCGAGTGTTTTATCAATCTCTTGGTGGGGCTGTTTTAAACGATCCAAAAACATTTTACGCATTTTCTCCACATTTTCAAAACTGATGATCACATATCAGCAGCAAGATAAAGTTTAAAAATTATCCAAATGAGCAAATGACATCTTTCAGCTTTACCTTGAATCTATCTGAAAATTTAAAAAAAGACTAGTTAGTATGTGTGACTAAACAACAAGATTGCATCTTGTAGATCATTTGCACCAACCTCCAATTGTTCCAAGTGAAAGTCTTTGATTGTATTCCAGATTACATGACTCTGTATCAAACAAAGCAGTTTAGCTCTTGTAAAAATGTAATACAGATTCCATCCAGTTTCAACAACATGGCAGCCTTACCTTGGTGTAATGATGATCTGTTGCTTTACGTGCAGCAGAGCATATTTTTTGGACCTGATCAGTTGATAACCAATTTGTTCCGTCTTTAAGTGATTCGCTGTACTCTTCAAGCACATAGTCTAAATACATTTTCCAAAGCGGGATTGCTAGATTACACATTTATACAGGATGCAATGAGCAAAATCTTGTACACAACTGCTCGTGTGCTTGATATCAAAACTCGAGTGTTCAAGTAGAAATGCATGCACGAAGAAAGTATACACTTGCATAAGTAGTCTGTAACGGACCGCTGGAATGTTTGAATCAATTCAAGCTTCAGCGTCTTGTTTGCAGCCAAAGGCATTTCATCGCTGACCCAATCAATCCACATGGCTATGTAACCAAGACATATTCATTAGCAATCTACTACAAGGCAGAATCCATCTAGACAATGACGCACTTTCTGTAAGGGGAAAGATGTCTGCCATAGTCTGTCTTGCTTGACGTAATGCTTCTAGATCACCCAGAGCTTTCATGGCAGCAATTATGCCAACATGAGCATCGTAATCATAAATATTTGCTGTAAGCTAGATTCATATATTAAGCATGTTTAACAGTATGAAACTAGTTTGAAGATAAGCCAAGACAATGTTTCCAGAAATAGATTGAAACCCACTCGTTCATAAAGACATGTAAGCTGGGCTTCTGATACTTGACAAGTTTTTTGATCCACTTGCATATTTGATTCAAACTCATTACTGCCATCCGAGTCGGACAGATCATTCTGTTGTTTGGACGCCATGTTCAAAGTATTCAAAACACGAAGAATCGGATCCGAAAATGGTAAAGAATTGAGTTGGAATCTACATTCTAGTCGTCATTCCATGTGAATTGTAGTGGTTTAGATTGACTGATTCAAGTCAAAATATCAAAAACGATTTCTGGATTTTATTGTCGCATTCATCAAACGAGCGAATTCACTGAACAATATTGTATTTTAAACTCATGAGTTGATTGGTTTACTATGATTTATAGTTGTATTCAAACGCGAACGTATGTAGTTTTAGAATACAAAGACGAGTTGGATTGACAGTATCAGAATTCATTATCTGATTGATTATACAATGTAAAATGAGAATCATTTAAAACTATAGTTTGTATTATATAATGAACGTTGTGTTGAAAACGAGTTGAAAACAGTTCTTTTTATTTCAAAGCAGAATCGAGGCAGTCCCTGCAAAAAGTTTCATTTTACATGAATATAGTTGTAAATTTCACTCGACTTGAAAAATACATTCCGAGTCCAATGGCAGAATCCTTTGGCAAAAAAAGAGTGCATTCAAATGCTAAAAGTGAAGATGCAAGCCGTAAAACTAGATTACATTCACAGCCAGAATCACAGTCTACCTTGCTAGTTGATTGGGGTCGTATGCATGGAGCGAATATTGAAAACGTTGAAATTAAAGAAACGGCCTCTGATGGTGAAGGCGAATATATGGCTTCACAATATTTAAAAATATCATAAACTACTAATATAGATAGTTTTCGGTCTATTTAACCACACTATCATATATTTATTGCATAGATGATCGAAAACTGACAAGAGGCGCATATGCTTCCAAAGACATTCCACCCAACTCGGAAATATGTTTTATTCCTAGCACAATACTTTTATCAGAATCTGATGTGCGTGCATCCGAGATCGGCAAAGCAATACTAACTTACATTGACGAGCATCAAGATGCAAAGCAAAAAATCTCTGACAAGATCAAGCATCCACACGCAGAAATCTTGCTTGCCATGGCCGCATTCATTGTACACCAGGTCTCGCTCCCAACAGCAGACTCGCACTGGCTACCGTACCTCGCCTCGCTACCAAAAAATTATGCCTTGCCACTCATGTGGACTCGAGATCGTATTCAGAATCTTCTTGGTGGAACGTCATTGCTGTATATGATGATAGAACGATTGGAATGGATCCAGAATAGCACAAAAGTGGTCGAAAATGCATGTGGCCATTACTTTCCTACTGGCGCGCTTACTGTTCAGTCTATGCAATGGGCAACCTGCTCTATCTGGAGTCGTGCGTTTCCAAAAGCTAAACCATCCTTGGATCTACAAGATGGTAGCCATCAAGACGTTCAAGACTGGATCGGGCTATCCGAGATCTGTCTATTTCCGATTTTAGATATGGTAAGTAGATCCGTTTTGATGTTGTATACCACAGATGATTGTCGCGCAATATCATTCATACAATGTCGTGAAATACAGTTTAATCATAAACGTGGGTATCGAGTAGAATGGAGAATGACCGAAAAAGGTGTGTCATTTATTACTCCCGACGGCATCTGCAAAGGAAGCGAGCTGCTGAACAATTATGGACCAAAAGGGAACGAAGTATGTAATGTGATTTATTCTAATTCGATATTAAACTATCCAACTCACATAATGGTTCAACATTCTACTTTGTAGAACCTGCTTAGTAATTACGGATTTGTTATTGAAAATAACCCAGAAGACTATTTCAAGGTGTTTCTTGGTCTGCAACAAGAGGATCCACTTTATACAGCCAAAAAAGCAGTTCTTGAAGTAGTATCAGAAAACGACTTATCTCATTTGGTATTCCTTAAAGATGATCTGCCAACAAACATGATTTCCATTTCACGAGTACTTGTAGCTAATAGCTGGGAATTGGCGATTTTGGAAGCCAGATTGACATCATCCACAAAAGTATCCCCACACTCCACTCCCATCTGCCTCCACAACGAAATCCTTGCGCTCTCTACTCTTTACAATCTGTTGAATAGTAAACTGAAAGTATTGAAAAGTACGACGCCAAATTATGAACAAGATACAATCGAGTTTCCAAATGATGATGAAGCGCGTAAACTTGTACACATTTACCGTGCAGGACAACAGTCGATTCTTGAGCATGCAATCCAAAATACACGGACTTTGGCCTCCATGACTAGCTCATGCCATAAGCAGTATGAAACACTAAGAGAATATATTGATGACTGTACGATCCATTTGCTCAATCCACATTTGAGTCCGGGTATTGTAGATTTGATGGCTGCTGTGTCATCCCTGCGTTGGAATGACAATGAATCGGTCACAGATGAGGAGGACTGGTTCGACTCTGATACCTGGCTGATGCTGATTCTTGCAAATGAAATTAAACAAGGCGCTGGCTCACACTGGAGTCGGCAGCTCGCAGATTTAGTTTGTCAAGATCAAGTCAGGCAAAAACATCTTGGGTGAGTCGTTGCTTTTACAGCTAGATGTGTCTTGAATACTGTATGAATGTGTAGAATCTATTATTTAATCTGATCACAAGGTATTCTAACATGCGCATGCAATGTGAATTACAGTGAAATCACCCAGGATATTCAAGATCACTTTAGTGAAAACATTCGTCCTAGACTAGATGAATTAGAGGGAAAGATTTCTGATTCGCTGTGGAAGATTGTTCAACATATCAACGATCAGGACAAGTTCGTTACAGCAGCCTGTGCTTTTGAATGCAATGGTGCAACTCTAGAATCATGCTGGGTAAACGATATTAAAAACAGTTGTACCGAGTCTTACGATGATTCCTTCATCACTGCAATTGTATTGGACTGATTGGTTAGCTTCCACCACTCATACAAATCAATAAAGCTTGATAAATTTGAAAACATAAACTTTAAAATCAAGTTCAACATTCTGATCAATTTGGTTTATATCATTTGAATCCGTTCTTGACCGCCTTCCATAGTTTGCTCAAAAGGCTATGGTTTTGATTGTATTGCCTCTTGCTATCCGGCGTGCCTTGAGCGCGGTGTTCAATCATCTTAATCTGGATACTCGCAGAAGGCACAGAGAGCCCAACCACATTCGCCAGTTGTCCACCAGGACCTTGAAGCAGCATCTCCTTGTGATCCATTGGCTCAGTCGGTTCCCCAGCCAACCTATAGACCTGCATAATATGCCTAATTTCTTTCAGCTGTTGGGCAATCTGCTTATCCCGCAGGTATTTTCTCGCAAGTAGTTCGTACTGGTTGGGCAATGGGCAAGGCTCGCCAATCGATTCAAGATAATTACAGAGTCGATCGTGGGCTTGTTGGAGTTCTGGGATGGACTGGAATATATATTCATAGGATGTTTGGAGTGGTTTGGATTGTTGTGCAGAAGAAAGTGAATAATATGCTGTGTGGGAAGACCTATAAGCTGCTGTTCTATAAGCGATGGTGGGTGCCAATGGAAGGACTTGAGCCAGACGAGTAGTTATTAATGAGTAAACCATCAACGAAATCGTGCTGATAAAAATGATGATTTGGTAAAATTGGAGAATCATTATTATACTTTTATTTGGCAGTTTCGACTTGGCTGCACTTATCGTGATAGTTACATTGGTTTGCATACTAACATGACCAAACCCATCAAATGGCTGGCAGGCAAGGTCTCGTTTATAACATGTACACAACTATTTGTTTAGAATATAACAGGCTAACACTAATATCGTTAGATATGGAAAAATCATGCCTACTTACCAACTTTGAAAAACGAGGTTGGCAAAAAGGGTCCGAGTGTGAGTCTAGCAGCTTGATGAAAAACAAGACTCTATCTAACAAATATATTTTGTTTTCTAGATGATTGGAATTTTTATTGGGCCGGTATGTAGATACCGTTTTATCTTTAAACCTTTGTTGGTTCAAGTATACCTGGTTAAAATATGATGAGCGTACATTTATATATGATAAAACTTGCATCACATTCTTAAATGCAATTTTGACTGAAATGCGGCATTTCACAAACAGGAGTTCATAATTTTAGGAGTATCATGAGCTCAGAATCAGGATATCGACTCTCTGATAATCAGTAAGCAACCCACGCATGATTTCAACCTTGCTAGATATTGAGTCGCGCTAAACTTTTAAAATGCAGAATCATCAACCATTTTCCTAATCATATCGAGCTAACCAAGAAAGATTTAATGGTCAAGAACATCAAACGATATAAAAAAGAATTAGAAAAGGATAAAAACAAACCGCCGACAAAGTTTCAATATATTGGTGAGTTGTATCTGCACGACCTTGATCGATCTAAACTGAATAGCACGCACATCAGCCATGATAGGGACGAGCGGCATTTTTTGTACCAAACCTACTTATTTATAATTCGAATACATGTACAATGAACATGTAAACTTTAGATTTTTTGCCAGTTACATATACCCTACCAGGAGACTACAATCTATTTGCTGAAGGTACAGAATGCATCAAGACTTTATATTACAAAGCTGTTTATACCATCAATGCTTAGTTTAAAATATACTTTTAAAATCAAATATAGAATTTCGCAAGAATCCTTCTGCAGTTTGGATCATGAAGCCAACCGATAAAGCACGAGGAATAGGCATTTTTATTATCAGCAAACTTAGCCAAATCAAAAAATGGTCAAGAGATAAATTACAGTTGAGTGTAGTCGGTCATCATATTTGAAAAATTATGACCATTTGTTTAATTACTTGTGTATTTTATAGATGGTCGTATGCCAACTGTAAAGATACATATGTTGTTTCACGATACATTGACAATCCACTGCTGATTGGCTCAAAAAAGTTTGATTTGAGACTTTATGTTTTGGTAACATCTTGGCGGCCCTTGGTAGCATATCGACACGGTCAGGGATTTGGACGCTTTTGTGCTGTCAAATACAATCGCGATATCGAGGAACTGGACAACAACTTTATGCATCTTACAAACGTTTCCATTCAAAAACATGGAGTATGTATCACATCATGAAGTTTATGTAAATGTGCTCAATGAAATAACATTGTGCAACGGGCTTGTATCAATTGATTTAGGAAGATTATAATGAAAATAACGGTGGAAAATGGCATTTCAAAAACATGCTACTCTACTTGAATGCTACACGAGGCAAGGAAGCTACTCAAAAACTATCGGACGAAATTGATTCTATTCTTATAAACTCTCTTCGTGCAGTTCAGAGTCTAATGATTAACGACAAGCATTGTTTCGAGTGTTATGGTTATGATATCATCATTGATGAAAATCTACGGCCGTGGTTGATTGAAGTCAATGCTTCTCCCTCACTTTCTGCAACAACTGCAGACGATAAAGCCATGAAGGTATTGCTATCATGAGATAGACTGATGTTTGTACTTTGATCTACTCAACCCAATGATACTGATTTTTGAAATGTTAACAGCACTGTCTCATCAACGATATTATAAATCTGGTTGTTCCAGATGATTTTCCAGAGTAAGTATTTCAATGCAAATCTGAAGTTTGACTTGATTCATTTATTTGATTAGACACTAACTTGTGACAATTATCTATGCTCAACTCAAACAATTAGGCTACGTGCTCATAAAAGTGGAACATTGATGAAATCCAAGAAAAATCTTGGAGAGTTTATTCCACTGCAAGATGATTTGGCAGGATTGGAAAAATCCAAGAGAACTTTGACAAGCGCCTAGATATAAGATATGCTTATCACACAGACCAGTCAAATGAATTGTATCGAGCTTACTTTTTAAAATAAACTTGAACAGTGTAGAAAGCGTGGTTTGAACCCATTGAGTATTACTGTGACGCCCAACGTCTGTATTTGACGGCACGAGGAACAGCTGGGTACTGTTTGGGTGGCATATCAGGTTGTGGTATACGTTTGAATTCATCAAGATTTCTATAATCAAATTTATAAGACGTAGTTTTTACAGGTTTGGCATTTCTGTTGAGTAAGTCTGTTACTGTAAGCATTGGAGTGGGACTTTGGTAAAGCAATTTGGTCATGACATGTTTTTTCCCAGGATTTCCGAGTTCATTGGATTGGTTCATTTGATGGGTAGTGTAAGAATCGTGATACAGAGATTCTGTTGTTGGGTATTCTAGCATTCGACGTCGCTCAGATCGGAGATCGGTATCATCGGTATATCGAAATTGATCTACTTCTACTATCAAAGTGATGTGAAAATACAGTTGCGCTATTAGTTGAGAAACTACTGTTTGAAAGACAAATCGGATCTGTTGCATACTACTGCCAAATATAGATAGTACATAGACTAGATTCAAACATTAGACCGTCAACTTACATTTTTTCCTGTTGATGGTGTACGCAGCTTGGTATGAAGACATGTACATCAGTTTATCAACATGTTTTTGGCTAGGAATGCCTGATCCAGGGAATTTTGCCATGTGTTGATCAAATTTCTAGTATTAGAAAATGCGAGTGACAATAAGCTATTTGAATCAAATAAAAAAATTCAAACCAAAAACTCCAACAAATTACCTTTAGATCTGCCAGAGGTGCAGCATAATTGTCAATTTTTTTTCTACTGCGACGATCATTTGCATTACTAACGCTTTCAAATGCCGTAAAATCCTTTGTGTAAATGGAATCCAAAGTACGAGACTGTAAATCGTATTTTAAAAGTCTATTTTGCAGATTGCTATGTTTGAATGTAAAGAGTGAAATTAGCCAGCTAGATTGAATAAAAGCATGATTGATACAAATGGGATATACCATAGTTGATGGGTGTCGTAATGACGTCGTTGCGAATGAGGAGACTTTGACAAAGGTCGTGGGATGGGTACAACTGACATTGCAGATAAGCTTGATTGGTAGATTTGTAAAGTTTGAATAAACAATAAATCAAGGTTTTGATTAAATCTAAATTATCAATCTCCGAGGTTGATGATGGAGTGGATATACTCGACATTCCCTAAATAGATGGGAAAGGGGTGGAAGAAAAAATGAGTCAATATTAAACTAGTTTAGTCAAACCAAATGGCTATTGTGTGAATGCAGCAAGCATGATGACAAGTGAAAGACAATGTTACTTGATTTGATGATAAAACTGAATGAATTGATAGTACCAAATTGCAGCCAGAAATTCAGCAACAATTGACTATTTAGGGTTTATTTACAGCTGTATTTATGTAAAATGAAACACGAAATAAGCTAAAATACATGATAAGCAGTCGTGTTTGATTGGTACTAATCTTACTGGACAATATTGTTTTAAACTCATTAATTCACTGATCTTCATGCCCACTCTTGTACAAAAATATAGAGCGAATGTTTACATTTCTGTTCTACATTCTTGACATCTCTTTAACCTCCAACTTTCCTTTCCTTTAAACATTGTGTGTTTTACCTGAATACGACTGAAAATGAATAGTTTTTATACAATGATACGGTAGTCAAGATTAGATTGAGCATCACAATGAGTTTTTTGAACCAAAAGCCTATGCTCTGATTTGGGGAGTAGACTCTAAACAGCGTGTTAGTTTAGAGTCTGGACACAAATTGGTGTTTTCAGACTTTTCTGGACATCAACAATTATCAGCAGAAATCATAAGAAATCGCCATGTCCAAGTCTCGAGTAAATACTGTCAAGTCTAATGATGCAAATGCTCTGTTTAAAAGCAAAAGTTTGTCTCAGGTATTTTGGTAGAATGCATTTTCAGTAACGGATCTGCACTTGACGAATCATAAGAATGCAATCTGACTCTCATATCGAACCAACTGCTGATTAACATGTACTATCATCATATATTCAACGCTGTGTTTAGATTCCATCATCTCCATTAAAGCCTCGAGAGTTAACTCGCATAAATCCCTCCAGTCCAGCAACTTCGGTTATTCCCGCTGGAACCGAAGATGCTCGGCGTTCATTTGACGAATGGATGAAGATTGCTGCTGAAAATGTAATATTCACACTGTTGATATCTTTTACCCATGGCTTGCTATACAATATCTTTACTTTTCAACCAGAAAAGGATAGTTAATGGTCAATTGTCGAAATTTCATGATGTTCAGCTCGAACAGTACAGGATTTAAACTATACGGAATGCGATGGTTTATGCATAAGCTAATTGAAATACGATTGGCTTAAATTTAGAATATTAGCACTGCAAACACATGGAATTTGGCACTGATTGATTACTTTCATGATATGAGTGTTCTTCGTGACGGCAGCTCTATTAATTTTCAAAAGGCATCCTGTACCTTGGATGGATGTGTCAAGATCTACACATCCCGTATTGACTCGGTTGATTCAGAAACAAAACGATTGCTGGATAGCCTTGCAGATAGAGAAAATCGGCCTGAAAATGGTATTGCATCTCATCACTTGATGTTTTCATTTTCAAATATGTGTTTGTCCAGCATGTAGTTTATCATTTCAAATGTAACCCATGCCTCTTTCAAATATAGGCGAAACAGCCATTGTATCAAGTGTAAAAACAAAGGTAAGTGCAGTGTGATTGATTGTATAGATGCATGCCAGACACATTGCACTTTTTGAATTCAAATATTGATATTGTACTATTTTACCTTTTAATTTAAAACCCACTGTATACTACAATTTAGAGTAAATCATCCGCAAAAACTTTACAGGAAGATGTCACCGAGCTGAATTGGAAACACATGGATGCAGAGTTTTCGGTCGATCCACTTTTCAAGAAAACCGCAGCTGAGTTTGATGAAGGTGGTGCTCAAGGCTTGTTGCTGAATCACTTGATGATATCCGCTGATGGAAAGGTTCTGTTTGATGCCAGCGATGTTATGATGGATTCCAGCACTGCTGATGATATGGCACCCTTGAGTTGCGGCTCAGATATTTTGTCGGCTCATTTTGAGCAGTTATTCGGTAAGTTTGTAGTACTAGTTGATCTAGATCATGCTTGCAAGATTTGATGGCATGGTAGATGTATCGCCAAGGCTCGTAAAACTAATTATTTTAAAAATGTAATCTTTTCAAGCTAAAATTAAAGGCAATCTTTCCAGTCTAGACAACTTCGATATATGTCCTACTTTTTCGTCATTTCGATTTGACAATAGCGAGTTTTATCCCAAGACTCCAGCCAAGTATGATACAATGATGCAACAGCAAGACGATCCTGATGATTATGGCGATGTTGATAATTATGATCCCTATGATCAAGGTCCAATGGTTGAGGACGATGATGGTTATGAAAACTACAATCAAGATTCAGCTAGTCAATCTATTCATCCACTCAATCTAGAAGATATAAGCAGCATGTCCATTGCTGGTGAAACGGATGAACCGGAAAGTGATGCTCAAATGTCGAGCCAGTTGTTTTCGTACTTTGATGCTAATGCGGCTCGTAATTGGGCTGGGCCAGAATATTGGCGTTCACGATCACTTCGGGGTAAATACCGTTGTGGCATGACTCATTGGATAACCATTTCAATGCTAAAATCTATTCTAAACTCTATGCACTGTTTTTATTTTAGTTAATAAGAAAACAGAAGGTTCCGTTGAATCAACAAATGCAGCCAAACCAAAGAGATCTCAGCAAGCTCCCACACTCGACTTTTTAAGCAATGTGCCAATTGATCGTGAGGCTATATTTACCCCACCAGCCAAGCCTAGTCTTTTACCCAAAAACTCTACCAAAGAGCTGTCTACACATCAACTTCCACCTGATATGCATGTATCGTCTGCCAATTTTCTCAAATACTTTCTCAAACCTCATCTTCAAGTCAGCATAGGTAAGCAAGCGAGTTTGAATATACATTGGGAGGTCAAGTATGCAGAGACTGTATGTTTGACACGTGTGTTGTTGAAATGGTTAAATCGACAGATGCTAGATCCACAAATCGAGTTGAACCTAGCATTGGGCAGATTTTAGATGATGGAAATGATGCAGGAATGCACACTATCACTGATGGTAATGATTCATGTTTGGGTATTGTGTATCTATATCGGTACTGCTGATTTACTCAACATGTTTTTAAGGGCAATTAGAAAACGAATACAATAATCCTTTGGAATATGCTGGCGACGATGATGGTGATGAGTATTATGATTTTGGACAAGGGGGCAATGACGGTCATCCAAGCGATCCCACAATGTACAATTCAAAGCATTCTGTGGATAACTCCAATATAATCGACCTATCATTGGATCAAGGTGGTGATTACAAGAGTCATTTAGGGACTATGTTATCTGCAGGAGTTTCAAGGCAATCTATAGCGCCTTTGGTTGGACTTGCTCGGTCGGCGAAGCGAGTAGATGTGAAAAAATTGAAGGATAATATCTGGAAAACAATTGATGTTGAACGTGACGAGTCTAATTCGTTGCAGAACACTTGTGCTCCTGATATTACAAAACAATCAGAATATCACAAGGTATGTAATCATTTTTTGTAACGAGTTGGAAATAATATCAAAATGACTTACTATTTGGTTTGTTTGGAATGATCAACTTTTGATTCATGTCTTTACACAATTTTATTGGACATTTGGAATCTCGTACAGCCAAAAGTGTTTTCATCTGTGGTCTCGGAGCTTTGTCATGCGTATTCGCCGGCTGCATACAATGATATTTCGGTAGCATTTTGTTTTATTTGTGTGTTGCACTTGGCAAACGAAAAGAATCTGGAAATTCATGGATCATCAGAACTAGAAGATTTACAGATTACAGTTCCCAACGCATAGACTCCAACTCCGTTTTCACGTTTAAAAACAAATCTGTTTCATTTAAATAAAGCTCGCTATCTTGAGTTGAAACAAACCATGCAAGTGTATTGTATCCAAATCGTGTTGCTTGTAAATGGGCAATAGATAATGATTTGAAATCACACTGACAAAAAGTTGTAAAAATAAATGAGTTCAAAATGTTATTTGCGACGAATATCCATCAGACGAATAGCAACTGCATTGCGATGTGCTTCCAATTGTTCCAAAGCAGCGAGAGTCATGACACAATCGCCCAGACGATCCAATCCCTCCTTGGTCAATTCCTGAGTTGTGATGTGTTTCAGGAATGTGTGGGTGTTGACACCCGAATACATACGAGCATACCCATATGTGGGAAGAGTGTGGTTGGTTCCAGAGGCATAGTCTCCACAACTAAACAAGATAAACCCTAAACGTCAGTACTTTCATCTTTGACACGTGTACAATTATTTCATGTCTATTCTATTGAACATTCATATGAAAAGGTCAATAAACAAGTTACCTTTCAGGAGAGTATGCTCCCAAAAACACCGATCCGGCACTCTTGATCCTATCTACCAGATTGCGAGCATGGTCCACATTCAGAATTAAATGTTCAGGCGCATATTCGTTTGAAAAGGCAAGTGCTTCATCCATGGTATCGACCATGAGAATATAGCTTTTTTCCAAAGCAAGTTTAACAACATCGGCACGAGGAAGAACCATGGCCTGACGACGCAGCTCCTGCTGAAGAGCGTCTAGATGGTTCTGTTTAAATCCAATGGCAACCAAGACGACTTGGCTGTCAGCACCGTGCTCAGCCTGGCTGAGAAGATCGGAAACGACATAACGAGGATCAGAACATGCATCTGCAATCACAAGAAGCTCAGAAGGTCCAGCAGGCATGTCAATGGAAAGCAAAGCAGAACTATCCGATTGGGCAATCATTTTTGCAGCCGTCACGTATTGGTTTCCAGGACCACAAATTTTATCTACTTTTGGGACAGTAGCAGTACCAAACGCCATGGCAGCAATGGCTTGGGCACCACCAACCTTGAGAACGGCAGTCGCACCCACCTTTGCAGCCACGTACATGATTTCTGGCGAAATGGTACCATCTTTTCTAGGAGGTGTTGCAATGACGATTTCAGAGCAACCAGCCACTTTTGCGGGAATAGCCAGCATGAGAGTAGATGAGGGCAACACGGCAGTACCACCAGGTACATACAGACCTACGCGCTCAATTGGACGAGCAATACGAGAGCACACTACACCTGGCATAGTTTCTACAACAAGTGGTTCATTGTCCATTTGAGCCTGATGGAACTTCCAGATATTTTCAAAGGCAAGATCAATGGATGCTTTGACGTTGGCATCAATGATCATTTTTGCGGGATCAAACGGACTGCGTTCCAGCAAATTGTCGATGGATAGCTGAGCCTTGTCAAACTTTGCAGTTAATTCAACGAGAGCAGCATCACCCTGAGCACGCACTTGGGCGACGATAGGACGAACTCTGGCCATGATCTCGTCGGTATTGATGATGGGACGTTGAATCAAACGATTGGACAATTGAGCAGACAGTTTGCCTTTGTAAACCTGCATAGTAAATGGAAGTAATTCTTTTGGAGTGGGTTCAAGAGTTTTTTCAGAAACGGAATTTGGGATGTTCTCCTTGTTGGAAGCGACCATATCAGCGAATTTGCACTTGGCATCGCCGGGACGACGAGATATTTTTTTAGATTTGGCATCCAATTGACGCTCCACATCGGATAGCGATACTCCAGAAGCGATGCATTTTGCCATGGCAAAATAAATCAAATCGGCAGCTTCCCAAGCGATGTCATCATGAGCTGTAGCATCGCACAATTCTTGAGCCTCTTCCAGGATTTTTGCATGCAGTAAAGCAGGATCATCAAATATACGTTTTGTATAGGAACCAGCAGGAGCATGAAGACGACGATGAGTCAAGGTAGCAGCCAGATTAGATATGCCAGAGTCTGGACCAAAACAAGTACGAGTGGAGAGATGACAGAAACCAGGATGAGTTTGAATGACAGTGAAACGAAGGGTGTCGGCATCACAGTCCCAATCAATGCGGATCAATTGCTGAGTAGCACCAGAAGTCAGTCCTTTATGCCAAATGCCACGATTACGAGAGTAATAAACGCCTTGACCTGTGGTCAAGGCCTTCAGAATAGACTCGTAAGAAGAATAACACAAACCCAAAGCAATGCCTTGCGTGTCGGTTACAATAGTAGGAAATAGTCCATCGGGACGATCAGAAACCAACTTGCTGGTCAATGCATGAACAATATCAATAGAACCTGGAGCAGGACCAAGAGAAAGTTGGGATGCTTGAACAAGATGCTTAATGTGCGGAGTATCCGATGAAATGGTCGAGGATACGATGGATAAAGAAGGATCCTTTGCAGCCATGGAATCGAGCAAAGCCAAAGAATCAGCAGAGCAAGAATCAGCGACAATAAGAGAGACCAACGAGCAGAGCTTAGTCAGCATGTCATGGTTGAATGAAGACACTCTGATGCCTAAACGATCTCTTGGAAGATCCTCTAGAACAGACATGTCATTTTGGGGAAAATCGACAATGACTTTGGAAGCTCCAGCATCGAGAGTCGACCGAGGAGTTGCCGATAAAACCCAAAGTTCCTTGGCAGACAGCGCAAGATTCAAGTCCGATACAAGGACAGGAAACACTTTGGCTGCTGCCAAAGCTGATGGAGAGAGCGGAACAATAGTACAATCGATGGCTATCATTTCATTGATGGTCAACTGTCGAATTATTATTTTTTATTTTCAAGTTTCTCGTTCGGCTCCCTTATTTTTAGTCTGCCGCATCTTAATTTCTGGCCCGCGTCCATTGCGTGGGATTCCCATTCCTACTATTCCTCCATTGCCAAACCGATTGCCTGTTGCTGCCTCAGAATACGATCGTGGTGGAGGTGATTCACTAGCATTACTTGTCATTCCTACTTCTTCCTTGCTCACTATACTTGGTGTTTCTTTTAATTCTTCGGCTGGCAATGTTTCTTTTAATTCCTCCCCTGTCAATGGTGTGTCTTCTCTCAATTCCTCATTGGCCTCTACCACTAGCCCTGAAGATCGCATTTTTTTGCTGGGATTCTCTTGTCCTGTAACTGCAGCATTGTTCTGCTGTTTGCTTCGCTTTTTCAGTCCTGGTGCTGGCTCAGATTCTTGGAATACTTCAGCTGCCAACCCCGCACTACACATTCATTAGTTTATGTTTCTAATCTACTTGCACGACTGTTCATCCGTCTTACCTTTTGATATGCTGAATGACAATTCCCATCGAATCATCTTCAAACTTATCCCATGCTTTGACCATCTTGATAAACTCCAATGTTGGCCATGTAATGTCTAGCTTACGTGATCCGACATTGTTTGGATCCTTGGGTTTGATTGCAAGCCCTACATAGAATGTGGTGGTCCAGATTGGTGTACCCACTGCCGTTGTGTCTTCCGTGGCCTTTTCTTCCGAGTTTGCTTTTGTTGCCGACTCTTCTACTTGGGCCGTTGCTTCCTTGTCCACCTCGCCATCTGTTGATTTGGTCGCCTGCTCTATAAATGCCAATGCATCTGAACTACTAGGTGCTTGTCCATGAGCTACATCATGCTGATCATTCTCATTAAAACACATTGTCTTTTTATCAAATCCTTTGATGTATGGATGCGCAATATCCAAATTCTCTGCAAGCTCCAGCTTCATCACCAGTTGTCGTAATCGCGACTCTACAAACCCTGCCCACATGAGCTGTTTCTCATCATCGTTGGATGAAGCTATCACCTGCAAGTAATATTTGTATCTGTGAAAAAAGTCGTTTTTTTGAAAGAGTACTGTCCATTTCTCTCGTCCAAGCATAATCTTATCCGTAGTTACTGCTGCCCGCTCAAACTCCTGTGTGGTCACTGTTTGAGTAGATACCGTCACATTGTGTGTTGAACACATTGATGGATAGGCGGGCGTAATAATAGGCATTCGATGCGCTTTGTCTTGTGGATAAATCTTGGGGTTCCATACTCGCACTGCAAGTGGTCCTTCCTCGATGGGTTTGAGAAGAACCGGAAGCGGCCATTCCCTAATACCACATGCATTGTTTAAAAATGACTCCATCTGGCATACCCTGCAGTTTTATCACCTACCACCGATACATGATTTGAAAAAACTTGGACACTACTTCTCCTGCTGCTGCACAAGGATACAGCTGACATACTCGTGCAATGAGAATGGCCCATGCTACTCCACCAAAGAATCCCATTACATTGGAGTAGATTGCTCGTTGCAAGGCCCACAGTTTAATACACCGCAATGCTATTCGAAATGTTTCTACATTAGGAACCAGTCGAAGAATATCATCCGTTACTCGTGAACCTAGAGTTTAAATCAATGCATATAAGCCTACAATAAACCGTCAAGTGATGCTCAATTCTATCAAACCCAATTACCATTCAAACTACGAATGCAGCGATCATCCAAATTTTTCAATAAACTATCGTCAGAAAGATCAAGATCTTCAGATACAGTTGGGAGAGCCAGCCTCGCAAATACCAAATCAATCTATGCCATACAGTTACAAAACAAGTTGGAGTTTAACAAATAAAAGGCATGCTACAAGAGTTTTGCAGTTTACAAAGTATTCTTACCGAAATATCTGAAAATTCAAGTTTAATAATCGGCACATATGCATCGGCAACAGCCTAAGTTACATGGCATAAAATTGAGTCGTCAAACTACAAGTATCAAAACCATTTGAATTTTAAACCCAAAACTTACGGTAATTTCAGATACTTCTTGTCGAGCTTTTAAAAGCTCATACATGTATTCTAAAAAATCCTCACGTTTGACATGTTTTGGGGCTACACAAAGTGTATCGATATCACTCTCTAAGCATCGCAGAATGTGTGTAATTGAACCATGTTAGGATCTGTAACTTTTAAAAGAATGCAAGTTGTATGAAACACAGTCGATAAACACTTACTTTTGCCATGAACCCCAAGACGATAAGAGCCAAAAGTAAAGATTTTACCACCGACATCGTTTGCCAGAGATTCAGGCAAGCCGTTTTTAATACTCACAGATCGAACAAACTCTTTAAAAATGGCATCAATTTTTCCTAAAACTATTTCACTGACCAGGAATAGTATTAGCCAACAGAACAGCACATCAAACAGCCTGGTTTTCAGCAAGAATCGACACACCGCTTTTGAGCCTCTTCTTCGCTTTCGTACTGGCCATAATCACGCAGCGTCTGAACAAGCTGCTCTGTACACGCAATTTCCTTTTCTGTTGGAGGGTTTTCTGAGATGGGTGGAGTGACACCTAAATGGCGATGTCGCTGGGGATAGCTGGTATTGAAGCCACTGCTTATCCCTCCGTTATTCAAATATCGACTCATTGCAGCCGAGTTGACGATACGGTTTTAAAAAAAAGATGATTCAATAATAGATACTCGATGAACTCGAGTAAACTGCCTGTAGATACAGCACTGATTGTACTGAAATAACTAGTATTTGATCAAGATATCACCTAGTTTATAAAGCAGCAAATACGGTAATATTAGCACATCAATCTGCAGGATAAATTAACATTGGTAACCAAGCCATGCAGAAGAGGAGCAGTCATGGACACATTCACTGCAGATTGATTCTACGATCATCAGTTTCAGACAAAAACAACAAAACATCAAACTGGCTAAACCAACATGACATGATATTCCCAACAGAGCCAACTCTCCATTGTTTTGCAACATGACTACTGATCTACACTTGATTCCATGTCAAGCTGTCAATACTTGAGAATCTCGATACAATATAACTGAATTGCCAAGAGTTGGAATGGCATTTTGAGTTCTTGACCAGATCAACAGCAATCCATAGTAATGATCTACAGGACTATACAATAGATGGTGACTGAACGAGAGGACTGTGCCAAGACTAGAAAGGAAGAAAAGAGTGTAGATGGCTGGATAAGAGAATCTGGTCTAGCCAGCAAGTGATGGGCTGTTTCTGATGTTCAATAACACAATTCATATCTTCTTGACTGCTGCTCACCCAGTCTTCAGTGGTCGCAACAGACTCAATCGTATCAGCAAATACGAAACAAAAAACAAAGTTGAAACTTTCATTTTGAATGGAATTATTAGTGAATTGACATTCTGCTTTATCAATGAATTGGCATGATTGATATCTGCTTTTGAATACTATTTTAGATTTATTAAATACTTGATAAATACTTGTTAAATACTTGTTAAATACTTGTTAAATATTTAAAGATTAAATATTGTGTTAATTGCTCAACTTTACCTTGAAAAATCACTGCAATATACTCTCATGGAACAACCAGAACTATTGCTCATCTCAGAACACTCAAATCAAACTGATAAACTACAGGAATTATTCAACTCAGATTCATCTGCAGATACTGTCAAACTTGACCAGCTTTTACAAGGCAGTACTCACCAGATACGCACTCTCTATTTAACCGCTATTCATAAATATCATAATAAACATCGTTTAGTGAGTCGAGGTGCTTCACTCATCATGCAGCTTTGAATTCTTCATAGGTTTATTATCAACTATTGATTCCAACTTGTGCTGTTGTACCATTACTAGTATACGGAATTATGCGCTCGTTTCAAGTCTCTTCAGGACGATTTTGTATATAATATAAAACTAATTAAAGATCGGGATGCTGAGCTGGAATCACTTGAGATGGTCATTGCAGACTTGAAAGCAATATCTCACGACAGGCAAGTGCTTGGTTTATTGGACTTGACTCGATTCAAATGTTAAACATGAATGCAATCAGTGATGCAAGAATAGGTGAGCTCAAAATGGCACTTTCTGAACGAATGTCAGAATCATCCGCTTTAAAATCTGCGCTACAAACATCAGAACTAGAACACCAAGAAATTCTACGCAAAACACATCGCATCTATAATGTATGTCGGCAATCTTTATTTTAAATATCCACGTATCAATAATGGTTTAATCTCACAATGGTTTGCATACAGGATGATATTGAAAAATTAGCTGACAAGATGAAAGCAAAAGCAGATGAATTGGAATTGGAAAAATCAAAATATTTGGTACAAATCAAAACTGCAATCCAAGATTCAGATCTACAAAAGTAATATCTATCATTTTATAATTTGAAAATACTACTCAATATGTGTTTTATATGCTATAGATATATGATTTCAAAACACTCACTGCTGCATCATTTACATTGCTGTCATGATTCTATTTGAATTGATTTAGATCAACATTTGATTCACAAATAGCTTCTTTGAAAAGAGACCATGATGCAGAAATACGTAGCCAAAAACAAGCTTTCGAAGCAGGACTGACTGATGCAGAACATCGAGTTGCCAAGCGCGATTCCGAAATCGCAGCTCTGAAAGCTATGCATCATGCTCATCAGATCTCTTTGAATGAGCAAATAGCAATCAATCAAGACTTGGATAAACGGTTGCGACAAAAACAATGGGACATGACTGATTGCAATAAAATGACTGCAGAACGGATTTCTGAACTCGAGCTTATCATTCAACGCGGAAATGAAGAATCTGATATAGACAGGCAAGAATACAACACAAAACTATCTGAGATACAGTTGAAAGCGGAACAGCAAACCAAGGTATTTGTTTTGATGTTTAGTTACACAATGTATATATGCTTGCAAATATTTTGAAACAAGGCAAACAAGCAACCCAATATCTAACTTTATTTTGCTTGATGGTGCTTTCAATATCAAGATTTTAAATGCTGAAATAGAGAGATTGGAAAGTCAAGTTAGTAATCTTAATTTAAAACTTCAAGAATCACATTCTATCATCAACAGTAATCAAAATCAGCACCATGGCACTGTTGTTGCTTTGAAAAACGAGGTGCAAGTCCTTAAGCATTCCTGTTTTGATCTTGAAGAGCATGTAGAATCATTGAAATCCACAATGAGTGAAATGGAACGCAACCACTCTCAAGAGGTGAGAACAAACTTGTAATATCAAATTATTTCATTTTTAATACTCAATCACAAATATACCAACTGGGTGAACCATAGTTGTTTGCTAGTCATAAAGACATTACACATCTGCACGCTAAAATCACTCGACTGGAGACAGATGTTGACAATCGTAGAAATGACGTCAAGTTACTCAAAACAGAGATATCTGAAAGAATTGCTAAAGAACGTGAATTAGAGAAACAGTTACTACAAGGTATACAACTAATGTATTCAGTTGTAATCATTCTTGCATACATCTTTAATTTACTGCTTGCATGTATTTAAAATAGAAATACAAACCCGGGAAAAAAGCTTAGTGGAACAAGAGCGTCAGCATGAACTGAATATGGATATAGTTACCAAACAGTTCCAAGAAGAAATTCAAATGGCTCACGCTGAAGCTCGTGTAAGTTACATTTGTAACGAAATAAGTATGCCTTTAATTAGGGCGGCATCTGACCATCTTGTCAAATTTTGAAATGTATTAGGCGTTAGAATCAAGCATGCAACGACAGTCAAATTATACAGAACAATCCATTGATCCACAAATGGAAAACTTGATAAACGAGGTACGGTGAAACTATTCAATCTATGTAATGCTTTTTCAAGACTAACATTTTATATAATGGCAACAAGTAGAATTTGAAACTTCGAGGTATTGTCAGGGAAATGCGTCAGGAGATGGAATCACTTCAAACCCAATTACTACAACCTCAAATGAACGACGACTACCCTCCTTCACCTCCAGCACGACCTCCAAACCAGTATGCTGTAGATTCACACTTTCAACAAAATCATTTGAGACCAAAGGACGTTTTGAATGATAATTACAATTTAGAAGTAGCTGGATCATTAGAAACACATAGACAGGTACATTCTACACGACAGCTCAACTCGGAATCGTCACAAAAACACGATTTTCGACCTGTGTTTTCCCAAAAGCAAGATCTTTCCAGTAAGTCATTGCATGCAAATCATGTTTTCATTTTGAACCTGAAGCAGGTACAATGTATAATGTTTTTACAATATATGTTTATCATTTGGTTGACTTGAACGTTTGATAGACTTTAGCGACACGAATGCTGAGATGGATGATCTCAAACGGCGTCTTGATGCTTGCTTAAATGATTTTCAAATAGTTTGTAACGAACGAGACCAGTTTATGGATATGAGCAATACGCTGCGTGCCGAAAGACGCTTGGCAGAAACACAGTCAAAGAAATATCTTGATTCGTCTACTCAAAGTAAGATTGTTGACTTGTTGTGATATGAGTAGTATGTTTTTTCAACAGGGACTAAATTCTCATCATTGTTTATTTTTGCGTATCATTAAATTCAACTATAAACCCAGCTACAACAAAACAGCATAAACCTGTTTCTCCCATTGTCGTGACAGATATGCTAAAGGTTCAAGCAGCGCCAATGAATCCTTCTAAAGAACCCCTGATTCGTACACTACCAGTATCGACTCGTATACGACAAAAACCCCGACGTCGACTAATTGTAACAGCTTCAACAAACCAATCTGCATCTATACCGACGCACACCACTCCTTTGGAATCTCTTACAAACTCGGAAAAAAAAGCACTGGTGGCCATGGCACTTCGAAGCCGTGGTGTCCGCAACTGGAATGATCAACATGACGCATTGAGTTGACATGATAAATAGCAACATATAAATATTTCTAATACACAACATGATTATTGCTATATAAGCATTTTCATCAAGATAAACGAGTTGTCATTTATGTTTATGAATTGGCTTACAACAATTAAATCAAGCTGTATTGACCATACAGTAGTTATAAATGGCACCTGTTAGTTGTGAAATCGGGACAATTTTTATTGTTATTGTTAGAATATATGTAATTTATTTTTTTGGCAGACGCGGAAAGGGGTGTTGGCGCAATTGGTAGCGCTTTCGACTCCAGATCGAAGGGTTGCGCGTTCAAGTCGCGTACGCCTCATCCGCTTTTTTAGCTTGCTGGTTTGAACGATCTTGCTTGACAGATTTGCAAGTTCATCTCTTGTTTTTAATCACCAAGTTGAGAGTTGATGGCGAAAAGCTCAGCACTATGCAGTATTTTGCTACATGTGTAATCATTTTTTTCGATTACTGCATCCAAGTATGAATACTTTTCAAATTGTGACTATTATAATGGTAAAAACCCAAGTGCATAGCTATAAAAGTCGTTTAATATTAATCGGTAATTGCGCACTCTTTGATTCTTATTCCAAGTTTATTCAAGGGTTGATGCGGTTGGAAGCAGCATCAGGCTCAACTTTCATAGATCGTCGTCAAATTTATCATCTTCGTCTTGGTATTCATCAAACTTTCGTTTGGGTATCCGTTCCATATTTTCATCATCGTCTTCCCAGGCATCCATTTGATCAAAGTATGCATCATCGCCGGTTTCTTGGCCATCGGCCAACGATGTTTGCTCCAAAGAATTACTAGCAGTTTGATACTGTCCAAGCGGAGATGGTTTTCTAGGACGGGCTGGAAACATGGCTATATCTACAGAAGCAGCACTTTGATTAGAAACATATTCAGATGAAGTGCTTACACGACTGGAGGATTTGCTTTTAGGCTGAGTGTTGGTCAGCACTTCCTCCAATCCAAGTTCAATCTCATCAGCCAAAGAGTCCCAGTCATCGTCTTGTAAAGCATCTACAGAGTCTTTGGACGTCTTGCCACCACTATTTGAGCTTGTCGAGTTGATAGATGCAGATTGAGCCCCAAATTTCTCTACAGCATCGGCACTGTCGTCATCTCCCGTTATATCACTCGAGTCATCATCCATCATAGCCATATCGACTTCAGCATCCATCTCCTTCCAATCGTCTCCACCCACTTTTTCGTAAATTTCATTGGCATGCTCCCATTTGCCTTGAACAATGAGCAACTCGTCTTGGTCAGAAATGCTAGAACGATCTTCCATAAGAGTAGATGCAGCTGGAGCACTATCCAAAAAAAACGAATTGATACATCGAGGTGGAAGATTTACTGGGATATGATCTAGATAGAGTAAATATCGAACTTCATCAGCCCTTTGCCATGTTCGAATAGTATCGATCAACCAGTCAATTTTAAGAATGGCAACATTGGGACGTTTCCGAGCTGCATTGACTTTTGCCGTGCCAGTCTAATCACAAAACATTGGTTATTTAACAAGTTCACCCCAGATTAGACCAATTGAGATTCAAAAACAAACTGATCCATTTCAAATCAGATTGCTTGTAAACTCATCAAGGTGTTGAGAGCGTGTTCAATGGCTTGTCAGCAATTAAAATACCATCAACTCACCTTGCCAGCAATCACATGTGTCACTTCAGGGTCTAAATCAACGTGGCATACAGCGCCATACGAAGTTGCAGCAATCCAGTGTTCGTGTTTTTGAGGCTCAAGACCCAGTGGAATGATACTTGTAAACAAAATATGTACACCCTCAAGAATAGACCGCTTCATTTCGGGAACAATTACTCTCACGTCAGAGGTCTTGATATCTCCAGCATCGCTCCGTTCGTAAAACGTTTGATGAATATACATCATGAGAGATTTGATAAGATTGAGTTCACGATCTGTATCAATCAAAACAGGCCGTTGTTTAGATACAATCGATGTGTTATTGGAAATCAAATCTGATGTAGGAGTTCTTAATGTTGATGTGGATGCTACAGATGCAGAAATGGCGGTGGAGACTTGCGGTTGCCCCATTGCTTGACTTTGACGAGGTGCAGCCGTTGTAGAAGTGAATGAGCCTTCATCTATTACTGTAGTGATCAGGTCAGAGGCATTATTGTCGGTGGGGGATGTCAACAGTGCTGTCTGTATATCCAATTCTTCTTGACAGTGCAAAAGTGGACGATTATTTTGTTGATCTTTCAATGCAAGCATCTGTACATCCTGCATTTTAGCCAGCAGTTCTGCCTTGTTTTCACTTGTTTCGGAATCGCTATCTGTATCCGGATCAAGCTTACTGTCTTCAAGCTCTGGAATGTCTACTTTAGCAAGTGGGATAATTTGAGCATGAGCCAATAGAGATGCAAAAGTTTTGGTTGGTAAGAGATTGAATGATCTGGGTGTATTACCTTGTACAACTGAAAATGTTGATTCTGGTGGTGCAGAAGAGCCAATGTGTGGCTTGTGTGATACTTTGGCTTTTGTTAGATCTGTCAGCTCTGCAGCTGCAGCATAGACGGGTTCGTTAATATCGCCAATGCCTACAAAAAAATCATCTAACCATACAATGCAAACCATGCCAAGTAGAGTTAATAATTATAGAAAATGGAAATCAAATATCATCAATATAGAAATGCAATTTTACGTACAAGCCTTAATTCTGAGCAAATTGGGTGACCAATGCCATACATCAGCACGATCATCTACAACAACAACCATGGATTGATCGCACGGAAAAAGTCGTTGTAAGCTCTTGACAGAAAAGCCTGGCGTTGTTTCAGGTAGATACAATGTCAAGATAGTAAAAGTCGGTTAAAAAGTGCAAATTACTTGTTTAATCATGAATAAACACAACTCACTTCCACTATCATCTCGAGAGAGAATGCGATCTTTAAAATATCTCTTATCAGGATCAAGAATTTTTGAAACTGCCTTGGCATAGTTTCGAGTTCCCATGGTGTAAATATGCATCTCGTACTTTGCATTCAATTCACGAAGAAACTCTCGTGTTCCAGGTCTAAACATTTCAAACCAATATTATTAAATTCAAAGTCTTGTCTCGTTACAACAACTACACACATCAAGTTTAAATAGACGCAAGTACGACTTGCCTTAGTTTGATAAAATATACAGCTGGACTCTCGGGTAAAACAAAACTATGAACCTCCTTTATAGAGTATTAGCAATAGTTTCAAAGTATTTTACAAATGACAATTGCAAGATCGATAAAGAAAACGAATATTGCAAGAGATGCATGCCAAAATAAATATCATTAGACTCATGTGTAGCCCATACCGTTAATGCAGGAAAATTAGGGTTGTTTGGATCTGCCATCCATTCGCCGACAGTAGGGTCGACAGTAGCATGAATTACGGTTTGATCAAGATCAAGAACAAGCGACAGTTTTCTTTCGTCCAATAATCTGTCTGCAGTTTCCTTTTCAAGTCGGAATGCTTCCTGTAAACGGTCAGGGTATTCATTACAAAATTGTATTTAATAGAATTGAAATAATCCAAGACACAATCGACGTTTTCTAAAACCACCAAATTTACCTTGTGACTGACAGTAATCCCAGATGCATCGTGGGTCATTCGAATCGTTGCACGCTCCATATCAGTTCCGGTATAATCAGCACTATTGCAATAAAGCAAGAGAGTATAGATTAGCATGAATGCACAGTAAATTCAAATAGTTAAACTATTGTAAATGTAGGTTCACATTGACAGATTTGAAATTGCAGATACAATTTGATGAAGCCGACATACATTGATAGATCCTTTCCACAGACAGCGCATAATCCATTGAGTTGTACTGGATGACCACAAGGCTCTACAATGACAATAAGTGCATGTCTTTACACCAAACAAGATGAAAAGTAGATTAGAACGATGTTAAACAAGTGTGCTAGTAGCAGGACTGCAATGTAAGCCAGTGGTCCAGCCATTGAATAGGCACCAAGAGCGAGAAGCCTGGTAAGAGATCTATGAATATTATTCGGACGACAGTCCATGAAGCATAGAAACATACTTTGGATCTTCAATGGTATCGCCAGGCTTAGCACCAAGAGAGTCGACTCTGCCCTCATAGACAGTTCGAATCTCTCTCCGAGTCCGTTTCTGACTAGTCTTTGGAACTGCACTTACAGTAGCACCGGGTATGTGTTCTGGCTCTTCAACAACTGTTTCAGTGAATTCGTAAATGCCAAGTGATTGGTCTTTGGCTACTATATCATTGACATTGACTTTCCAAGCAATGACCTTTGCAGGAAAACAAGCCTTTGGCAGATAAACGAATTGTGCAGTTTCCATCAACTATTTGATAATTGTAGAGATTGAATGGACGGATGATAGCTTGAACCAATATGTTTTTAATATAAACGGATGTTGTAAATATACAACACTTGCTGCAGCAGAAAGAGGATGTTGAATAGCTGTTCAAAACTGCCGATAAGATTCAAATTGCCATCACGAACCACCACTAAATCTGGTATCATGAAAGTGTTCTAGTCGATTGAATCTGCACCAAATATCAATTTAATCAGAAATATCAATCGTAAGCTTCCAAGAGAATCATTGCTGAAGCGGTCGTTTTCGATGCTCGGCAAATGCGTCCGTTAATGACCGGCCCGTCTTGATATCATCCATACAATGAGCATCTGCTGTCACCAGCTGCTTACATATCTGAGCAATCTGCATAACATGACAAATAGGCACTCGCACAACTCCATCGATATCTGCTACAATCAAATCCCCAGTAGCTACCACAACTGCTGGATAACCTATATCAGATGAATCGTATCCAGGCACTGTTACACTACCACCCACACCATCACCAATATGATCGCTACTCCCCACTTTCATAAAAGGGGAAGCACCTAGCGTAGAGAATCCATTTGCAAATACTGGCAATGATGATCCATACTCGGCCAGCTCTTTGCGATCTCGTACTCGACCATGAACAACAACGGCTTTCACTCCAAGAGCCATTGCTCTTGCTGCCATTAACCCTCCAAAAACAGCGTTGGGACCAGATGGAGCCTTGATAACTACCACACTGTTTTCTGGTACCCTATCCATGTGATGCAGCTTGCTTGTGGTACTGGTAGTGATGGCATGGCTCTTGACAAACTCGATAGTAAATGCAGGTCCACAAATACGAGTGTCAGGATGAGTAAGTGGAGAAGGAGAAATTAGATGGATGTCAGTAAGTTGTCCAAAGTCACTCGACGGCAGTCTATGTAGAGCATCGGATATATCGCATGAGGAATAAGGCTGTAGCAGTGCAATAGCTTCGTTTGCGTCCATCAAGTCGATCCAATAAAAAGGCAAAGACGCGATCTGTTTGACAGTTGAAGACAAGGGATGAAAACGCGACATGAATGTTTTCAACCCGATTTCATTCTGCTTTAAACTCATTCTGATGACATTCAATAGTCTGAAACTGCAGCATTTTGAAACCTGTTTTTAGTAATATTGCACGGTTGGTTTAGATCAATGCATAAACTATGTATAAGTGAATCACCAAATATCGTGTCAGACTAAAACCAAACGAATGGCATGTTCCTATATTGAATCAAGAGAAACAATAAATTGTTCAACTGACCGTCTTAACAAGTCGGATTGTCACTATGGTACAGGAGATACGAGCAATGTATGCTCGTGCTATTCAAATCAATCAACAATTCACTAATATTTGCAAAAAACACATTGATGGTTACAATTTCTCATTTCATCTCTCCATTTTCATCCCCATTGTCGCTGGCTGTAACTCATCAAATGATCATAGTGCTTGCTGCTGGCGTATCTACTGTCCTGTTGAATCAAGTAGACGAGGTACCCACTTGGTATTGCTGTCATCCATGTATTGATATAGATTGTTTATTCTAATCTTGCGCTTATTTTATTCTAGTCTCTTTGTCATTTCCAACACTCTTATCTACTGGGTCTGCCAAAGGGTCTATTTCCTATATCCAGCACTCCTAGTCTTTCTTGGTGCTATCAATTCTTTTCAAAACAATCCGACATTCATGACAGAGTGTATGTGGTTGCCAGTGCTCAGAGGCAAGTCTTTCCATGACTTATACTTTGGTCGCATAGATCAATCTACTCACCTAATACACCTTTAATCCCGACTTTTATCCTTTCTACTGCAGTTTTAAACCATATGAGCGATGGGCAATTGATGTTGGGCTTCCCGCTGGCCATGTTCTTAGCATTGGAACTGCCGAGCTACGAGACCCAAAGTAAGAATAGCCATCTTGACTGTATATTCATTAAAACTGAATCACTACTCGATGAATCCTAATGTTTATAGTCTTGGTTTAAATATATAGAAATGCGTTTTTAGATTCGCTTGGCGTTGCACTAAGATTGGCTTGTGCACCGACCAACTCTTCAGATTCACATACTTTAATGGGAATCGATCAAGAAATAACAATCATTGGATCGGACTTTTTACCAGATCAGCATCTTCTTTCATCTTGGACTGTATTACCTCGGCATGTCTCTGTGCTAGTTTCTTCAACTGGATCTAGTTTAATTGCTCTTAAAGTCAGTGCAGAGGTGGTTCCACTTTTACTAGAATACATTGATTTATGCCAAATGCAATTATGGCAGACAAAAGCGCCATGTGTTGGGTCGAATGAATCTACAGCTCAGCCAACGACAACATACGACCAGCTATTAGCATGGCTTGATCAAAATGGAAAACTCTCAAAGCATATTCTTCCAGTCGATGATCCCATTTCAAAATGGATGGATCCAGCAGTTTCCCTTGCTGATTATCACTCATATTGGAAATCATTTCAACCCAACTTACCCCGTATCGTGGCTCCATTGTCTTGTATTCCAAATATCCATCATCGTGTTTATGCACGCATTGGGCTCATGGGCAACCCCAGTGATGGGTTTTACGGAAAAACTATATCCACCACAATCTCAAATTTTTGGGCTGATGTCACTCTGGTACCTAATGCAGATTCGTCCGACTCATCATGTTGCTTTGTTGCCAACAAAATATGCGATCATATCTCATTTGGATCTATTCACACTGCTCATCAAGTTGCAAAAATCGATGGATATGACGGAGCAAGCCGTCTGTTGCTTGCAACAATTCGTATATTTGTTCAGCACTGCAATACAAACAATATTCCACTGGTTCGACGCGGTATGCGCATCATATATCAAACCAACATTCCTAGGTAACTTTTATCGACTATCTTGTATGATATTTCATATTGTCAAACTATAATTTTTAATATTTGATTCAACATTTATTCAGACAAGTTGGACTTGCTGGTAGTTCATCATTGGTTATAGCGCTACTGAAATCTTTACTGAAATTCAACAGTATTTCCGAAGCAACGATACCTCTGTGGAAGCAAGCCAATATGGCTTTGTCTGCAGAGACAGATGAGCTAGGAATTACTGCTGGTTTACAAGACAGAATTGTACAAGTCTATGGTGGATGTGTTCATATGGATTTTGATCGAAAGTTGATGACCAACCGATCTTTTGGAGAGTACCAACCACTCAGTACATCTGGCATTCCATTAAATTTATGGATGGGTAAGTTGATCAATACGTCTAGCTTACAGCAACTTATGCATATGCTTTAGTTTAACGCATGCACAATGTAAACCACACTTTATTGATTAGCATTTGTGAGACAACCAAAAGAGTCGGGAAAAGTTCATCATACAGTCAAAACTCGGTTTGAAAAAGGCGATCTAGATGTCGTTGAAGGAATGAAACAATTGGGAAAGCTTGCTGATGAGGCAAAAACAGCCATGCAAGTCAACGACAGTTTTGCTCTTGCTCAACTGTTTGATGCCAACTTTGCACTTCGTCGTCAACTTTATGGAGATGCAGTGATTGGTGTACAGACTCTTCGTATTATTGAGCTAGCTCATCAACATGGTCATGCAGCAAAGCTTTCTGGAAGTGGTGGGTGTGTGATTGGTATATGGCGGGAAAAAGATGCATCCAAGTTTGTTGCTCGAACTAGAGAGCTACGATCGGAACTAGAGCGTGAAGGATTTATTTTTTGTTTTGTGGATATTCCCAAAACATATTGATATACTATATTGTCTATTTGAAACCATCTCTAGTACTCACTGTTGTATTCATGCAAAACAGAGCACCAAATAAAAGTACCAAAATGCATAATACAGTCAGACCCATGAAATAATTGGTGCGAGTTCCCATCAAATTTACTGGACAATGTTCTCGCAACTCCTTGACAAGATTGACTGGGTTTTCCTGGCGATTGGCATGAAAACAGCCAATGCATTCTTAGCATGCAATCTGTTTCCTTGGATTAAACCGCAAGCGTATGGTATTTTAGAATGTAACAGAGTCTGATTAAAAGCACCAAACCAATTGAACCCAAGATCTAGATTGCAACGGATGGATACATATTGAGAAAACAATGCAGTCAGTTTCTAGCAGAAGGATACAATCAATATTCATCCATTGTACATTCCCAAGCAAGATAATGACTGCAGGATAAATACAAGTGTCCCATTTTACGTGAATACGGCTATAGTCGGTCACCATTGATATCTGCATTCTGGAGCGTGACAATTGATGCCAAGCATATGTATAGCATGTGATAATATTGCCCTTATTTCTATCTTTTCTGTTGAACATTTGCTTTTCTATACAGACAGCCAATCGCCATAGCTTAATAGTTTTTCAATCATCGTACTGCCATACGTATATCAACTAATTAAACTGTCACCCAACAGTCCATGTGCACAATAAATAGGTTTTACCGCAAGGTGCTTTACACTCATTGCATTGACTATCACTATGGGTTGCTGATTGTTTGATGATTTCAGACCTACAAGGAAGCCGAGTATTGTCCATTGGTGATGCCCACTCGAGACATATTAGAGCAATCGTATACATTTAGTATTACAGCTAACTAGTTGAAATGCAATAATAGTTTGCCAAACCACCGCATATGTGGTGCATAATAATAGTGCAGCAATATTGTACTGTTGAAATGCCAATTTCCTCAAACTTGCTGATACTAGATTGTAATCAAGTGGAATTGGATGCTATACTGTAAAAGCAATATGACCATGACCCATAACGATCGTCTATTAATTAGACATTAATGCATTGAATTGCGTCAACTAGATCTAAATTGACGCAAGCACCTTGCATTTATGATAATATTGTCACATGAACTACACCTGATTGTTCAAGATAAGCATCAATAGTCATGTGGATAACCAAGCCCAGCAAAGATAGATTGTACTTTAGTCCATGGATTTAAATTTGGAGTCCCCAGTCCATTCCACTAGTTTCCTCATTAAATGGTCATACACACGTGGTAGTTCATGTGCTTGACAAACCTCAAACTCGAGCGTGACTATTAATGCAAAGTAGTCATTTGAAAATATTCACAATCCACCTGTGTAGCATGCATGTTTTGGACATGGTACTTTGCTTGTGCAAGTTTATAGATGATAAGCATTAGTTTCAGGCTCGCTTTAGTTTTGAATGCAGTTGCACATGTATAGGGGTAGTGCGGTGTTCGTTTATGGCACGGGTCGGTGCCAGAAAAATCTAATAAAACACGATGGAATTGGCTACTATATCCAAGTAACTCTGCTGCTACATACTATTGTTCAGCACATTTCTAGATTACACACATATACTCTGTAACAATGCTTGTTTCGTCTGTTGTTGCTCTGTTGGCAACTGCTGCTTCTGTCGTGTCTGCAGATCTTCCTAAATACAGTCTCATCAAGACCGATCGTGATGCTGGCCGCTTTACATTTGTACCCACCACTCGTGCCCAAAAGGAAATTACTCTCAAGAATGCCGAAAATATTCTTACTGTAAGTTGGAATCGAGTGTGAATTGACTGTTGATTTAAATTTCCTGTTACCGTTCCATGTGAACCTATATTTACCATGAGATTGGACAATTTGGTTTGCTTGTAATGTGCTTCGGGTACACGAAAGATTTGACTGTTTGGCTCACTCAATATTGCGTGTCACATTATTTGAATATTTTAATAGGCATGGGTCAATTACGATTCCAAGATAGCCAACTATGGATCAGCCGCTGATCCATTCCCAATCATGAAGAGTGTTCGTAGCAACATTGACAAGATTAGTGATGAGGAGCTCCAGCTTACACTCAATGATGCATTTGTCATGATTCGTGACCAGCACACTCGTTGGTTCAAGCCTGGACCATACCGTTGTTTTTTTGCAACCACTGGTCTAAAGTATAACTTTATTGATGCTGACAAGGATATCGTCAACAAACCCAAAGTTGTTGTATCTGATATTGTCAAGATTCCCGAGTTTTTGGCCCTGATGGGCAATGAGTACTCCAAGATTAAACTTGGTGACGAACTCTTGGGTATCAATGGCAAGACTTTTGTCGAGTGGTTCAAGGAGAACCAATTCAAGTCTGGAGATGGTGCCAATGATTTTGGCGGTCAGCGCAATGCTCTTCGATACATTGGTACAATCTATGGTTCAGTTGATCGTCTGCCCACTGTAGATTCCATTTCCTTGAAATTCAAATCTCTTAGCGACAACCAAGAATACACCATCGCCGTTCCTTACGTCACTAGCCACAGCGATGTGTGCTGGGAACTCAGCAGTACTCTGTACCAGAGAGTTGCCAACATTACACTTCCAGGCACTCCAACTGGCAGTTCCGGTTTTGCATCATTTGACATTGCCGAGCATGAGCGTCAAAGAATGATTGATGCCGAGGATGCCATCAGAAACCCAGTTGCTGTCAATGCTGTGTATGCCGAGATGGCAAATGTTGAAAAGGAACTCTTCGGATCTGTGAGTGCAAGTGCCGATACCAGTTCATTTAAATTTATCGAGACGGATCTTAAAGGTATATCTTGGGGTGTCTACAAACCAGAATCCAAGAACATGGGTGTCATCAAACTTGACAACTTTTCTCCCAAGCTGGCATCTACTGGTACTGACGCCAGTTCTGTTGCAACTTCGTTTGTTCGTCGCTTGCTTACCCATGAACTCAAAGATACCAGCTCTATCGTGTTTGAGCTTCGTGGTAATCCCGGCGGCAGCATTCTGTTTGCCAACTCGCTTCCCCAATTGTTCAAGCCCGATTTTGATTCATTCGGTGCTCGGTACCTCAAAAACAACGTCACCTACAACATTTTCGTCAAGGGAAAATCTGCCCGCGACACTTGGGTTAAAGTATGGAACGAATCACCCGCTGATGCTCGCTACACCAACATTGGTCCATTTAACTCGTTTGAAGCTGCCAACTCTTACGGACAGGTTTACACCAAACCCATGGGTGTTTTCACCGATGGAAACTGCTTCTCTGCATGCGACCTGTTTTCTGCCAATATTCAAGGCCATGAAGCTGGCACCGTTTTCGGTGAGGATGGGCTTACTGGTGCTGGTGGTGCCAATATTTTGGATGTCGATCCTGCACTGGTGATTTATTCACCAACCGACTTTCAACGGTTCCCCTTTTCCCTAGAGCTCACTAATCCCGCTACAGGATCTACGTATGCTAATATGTTGTCTGTCGGTATCCGTCAATCTGTCCGTAATGGCAAGTACGACGGCCAATTGATTGAGGACACCGGTATCAAGTCAGATATTGTTGTGCGTGCTAATTGGTCCGATCTACAGCCCAACTCCACAACCAACACTCAGTACGATCGTATTGCTGACAACCTTTCTCGCATTGGCAAGACTAATGGACAGGCTGACACCATGTTTGTTGCCGAGCCTTTCTCTATTGAAGCAAACATGGGAGAATTTAAGCTGGGTGCTGAGGTTTCTGGTATTGAGGACATTACCATCACTTCTGATGATGGCAAGAAGGTCTTGGCTACCCAAAAACTCACTTCTGATCATCACAATGTCACCATTTCATCAAAATCCATTGGTAGTGAGATTGGAACACAGCGTATTGCTATTATTGGCTCTACTAAAGGCAAGCAGATTATCAAGACCTACCGTATTGTTCGCGTTGTGCCCACTGATGAGCAGCGCGTCCATATTGCTACCACTCCTTTTACCTTTAATGGAACATCTTCTTCCGTCGGTCTGTTCAACAATGCTGAGACTGCACCCGGAGATGGATGGAATCTCAATAACGGAAAATGGATCGTTGGCAATGGTACTTTGTATAACAACAATGTTGTCACTTCGTTGGAAGTTTTCATGACTGCTCCAGTGGGTACTCAGGTCAGCTTGAATCTTGATGTCAACCTGGACTGTGAAAAGGAGTTTGATTACCTCGGTCTACTTACCAAGTCGGACAACAAGGAAACCCCTCTCATTACTACAACCTCGCGACTCACTGGACGCCTTATTCCTGGTGTCAGCGGAAAAGACGCTGTGGTCAAGGGAGCTTATCCCTTCACCACCACCACTGAGAAATTCTCAGTGATTCTTCGTTTCACATCTGACAGAATAGGCGGTGCATTCAAGGGTGCTACTATCAACTCGTTCACAGCCAGTGCTGCAAAATAGTCTACACACTAATGTACCTAGTGCACGTTGTAAGCCCAGCGAGTATTGGTTTTCTAGATACAGCTAGAGTTACTCAGTTGCCATACTAACATTTACAAGTAATTGTTTTTAAAGCATTTGCTTGTTGTTCATTATGTTACACTTGATCAAATAAACGATTAAGTGCTGTTTTATTTTTTGTGTGTTTGATTTCCACTGTGGGTGTTTGGGCGTACCGACAGACAGTAGCTTGTCTCGACACTCGTTTATTTCAACACAGAACGCATCCTAATATCTACACATAAGCTTATTGATATAGGACCCATACAGCTACTTTTCAGATCGAATCAGTGTAACCCTATTGTGAAGTGTGCATTCCAGTGTTATCACGGAAGGGCATAGATTAATAATATTGACCGATTTGTAGCAATCCAACATCCCTTATAAAAGCAAAGTTTTGTGTTCAAACTCAGTAAATCGGTTTAATTGGGGTTGAATGGCAGGAATAAATATCCGCTGCAAAGGTACTTGGATCACTTAACAAGATCAGGGACGCGTTAGTGTAACGACCACAGCACCACTATCTGGCTCAGGGCTAGTCACCCGTTTAACAGCTGTATAAGCTCTAGGAACATGATTATGATTGGCCAATCACTATCATTTTAATAAGCATCCCTTTTAAAATCCTAGCGGACTAGATTTACATTACCTATAAAACAGCTGGCTGTTTTTGGCAAACTTCCAATCAAAAAATGAAATACATAAATGTTTCGATTGTTGCCGCATCCTTTACTTTGGTTAGTAGTGTTTATGCCATTCTACCAGAGCAGCAACCTCGTGCAGGTAGACTACCTTCAAATTCAGATTCTTCAGATTCTTCGGATCATTCAGGCTCCTTGATTGCTGCAGGTTCTTCAGGTTCTCTGAGCTCTTTGGATTCTTCAAGTTCTTCGGGTGCTGCAAGTTCTTCAGATGCTGCAGGTCCTTCAGATGCTGCAGGTCCTTCGGGTGCTGCAGGTTTTTCGGGTGCAATCATTTTCAAGTCGACAAGCAAATGCGAAAAAATGTTGCAAAAGATGAAGGATATTTCCATGTCATCGCAAGAAATTGCAGCTAAATATCTAGGAACAGGCAAGCTTGTAATTGACGACTTAAACTATAATCTTGACGATGAAGACGGTGAAAGCAGTCAGGATGGAGGTTGCGGCATGTTACGACACGAGGACAGACATAGGGTTGTTGGGATACTCGTTTCCGTTATATTACCATCACCAGGACTGCCAGATTCAAAAGGAAGATATAAATGTGGAGGCTCGAGTTTATGCAGATCTAAATCGCTTAGACACAAAATGAAAAAGATCACGGATGTACCTAGCATAGCATTGGCAGCTGCTGAAAGGACCGCTTCAATTTACGGATACGAGCTTGGGTCTGTTTTGGCCTCACTTTGGTCGTTCGCCAAAACGTGCCTTGATTGGACTAGAAGTAACTTGAAAAGACTGAAAGGAATCGTTTTAAAAACCAAGGATGGCCCAACGCTGGAACTGTTTTCAAGGTTTATCGAGCACTATAAACGCATTAAGTATATTTCTAAAAACGAAAAAACACAATTATACAGTATAATCATGAATTTAAACGATGGTGTAATCAGCGCTCTAGATGCGATTAAAGAAGTTAAATCTATAATAGCTGAAGTTCAAGATGGTTTAAAAGATATGCATGCTTGGTCATATGGAACAGCAGTCAACACTTATTTGAAGAAGGAGTCATACGACCCGAGTCATATTCGAGTTATATTTGAGGATTTGACTTTAATTCATAGGAAAATGCAGGCAAGAGCACGGTATCTATATAGAAAACTGGAGAGTGCTCCATCAGAGAACTAATGTGACTTATTTTCGTATTCATGTAAAATGGGATACATGTCACAGTACATAATAAACTACCGGTTTGTCAAATTTAATGTGTAATATTGTGTTTTGCTTATTTTTGTATAAAATACTGAACAAATGTTCATATCACAATTTTGGAGAATTATACAGCTGTACTCGTGAGATGTGAGTCTTCTGTTAAACTAAAACGTGTCCAAAGTTTTAGGATCAACAAGGACGAGTTTGATTGACAAGTCATGCAATGTCTGAAATGCAATGAATAACACTACAACTTTAATTGGCAGCTTGGGTTGGATAGCTGCAAAACTAGCAAAATCCATCACATTGGTATTACTAGATGTAGTAATAAATACAAACTAGAACATAGACTAATGTGTATCCTTGTTGGTCCAGTGGTTAGGATACCTGTCTCTCACACAGGTGGCCGGGGTTCGATTCCCCGACAGGGAACATTTTTTGCATTTATTTTGAATTGAAATAAATGACTAATACTGTTTTTCTACCAGAACTTGACCAATTGTTCAATAGTTAACATCCACCATATGATGCAATCAAACTAGTTTTAAACTGAGATTCTTGACATGATCATATATTGTACAATCATCAAATACGCTCAATAATTGTTATTCATCATCCCAGGAGACCGACTGTTTATTATATACTTTGGCACATTGATCCAGTGCTCTATTTCAAGCCAAGCCATTCGTGTTGAAATTAAATTCCTGAGGGCGAGAATAACATTTTATTTGAATTTGGTGCACTTTCACTTTGTCAACCAGTAATATTCACATTGCATTATCAAACATGGGAAGTATTGATACAGTGAAACCGAAAAAGGAAAAGAAAGAGAAAAGGCTCAAGAATGATCATCAGCCTGTTGATGAAGCACCTGCTATTTTAAGCCCAGATGAAATGGCAAAGAAATCTAGAAAGGAGAAAAAGGAGAAAAAAGACAAAAAGCGCAAGTTGGCAGAAACAGAGCAGGACAGTAAAGATACTACCATTGTAGCAGTAAAAAAAGAGGCCAAGGTATCTCAGGATAAAGAAAAGAAGTCCAAATCAAGCGAGACACATTCAACCCGACCTACCAAGCCATCCGTTGCAGCCAATGGAGTTTGGACATTTGTTGAAACTGAACAATTGCCAGAAAAAACTATTACTGATTTTCTGGTTGAAAATTCTATCCGCATTACCTCGATTGATGATAAACCATTCCATGTTCAGCCTATCTTCAAATTCCAACAGGCAAATTTCCCTACTAAACTGCATTCAATTCTTTCAGAATTTCCAGCTCCTTCATTTATTCAGTCAGTCACCTGGCCGCCCATTCTTAATGGTCGCGACTTGGTTGGTATTGCTGCTACTGGATCTGGAAAAACTCTTGCATTTGGTGTGCCTGCGCTTTTGCATATCCAGAATTGCCTGGCACTGAATACTCTTCAAAAAGGAAAGCCACTTACGTTGGTGCTCTCACCAACCCGTGAGCTTGCCATGCAGATCCAAGACCAATTCGTGCAATTCGGTCAAGCTATTGGTGTCAAGAGTGTCTGTATTTACGGTGGTATGCCCAAGTGGGAGCAAAAAAAACTATTACAGCAGGGTATGCATGTGATTGTTGCTACCCCGGGCCGTCTAATTGACTTGTTTGAAGAAGATGATCGTACTTGTGACTTGAGTCAGGTCAAGTACCTTGTACTTGATGAGGCCGATCGTATGCTCGATATTGGATTCGAAGAGGCTATCAGGAAGATTATTAAAAAGCTGCCTACAGCGGCACAGGGCCGTCAAACCGTCATGTTTTCTGCCACATGGCCACAGTCTATTCAGCGTATGGCCATGTCATATCTCAACAACCCAGTCAAAGTTACTGTTGGCTCAACAGATTTGTCTGCCAACATTAGCATAGAGCAGCGCGTTGAAGTTCTTGATCCCTTTGCAAAAGAAACTCGACTTCTTCAGCTTCTCAGAGACTATCACAAGTCTCGCACTAACCGTATTCTTATCTTTGCTCTCTACAAAAAAGAAGCATCCCGACTTGATCAATTTCTGAAACGCAATGGATACAATGTAGCATCCATTCATGGTGATTTGTCACAAGTGCAGCGCACAGCAGCTATTGATGGGTTCCGAAGTGGCAAAATTCCCCTGTTGATTGCTACTGACGTTGCTGCTCGTGGTATCGATATACCTAATGTGGAATATGTAATTAATGTCACGTTTCCTTTGACCGTGGAGGATTATTGCCATCGGATTGGCCGTACTGGTCGTGCAGGAAAAACTGGCATTTCTCACACCATGTTTACGTTGCATGACAAGTCCCATTCTGGTAAATCTATTTTTCAAGAGATATTTCTAGATGAATTGCCAATTTGCTTTTTTCTAACAAGTCTGGCTTATACAACTAGGTGGGTTGATTAATATTTTAAAGCAAGCAAAACAACCTGTTCCACCCGAGCTGTTAAAGTTTGGTACAACTACCAAGCGCAAGGTCGATCCCACTTATGGTGTTTTTGCCAAGGATGTTGACATGACCAAAAAGGGCACTAAAATTACTTTTGATGCCTCGGATGATGATGAATGAGTTTTGCTTTATAGGTGCGAGATTTGAATTGATTTTAGTCTGAATGAAATCGTATTGTTTGATTTTCGAATTCTGCATTTCAAAACTACCTTTTACCCGATATATACACCACTCATTTAAATGACAGCCTTGATAGACTCCTATAACACAGACAATCTCTATCAAAATCTTTCTCAAGAATCTGAATTAAACTCCCAAAACTACTACCTTTCATCCGAGCGCGAAGAAGAGTCAACATCGCAACTGACTAAACCACATACTGAAAGATACTTTACTCCAGAAGAAGTCGAATGCCACAATTCGTCTGAAGATTGTTGGGTATCTTGGCTTGGTTTGGTATACGACCTTACAAAGCTTATCGAAGAACATAAAGGTATCGAGGGTCTAAACTCCAATGGGTTTGAAAAAAGTCGATACCATCTATGTTGTGAATTCTTGGAAAAAATCCAAATTTGGAATACTAGTCTAGATATCTACAGCTGTTTAATTAGATATACTAAACCCGCTAGATATATCTAGGTAGTCCACTTTTGCTGCCGATTATCAAAAATGCCGGAAAAGATATATCGCACTGGTTTGATCGAGTTACAGGAAATGTAGGTGCATACAAAAGTCTTTATACTTATTAATGTCTAACTCGAACATTTAAATGATCAAACTCAGGTCAAGATGCATATTCACCCATTGACCAATTGTTTGGTTCCCTATGCCCCAGAGGGGAGGTTTGTCCATATACCACCACCCATTCCCCGTGGTGACTGGTCATCCACTGAAGGTTGTATGCCATGGTGGCTTGATAAAGAAGCGTATTGCATTGGATCGTTGTCGGCTAAAACGCGCAAGATTCGTATTGTCAACACGCTTACAAAAGATGAGCATATCATCAAGGTATTCAAGACAATCATGCACAAAAATATTGGTAGTATGAAGCTTTTAATGAAATTGTATATTTGAATTTAAATACTTTTGAGTGTATTTAGGTTTGCTGTGAGGATAAACTATCTGCCATCCAAGACCGATACTTGAGCCTCAACGCTCATGCCAAGGGGTATATGTGGAAACGACTTGGAGTTTTACTTGACATGTCAATGACACTTGAGCAGAATGGAGTCAAAGACGAAAGTACTTATTTTGATCAGCTTGGGATTGACGAAGATCAATGGCTGCCTGCAATCCATCTTTACTTTAGGTATAGATAATATCTACAATTTGCTTTGATGAATGTATTTCTAGGTCTAACTTTGAATTATAGCGATGATTTGACAATTGCTTAGTGGATTGAAGGCGAATAATTTACTAGTAGATTGTAATACGTGGTAATGAGAACTGGCTTTGATTATCAGAAATAAATTCAAATAAATTCAATTATTTCTTTCAGCTTTAAAATTCATGTCAAAGCGACAGGCAGATATTGAGTTGAACTCGGACAACTCCCAACTAGTGGAGGCTAATATTGAAGCCGAGAATGCTGAGCATGCTGGACAGGTGAAGATATCTCACTGATTATACTCTACTGTCTGGTGCAAAATGTATAAACCATTTAGATTGCAGTGTTTGAACAGCTCAAAATTGTTCAATTGCTACAACTAGAACAATTGCTGGAATTCAGCGCAATGGCAGCTAGCATGCATATTGATACTCTCAATGTTCATCCTACAGTTTTCTGCTTACATGTATTCATTGTACTGTGACTGGTTGATTGTTTTGTTGGAGTTTATGATGAAAACGTTGCTCATGCATATAACTTGAACACTTGCTTTGTATAGATGGGAATGTTTCGTCATGCAGATGAAAGAGTCGTACAGGGACGCAGTATAAAAACTCCTCGTAGTCGCAAAACTGGTAATACCACCACTCACGCAGCAGCTCCTAGTACTGTAAGTGCCATTGCCTTGCGTTAGATCTTTGCTAGATCTGCTATAGATTGTATTGCATTCGATCAAGTCTTGTAATAGATGATATGACTGGCCACTGTTGTTTAATTCTTGAGATGTTTCACTTGATGACTTGCAGGGCTCATTGTTTAGCTTTGCCACGAGTGGAACTCCGTCAACTGGACTTAACGATACCACTCGAATGCCATTCTCGTTTGGTACAACTGAATCTAGCAAGACACAGAGTAGTGCAGGAATGTTTTCATTTGGTGCTTCACCAAAAAGTGTAGATGATCAGTCTATTCCAGCATCGATCAAGCCGAGTGGATCGACATTCTCTTTTGGATCTACTGCTAGTATTTTTAGTCCACCCAAAAATGAAAGCAGTCCATTTCAATCAGGATTCTCCTTTGGATCCACTCCACTATCATCTGCTGCAGTGTCAACTCCAACATCGGTATCATCTGTTGTAATGCCGGCTCCAACATCGGTATCCACGCTTTTTACAGCACCTGCTCCAACATCCATGCCGACATTTACTGTATCCGATTCCACCAGTACTATGAAACCCAAGGATGCTATGTCTGGCACCATTGATGTTCATACTTCAAAAAAACTGGAGCATATACTTTTGCAGTTGCGTGGACTTAATGCAAGTTTTTTGAACCAAATTCAAACTCTTTATTCTGAAGATTGTTTTCAGGATTTGGGCCGTATATTTGATTCATACAAGGATCAACGCCGAGATATGATTGCAAAGGCTCAAGATGTAGCTTGTTTGCTAAAGTCGACCAACGATGTTGCTTATGTTCCAGCTACTTCCGTGACTGCATCACCAGCTTTGTCTTCTGTGGGATTCAAAGCACCGACTCCGCTTTCGAATTCAAATGGAATCCAGCCATTTTCATTTAATGCTACATCGAGTAGTAAAGTTGACAATAGTTCAAATGGTAAATCGTTGGGACCAGTTCCTCCTTTGAATGCAAATGGGATTCAACCGTTTTCATTTGGATCTAAAGATAAACCAGTGATTTTGCCTATTCACTCGAATGACCAACCCAAATTTTCGTTTGGAACCAGTTCAAGTTCATCCACTCTAGTTGAATCTACACCGACAATCAATCCCATTTCAATGCCTACCAGTGGGATAGAGGTAGAGCATGCTAAGCCTACTACACTACTTTCAAATACACTTGGCCCAGTAACTAGTAACGATACTGCTGTCAAGCCATTACCTACATTTTCGTTTGGAAATGGGCCTCCAACATTTGCTAGTGCTTCTACGTCATCCGAAGCACTGAGCAGTAAAAACCTTTTTGCCACTGCTTCCAATGTTGGATTTACATTTGGATCAGGCACTCAATCCACATTATTTGGATCAGGCACTCAATCTACAACAGGCACGCCGTTTTCATTGGCAAAAGGCGTATCCGGATCTGACGGTAGTAGTACATTATTTGGCAATGGAAATTCCAGTGGATTTAGTTTCAATACAGAAGCAAAGCCATTTATGCCAGGAAGTGGATCAGTTGGAAATGAAGTCAAGGATGGGGAAGACGAAGATGCTGCACCATTAGAAGAGCAAATCGGAGATGTATTAATGAACGGAGCAGGGGAAGAGGGCGAGGTAACAGACTATGAGGTGCGAGCAAAGTTGTTTTTTATGGGAGAAAAAAAGCATACAGAAACGATATCGCCATGGGTATCCAAAGGAATCGGAATATTGCGCATCAAACGACACAAGGAGAGTTCAAAGTGCAGATTGCTAATGCGAGCTGATACGGTAGGCCATGTGTTGCTTAATACAGCAATATACAAGACCATGCCGGTAACAAAAGTAGGAGAGAATTCAGTATCATTGCTGGTTACCAGTAGTGAATCAGAAGGAAAGTTAATTCAAGGATTGATCCGAGTCAAGACAGCCAAAATGGCGGATGAATTTATTGCAGCTGTTGTAAAAGCCAAGGCAGAGTAGAAAATACTGATTGACTACCCGTATTGACTGTAGTCGATGAATTAAATAAAATGGATTGATGGCATTGACTCGGGGGGTCTTGACAGCCGTGTTCACGTAGAGTGAAATACTTGTATTGGTTTTGCAGTCACTGTTTTGCTTTAGAATAGATAGTGGTCAAGTAGTTGCTGCATTTTTATTAGAAATTGGCTCTTGTTCAATAAATAAGCATCCGCTATGATACAATCAAATTGTAATCTTGAATGAAAATATCCACATTTGGCATACTCAGATTGTATGATCTCCAGGTCCACTCATTACGGTTGCGTTTGACATTCTAGCAACGCAGGTGATTTCCATGCAGATCACGCCATGCTTGGTTTGAGCAAAACCCAGTGAAATTTATCGAGTTTAAATGGCACAATATTGCCTAATAAATTCGGCATGAATTGATACCAATTATTTCAGACTGTATTTTGATGTTATTTTACGTGAATGCAGCGGTCACGTCAGCATGTCACGAGACTGCCATTTATTATTTATTCTGTTTTTTAGATTTATTCTACGTGAATAAAGCTGTAAATTGTGATGAATCCTCGCTCAGCTACTCTTCATTTTGGCTCTCTTGCCGTGCATGCTGGACAGGATCCTGGTAATTAGATTATGCTGTATATACAGGTTTATTTAGATACTAAATTACATCACTTCAGATCCATCTACCGGTGCTGTCATTCCTCCACTGTCATTGTCCACTACTTTTGCTCAATCTGCCGCTGGCGTTCACAAGGTAATGCATGGGTTGAGTATTGTGTTGGTATTTGATGATATCTAATTGGACTGCCTCACTAGGGTTTTGAATACTCCCGTGCAGGAAATCCTACTCGTCAAAACTTTGAGCATGCCGTTGCTGCACTTGAAGGTGCCAAACATGGTAAATTATCAACCTGCATTGATGTCTAGTTTTGCCTTGTATTGACTTGATAGTTTTCTAGGACTTGCATTCGCTTCTGGATCTGCTACCACTGCTACTATTGCCGGCCTTGTCGGCTCTGGCTCCCATATTATCAGTGTTAATGATGTTTATGGCGGTACTTTCCGTTATTTTACAAAGGTTGCCAGCACTAATGGCATCACAGCCGATTTTATCGACTTGAGCAATCCCGAAAATCTTCGTGCAGCCATCAAGCCCAATACCAAACTTGTTTGGATTGAAACTCCTACCAATCCTACACTGCGTTTGGTTGATATTGCTGCTGTTTCCAAGATCACACGCTCTTTCCCCAATGTCTTATTGGTTGTTGACAACACTTTTATGAGCTCGTATTTCCAGCGTCCTATTGAACATGGTGCCGATATTGTTGTCCACTCGGTCACCAAGGTTTGTCCATCCATTACGTCTCTGATTTTTGTCAAGTACTAAATTTATCAAATCTATTTCTACAGTACATGAATGGTCACTCGGATGTTGTCATGGGCGTTGCAGTTACAAACAACGATGAGGTTTACGACCGCCTTAAATTTCTTCAAAACTCGATTGGTGCTATTCCCAGTCCCTTTGATTGTTTCCTCGCTAATCGCGGACTCAAGACTCTTCATCTGCGTAAGTTGCTGTTTGTTTCATTCACTTGATGCCCATTCTTGTACTGAAGTTGCATCTATTGTATATAGGTATGGAACGCCATGCATCCAATGCGCTTGCTCTTGCCAAGCATCTTGAAGCGTCTCCCTATGTACAGGAAGCCATCTACCCGGGACTGAAAAGCCATCCCCAGCACGATCTTGCTGTTCGTCAGCAGCATGGTTATGGCGGTATGGTCAGTTTCCGTATCAAGAATGCTACCCTCGCTACTTCCAACGCGTTTCTTTCTAGCCTTGAAATATTTACTCTTGCCGAGTCTCTTGGTGGAATCGAGTCACTTGCCGAACTCCCATCTGTCATGACTCACGCTTCGGTCACTGCTGAAAACCGTGCTATGTTGGGTATCACTGATTCTCTGATCCGTCTATCTGTTGGAATTGAAGACGAACGAGATTTGATTGCCGATATTGACCAAGCTCTCAAAAAGGCATCTACTGTTGTCTAAATACTACATGAATCAAAATTACATTGCGCTTTGCTATTCACGCCGAATACAACACTAAACAAGAGTCAAAGTATAATAAACAGTTAGTTTCATGAAATAATTTGTCAGTTTAAAAATTCTAATAGCCGATTGGTCTTTGCGGATGTCTTGTATTGCGTAATCCATTCAGCAGATTGTCAATCCATTCGCTAATACAGTTTTTAATATTTATCCACTTGGTTTGATTAGTGCCATTGCATATTGCTTGTTTGATGACAGTAAAAACTCGATATAGTGCAACTTTTATAAACAATTTCATTTAAACCAACTCGGATTTAACCATTCATCGACGCCTTGTACCACCATATGTCGTGGAAGTACGAGTGCTGGGTGCAGGAGATTGAGATCTTGAACCACTCGAAGAGGATGTGCGACGAAACATAGGGTTAGAGTAGGTATATGTAGATTGTGGCCATCCAGATCCCCATGACCACCAGGAAGTGGGACGAGGTGGGTAAAAGGTATACGATGGATACGCTTGGGGTCCGTAACCAAAGTAGTTGGTAGATGGGTACCAATATGACCGATTGCCGAACAAGGATCCCAAAATACTGCCAGAAGTAAATCCAGACCAAAATCCGTCATTATTAGAACGACTGCCATCGCTGTTTTGACTATTTCCGCCACCTGAACTAGGATATGCTCCCGGGTGGGGTGCAGACGCATGCTGATGAGTATTGTCTTGGGACTCCCATCCATCGTTATAAGGTGGAGGTGGTCCAGAATTTGGATCTACAAGGTTGTTGAAATCAGAGCGTCAGCAACTTGAGATGAGAAATAGCAATGTATTAAATAAACTTACCGAATGAAGTGCCAGCATGAGCTGTGCTGTGAAAAGTACCCCGAGTCTCGGTAGTACGATGGTTTCCCTGGCGTCTAGGTTTGGAACAACAGGCAAGCGAGATCCGATAGGCAATAAAGGCAAATACGGCTGTCCAGATAATAAACCCAATCCAACTGCTACCGTCTGTGTTTTCAGTATAATAGTGTTCTTTAGATTTCCAGAATGACCAGGAAGGTTTCCATTTTTCTCCAAATCGATGGTGTTCCTTGCTTGGTCGAGTGCGATCGTACAATGCAGTCCGGACAAGAGTATATTCAAGTCCACATGAACCAGCAAGCACAAATGGGTCTTCGGGATATGCCCAACCTTCACACGCAACAACCATTTCAGATCCAAACTTGACAGTGCTATCCAGTTCAGCAGTGCATGCCCATTGTACATCCACTCCATCTGTTCCCTTGTTGATACACTGGACAGTTTGAGGCAAGAGAGCAGTATCTGAACAGGCTGACTTTGAAGATGAAAAGAAACCACTGTTTCCAGAATTGACACAAGAGAGCTGCTTTACAGGAGATGATCGACGAGCAGTAGTCATTCGTCCGGCGTGAAGAGTCAATGCCTGAATGTTTGTTAAGCGAACTTTTTTATGAGAAGCAGCAGTAGCTGTTGGTGCAAGAATGCATACTAAAAAAAGCAAGAGTGTCACTAGAGAAGAGTGTTGAAACATCTGCCGAGAGCAGGACTTCATTTTGAATTGCAGTTTACTAATGGTTTAAGAAATAGTCTTTTGGATTAAAATTGACATTTAACAAACAATGCCACGTCACAAGTCGCATTGGCCACTTGGCTGCATTTGATTGGCCAGACTCGAACATGTTTTCACAGCCAGTAATCGTCAACGTGTATTGTGTTCGACTCAGCAGCTTTTACTGGCACATTCATCCAAAATGCAATCAATAGTACTTTAAACAATCCACTGCAAAATGAATACAAAAATATCAGAAAAAATCAATCGCTTCCGGGTGGGCTCGAACCACCAACCTCCTGATTAACAGTCAGACGCGCTAGCCAATTGCGCCACGGAAGCTCATGTCTGAAAAACTTTTGATTTTCAATTTTATTCTTATTGCCATACTATACTATTGTTTTTATGCATTTGTTTTTTTGTCAAGGCTGATAAACCAATTAATATGTAGTCATTGTTTATTCCGAATCAAAAGGAAATCACTGCAAGATATACATAGAATGTTTACTTTATATGAATACGGCTGCGATATTGCACTTTCATTCCAGACTGTTGTCCAATACTGTCTACAACCAATTGATAAAACATGCCACAATCTACAAAAATAATTTAATGAGCCAAAGCTATTCTGATTTTTGACTACAGTTGAGTTGCATCGATTGTCAATTCAGCTAGTTGTGCAATTCCTTTTGCTATATCCAAAGCTGACTTGGAATCTCGCGGGATATCATGTCCAGCATCATGTTTCAAATAAACTTGGTTGCTGGTAGTGTAAAGCTGATCGACACGTTGTAGTTCGTTGGATGTTTCTTGATAGCTGTAGATGTGCATGTTGGGCACAGACAAGTGTTTACCAGTTGCTTGGTAATCTGATGGAAGTATTCCCGAACATAAAATGCTAAACCTCCATAATCGTGCAATTTGGCCTGACAAGGACAACTGGTCCATTGCACAAACCATGATAGCACCCTGAGAAAATCCAAGCAGCCCATCAACCGGACCAATATTATCTAATTCATTGATAATATAACCAGCAGCCGTCTCTACACTGCCAATACTGTGATCATATTCGGGAAGCCACGAGTACCATGACTCGTCACTATAATATTCAGATAATGCTGATATCAAAGTAAAGCATTAGAATTTAAATATTTGCAAATGATTGTTCAACCAGTGCTCCGTAAATACATATCAACCAACTAAAATACTTACGAGATGAATCTACTTTGCATGGCCCATTGATGTAGATAAACTCGACATGATCTCCAAAATAGTTTTGGACAGTTGACAACTGAAACTCCATGTGTGTAGCACAAGATGCAATTCCATGAATACATGCAATTCTAATTTTACGAGGAAAATTCCATGTTTGACGAATTGGAGCAGAGTGTGCGACGGATTGGCATGCATGCATCGCGATCATTGATGCCAATCGAGACAAAGTTCTCAGTTTGAAAACATCCATTACACGTATTTCAAGATTGGATTGGATGCAGGCTGCAACAACCTTGGTGACTGAAAGTGAATCACCCCCAATTTCAAAAAATGATGTGTTGCGTTGGATCAGTGACAGATTCACATCAAGAACTTGGGACCAAATCCGAGCCAAATGCATTTCGGTATCGTTAAGCATCTCATCAACAACATTGATATTTATCGCTGCAAGCGCTTTTTTGTCCGTTTTGCCATTTGCATTGCTTGGCATTGACTCGAGCGCAACAAACACGGCCGGAATCATATAAACTGGTAAAATAGTCGAAACCATATCACGGAGCTTATCAACATCGATATTTGATGGAGTTACAAAGCCAACCACATGAGTACTGTTTAAAATAGCAATAGCAGATGACACGTGTGGATATCTCATCATTGCAGCTGCTATTTCGTTCAATTCAATTCGATAGCCTTTGAACTTGATTTGATCGTCCAATCGACCAATAATCTCAAAACTACCATTTGGAGCAAGTCTTGCAAAATCGCCTGTTTTGAACATGCGACCACCATTAATATTGGAAAATGGATCTGGAAAGAAACAGTCAGAAACTTGTTTTGGTAGATTAATGTAACCCTCTGAAATACCTATTCCACCAATATACATTTCTCCCACTGTTCCAATAGGCACTTGACGACCATTACTGTCAAGAATATAACTACTCGTGTTCTGTAGTACAGAGCCAACAGTAACAGGACGGTCTAGATATAAACGTCCTAAATGACTAATGATTGAGGCTTCGGTTGGACCGTATGCATTGCTCAGCTGAACATGGGACGACCACTTTTGTTTTAAACCAGCTGGAACAATTTCTCCTGCCAAAACTACATGTTTTAAGTTTGGATAATCATGAGGATTTCCCAGCTGAGAAAGACCAGTTGGAGTAATGAACACAGTCGAGACTGATTGGATACCATCATCAATACACTCATCCCGTCTCAAAACAAGTGTTGCACCAAAACTAAGTGCACCCCAAATCTCCCACTGGCAAACGTCAAAGCCAATTGCCATAAACTGGAAAACACGAGCACCAGGATGTATACCAACCTGTTTGGATTGATTCGCAATAATATTGATGGCACCATGGTGAGGAACAGGAACACCTTTGGGTTTACCCGTCGATCCTGAAGTGTACACTATAATAAACGGAGACGCGGCTGAAACTGCAGGCAAAAGTGGTAATGTCGGCATAGGAACTTCAGATAGTAAAGTGCATAAATCAACATTAATGATCCGAAGCATATCTAAACCGCATACAAAAGTAGTATCGATTTGGAATGCAGTAGTAAGTACAGCTGAAACATTCGAATCATGCATTATAAACTGTATACGCTCTGCAGGAAACTTTGAATCGATAGGCACAATAACAGCACCAGTCTTGAGAATAGCCAGCAATGAAACAGAGAATTCCAGACATCGCTGCATGACAACAGCAACACGAGATCCAAGGTTGATTCCCTGTGAGATCAGTTGGGATGCCAACACATTTCCACAGTAATCAAGCTGACCATAAGTAAGAGTCTGATCACCCGCCTCGATAGCAGGCCAATCAGAATGAAGCGTGGCTTGATACTCGAAACCATGGTGGACGAGCTCATACGGTAGCGGAATAGTTTGACCAAATGAGTATTTTGATATTTGATTCACCTGCATGTCAGACAGATTCCATAAACAATCAATCGTGGAAGTTGGATCAGCTATACATTTGATTATGCTACTCAAAGTGAAAATGAATTCTTCAAGTATCAATCGAGACTGCTCCGTGCATACTCGCTTGCTGTGTTTCATGGTCAAATTGATAGTGTCGTGTTTGGGAAATATAATAAGTTCCATATCAAACTCTGTATTGGTATCATGAGAGGATAGCGAATCATCAAGCTCAAAATCTGGATAATATTCTGTGCCAATTGGCATATTTTCATACACAAAAAGTGTGTTGAATAAACATTCCTGTTCAGTCATTTTACTCCATTTTTTGATATCCGACAATGATGTCTGCGAAAATGAAAGCAGTTCCGTGTGATCCTGCTGAAGCGAACTCAAGATTTTAGTAATATGGCAAGAATCGTCAAATTTGACTCTGCACGGCACTGTATTGATAAGTAATCCAACCATACTAATTATTGTATTTGCCAATCAATAAAAACATGTCAATCACCAAAATGCACATCATCCGACTCATATCAATTCTACTCACGATTCAACATCTGCAACTGGAATATCTCGACCAGAAATAACTTGAACAAACAAAACGTCATTTGATCGAACATACTTGCGAAGCGTGGCTGCCCATGCTGTTTTCAACAGCACCGCTACCGTGATTTCTGCTTGCTGAGCCAAATGTTGAAGATGCTCAACAGTGAATGGGCAGTCGGAGTGAATGACAACATTCCGAGTTGATTCGATTGCTTTATTCCAAAACTCCAATGGCTGGCATGGCATAACATTTTGCAAATAGGTGCTCCAAAATTTCTTAGCCTTGGTCATGTCTTGAGCGTAAACATAGTCAATAAAGCTACGATACAATGGTCGTTGTATAACTTGTGATCCATAATAACCAGCATATAGATCCGACATGATCAATGGCATTGACCACCCATCGAATAATGCGTGATGAATTGTAAATACAACATGCGCTTTTTCGGTGTTGGGATCAGTAGTCACTGTCAATCGATACCAATTCAAATCTTCAAGAGTGAACCCACGGCACCTATCTTTTGATAGAAACGTTTGGATATCATCTGATGTAATGCTCACATTTGCAGAGTGTACTTCTGGTTGGACTATCTGACACACACCTGCAGCAGCAGTTGCCACAAATGTAGTTCGTAGTATGTCACGGACTTTAACGGCTTGAAGCAAAGCAAATCTAAGAGAATCTATATTTAATGATTGTTTAGATTTGAATACGAACTGGTATAGATATTCTCGTCGATCCCGTAGGGTACTCGTGACCATGGCAGCTTGCAAATCTGAGCAAGGAAATATATCGACATGTCGGTCGCCAAGCCCAAGTCGCGGCAGATGTATTTTCCGAATCTCATCAATTGCCTCGAGCGATATCGATGCAGGTGGATCAATTTGAGCACACAGTTCACCTATGCCTAGCCCACTAACCATATCTTCCAGTCGACTGAGTGACTTGCAACTTATCACTTGCGATGACGTGAGTTTTTTTCCAGCTTTTCGAGCCATTGCTGCTATTTTAATTGCTGATATGGAGTCACCACCTATAGAAACAAATGAATCATCGCGCTTGAGGGAATTCATATCGACGCCTAGTATATCTGAATACATTTTTTTAACCTCGGCTGGTAGTTTTGGTGAAGTATCGATTGGCAACTCGACCATACTCTCAGAATTTAGATTTGGCACCAATTGATGATTTTCAAGATTGACGTTTTCTAGTGATACAAGATCCATTTCAGAAAGTAAATTGCACGACGATTGTGCATAAAACGTGGAATTTGGGATATGCTGCTTTGATTTTAACAAGCCCAGCCTATGTGGATGGTTGATATAATGTGTCTGATCCACAGTATCTTCCAGGGGTTTGGCATGACTAAATGGATCCAAAACTGTCAATGTCTGACCCAATGATAGTGTTGAGAGTAGATGCACTATGGCTTTGTCTGGTTTCAAGTACAATTCTGAATGCATTGGTTTTGAATATTCCTGTAATGCCTGTCCTGCAACAACTGCTTCTGCAAGCTCATAGTGAGTCATGGTCTAAAATAAATTCAAGTTCAATTAATTAACGCTGCAAATATCAACGATACATTGGGATTGACAAAAAATTAAGCTTTCTTTGATGCGTAAACCAAACGTTGAAAACTTACATATGGCGGCTCGGCAAGATCAAAAATAAGTGCACAATCAATTTTTTTTGGTAAAAATGGTTTATAAGGACAAGATTTGTCGGGATGAGCATCATCATTGCCATGATTGGTATAATCTGATGTGGGAGCAACATGTATGACGGATTTTTCATGTAAAGTGACGATGGATATCATTGAAGATTTGATTGGTGGTATTGTATCCTTGTCTTGATGGATCAGACTTGAACTGTATGCGGCCGAGGAAACTGGCAGAATTGAGATATTAGCCCAGAGTGCTGCCATGATTACAACAACCATATGAATAGAACCATCCATATTAACCAAGATTGGTAGAATTTCATTGTCTGTATGAGATTGATAGGTGAAGAGCTTCAAGGCCAGATTGAAAGAATACTGCGATAGTTGTCCATATGTAATTTGAACTGTATTCTGATCATTCGCCAGTGCAACAGCGTTGATACTTTTTGTAAAATGATACTCGATCAATGAAAATACTGACACGGGATCGCTGAGTTGAGTTGGTACATTAAATTGAAAGTCTAATGAAGTGGTAAAAATACCAAATATAAATGGCAAACCCAGTTAAACGCGCCAAGCAAAAGCCTTGTTTGTACACAATTAAAGTGGTGGGTTTAACACCCAACTATCCTTTGTACTAAAATATTCCAATTCACTATAAACAATACCTTTGATGTGACATGCTTCAAGAGGCTGGGTTGAATGGCCAATACACTCATTTTGACTAGTGTTAGATCCAGCAATACCTGGTGTAGTCACTTTTAATTCAAAGCCAACCGGAATAGACAGTGACTGCTAATAGAAAGCAGTAAAAATGTCATTGATACTGTCAGTCATACAAGCATGGCATGCAATTGCCTACTGATGTCCAAGATTAGTGCAAATTCACCTGTTTATTTCGCTCAACTTGTTCCATTTTGTGTACTGGGTCAATTTGCCAAATCTAAATAGTAGGATTGTGTGATGGATATCAAAATATAGATGAAATATAGCAAGCAATACAGTGATTCAATTTATATACATGGCATGAATGCAGGTGGCAGTTGTGCTAAGCAATTCATTAATCGCATGCAATCGAGCATACATCTGCCATGCATTATAGTGTTTGTGAGCATCCACGTTTACTAAACAATACATCCACTTTAATATGTAAACAACGGGTTTGGTGCCTATATGATTGGTTTATATTGCAAAGCATATACAATTCCAAGCTGTATGAATTGATGGCATCCAATCGTACTGTTTGTACAAACGATGGGCCAATTGAGTAGTCTTGACCAAGATTGACCTCTTCAACAAGCCAGTTGATTATTATAACTCGGCTCAATGCCAAACCACTAAATAGTACATATGCACTACCATTCTCATGATTCATGAGCAGGCAGTCATGGGTTATTGGCAATACCCATCACAATCATCCTGTGACTGTCACCATTGTTGGCTATCCATATCTTTACGTTCAACTCTGCTAAAAACTGGCTTTATAGCAGCAATGCAGATCTATTCATTCGCTCTTGCAACAAAAAGAAATATGCTTGCCACCCAGTTTTTCCGTCTGCCATCTTGGTTTTGGTAGAATAAACAATTGTCGATTTTATTTAGTCGGGTATTGAAGGAGATTCATCCCGACTAAATCTTTTTAAAACTTGTCTGATTGCTCGTCTGTTCTCATGCAACGATCCATGTCACTTGGCCATAATGACTCTTGCATACAACACTTGTATTGTTATGGAAATATACACATTGGAAATAGTCCAATACATTGAGCTACAGGTTGTGTCAATATAACCCATGTCTATAGGCTCAAGATTAATGAATTGAATAGTCAGATTGCATGCCAAAAATCAAAAAGGTAACCCAAAGATGAAGAATATTTCATTAAATGTAAATCCAACCAAACCAAGTCCTCTACGATCCAAGTCAGTTGCATCGCTCCAGAAACACAAATCTCCATCCATTGTGACTAGCTTAATCAAAGAGACCGAAACCCATGTCACCATCGGATTCCTCAGACTCTTCCTTGGCGGCAGCAGCAGCACCACCGCTTGCGGCAGGTGCAGAGGTAGCAGCAGCAGCGACAGGTGCAGCGGCAGCAAAGCGAGATGGATCAGCAAGGATCGATTTGATCTAGTTATCGGTAGCATTTAGAATTGAAAAAAGTTAGTAAACCAGAGTTCAGATCATTACATGAACCAAAAAATAGCCTTTTGTTTGAAAACAAGACATTCACTCATGTAAAAATTAGAGTGTTTTGCAATAAATCATCCAATTGCTTGTCGCAAAGTAAGATTGTAATCCTAGTGAATGTAGTAGATTTAAACAGTTCCAGCCAATGCTCTAGATCTAAATCTAGAATACAACATAATGGATACGTACTTTGTCGGCAGCATCAAAGGTGTACTCTTCAAGAGCAACACCGACAGAAAGAACATTCTTGTAGCCATTGACAAGCAGATGGGGAACAGATGCAACAGTGGGGAAACCAAGACCGAGAGAAAGAGCAGTGACGGTGGTAATACCAGTGAGCAAATGACCGATAAGCACGTCATCGGTAATGTCAAGAATAGAGGCGTCAAAGACGGTGCCATTTTCGTAGATGGATGTAATGGTAAGACCGTAGGTGAAGGGAGAAATGTTCAACATGTTGAGCAACTGAGCCTCGGAAGCACCAACTCTGTTGCCAGCAGTAATGATCTCGACATCGCTGATGATTTCAATAGTACCACGAGCAATCTTTGTGGCAATACCAATAGCCTGGAAGAACGAGGTTTTTCCGGGTTCCATACCAGTGTTACCAGCAGGCACGGTGACATTAACGGGAGCAACAGCTCCAGCCTTGGCGGGAGCTTGAACACGGTTGGAGAGAATGTCATCACGAATATCCTTGAGATCGTTCTTGGTGAAGACAAAGCCAATGTTGCCACGAACAAGAGCAAGAAGCTTTTCAAACTGAGGGTTCTCGGGAAGAGCGTTGCGCAGAGCACGACGAACCATAGTGTTCTTTCCCATAAGAACAACAGCCTTTCCACGGAGGGATTTACGGATCTGATGCATCTGGTTGGAGCCGACATTGTCAACATTGACAATGAAGACAGTAGAGTAGTCGGTCAACAACTCATTGAGTTTGGTGAAATAGTTTTCCTTTTTAGTGCGTGCTGATCAAACATGATAGTTAGCAAATCCTGATTGATTCAAGAATTTTATTGTTTCAAACTTACCGTCTCCCCCAGCCATTCTTTCGTGTTCAAGGGGTTCCTTAGATATGGAGTTTCAAGACGACTAATTCAATAAGATAGTTTAGTAATCGATTGGAATCAGGCCATGCATAGATGGATGGATGAGGATTGCAGCTGCCGTCTACTTACACAGAATCGATTGATGGACAAACCTGTGTCTGGCTGCAAGTCTCAATCTGACAGTATTTCCACGTGACTAAGTAAATGCAATCACGTGGTATTGCAGTGTTCATGGATTCGCCATTGCAGATACGAATCTCCATTAGATTCAACTACACATACTAGTATATCCGAGTATACATTCATAAACTACTTTCCATACGATTACTTGATAGAATCACGTTCAGACTTGTCACTCTGCCAACTTCCACACGAACACTGGATCTGCTTATGTCGTCCAACACACCACGTAAACCAGCTATTGCTGACCCACTCACTTCTGGACTGCTGGCTTGTCGTCGTCTTCAATTAAGTTTAGATGAATGGGATCCTGCAGCACATGATTATTCTGACAAAACACAACGCTCTCGCTCTGATATAATGGCACTGATAACAGCTATTGAATCTGCATTGCAGACTGTAACCAGTCTTAAAGTTCAACCCTCTGTTTCTTGTTTGCGCAGACTGCATTTGGCACCTGACAAGATATCTTATTTGTTTGATTCTCTATTGACCGACTGTCAAATAGGCTCGAATATGGCACTACAGCAAGTGCTGGATATCATCGAATCCGTTCAACACGACTTGAACAAACTTCGCGTCGGTGCTGTCCCTGGTAATTCAGCAACTACTGGATCTACAACGACATCCAGCTGCGCATCTGTGCATCATCTTCCACCCCATAAAAAAAATATATTGGCCGATAATAAGGTGCCTTTAAACCCTCGTGTTGTTTCAGCTTCTGTTTCTAAATCGCATTCTTTGACTTTGTCTGCTCCTACAATCGCTCCTGCTGCCATCGCAGATACTGCACCAAATGCCTCATTAAATATAGGTCATGATTCTATTGTAGTAAAAAAACAGCATCTTCCCCCACAGACATCTCGTCATCGATCTCGACTTATTTCTTCATCTGTTTCTCGGCATAAATCTACAGATACTATCCCAAAACTAGATGTTGCTCAAAATTCCTTGTCCGTCAAACCAAATCCATCAATAGCCCAAAGTGGCATCACAAGTAACAATAATGAATCAAAAATCCACTCTGGTGTGCTAGATTCAGCTCCATCTATATCCCATCCACGACTCACGCTGTTTCTCCAGTGCGATTCTACAACTCGAAAAGCTACCTACATTCCACCACTGAATGCCATCACTCTCCGAACTCTGTTTAGCAATGTATTCACGCATATTGAACATATTGAAGATTATGATATCTACATACGACATCCAACATTCAATGAAATGTATCTGCTTGAAGATGTAAAAGATATCCATGATGGCAGTGTATTGAAGCTTGTGGCTTTTGGTGACTTGCAAGGTAAGGGTGTGCATCTCAAACTGTTTGTTTTTTAAAGATTATTCACGTAAATCATTTTTTAAACTATTCAGAAAATATAGTCACCGATCATTTACGTATGATTATTGAACGGCTAGATAAATTTGAAACTAATGTTCAAACTATATCTCCGGTAATATCACAGAATACCACTGAACATTATAGTCAGACACGGCTGGATTCGTTGAAATCAAAACAAGTTTCTGATACAATGAGAAAGCTGAAAAATCTAAGATCCATGCACAACGATCTCACCACTTTCATCAACACTCAGATTTCAGAGTTTGCACTCACAATTAAAAATACCTCTCAGCTTCTTATTACGTCTCAAAAATATCAGAATGACTCGGGAATATCTCGTATAGCTTTGCTATCTTCGCTGGACAGCATGGGCGACTATGCAGAAACGTTTGAACATCATCTCAATGCTCTTCGATCTACTGTTGACACGATTCGCGTTGATCTCACTCGTGGTGTGCAAGTGACTTTATACGACATACATCATCTTCGTCAAGATATTGCATCCCTATCCTCCAATGTAGATGACTTTTGTCATAGAATTGTCACTGATATCAAATCCACATGCAAGAGTACATGGGAAAAGGAACTTCAACGCATTGTGGATGAACAGCAGTTTGTCAAGGACCAAGAGGCTTTTGGAGATGAAATGGGACAGAGTATACGCACACTTGATGACTTTCTTACTACGATTGAACACGTTGTCAAAACGATTGAACCCAACATGTCTAATCCAAACCAACCCACTTCCACTTCTGAGCCATCCAACTTTATTTCTCATCGTGTTCCCATTATTCTTGATGTGATGCATGCAGATGAAGCCAAAACGGTTGGAATTCAAAATGTTTTGGCCGAGTTGGAATTTAAAACTGCTGATTTGAGAAACAGTTCTGAGCGACGTGTTGCTGCGTTACATCAAATGGGAGTGATTCGTCCTTTGTTGCAAAAATCTCGAAAATTGGTATCAAGGTTTGAAAAGGAACTTGGAGAACGTATGTCGACCGAAAAGTTGCGCTTACGTGTAGAGTCGGTCATGGAGGTGGAGCAAAAACGCCAGAAAAAAGACTGGGACATGATTACATTGATATACAGTGAGTCTGGCGAGCCATTGCAACATCACTGACTACCAATATTGACTTTAATAAAATTGAGTCGAGTATAAGCTATATTGATGGTTGAGTATCTATTTGAGCCAGGTTCTATAAGTCCATAAATAACCATTTTCATTCAAAAATCTTGTGCAGCATATGCAATGTTTGGAAATAAACCGTGAGTTAAACATGAGTAAAAGCAAATGCTTCAACAATCAAGCATTCAAATTGATGACTTTTATCCATCGTAAAACAGTCATTCATAAAAGTAGTGCATTTTCCTGTAAATCCATACCGCAGCTCTGAATCAAGCTGAATAGCCACATGATCACTAGAGCATGTCAAATACAATCAAACAGAATGTGGTTAGTCTCAAACATGCTATATACCAAATGTTTATATTCTACCTACCCGCCACCACCGATGGTCAAAGACGTTTGTGTAACATTTACAAAGAACGATGCTCCAGTCATGGTCTCGTTCAACCTCCCCACCCAAGGAAACATTTTTGCATGCGGTACCAATGAAAATACAAAGGATTCACCAGTGCCAATCCATTTTCCTGAAAAATGAGGTTCTTCACGCAGATCTGGGATGCCATCGCTCAAATATGCTCCAAAAGTCTCGCCTTTGGTTGTTTCAATTGCCAAAATAATTGGAAATCGACGGTGTAGGGTATGATAAAGACTACGAAGGTTGTATCCGTGTACTTTTGTTGTAAAAACCAACTCAATGGCATCCATGCGTTTGTGCGGCGGGATCCAGCTCCACAGTGCTACCCAGCAATCTGTATCAGCTATGGTTGAAGCAGGTAACAGCTCGACGGGTTGAGGCGACGGAGATGACGATCGTGAATTGGCATGAGATATGCTAAGCGCAGCAGGTGGTTCAGAGTCTGAGCCATTATCACTTTCATCTGCATCTTCAACCAGATCAATATCAATCTGTGGATTTTGTAAACTCAACATGTCAATTGCTGGCACAGCAAGTTTGTCCAAATCATTGGTTTCGGTGAAAATAATTTGGCCCGAGCCCAGTGTATTCATGCACGATACTGGTCGTCGTGATTTTTTTGTATCTGCTTCGACCTGTGATTCTGCATCTGTTTCTTCCTCATAACCCATATACTCCAACTCACTTGCGCGCTGCTGCTGCTGTTGATGATCAAACATGGCAGCGGCTACTCCAAGACCAACAAATTTTGGTAGAGCCCTTTGATACTTTAGACTGTTTTGGACAACATCTATCGAATCAGTGCTTTCTTGACTTACTGCAGCCAACGATGCATGATGCTGGTGCACTCGCTTTACATTGGCATAGTTGATAAATACTCCAGCGGCAATCGCACAAATTTTATCTGCTATGGTTGCATGTTTGGATGATTTCTTTAACGCGTCGTCGCTGAATAGCGCTGGTGTAATCAGTTGATTGATTTCCCAAATCGACTGCATCTGAAGAATTGCACTGCGTTGGTATATCAAGATGGCCATTCCAAAACGCAAAAACGCTTTATAACCTTCAACGAGAAACGAGTCCAAGAATCGCCAAAGGAGTGGTTGAGGTAAAACATGTATAAACATGTTTTGTATCCACGACGTCCAAAATGGATCAGGAGATGTTGAATGAAGGTCTGTAACATGTGCATGAAGTTTACGATCAGTCTGGTAAAGAAGGTTGCCGAATGCTCTACTAAAAAGTTTTGCTTCTTTGTGATGCACGGGAATGTATCCCCATCGACGAGATGAGCTCGATTCGCCTGGCATAAGGGATTTAGCTGGCTGTGACAAAGAAGATTGAGATGGGTGTTTGAAAGAATTAAGCTGAAGTAGCGAGTTGACACAACCCAACAGTGTATCAGCGGAATCAATATGATGAGCCAAAAGTTCAACCAGTGGAGGAAGAAAAGGACAGTATTCTAGCATGGGATTGTCATGAGCAACAATGCATAGAATATGACGTACAACCACTGATCCAGCAGGAGTCAAAGCAAGAGTGTTTTGCTGAGATCTACCACCAAAAGTAGGCGGAATCGGATCCGGTGGAATCACCAAGCCATATGTGCGAGTTTGGGAGCGAAGAAAGTCGCGTTCGAATGCTGTGTATCGATTCAACGCATTCCAAGTGGATTGTCAAAATGATCAAATCAGCTCGTTAGACTCATGCCAATGAACTGCTCAAAGGCATTCAGAAACCATGCTTGACAAGATCTTACCTTCAAGTTGCGATACTTTGAGCAGTTTGGGATATATTGTTTTGCGCAATTGAGAAGGAATTCCTCCTATAATCATTGTCTTGAGTTTTGTTTTGTCGAGAGGCAAGGCAGAGCAATACTTTTCCACTTTAGGATCCAGCCATGCTTCCTGATTCTATTTAAAAGCAGTTGAAAAACAAGGGGTATTGCATTCGCAAGTGTCAGTACTGTTCAACTCGAGTGTCAAAGTGCTGAATCTGACGATTTGAATCAACCATTTCAAGAGTGTAGTGATGGTAAACTATAGGGTATAGTAATAAGCTTGAATGATTCTGGCATCTCCAACAGACAGGACAGTATCAACTATTTCTAAAACAATATGATCCAATGAATGCCTTGCCAAGCTAATACAAGATGAATGTCGGCAAGACTGCTTTAAACGTAGACTGTTATAGTTTAAATGAACTCACATCAGGCTCGCATCCAGGCTCAAACACACTGTCGTTGACCCATACTGCATGTGACATTGGTAATGGGAAAGAATTTAAAGCCATATTGTTCATGTAAAATGAAGCTTTTCTGTATCTTGCACTAAATGGTTAAATATTTAGTTTTCCTATTGCAAATCGACTTGAATACATTCTCAATTCTTTCGATGCAATTCCCGTCATGAGATTGGCTGTTTATTGTATTCTTAGTGTTCCATTGTGCGTAGGATTGTAGATAAACTTGGCTTTCAAATTGAGTGTAGTCTAGTGCCAGATGAGTTGAATGTCTTTTAGTAAAACTGTTTATATTAGTATTACAACTGCAACGACAGCAGTAAACATTAATACTTGTATGTCCAACAATGCTTTGCATGGTATATTCTTGATTGTTGGACATACAAGGATAGCGAGTGTTTAAACCCATTCAAATACAGTGCATGATTCATTAAACTGTTCCAAATAATGCTTGATGTGTTTTTTAGTTCAATTTGAAGTCTGACATGCATCAACGACGGCCAGATTCGTTGCAAGTCATTCATGATTATATAATCGAGTTTAAAAACTGCTAATCGAAAATCAAGGCTTTCCATTGAGTTGGAAATGACAGGACGATCGAGTGTTGGGACAGCAGGTGGGTCATGTTGCTGGATGACTGCTGCATGCTAGCGAGGATTGACACTCTTGACATTAGGCACACAAAAGACTATGCCTTGCCGTTTCTATGCACTGGCCTCATGCACAAAGGGAAAACATTGTCCGTTTATTCACAGTAGAGAGTCGAGTGGTAACACAGTGTGTTCGTTTTACTTGAGCGGCAATTGTCAGTATGGTGATCGGTGTGTTTTACTGCATTCCAAGCCTGGCAAGAGTGCAGCAGCCATTAAATCATGTTCGACTTTGGTAAGAGAAAATGCATCAGCAGCTTGCACAACTCAGGACAGTCAAGTGTCTGCATTGACAGCTAGTTTAGAAAAAACTAGTTTGAAAAAAACACCCGAGCAGACTGGATTATCTTACTCAATGATGGCTCAGGCCATCATTGAACCCACAGATTCAGGTTCATCCAGCAAGACTTGCTCAATGCCAATGGGTAGAATAGAGAAAGCTATCCAATCTCCACTCAGTCAGTCAATAATGAACTCATCTCAAGATGAGAGTACGGCTTTGAATCGATTGCCATTGTGTCCATTTGGTATTAAAGGAGTTTGCAAGTTTGGGCATTCGTGTCGGTATTTGCATGGACTAGAATGTCCTGCATGCCATAAGTTGTGTCTGCATCCGGATGATTCCCCCAAAGTGCACGCAGGTACCGGATCAACCATTTGATGCTTTTGTGGATGGATTCGATACGGTATACTTGATGTGTTTTATTTTGTAAATAGGACACATTGATTCATGCTTGGGTTTGCTAGAACGAGAATTATCAGAGCGAGAAGCTGGCAAGAATCAAGAGTGCGTTGTGTGCTTGGATATCGTGATGGAAAAGCCAGATCCTCGTTTTGGGCTTTTAGGCAAGTACTAATTACCACTCGATTGAATAGAAACAATTCCAACTGACATGATGCGAGTATAATCATATATAGCCTGCGATCATTGTGTTTGTTTGGATTGCATTCGAACATGGCGTACAAATGATAGTATGGGAACTGCAAAGGTAATCTAGTCCATCTTGAATCTGGTGTTATTACAACTTGTAGATTAACTCTATGCAGACATGTCCCATTTGTCGCACCATCACATATCTGGTGGTGCCATCCGATACATGGCCAACTGATGCAGCTTCAAAAGAACGAATTATTCAAGACTATCGCAATCGATTAGGGCAAGTATGAATGATAATATATGAATAACAACTGAGCCAATAACACATGATTATCCAATGTAGACGCATTGACTGCAAGCATTTCCAATACGGCCAAGGAACGTGTCCGTTTTCCACTTCGTGTCTGTATCGACATGCAGACCGAACAGGAGTAGCGATTGAAAGTAAGCCTCGGTTTCTTGTCTGTGGAGATGATGCATACGATGGCACAGCACATGTTTTAAAGCAAGTTCAACTGTTTGACTATTTGGAACAATACGATCGACAGCAATCTGAATAAACCATTTTTCAATATCAACTGAAGATGGAATGATTTAAACATTCAAATTAGAATTTAATAAAATAATAAATATTCAACTTGTTCCAAAAGCAAATCAAAATCACTGCGAAATACCGAAAAGAATTACATTGCGTGAGCACAACACTGTAACTCTTTTCGTTGCATTTTACATGGCAGGAAGCATTATTATGGCTGAGGAGAGGAGTGGTGGAATGGACATGACTGCCACAGATGGGTCTTTGCTGATATCATCACAACCTCACCACAGCCATGACTCGTTGATTGCTACTTCCGAGTCAGTCAACGAGCCATTCAAGTCTACAACCCAACTGTTGTCTGCAGAAGACTGCAAAGGTAAAGGTACTGAGGAGCTGCTTCACACAACTGCTGCTTCGACTGAACCAAATGGAGTCGACTTGCATGAGCATTCAGAACAACTTCAATCCGACACTCATCAAGAACAGTCAAAGGAATCCACAGTCTTGGATCTTTCTGAAAATGCTCGTACCAGAGTCAAGGTCTATGAGATGGGTTCGAGCTCTCAATGGACTGACAAGGGCACTGGTCATGTTGTGTGTGTGTTTGTCGAGGTGGGTGGATCGTCCAAGCTCAGTTCATCTGCAACAGATTCATGCACTTTGCTTTTCAATCCGTATAGTAACTTGTGTTCTGGATTGCTTATAGACACTGGCTGGATTCTGTTTGATTGTTAGATCTGAAGTAGATGGCTCTGTTTTAATGAATGTTAAACTTGCACACGATATTCTCTATCAACGTCAGGAAGGTTCGTCCTATACTCTATCCAATCCAATCCATTCATTTGCTGCCATGCTTTTGTCCAACTTGTATTCCACTATTCTTGGCTAATCCATGTTTGATGATAGATACACTTATTGTATGGTCAGAACCCAATGTTGGAGATCTGGCACTTAGTTTCCAGGAAATTGTTGGATGCTCGGAAATGTGGTATGTTGTATTGTTCATCTACTTGCTGCATGCTCCATCTTTAATTCATTTGCATTGAATTCGTTAGGGATCATATTTTCGATATACAGTCTCGGCTGGCTACAAACAAAATAGGTAGACTCAACTTGTCCTTGTCCTTGTTGATTGTTTGATTGATCTAACACTTGTTGTTTAGATACTGAAAACTTACTCCTCAGAGAAGGTACTTGTTCAATTGAATATACGTTGGATTTTGACGCAAACACTGACTTGGACCATGCTTTTATAAACCATGTTGCATCTACTATTTTACAGAGGCATCAGTAGATGGCATCCAGCAAATGGTGGTTGATTTGGCTGATCCTGAACTGAAAAATCTTGCAGATATTGAATTTACCATAAGCCATTCAACTCGTAGTGCTCATGTTCGAGAGCAGCTAGCAAAATTCATTATTGAAACAGGATACATTGATAAACTACTTCCACTACTCGAGTTGTGTGAGGACCTTGAAAGTACTTCGGACTTGTTTATACTATCTAGCATTCTTCGTAGCATCATTTTTTTGAACGATCAGAAAATCCTCGAGCATATTTTAAACGAGGAAGTATTTACCCTTGTGGTAGGCATACTGGAGTATGATAAAGACTTTCCTCAGACCAAAGCCAACCATCGTGAGTATCTGGAGCGACATGTTCATTTTAAGCAGGTTATTCCCATAGCCAACGAGAAAACTATTGTACGAATCAAGCAAACGTATCGAGTACAGTACCTTAGAGATGTTGTTCTTGCCCGTGTCCTTGACGAACAAACATACACATTGCTAAATTCCATCACATACTTTAACAATCTGGAAATTGTTCAGTCGTTTTGGAAGGATGACGAGTTTCTTGAAAAATTGTTCAGTCTCTTGAGTCAAGACCATGTTTCTGCAGAAAAGAAAAAGGAGGTTATTTTGTTTTTGAATGACTTGTCAGCCATGGCTCGCACCATTCAGAAACAGCTCCGTTCAGAGTTTTATCTGTAAGTTGCATTTTGAAATACCATGCTTTGTTGGCTTATTATTGATTTTGGTTTGTTGGTACGCTGCAATACTTAGGGCTCTTGGGAATCATGGCTTGTTTACAGTATTCGAGCATACGCTCGGTGACACAGATGAGCTTGTGCGGATTGCTTCGGTTGCTATTCTTCACAATATTTTAGATCACGATCCGTCGCTTGTGCGATCGTTTTGTCTAGCACAGGTTGAAGAGGGTCACAGGCCACTTATTGATTTTGTCATTGAACAATTCTTGAATGAGCCCGACTCTGGACTTCGATCTCAAATTTCTGACTGTCTCCGATCTATACTGGACACTTCTGGAATGGACTCTGTCAATAATATTTTAGTTCGATCTTTGGGAGAAGCTAATGCAGACAATTTTCAGCAGCTCTTTTACAATTCCTACTGCAAGGTTTTGTTTTCTCCACTAACACAGCTTGACAAAATGCCATTGGTGAACCAGCGTGATGGGTCACAGGTCATGGTTTTGGATAGTCGATTGGTTTCTATTTGCAGTCATCTCTGTGACTTGTTGTGTTTTGTCATTACTCAGCACGCCATGTTTATCAAAAACTTTATCTTGCGTGAAAGATTGCTGCGTCATACAGCTTTACTTTTTCGTGCAAAAGAATCCCATTTGCGTCTATCTGCTCTCCGTGTTCTCCGCACCTTTATTGGCACAAATGACCAGTTTTACTATCGTATCTTGGTTCAATCTGATGTCTTTGGCCCTGTTTTTGCTGCACTGATTGACACAAGAGGCAAGCCAAATCTCTTCAACTCTGCGTGTTTGGAATTTTTTGAAACAGTCAGGAATGCTGGATCTTCGAGATCGATCGTTACCCATATTGTCGAGCACTTTCACAAATTTTTTCCAGCTCTGGCATATGTAGATACTTTTAAGCAATTGCATTTAGCGTATGAGCAGCAACACGAACAAGTAAAAAACGAAGACCAAGCCGAGAGTGCGACTACGGATAAAAGTGGTGCGGATACTAGCAAGTTGGATAAACAGCCTTTACAAAAGGATGGATGGGCTAAAATGGATATGAACGAAGAAGCTTACTTTAGTACCTTTGATGAAGAAGAAGAGACTGTGGAAGTAGATGCTCATGCTACTACTACCGAGCCATCCACACCTGCCCCAACAACCGAGTCTAAACTCCCAGTCAAACGAGGCCCTCTTGTTAATTACCCCGATGATGACGACGACGAATTGGACCTGATTCATACAAAGCGACAGGCTTCATCCAAGATGGGTTCAAAATCCACTGCACAAAAATTTACGATATCTATTGGCGGGACTAGCGAAAATAGTTTACACACAACGGACTCTTGCACCGCTTTAGCTAGCAATTCAAGCACTGAGAATAGCAGCACAACACATGAATCTAAAGGCTTGATGTTAGAGCCTTTAGATTCATCGCTAGGATCTTTTGAAAACACATTAAAAAAGGAATCACGTTCTGAAAACGTAGAGTCTAAATCAGTCGAGACACATTCAGCTGATAAGATGACACCATTACCAGCCGCGTCGCACTTGAACTGCGATCCACCCTCTACACTACGCTTACAGGCTGATCATGGTAGCACACTCACATCAGTCATGGAGTTAATGCATCAGCAATACCACGAGGTGTTACCGGCTAGTACAAAGACATCAGAACAAGATGATGGAATGGAGGATGGGTTAGTTGGTGCCAAAGGCTTACTCACTGATGAAGCAGATCGCCGACCTAAAAAAGCTCGAGTCCTGTAATAAAGTTTTTTATTCAAACTATCAACCTTGCTGAACATTGTTGTACGAATCATCCAATCTACAGTTTTGAGCAAGTGTAGTTTAAAATCGTTGGGTGAATATCCTTGTATGTCTAGCAATGTTTTGCATGTTATATTATCGAGGTTTCATGTCACATTCAATCCATTGTTGGACATACACGACGTATCAATGTTTACTGCTGTCGTTGCAGTTTCAATACTAATTTAAACAGTTTTACTAAAAGACATCCAACTCATCTGGCACTAGACTACACTCAATTTGAAAGATCAACAGTATCTAAACATTTAATTTTTTTCAAACCGATCCAATGCAGTTTTGGGCCTGTCTTGTGCCTCTTCTTTTTCACGTCGCTTCTTTATGAGATCCTTTTGATCCTTGGCTAACTGTTGACGCAGAACCTCGCGCTTTGTATCTGTAGTATTGAAATTTTTGCGCAGATACCTCCGCATGGATGATGATTTTCCTTTTGCACGATGCACAGGCACGAATTTCTCTGTAGGATGGTTGGCCTATTATTGAAAAAACAACCCCCAACGAAATGGTAAGTAACAGCCAGCAGTTAGAAAATGGAATGCAGATCAAATTTGACAAACTTACCTCCCACTCGAGTCTACGTTCTTCTTCAATCGCTTGTTGTTGTGCCTTGTCTACTCTTCCAATAATGGTTGGGTCCAAGGTGATCATATCGGGTTGAATCTTGTCAATCAGACTATGGACTTCTGATTCCTGACGCTGTTTACGTGTTTGGTACGGGTTGGCCTCGAATGTATCAAAGTTGGGCTCACCAGAACCTAACACAGTTTTGAAATTAAAACTCGGATATATACATTGATAGCAACTATTCAAATAAGCAATATTACCTGGAACAACCAAACTGGAAAACCCTGTAGAATGGCCACATCCCAACACGTCCTCATAAGGACAAAAGTGAATGTCATGAATAGTAGATCCGGCAACTAAATGAGTCATGTATGGTTCTTTTTGCTTTGTTTTAAATGCATCTTTCCATACAGACAAGTGGGGTCCAAATGCCACGGCCAAAAGTCCCTTGTGCGAAATGGTCATGCTTGAAGCTGGCCTAGGTGTGTAGTATTCTTGAAGTGTTTTATATGTACGAACATCCCATACCTTCATTTGTCCATCCAAACCTGAAGTCGCCATATACCTGTATTTTATAAGATGAGTTCAGTTTTGACTAGTTTATGCAGTAGTGCAAGAATTCTACTCGATACATACGTCCCACTCTTGTCAATCGCCATTGCAGAGACAGGGCCATTGTGGCATAACATTTTTACCAAAGGAGAAGACATTGTGGGTGACCACATTGTTACAGTGCCATTTGCATGACCCAAATGAAGGATCGCGTTATATGGGTTCTGTACCATTGTAGCACATCCTCCAAGTTTGGTACGATGCTCAGCAACCAATTGTCCAGTGGACGTGTCTTGGTACTTGAGAAACCCAGCATTTCCCTAATATCAATATGATTGCATGAGTAGATGATTTAATGATTGCGACTCAATACAAACTTGATCGTTTCAGAAAATAAAATCTACTTACCACCGATGCCAGTAGAAAATGGTAGGGCAAAAACTCGAGCACATTGGCTTCGATATGATCACGCAAACAATGCAACTCCATACCCGTTTTGTCATAAATGTATGTATACTTTTTTTGGGCTACGGCATACATGGTTTCATTGTGAAGCCACTTTACGTCTTTTACAGTTTCGCGAAGCTGAATCTCGCTAGAAAGTTTTCCTGTCTGCCAGTCAAAGCTAGCCACATGGCCTTTACGACCACCAATAAGTAAATGCCTATTGAAAAAATCAGTACAACGTTGTTGAATCAGCGTAATAGATCCATATAAACAATGAAATAACGCACCTGCCGTTTGCAGTGTAATCTACCATGTATGGTCCAAAAGTGGGTAAATTCAACTCAAACATCTAAACCATTGACAACATTATATCACCAGAAATACACTTGAATCAGCTATCCAAACCATTGCATCGGTTTATAAATCAAGCATATTATTGCATGTAGCATGCAATCAGATAACTACTCACTTTACGAGAGGTATTTACGTCCACATGCTTTTTGAGCTCAGATTGACGAAACTTCCATGTGCGTTCCATGCCTTCAGGTTCAAGATAGCCGCTATCCTCTGTAAGCAAAAGCTCCGATTGTGCAGCTTGATGAGCAGCATCGCTGAATCTTTTGGTTGCTTGTCTTAATTTTCCTCGAAGTTTTCTATCTTGAATGCTCTACCAAAACAAAAACAAAAATGAGTATTGAACATGTAATAATCCATGAATGATTTTCAAATGCATTGCGTTATTTGAAATACAGCCAAACTATAATGGGTTTATAATCAATGATCCTTTTTCAAGCATACATGAACAAGCAATATAAAAGTGGTTTGAAACAAGACACTGAATGTATAGTGTAATCAATGCAATATTACATGATAGGATTACCTTGATGGGAATCAGTCCTTTGCTTCTTATGTATTTGGCAGCTGCTTTGTTATCCAGTTTCTTTTGAATCAACGCAGCCTTTTGTTTTTCCAATGCTGGCGTAGTACCTTGCTCATTCTTGACTGATTTGTCAGCCATGATTAATATATGTATGCAGTTATTTGATAAATCTGTATCTACGTGGTCAATTCGTTCAACAGTTGAAAGGTATTTTTTTATTTTCTTTTTCAATTTGGGTTGAAATTTTTTGGCCAAATACAAATTGGGTCAAAAGTGAAGATTGGACAAATGGCTGCAATTAACAGTAGAAACAATATTGTTGGTGTAAATCCAATTTACAGCCGTATTCAGTGGAATGCTATCCACAGTAAGTCCTTTTCTTTAAAACAAGTAGTGTTTAGATATTTGATACACACAGAACCCAATTATAGTTTTGAATGGGTCTCTTTTGGCAGGTATTGCACGATCGACAAGTTTAAACTAGACATTGGATCGACAATTCTCAAACTCTACTTTGCATCCTAACATCTCATGTTTGTACTCTTGTTAATGGTTCGTTTTACGTGAAACAGTTGGTCTAGGTCTTGTTGACTAGTGGTTGGAAAATATCACAGGATTCTTGGGTAGATTTCAACGATTTTTCTTGAATCTGACAAAAGCTAGCTTACTATCAATCCATGCAACTATGGCCAGTAATGGAACCAGTAAGACTGATGGAAAGCCTAGTAGCTACAAGTTCAGGTAATCCCACTTGACAGTGGATTGCTTCTCATGGGTTGGACCTTTAAAGTCAAATACAATAATGCTAACTCCAACCGACGGTTTTTACTGCAAGACGGAACCTGGAGTTTGAGGCACAAGGTACACCCAACTTTCTCAAAATACTACAGAATGGTGGAGTAGCTCAAAAGACAGATTATGGCACAGGAACATCGGCAGAGGTTGCACAGCGAGCCATGGAAGCAGAAGAAAAACAATGGCTGAAAGAGGAAGCCGAGTCAAGTACCGATTCCAAAAAAGCAGCCCATATATTGGGTAAGCGTAACGAAGATGAACAACCACAGATAGTTGTTGGAAAAGGAGTTACAGCACTTGAAGTAGACCAATTTTTTGGTGCTGATCAGTCGAGAGTGATGCAAAATACAACGGATGACATGCATGAGGATGAAGGCAAAGTCAGATACCGAAAGCCCAAACGAAGTCAATTGGTAAATGGCTCGACACATCCCAATAGCACATTAGCAGTACTCGGAAATAAACAGAAGAAGCAGACACTGAAGGGATTGGTGAGCAGTAAAGATCGAGTGTCCAAATCCAAGAGTCAATCTAAATCGCTATTGTCGTTTGATGATACTGAATAAAATCCGAGTTTATATAAATTAACGAGTCTTTTAGGTAATTGCAAAAGATCGCATAGCATGGTTGCTTTGGTGATGCTGTTTCGTAAACATTGATAGACTATCGATTTGAATGACAGGAACATATATGACTTATTTCTCCTGTATCACAACAATCCGATATGTTGATACGCCTGCTTTTTTCGATTCGGTATAGGATATCACTCACTTGGTATAACGACTGCTTGCAGAGTTTGATATTTAGTCTCGAGTCTACGCTGGCCTGAAACAATCATGCAATTTTACAAATGAATATGATTTTGAATGTTCAACAGCAGCTTGTTTGAGGTCTTTGTGCTCGCTCTTGTACAAAAATATAGAGCGAATGTTTACATTTCTGTTCCACACCCTTGGTATCTTTTCAACCAACTTTCCTCTCCTTCAAACATTGTATGACCGGCGCGGAAACAACTATTGAGTTCCTGATATGTTGGACTAGAACGCAAACGTATCTGATATTAGAATAGAGTTTCAATAAAAGTAATCTATTTCCAATAACAACGAATATTTTAATAATTGCTTATTCCAAAGCAAAATAGTTTACGTGAACACGGCTATAAAATGGTTTCAAATTTTTACCCCATTGTCACTAACCATAACATTGATTTTGTGATTATTATTGTTGATAACCATGTTGAATCAATCGGACTATCAGTCACTTCCCGATTCAGAGAATGTATCTAGTCATGTCACTGTCCATCGTTCTACTACCAAGCCATATTGCGGCCGCCTAATGATTGGTATTCTGATTTCGCTCTTGGCTACTACTGCTCTGGCAAACAGTAAGTTTAGGACTCGATATATCATTAAGCATGTGTCTATTGGGAGTGGTTTGCTTATCATTGATGAGGGCATTCATGCCAATAGTTTTAACATACGAATGGCAGAAAGCATTTGCGTTATTTTGAAAGGCTGGCCTACACAGTATCTAACCATTTTACATATTTCCAAACCATGAAATAGTGCTAATGTTTTTCCAAAACTCGGATACCCTTCTTGAAGCTGGTAAGTTGATGCAATTTATCCGTGTTCATAAGCATTGCGGTATGCATGTCATGAACAGAGCCTGACTTGAGTGGTCTGCAATAATTAGGAAGGAAGAATGGACTTGTATCTGCCATGAACGGCGTCGTTGCAACTGAGCATCCAATCTGTTCCGAGGTTGGTGTCCAAGTACTAAAAGAGGGTGGATCTGCTGTCGATGCTGCTGTTGCTGCTGGTCTATGTATTGGTGTTACGAATATGTACAGTAGTGGTATTGGTGGTGGTGGTTTTATGGTTATCCGGAGCAAAAATGGTGCTGCTGAATATATTGATTTCAGAGAAGAAGCACCTGCAAGATCGTCCAAGGACATGTTTAAGAGTGATCCATCCAAGGCTCGAACTGGTGGACTTGCTGTTGGTGTTCCAGGAGAGTTGTATGGCTACTGGACTGCTCATCAAAAGTAAGGAATTGGCTGTATTTTTGGCATGAATGTACAAGTAACTGATTTTCATCAACTCATTTGATTTTCAAGATACGGAAAACTTCCTTGGGCTAGATTAGTCCAGCCATCGATTGATCTTGCCAAGCATGGGTTTCTGATCAACACAGATTTAGCTCAGCGTATAAAGATTGGAGAAGCCATGATCATGAACAGCCCTCCCTTTCGCAGAGAATTTGCGCCAAGAGGTCGCATCTTGCGTGTCAATGAAGTTCTATATCGTCCAACGCTTGCTCGTACGCTTGAAACCATTGCTCAAGATGGTATTAATTCTTTTTATCGTGGATGGATTGCTACGTCGCTTGTTGCAACTGTTCAGCGTAATGGTGGAATTATTACATTGAACGATATGGCTGCTTATAGACCTGTCCAATCTCGGGCCCTCGAGGGAACATTCCGTGGTCGTCGTGTTATTACTACTCCACCGCCAACCTCTGGTCCTGTTATGCTTTCAATTCTTAATATTCTTGAAGGCTACGATTTTTCTTCTGCATCGCCCCGCAACTATCACACCATGATGGAAGCCTTCAAGTATGGATACGCACAGCGCTCCTACTATGGTGACCCAATTGATCCCATTTATCGTAATATTAGCAGAATTGCACGAACCAATATTCTCAAGTCTACTGCCAATCGTATCCGTCAGGGTATCAATCCAGGTCGCACATTTGAGCCAGACCATTATGAAGCAGCATATGATGTCTTGACCGATCACGGTACCATGCATTTATCTGTTCTTAATGCCGAGGGAGAAGCTGTTTCACTTACTTCGACTGTCAATCTTCTTTTTGGATCAAAGATCATGGACTCTAATACAGGCATCATTCTTAACGATCAAATGGATGACTTTTCTATTCCAGGCACGTCCAACGCATTTAATTTGGCTTCCTCTCCATACAACTATATTCATCCAAGAAAGCGACCCCTTTCTAGCAGTGTGCCGACCATTATTGAATCGAATGGAAAAGTTGAAGCTGTCGCAGGAGCTAGTGGAGGAAGTATGATTATTACATCTACGCTTCAAGTGCTAGTAGGCATGTTGGAATGGGGAATGAACCCAGCAGAAGCTGTTCATATGCCTAGAGCTCATCATCAGCTTCTACCCAACAGAGTAAGTATCTGAGCTTTATTCAATCAAGATTTGATCCTGTACTAAATTTAATTGTTTTTAGGCGGTGCTTGAATATGCTTTTAATCGTGATACAGCCAAAAGTCTAACATCTAAGGGACATGTTATAACATGGTTTGCTCAAAACGAACACCGTACAGGTGTTCAAGCCATTAAACGACTACCCAATGGCGTCTTACAAGCCTCGTCTGATTTCCGCAAAGGTGGTATAGCTGCAGGGTATTGATGAAAGGGTTGACAGTATGCTATTTACAGCCATGTTTGTGTAAAATGGAACACTCTTTTGTACCTATCTTGCAGCGATTGTTTCTTTCTGTTTTGGAATAAATAGGAGTTGAATACTCAATGTACTTTTTTAATACAATGGACTACCTTTTCAACTAGCATACTATGCATTGTATGACCAATTTAAAATCAAATATTGGGGTTCAGTGCTTTGTAGAATTAGAGACAACAAAAGTGGGATGCATTGAACCAGTGATGTATGTGCTGAGTTGGTGTTCCATTTGACGCAAATACGGCGTAAACAACTCCTTATCTAAACAGACCAAACGAATTACATTTGAATGTATTCATGTAATGCAACATGGGTGTAGATACCATTTTAAACTTTACAATATACATAAAACTAAAAGTTTATTTTCCTTTGAGAATGTATTTTGGAGCCTGCTACACTTTCACCACTTTACCCATGCAGTACTCATCTGATTGAATGCATAAGCAGGCGGGATAAAACGAAACAACGCACCAGGCGTTCCTCAATCATTCCACATATTTAAGCCGCATATACCAAAAAAGCTCAACGTAGAGTGAGTAAAGTAGTAAGGCATATCAATGGCACCAGGCCAGGATTGAAAGTTGAAACAGGACAAAATAGGTATAATGGAAAAGTAGGACAATCAGAACTAAAAATCAATGGTAATATAGCATACATGACACTTTAAACAGATATCACAAATCGGTTGATGGTGTAACCACCCATGGTGTGTAGAGCAAAGCAGATCCATTGCTGGCATAATCCTTGGTCTGTTCCACACCCGATACAGAGCCCTGAGAAATCAAATCTATTTTGTAAGCTTCAGAAGGGTTTTGCATTGATAGTTGAGGAAACGACTGAGAATTGAAGGATTGTTGTTGAAGCTGCTGCAACTGCTGCAGTTGCTGATGTTGCAGTAGCATCTGCTGATGCTGCTGATAGGACTGACGGTAGGGCTGCGACTGGATGGCTTGGTACATCCCCTGAGTATAATCGGGAAGCGAGATGGTTGAGCCAGATTGCTGAGACATAAGATCAAACTGTTTCGACTGCATGGGATCGTGCTGAATCTGGTACTGTCTAGATATATCTGACATGTTCCCGGAAGCATTAGCATTGATGGAAGACAGAGTAGAGTTGGCACCACTAGAAACCCCTTCGACACTATAATTGGGAAGCATGGATTGCCCTTGCTGATACTGCATGGAGCCATTCGTATTGAGGGTTCCAGTAGGTTTGGTGGGATGCGAGATGTGAGCCATGCTTTTAGGACTGGTGGTTCCAGAGTGAGACATGTTCATTGTTGCAACAAATGGATACTGAGCATGATGCATGTGTTGGTATGGATCATTCTGTGTCATGTGTTGTTTCTGAGACACTGCATCAGTAAGCGGTGTCTCATCCAATTCCATATGAATACGCTCGTGTTTGCGCAAGGATCGCGAATGAAAGTACGCTTTTCCACAGCCAGGTGTCTCACATATATACGGTTTAACACTTGAATGGGTCCGAATATGAGTGTTTAAACCATCCAGTCTAGAAAATGTCTTGCCACAGTCCTCCATCGTGCAAATATATGGTCGCTCTTTGGTGTGGATGCGAACATGATTTTGAACCTTGTGTCGTTTGGTGAATGGTTTTTGTAAACGAGTGCAGTTACGCCATTGGCAAATATAAGAAGCTTTACCACTGCCCATGTGGTCATTGACATGAGCAACCAATTCAGAAGCAGTATCGAATTCCATTTCACATGTATCCCATTTGCATTTGCAAACATCGTCTTCTTCACCATCTACTTCCTCTAATGAAACGCTATTTAGTTCTTTAGAAATAAACTCTGTAGATGAGTGGAGATCGGATTCATGGTTGATGTTATCTCCTGGGTTGATGCTATTTCCTGGGTTGATGCTATTTCCCGAGCTCATGTTATTTCCCGAATTCATGCTATTTCCCGAGTTCATGTTGCCAAGCAAAGTAGAAGTCTGGTTCTTGTCCATCAACACACTGTTTAAATCATTCGATTGACTACGCATAAACTGTCGAGCCATTTCACTGTCTGCAATATGACCACTAAAAGTAGGGAGAGCGCCAGCTGGATTCAAATCTATGCCGTGTGTTGTAGTGGATCTGGCAGCAGCACCAGATGAAATAGTGTTTGACATGCCCGAGGCAGAATCTTGCTGCTCAATTTGCATAGTAACAAAGTTGTCCAAAAGAGCAACTTCGGCAAGAGAAAGCGGTTTTATGCCATTTGGGGTTTTCATGGCAGGTGTTTCAGGAGTCGAGTCAATATGTATGGAATCGCCTTGTGTAGAAATGGATAGTGCAGATTTTCTGCAAGAATCAAGTATCATTGGATCTAATCATAGTATCCAGGTTGATATTGAATTACAAGTTAGACAATAAGTTAGTATGGAGATTCAATTGAATTCAAATGCATGAGTGGATCGTTTACTTGATACAACTTACTGATAATATCATCAGAGTGAGCCGATCCCAGTCCATGATTGGATAGCTGACCATAAGTCTGTGATGAAAAATCAACAGGTTGAAATAGTACCGAACCAGCGGAAGCTACCAAGGAAGTATCAGCAGCAGTAGCCGGTGTGATAAGATTGTTATTTGTAGTCGCATTTGCAAGTGATTCAGCAGTTCCGGATAGAACCTGCATCTGCTGCTGTTGATATTTCTGAAACTGCTGCTGCATAGTTAATGGATCGAAATGGCTCATTGATCGAATACGACGATGACCAGAAGCATTGGCACTTTCTACCAAACGAGCCTGACTCAATGCAGCCGAAGTTAATGCAAATTGATGCTGTAGCTGAGTAGCATTATTGGAATCAGACAGTATCATTTGCAAGGAGTGAGGAATTGTGTAGGATGCAGAACCATGCAAGCCTAACGCCTGCTGCTGATTTAAAGCACCCAACTGCTGATTCAACTGTTGCTGATGAGATTGATTATTTGAAGAGCCTCTTCGTTGAGCAAGAGCAGCTTGTACCATGACAGACGTTTGGTTTGCAGCGGAGCTAGAACCTTGGAGGCTATGTTGCTGACTCAAACTATGTGATACTGGATTTAAATGGCAATGCAATAAAGCAGAAGCATTAGAGGAATGAGAGATACTGGCAGGAGAGAGAGGATTTACACTAGCTGAGCCCTGCTGCATAGAAGGGCCTTGTAATCTATCACTTGATGAGCTGTGTTGAAGCGATCCATTCTTGTGAAGTAAAGAATAATGACCCAGCGAGTGCAGTTGAGCACGAGAAGCATTTGAATGCAGCATGCCAGACACAGACAAAGCCTTACGATGACCTGTAGGATTACCACTATGGCTAGAGCTAGTAGTCATGCCGAGTACATTGGGATTACTCGACCCCATTAGGGGTTTTTCAGGAATTCCAGTGAGGGAAGACAGTCTACGGTGTTTACTATGAGAACTTCTCATGACTGCAGGTTCTGAAGGTAGTGAACCAAATGGAGAAGTGAGTTCCAGTGGAGGGTGGTCGGCAGACAGAGCAGATAGGTGCTGCAAGTTATGCAGTTGAAACGGCTGTTGTATTGGCCAATCCATAGAAAGAGCTGTAGTGACGGAAGGATCATTCATGTCTGACGACAGAGTAGTAGAAGTCATTCCAGTGTCAGACTGATGATAACAATGTCTGCAATGATAGTAAGTAGAGAAGTGTCTAGTCAATCCAATACAGTTAGCGACAAAAGGGATGATAACGGAGAGAAAAAATCGGAAAATGAAAATTGGGAAATTGCAAGCGGCCATCCAGCATTTGGGTGGTACTTGCATGAAATTCAACCACTTTTGTGATCGGATTTGGCTTTTGATTAACAATGATGTTTCGTAAATATCGGTAATTGTTGATTTGAATAAGAATACAAATCGTGTCTTTTTACTATAATAATTCGAGTTGATACAACCAGTTTACTACAATCTTAACTTGTTGATACAACCAGTTTACTACTACAATCTAGTTTCTCTCGGTTCAATATAGGACGTCATTCTTGTTCTGACACGAGTTTCAGCGTTTCATTTGGTGTACGCTAAAACAATCGTGCAATTTTACAAAAGGCTCTTGCTTTTGAAATGCTGTAATAGCAACCTACTTGATGCTATTGGAGTGTCTACTAAACATGATAAAAGTAGAGTGTTCTATAAAACCAAAAACATGTTTTTGACATTCTCATTTCCATGGTCGCTAACTGCAAAGTTCACGTCTAAAAGCAGTGTTTCAGAACTTTATCTGCTATTCACGCATGGCTTTAGAGGCTTTGGATGCTCTAGAAGCTCTGCTGTCTGAATCTCTATCGGATCGCCCTGTTCATCTCATCCGTCCGTTTCTGTCTACTGGAACCACTGTCTGCAATCTACAACTTTTACGCTCCATTGAGCCCTGTAAGTGCTGCTCCTGTGTTGGATTTTACAGCTGTTTCTTACTGTTCTGTTAGTATGTGGTTTATCTGTTTCCGATTCAACTCCTCACTGCAGTCGTCCGTTGACTCCGCTCTCTGTCAATCCTATTGCTCTCAAACATGCTCTTGTCACTACTCTTGAAAGCATTACTTCCAAACTGCATCTTGCGTTACAAACTCTACAGTCGGATCTGTCGTTGTTGGATCCTCCCATCTTTTCTGCTGCGACCGTCGAGGTATTTTTGCCACTTCAGTTCTTTTGTTTATATAGTCAATTAACTTTATCATTAGAACCGGAGTTTTGTTTTAGATTCATTGACTCCCATTCATCGTATTGTCGGTGCTTGTGTTCGTTCGGCTGCTGATCATATCACTCCTGAAAACACCAGATGCATTCTTGAAAGATCTATTGAACTCACTACGCTGGATCTTGGGTATATTCAATAAATGTCAAAATACATCGTTGGTTTGAATCATGCCATTGACTTTTTAATTGAATTTATAGGATCCAGTTTTATGCTACCGAACCTCTTAATAATACTACTCCTGCCACCGTCACTCTTTGTGGAACAATCTTTGTTATTGATGCAAGTACATTCTTTATAATCTGATCTCAAGTCGTCTTTATTCTATAGTCTGACTTTTTATCTGCTTTATAGATTGAGTTTGGAAACGACTCGCATGTTTCCAAAGTCAACTTGTCTATTGCTTCTAGCGTGAATTTAACTAATAGCGTAAGTCGTTTGAGTTTATAGTCACTGTTCTGTATTAATTCCAGTTTTAAACTTTATAGCAAGCCGAATCTTTGATTTTGGATCAATTGAGGTAAACCACACCTTTGTGTTGTTCATAACCTTTGACTTACTAAACCGTCAACTTAGACTGCGTAAATTGAACGATTTTAAGCAGACACTTGCGCTACTTTCCTTTCTAGATACCACATCAATACCCGGTCAGGTTGATCTATTTCAATGTATTAGCTGGATTGAGAAGGACTTGTCAGATATCTTTGCATTGGAGATGTAGGTTTTTGTTTTTAAACCCCAAACATACTTGGCATTGATTGTGTTTACACATTTAGGAGCATGCCTGAACAGACTGTCGGGACCGTTATGGTTAGTGGCCATGGCGTGCCTCGTTTCCATCAAGAGCAGTGGGGTCCTTCCATTCTCTACTGGTGTCATCCTTCGCGTACAGATATCTTGCAAGGTAATTTAGCATTGTTTAGATAATCATTGTAGACGCTACTCTTAACTTTTTTTGAGTAGATCCAATTACTGTATCCAAGGAAACTGAATCCAAATGCATTTACAAGGCATTTGTGTCGATGGAGCACAGCACTGAGACAGTTTTCCTTGCACAATCATGCACACAGTATCTCATTACACCATCCACTCAAGCCGATGTAGATATACTGGGATCGTCTTTACCCACATCAATGAGTTTAGGCGGAAATCTGTTGAGGTTTCTTGATCCTACACATGCAAATGCTTGTACTGCCAATGCATCGTTTGTGCTGCAACTAGCTCCTCCAATTGTGGTTACTCTTGAAGCTGCAAAAGAGTTGATGCGTATTAACAATGACGGAATGGATGGATCTGACAATATTTTTGAATCGTATACTGATTTGATGGTGAGTTTAGTTTGTGTTTTCAAATATAATGTTTAATATTAACAATACAATAATATTTGAAGAAACAATACACACCTTTACAGCAATCAATATCAATCAAGAGTAAAATTCAACAGGATCAATCTTCAGTATTTGCATTTCCAGAATCGATTTTGAAAACACCTGCCTTGATTGCATCTCGTATTCCATTCACATCACCAGTCCAGCTATCTAGAATTTACTCTATTTTGCGTCAGCACATTGTTTTTCAGCACTTGTACTGCAGTATGTTTACCCCATTACCCACAGGTAAATTAATCAACTGTTTCGAGTCGAGAGTAGATTTATTTTGACACCAACTCACAACTTTGATGACTGGGTTTGAACTATATGCATTGCTAGACCATCGACAATATACATTCGACGTGGTGTATTGGTGCCCGCCCGTATCGATTGGCATTTCATTTATGTATTCCATTGCGCCTTATGCATTTCAAATGCATACTAAAGTGGATACGCAAAATGCACACGTAGATGTCGAATGCCTCTGCGCATCACAATCTGAAAATGGAATGTCAGAAGCAGTTGAATGGGTTTCGTTGAACCTAAGTAATAGCGAACATGTTGAAATCAAAGAGGCAGTCGGACAGTCATTGAATATTATGTTGGGTATAGCAGCATTCAAGCGAATATTGGATTCGAGGGAATCTATGATGCAGGAATAATTAAATTTCTGCTTTCCCAATGCCGTATATCAATACTACAGTCGTATTCATGTGAAATGCAACACTAAATAGGAGTCAGTGCATAATAAACAGCCAATCCCACGAAATGGTGATTTACCAAATCTACTGAACAATATGTGTTTTCTAAACGAATGTTTGGAGCTACACATGGTTTGCCAACCATTGAACAAACAGCAATGTCGCGAGATGGAGCTTTATACTGTTCATTTTTAAACGATTCAGAAAATCATTCAAGTATAATAAAAAATGGTTTGTATGGTGTGCGATTCCAGATACTGAATGTATATTGAAGAAGCAGTCGATTGTATTAGGAAAATACAAGGAATATCCAACTTATTGCATTTCAAAAACAGGCAATCTGCAAGTGTTACATGAATACAACTGTAGTTGCGGTATTTGGTCTTTTTCCATTGAGCTGCAGTGCCTTGTCAAATAATTTCCTGCCGTATTTCATCGTGTCATCAAAACACTTGCAATTGGCGCTTGGCTCAATCTTGAAGATTTAAATTGGATTTTTCCTTGCTACTTTGAGTTTATACTACTCAGTTCAGCCATTCAATGGATAAATTCAGACCTATTCTCCCTCTCACGGTCGCTGCTGAAAACGTTGGTGTCTCGATCGAGTCTTTCTCCTGGTGGAACTTGTTTACTGGTCAATCCGCTGCATTTCGCGCATTATCAAATGTTTCGTTTAATGCTGCCCCAGGCCAAGTTATTGCCATCATGGGTGCTTCTGGATCTGGAAAGGTGTTGTTTGTCTTGGTTATAATTCAACTGGGCACAACATTCCCATGATGCTAATTCTGATGTATCATTGATTAATTCATGCCTTTCCATGCAGACTACTTTGTTGCATATGCTTGCTGGTGAGTCCCTGCGCTATACACCATTCTCTTTAAACTGGCAATACTTGCTCAATGTTGGGGTTGCCTTTTAATCGTTCATGTTTAAATGGCTAGGGCGGATTCAAAATGCAAAAGTCGATGGCAGTGTCACGTTTGATGGTCAGCCACCACAATCTTTTTATTCTAATGGATCGGTAGGATACGTTCAACAGTATGGTAAGATACCAAGCTCCATCACACTGCAGTCAAATTTTCAAGGCTTTGTTATACATGATTGCTCATTCTGCTGGTTCCATTTTCAAACATAGACTATTTGATGCCTTATCTGACTGTCAGGGAGACTTTGCGATATTGTGCTGAACTGCGACTTTCCAAAACTATTGCCCACCACGAAAAACTCAATTTGGTAGAAGAGGTTATTCTTGAACTGGGCCTCAAGGAATGTGCAGACACGATTATTGGTAATGATTGGCGAAAAGGCATTTCTGGTGGTGAAAAGCGTCGAGTCTCTGTAGGTTGTGAGCTATTGCTTAACCCTTCTGTGCTTTTTATGGACGAGCCTACTACCGGTCTTGATTCTTTTACTTCTTTGAATTTAATGGAAACATTGGTGAGCCTGTCTCGTCGCGGACGCACTGTATTGATTTCAATCCACCAACCACGAAGTGACATTTTTAAGCTATTTGATTCCGTCATTTTACTGGCTAAAGGAATGCCAATCTATGCTGGAAAAAATGGTCCAAAACTCATCCAACACTTTGCAGATCTTGGGCATTTTATTCCTGAAAACACGAATCCAGCCGATTCATTGATTGATATATGTAGCATCAATACTCGTAGTGAGCAGGAAGAGATTAGAACACTCAAGGTTGTTGAGCATTTGACCAGTACTTGGGCCGAGTTGGTCAAATCTGATAAACATCTCGACTATGCTTACAAGCCTCGTGTTGAGATGGTTGACCCTTTTGACAACTCAACTGCATCCATTTTGACCGAGAGTACTCCAAATGAAATGTTACAAACCACTACTGCTGACTCTCTATCCATGCCCAAACGCTTGCCAATATCAAGTAGCAGACATTCGGGTGCCTCCACTCTCTCTCAATGTGCTATTCTTACTCGTCGTGCATGGAACAATCTACTTCGAGACAATTTGTCTTTATGGGGATCACTCATTGAAACCATTGCCGTTGGTTTAATTTTTGGTGCTATTTTTTATCAGCTACAGGATACACTTTCGGGTGTATTTAGTCGTCGCGGTGCACTCTATATTGCATCTTCCATTCAAACCTATCTAATGCTAATTTTTGTTATTTACAAATTAACAACTGACATAAAAGTTATGGATCGTGAGCGTGCTGATCACATGTATGGCGTTGTTCCATATGTATTTGGACAGTTTATGTCCCAGCTTCCATTCAATATCATCTTTCCATTGATTTACTCTGTGATTCTAGTAAGCTTTTTGTGGTGTTTAGATTTGATTTACAAGTTTTATATTCAATTTAGCATATCATTTTGACTTGGCTGACCAATCTAAATGCATATAATGATATATTTAGTATTTTATGATGGGTCTACGCACAGATAACCTTGCATTCCATTTTATTAATTTTGCTGCTGCAAATTTACTGGGCCATTGGGTTATTATTGGATACTCGCAATTTTGCGTTTCCCTTGCTCGAGATTTTGCCACAGCATCACTGATTGGAAGCGCCATGTATACATTCTACTCCTCATCCAGTGGGTTTTTTGTTCAGCTTGAAACCATTCCAATATATATTAAATGGATTAGCAAAATTTCGTTTCTCACCTACCAGTATCGACTAATGATCTCCAACGAGTTTTCAGACAACACGTTTGCATGTGCAGATGCAGGTGCTCCGTGTAGCGGCAACAGTATTCTTCGCAGTATGGCGATTGATGTGCATGATTATCAAACCCCATTGATATCGCTGCTACTTATTTTTGTAATCTTCATGGTGGTTTCAACTATTATTTTACAATTTTTAAATGTGAATCATAACAAGCATGCAGGGACCGTAAAATCAAGCATTAAAATGCTTGTTAAAGATGAGGATGCAGAACTGGGTATTTCTGATTCTCACAGCAATTCCAAAAATCATCATTCCAGCATACATGTCAAGATTAAAAGTTTGACGCTGCAACTGACAATCAAATCAATAATGCCATCTACGCCTACTATTAAAAAGGTCTTGTTGGATAATGTGACAACAAGCTTTCCTCCCAACTCACTTTCAATTATTATGGGTGGTAGCGGAACAGGAAAATCAACACTACTATCTGTTCTTACTGCACGCAAACTGAAAATCAATGCCATGTCCAAACTGGATCAGACTGGTACTGTTATGTTTAATGACATTCCAGAAAATAATCCGGCTCGCATTGCTTCTGTGTGTTCATTTGTTCCACAAAGTGACTCTCATTTATTGCCTGCGCTGACTTGTCGCGAGACATTGCATTATGCTGCTATGTTGAGGCTGCCATCTGAGTGGACCAAGAAACAGAAGCAAGACCAAGCAGAGCAAATTTTGGCTGTTTTGGGATTGCGTCATTGTGCAAATACAGTGGTTGGCAGCGAGTTTCGAAAGGGTATATCTGGTGGTGAGAAACGTCGTCTGAGTATTGGTGTGCAAATGCTGACAGATCCGAGTGTGTTGGTGATTGATGAGCCAACAAGTGGATTAGATGCATTCACTGCCCATCATATCATGCTCACTCTCAAAAATTTGGCTCAATCTGGCCGTACTATCGTTTGCTCCATCCATCAACCTCGTAGCGATATTTTCTCCATGTTTGACCATATTTTACTTTTGGCTCGTGGTGGTCGCGTAGCTTATTCTGGTCCTGCTTTGCAGATTATGCCCCATTTTATTGCTTTGGGGCATGAACTTCCTGCATTCACCAATCCAGCAGACTATATTTTGGATATAAGCTCGATAGATTTTAGAAATGCCAAAGCCGAAGCCACGACTCGTGTTCAAGTGGATCATATCGTTGACTATTGGAAATCATGCACACTTTCCACCACTTTGGATCTAAACGACACCAAAGCTGATGTCAATGGTTCAAAAAGTGCAGAAGCAGATGGATCTTTGGAGATTAAGCCACGAAAAAAAACATCCTTCTTCAATGCATTTTATGTGCTGTCCATTCGCAGCATAGTGAATACCCAGCGTCAACCTCTTCTTGTTATTGCTCGCATTATGCAAGTCGTATTTCTTGGTATTATACAAGCCATTTATCTCCCAAATCAGTCTTACAACCAAACCAGTATTCAAAACCGTATAGGTGTCCTTCAACAAACAGTTGCAGTTCTTTTTGTCGGTCTTCTCAATTGCGTTGCTGTTTTCCCTCCTGAACGTGATCTCCTGTATCACGAATTCGCTGATGGTGCATACACGCTTGGTCCCTTTTTCTTTGCATACAACCTTATAGAAATCCCTATTGAAATCGTTTCGGCTTTGCTGTATTCGCTGTTCATCATGTTTGCTATTGGTTTAAATACAACACCGGTGACTTATATGTGCATGGCATTATCAGTATTTTGTTTTGTGAATATCGGCGAAAGTATCGGGATTGCTTTCTGCTCTATTGTCAATCATGTTGGATTTTCCGTGTCGTTGACGAATTCCGTTCTAGGTATATTGAATACTCAATTCTTGCATTCAACAACACGATTAATTCATACTCGTCTACTTTTTGATCCTATTAGGTGTGTTTGTTGTTATGTCGGGTATGCTTTCATCCAATATGCCGCTGGTTCTTGATCGCTTGAATCGCATCTCACCCATCCCGTACCTTACACGATTGATGGCTATCAATGAATTTCAATCCAATGTGATTTACACTTGCACGCAACAGGAAATTCTGACTGGGACATGCATGTATCACACGGGGTCTGACGTTTTAAAGCTTCTCAGTGGAAGTACAGATACTATGGCATTTGAAAGCAACAAATTTGTGCTTTATATTGTTGTTGGATGTGTGTTGGCTGTTGCGTATCGACTGATAGCATATATGGTGTTGCTATTCAAAGTACGCATGTAAATTCTACAAACTATTATGCATTTTAGATTTTGAATAAAGTTTGGGGTTTAAATATATCGTGTTTTTTGAGGATGATGGATCAAAAACGAGTTGATGTATAAAAATAAAAAACGCAAAAGTGGAGAACCTGAGCATTGATCCCAGTGCCTCTCGCATGCTAAGCGAGCGCTCTACCATTTGAGCTAGATCCCCATGTCTTCTCAACTACACCATCTGTATATATTCATAACCATGTGTTGCATTTACAATAAACCATTTGTATTGTTGGTTTGCATCTTGCTTTGGGCTGCACAATCTTGGATATTTGTTGTACTTGCTACAGATCGACATTCTCAATCCTTTCAAACATAGCGTCCACCATAATACAGACTATAGTTGTAAACAGATTATCCTCACTTGACATAGTCATCCTATTGAGCTTTATCTACCTGTTTATGACACAACATTGTTCAATACATTGACAACAACCATGCCATGACACTGTTTATTGTGCTTTGGTATCCCTATTTAGTGTGCCATTTACATGAATGTTGCTGCAAGTGTATCCAAAATGGGATTTATATTCTCACAGTAAAAACTGGAATGCTATCACAGATATTACTCAAACCAAGAGTTGTCGCAACTATTATGCTTTAACTAGAGTAGATAAAAGAGTTGAGAAATGTAACAGCCTAAAAACAACCGTCATGTTTTAGCATTTGCACTGTAAGCCATTTGTTACAATGTGTAAACCAAAGTCATGTCTAGTGTCTGACCAACTGGTTGTTTGGATCAAAACCGTGTCTGTTCAAGTTGATGATGCGATAAACCAAGAAATACATCAAATCTCGGTAAATGCTGTCACACTTTCCAGGTTGCTGAGACTCACATTACGCACAACTTGACATGAATGGCAATGTTGATGTCGAGACTGTCAATGTATTACAATGTATTGGTCAACAGTGACTGCGATCAATGACAATATTGCAGTCGATCCAATTCATTTGTTGACACACACATGAATGTCAATACTCGAATCAATGTGTTGACTGGAACAATCACCATCCACTTGTCAGATTCAGCATGCCATTGACCGTGTTGCAATACAATTGACCAACATATCATGTTGTATGTTGTATCGAGTCACGACATACAATATTATTGACTGAACACAGGTCACAACTGCAAGTATTCATATGGTAATGGATTGACATTGCCGTTGATATCCAATTGATTGACTAGTCGATCATCATCAATTGCATCAGTGATTGGTATATGCAACTGATATACACCATGTCCGAGTCTGATACATGTCGATATATGCGTATCAATCAGCAATGCAGATTTGTGGCTATTACAGTCGAATGTGATCACAAACTGTGTAAATGTGAGTCGAGTCGATCACTAAACTAACAAATTAATGATTGCATTGTAAATATCTGTAATTTGTCCGTGTCAAAGCAACCCAGTGATTCAAAAAGCACATTCATTTGAACATGAAATCTTGGCAATTATAATCGTATCAAGTATATTCAATTGGAATATCTGATGTGCAATGGCTTATTGAATGGCAGATATGTTGCTAGATATGCGTGTATTCAGTTGCTGCATGACTCGTATCTGGATAATACAAATTCAAGGTGTCTGCTTCAACACAATTAGCATTAATTGTCACTGGTGTGTTGGATTTGGTAATTGATTTGAACCTATCAAGTAGTGCAGTAATATCTTGCTGATATCCAACTCATTTCAACGCAATATCAGTGTTCAATCTGATTCAATATCAATTACTCACACAATTTCATGCAAATTAGGAAAATGATTACATTGAACCCAGCATGCTACACATCCACCATTGAATCAATATGGTATTAACATGGTAACAAGTATATACCAAGTGCAGATAAAAAACGATCAGATCAGTGTTTAATTATTATATTTCCACCAAAGAATTGTAATGTGCTCCAAGTCCATAAGCCTTGCGATGATACGACACGATCAATGGTTTAGTATTCTTTGTTTTTTCACCAATTTCTAGAGTTGGTGATCCACTTTGTACAATATGGATTGGATGCTGCAGAGCTTGCGAAAGCGCTTGAATCTAACAAACGTATGCACTGGTTATACACATGTACTTGTAGAATACAGTCCAGCATATTACTCCAAAGTTTACCTCCAGTTGTCCGCCCCATACTGCTTCATCACATATTTTACGACAGTATTCATCAAACTCTTCTATAGTGATATTTTCAAATTAAAGCAAAGGCATTTGAAACCGTAAGTCAAATTAAATGGCGGTTTGACAATTTGAATATATAGCAACTCAACCATTTGTATACACGTTTCCGTCATCTGTGGCTAGAAAATTGATAAACTCATCACGATGATTCAACATGTAAGTGGATGCCAATTCTCTTAGATTCCGATAGTTCTTGTTAAATAAAAGTCATTAAAGATTGCAGAGGTAATGGTTAAAACAAATTGTAATCATTGACCATAGTGTCCATACAATATGCAATGTCAACTAGATTTACCCATGATGACTGTGAATCTACCAAAAGAAGTTGGTCTGCAATTGCATTATACAGACAGTGTCCATCTGGCGCAATCTGTATAATTGAACCAATAGCCAATGTAAATCAAAGAGTTTTTCCAAATGAAATAATGCTTTGAAAATAACAATACTTGTTTGATGGTCAAACCCATTTTTGAAATAACTTGGTCCATCGCAGTTTGCTCGATCGCTCTAAAATTAGGCGCATTTGCTGCTTCAGCTTCAGCTTCTAATCGCATATCTTCCCATTTGGCAGCCTTTCTTTCCTTTGAGTCATGTAATTGAATTTAAAATAGCATTAAAATGCTTGCTTGCATATGGTAATACCTGCATTTATGGGATACGATAACTACTTGCCTTTCTTTTGGCTTGTCTGCCTTTTTTAAACTTTGCAACAGATTCATCTTTTGAATCAAGAGTGATGTCATCCATGGCGTCTTTGATCAAGGCAACATTTACCTAAAACATGAACCAGATCAACACTTGACAAGCATTCAAATCTAGTCAATCAACAAGTGTAGTTTGCTACCTTTTCAGATTCACATTGAATATCACCTAACATGTTCAATAAATACTGTCAGACTGACATCAATACTCATCACATCTATCTATAAGCAATCAAGTACTGAATGTCACCATCTAAAATGGCGGTATCGGCAGCAATTTCTTGAGAATGACGCTCAGCCTGTTCATTCTGCAATTGAGCAATTTGATCCTGAACCTGTTTCTTCTGTAAGCTCAAATATGATGTTCATGTCAGAATATGATGCATAAATGGATGATCTTGCATGCTGTATGAATGAATTCAACTCTCATGAATCTGTTTGACTTGGTGACAAGTTTAAGCATGTAGTTTTGTAGTATGGGTCGTACCTGTGCCTTTCCTGATGCTCCTTTGGCAATTGTCTTTTTTAAAGCAGTGGTTTTGGCAATGAGTTCCTTGTTCTAGCCATTGTGCATGTATGTTTATTATTTTAATTCATGTTGAAAAAACAAAAGGATTGCATCGATGCATTCAAACACAATCCGTTTGATGGGTTGAATAGAATCCATGTTGACTGTAAAATGGTTATCAGTTATACCTCTTGTCTATGTCTAGCCAATAGCGCTTCATGAGCAACTTCCCGATCCGTCATATTACAGCTGGTAATAACGAAGATGAAAACAAGGAAAACTATTTCAGGTCAATTTCATGTTTTGAAACCATTTTGATAATAAGCTGTTGTCGCAACATCAAAAACTGTGAATTCTCTGTAAGATTGTACGATTGTTGGCGTACAAATTATATGCGAAACGCTGGAGATTGTGTTGATAAAACCAAATGAGAAACGCTGTTTTATATTTAATCGAAAGAAACTGCACGTCGTGGCAACAACTCGGATTATCGCTGCAATACAGGAAATATAAGCAATGGAGGATTCTGTCACTTGAATTGACGCTTTTTTATACAAACCAAACGTTACAAGCAAACATTGAGTGATTGACATGCAAACAGCAGTTGCATTACTGATGTCATGATTGTTGTTGAACTAGATTGCGATTGTATCTGAAATTTACACGCTAATTCATTATCCAATCTTGTCTGACATTATTGTTGGCTTTAGTCACATTTGGTTTGTACAACTGCCATGAGTTGTACTACCATTATCATTGTGTATCTGAACACCAAATATTCCAATACATCAATAATACCACAGTGTAAACAGTAATACAGTTGATCAGTATTGTGGCAAGACTTTTCATTCAAGTTTGTATTGGAAATATTCGATGGTTTAATCACCACATACTGTTTGTAATGCGATTTTCATTGATCTCATCTCATCTCAGTCCAGTCCATCTAATTTATGATGATGTTTAGTAATCCATTACCATGTGTTGTAGTAAACTAACTTGTTTATTGAACCAAATCTACAACGATCACATTCAGAATATTAATTTACAGTATTTCTAAATGCATGTTTGATAACAATCCAATTTTGTTACAAAAAACTGATCAAAACAATACTAAAATGGAACAACTCGTTTGTGTGTTTGACAACAATCCAAACATAAACAATTGTTGGCAATTGTTGGACATTCGCATGAATGAAATTGTCAAATCAAAATTCAACTTTACTAATTTTATCAAACATGAAGTTGGATGATAACATGAAAGAGTTGATTCAACACCTGGAAGATTTGAAACTGTTAACAACGGATGCTCAACTATACAAGGCTGAACAAATATGGGATAAACTGCTTGTATTGCTATTGGAGTTGAAAGAACAAGACTACAGTAAGTTTAATAGCCATTGGATTATCGATGAGTTCAAATCATTGCTGACTTTGCATTGGTTTGAAATGGCAGGCTATACAGATGTAGCGCCTCGCTTACAGAGTATTGAACTGCAAGATATCATAACCAAGTATTTGGAGTATAATCGACCCAGTTTACAGGTATTCATATATTGTAACAATAATGGATTGTTCATGACTAAACTAATCAACATGTGTTGTGCAGATCAAAGTAATGGAATTTACTGCAGTGTTTTTGAGTATGATGTACAGTTATGATCGGTTCAAAGTATCTCAACGACTAAGCAACCAACTTGCACAACTCATGCAATCACCAAACCGTCAAGTCAAAATGATGGCAAGTCATGATTGATATTGATCAAATGATTGTCATTCAACTCATCTAGTGTCAATATGCATATAGGCGATAAAAACATGTACAGAGTTTTACAGTTATAGACACTGGAGTGAGGAGTGTAAACTTGACATCAAGCCAATGGTTGAGATTATTGTTCACGAGTCTGATCAACAAGTGCTCACATTGGCGATTAACCTGTTCTTGCAAGTTTGTCATGATATTGACGATGAAAATGTATGTTTACAACAATACAATATTGGATCAGTTTGGATAGTGTCGAGTCTTGTTGATTGTATACTTGACATTGAACAATATCATTAGTTTGGCATCGTGGTATCAATACTTGTCTCACGACTGGAATCATCCAATGGTCTAGTTGCTGTTGGTTTTATCGAAAACTTTCAAATCATATTTTGTAATATTTATCCTCATGACCCAGTAAAAGCAGCGGGATGTGGCATCATTCCAGCACTGGTCAATACGCTCAGGTATGTGGTGTTATGCATAAATGTGTGTCCAGTCATCACAATTGGTAAATTTGACATGGTTGGATTGACATGACATGAATACAGGAGTGTCGATCAAGAAGTGATTTATAAAAGTATTGCTGCTATTCAGAGTTTTTACAATGTTACAGATTATGAAGTGATTTCAGCCGAGTTGATGGGACTGGATTTGATTCAAACACTGGACGACTTGTATATCAGATACAGCAACGACTCGGAACTAAAAACACGCATAATCAGAATGGCTGGATCAGCTGCATCCAAAATGCACGACTTTCCTGTATCGCTTGTACGATCGTTGGTTTTTGAGCAATTGACGATATTGATGTGTGATGTCGATATGAATGATCCTTTGCGTCTGTTTAATAATGTCAGCGACATGATTCAGAAATCTACAAACAAGGACGAGATGATCAAGGTGTTTCAAGAATATGGAATTGTAAAGCAACTCAACACTATTATTTCGCGTACAGATATACGTTTGTGTGATTCTGGTGGTATTGTAAAACTAATCAAAGCACTTGTTGATTTTGCCGACAATCATTCCGACAGTTCAATACGTACCGAGTTGGATCAAGGCGGGATATTTGAAAATCTAACGGCTATTGTAAAATCGGATACTGCTAAATACAGAAACAAAAGGGCTGCTGGCCAGATCATTGAAACGTGTTTCCAGCATCGGGTTCACGTTGCTAATTCGGACATTCAGTCATATGACGACAATGCCGAAATTGATACGAGTTCTGGAATGGCCGGAGATACACATGGACAGGCACGCACACTTGTCGAAATGCGGTATATCCAGTATCTGCAATCTATACTTTGCAAACCCATGTGGTGGATCGATATCACAAACCAGCATATTGTGGAGCAATGGAGGGCTGACTCACTCGATCGGAATATATCACCATCAACATTTAATCTTGCATTGGAACAACTCGGGGTTTTTGCCAAACAGCTTGTTTGTAATGGCAGTGATGGATTTGGCACAATTGTACCAGGACCTGTTGAACTGACGTATATACTGGACAATGGCATACCTGACAATGTATACACGCGATTGATGACAAATGTATCGGATATTGAACATGGATCAAATCACAACACTGGTCAAATGGTGCACAATCTGATTGATGCATCAATGTACAGTGTTGTATATGGACAAACGATGATTGTACCACTGAGTATACGACTCAAATACACCACAATGGTACCATGCGATATATTGTTATCGACTCGACTTGTTTCAGATACGCCCATCATTAACGGCGATTCCAAGTTTATATCATGCAAGTTCCAATGGCTTCCGAGTGAATTCCATGTCGAACAGGATGGCAGTGTGACCATCAACTCATACATCAACAATCTGAATCCGATATGGCATCGAGACATGTACAAATGCATTGCCAAAATATTTAAATGTTTTGTCCCGATGTTTGAAAGTCTGTTCAGAACGATACATCCAATGTTCAAGTATATTGATATTCACAATGGCATAAATGGATATGAATCACCAAGCCAGTCAGATCATGATGATATGCAGCCAGACACTCGAGTCATTCGTCCCGTGTATGTACCAACACTTCCGGAACATTTTGAATCCAAATACGAATCAGCAAAGCCAGTATCACTGCGTGGTCGTAATCTACAAGTCATTGTCAAACTCACCAACATTCAACTGACACCATCCAAACCTAAATACGACGAGGGAAACTGGCACATTGAAGGTCCAATTAACGAATCGATTGTTGCAACTGGACTGTATTACTACGACGTGGAAAATATCACCACACCCAAACTCGATTACCGCGAGGCTGTTGATCGGTTTGATGAAAGAGCATCTGGTACGTATTGGAAAGATGTGTATGGTATTGATCAAGAATCACGACGCAATCAGTATATAGGATTGCTTGAATTACCAAATGGTCGATGTGCAGTTTATCCCAATCGATATCAACACAAAGAACAATCATTTGAACTTGCAGATCCAACTCAACCAGGACACTGCAAGATTCTGACATTTTTTGTAGTGAATCCAGTCTGTCGGATTGTTTCGACTGCGCATGTGGCTCCACAACAACCACAATGGTACAACTCGAGTCTTGACAAGGCACCCATACCGCCTGAACTGTGGAATGATATCACGCAGTATATTCAAGGTGTTCAATCACCAGCTGAAGCCAAACACTATCGAGATGAATTGACAAGTGACCGAATTCAAATCACAACGGCATACAACAAATACATATACGAGCGGGTGTATAATCTTGGTTTATTGTGAGGTTGTGATTTTACAACAATGAGTTGCAATGCCAGTCAGATCTATGCAATTGAATGGATCGAATAAATTGAATGAATTGAATCAATCATGTCAATCATGACAGTGATTGTTGATTATATTGACTGATTGTGTACAATTGATTGATACAAGTGATATGGATGCATCATTCGGTGTTGTTGAATCAAATCATTGCTTGATTCTGTCAATGTGATCAAATGGATTACTACAAAACTGTGCATGCTCAAGTTGAATCAAGTATTGAATCGAGTATTGGATTGATATTTACACACAACCACAATTACAACCACAATTGCAATCAGCACAGTCTGAATATTAGACATTTGAACATCACGTATCGAGTTGTGGATAAATGCGAGTTGGCATATTGGACTGTTTTTGTAGTTTATTAATGATTTGATTCACGACTGTTTGAATTCAAGGCTCAATATGGATTACAACTGGATTGTCGTTGTTTCCATTTGGGATGACAAATCTGTCAATGTGTTGATTGATTGCTAGTCCATTGTCCAATCCATTGATCAGTAATTGTCCAAATCAAAGTTGTATCCGAGTCGAGTTGTCAATCAGGATACCATAACCTGACATCCAAACGATTATTCAAATGACTGTTGAAACCATCAATGATTGCCAGAATAAGCTTTACGACTCGACTGCAATAACCACCACAATCATGGTCAGGTTAGTATGTTGATCCGTTTACAAAGTTACAATACTGCAACAGATTCAACATACTCTTGAAAGTGATGCACACCACATGGATCCAGCAAACCCACTGATGAATTGAACCAATCAATTGACCAATGACATGACTCGATATTGGACATCGAGTTGCACACAGTTGGTAAAAAGTCACCGACATGTTCAGATAGTCAAACCTTGACTACAGGTTGATATCATCACCCAACACACCAAATACAACACACAATCTGGACGACTACTGGATCATATTGTGGATATCAATCAACGTAGCTAATGGTTCCAAACAACCATGTACAATCATGTACAGTCATTACAGGACAATATAATACATTTATGAATAGCATGTTGTAATCAACACGAGTGGAGTTGTGCAATAGACTTGTCATGGCTTACAATGGTTTGATATGAACATGATGACTCGGACTCTATTCAGTCGGATCAACTCGACTACAATTGGTCGTGTATATTATGATTAACAGGATCAATTGTAGTTGAACTCGAATACAGATTGACTGTTGAGTCACAATGCGTGGTATCAGCAACATGATGTGCTATATAGTGGAATGTATACGCTAACCTGACATGTGTCATGTAGTGTGTATTCGATCAATATGGGTATTAGCAATCAACAAGTCATACGATGTTTGTGTTCGAGTGATGGAATGGAATACAATGGAATGAAATGAGTGCATCAATCCAGAATACGAGTCAACCATGACATATGATCATAATGTGTGGTTGATACAACTATATAGTGACAATCAATGTTGATATAGTAATACCCAACATGCAATGCCAACACAACGGTTGCAAGTCACTGATCATCAATGTGACATTGTGGTTGCGACATGAACTGCATTGTATTGATTCAGTTGATTGATTGAATTACTGGACAATATGTAATGATGATTGATCATGTCAAGTTGAATGGAAAGCATCACCAAACCACATGTTGAATCATGTCAACCACAACACATATTGATGACCATCCAACAACTGAATATCAACTCAGTTGTTAGATGGTCTTGTTTAAACATGCATTTGTTCATATTTCAGCTCACTGACCCTTTTTAGGGTGGATAAGGGTGGAATACACAATCAGCCATATGATACTCGAATGCATAGTCAAGCAGCGGTCCAACCAATATTGCGGTTGTTATATAAATGGATATCCCTTCAAAGTTGGATATTGATGCCAAATCACCATCAACCCTGATAATAAAGCCAATCCCTAAAACGGTCATCCAATATGCTTTTAATATTATCCGTCCAATAGCCGATATAAATACGATCCAGCCTTGCTTGTTCAATAGCAGCCATATACAACGTGTTTGACCAATACAAACCAATACAATGAAACTCGCAGTCACAGTATTGGCATCAATCCTGTTTGCTTGCTCGGTCACTACAGCCAAACCAGTCAATCCCAGGAAAACTACAAGTGCCGGAGCTAGTACTTCAACCGTCATTCCCAGTGCACAAGTTATACCTCCAATTGATTTTAGTAAATTTTCAAAGGATGATGTGGAGTTGTTTGAAGAATATCTAGAAAAGGATCAAGAATGTGAAGAGATAAAGAAAGCGCGTGACTCGGCCAAATCTAAAGAGCTCAATCAAGAAGAATTGTTAAAACGCCTAAGTGGAAAGAATTACGAGCTGTTCATGAAATATCCGAACAAGGATGATCCAGTGTATCAAGAAGAGAAAGAGATAATTAATCAGAAGTTTAATGAGGAGGGCGAAAAATTCTTAAGCCTTCAAGAAAAGCGTCTGAAACTCGATGACGATCTTTATCACGCTGGCTTGTTGCTTCGTATAGCCAGAAAAGAACTTGCAGGGCTTCTATTCAAAAATGATCCAAGTACAGCATCACTGCATTCTTACAGGATATCTCTGGAACTAGATCCCAGTTTTGTTAAAAATATCTATCAATCTCTTATTCTCCAACTAAACAAACAGTCGGGATCCAAGAAAGCCTCTACTAGTGGAACCCAGAACCAATCAAAACATCATAAAAGTCCATCATCATCAAGCAAAACGTCTACAGACCAACCCACTCAAACATTATCCAGTACACAAAAAGCTTCCAAATCTTCCAAATCTTCCAAATCCCATTCTCGATTTTCTCGTTTATGGAAAACTTCCAAATCCAAGAATGAGCGCAAATCATTTTCGAGTCCACCCAGTTCTGAAGATTCAGATGAATCACCCGTTTGATTTGATTGCTAATCTGAACTGGTTTCGACTGACTCGATTGTGTTTTTATTTGAATAAAATACGATATGATACAATTACCATTTGATATTGGATATTGTATCTGATTATTGTACACAGTCTTGGCTGGTATCATATTGTATATTGACACTTGTATTTCCAACACAATACAATACAATACAGTTGATTGTATATTGCATAGTTGTACACATTGATGATGCTGACATGCATGTGTGTATTGTGTCGATATGATATTGCTTGTCATGTCATATTGACATGCAATACCAACAATAGTCATGTGTACAGTATCAATATGTTGCACAACTGTAATCCAAACAGGTTGGAGCATGCCACATTGTAGCAATGCAACCAAATTGGTACAACACATGTCAACATACATGTACTGTATTGTAGTATACACTAGTAGTGATGATTCAACCAACGACATGCGTGGTTGTAATATTATACGTGAAACCACATGCTCATGTCCATGTCCATGATTATGGTGACATACAGTGTTACAATGATGGGTTAGCAACAATGTGATGGAACTGGATGTGTAATACCAAAACCATGCTCAGAATACGTCATATAACGACAACTTGCAGTCGTATTGACATAAATGGACCACTAAATAACAGTGTCATGTCATGATTGATAATACAGTTGCATTACTGACATGTGTCATCATTGTTGTTGAACTAGATCGCGATCGTATTCGAGATTCAGAACACAACAAATGAGTGTACAGAGTTGTATTGACAATCAAACACAATACATGAATCTGAGTCCAAATTTGATGATCGTACAATGTATAATTACTAAGAGTGCACCAAATGTAGATTCAACACTATAGTCTGATTGTTATAATCAAACACGCAATACAGTCAATGTGCAATATCAACCAAACAAATATGTCAACATTGTTTATTCTGAAGCAAAATCACTGCAAGATAAATACAAGCGATCCATTTTACGTGAGTACGACTATAAATAGTAATTTTATACACTGCATTTATCCTGATCACGGACATGCTACAGTCCACATGCATTTATGCTGGGGGAAGAAAGTTGGCAAATAACACGGCACCAATCACTGGATATGTAGTATAGTAGAAACCAAGTAGTCGGATAAACATAGATTTACCATTCCATTCGACAGTCCATTTGGCCAATACCCAAAATAATACTGGAGAAGAGGTAAAAAATCTCAAAATGACTTGAACGTGCATAAACAAGGCACATGTACCAAGCATTACCATCCATAGATATACAAACGGGAGTAACGTCAATACCGAATAAGGGCGTTTTAGTTTTTTAGTCATGAACCCGACAGAAATAAATTCTGTCCAGTGTTCAAGTGCAAACTGTGTAATTCCAGTGCATGATACAATCAGATATGGTGCTGCCAAAAAAAAGTTTGGTATCTGTTGAGCAGTATAGTATTTAAATAGACCATTGTTCCTATTGTATTATTATAGATCCAATTTGGGTCAGATTCAAGTATGCAATAAAGGTTCAACTCGAGTAAATTTCCTACCAATAATGCGCTTGCACAAACGAATAAATACTTGGAATCTTATGGTTACACCAAGGCCGATAAGTATCTGCATTTTCAGTACAAAACAAAGTCCACCCGTAATATTGAAATAAAATAAACGGAGCAACCACTACGCCCAGCGCTATCGTATTTCGCACTATCCGATACATGGTTTGCTATTGTATTTCAATCAAAAAACATGGATTTAAATAAATATTTACAAATGAAAATACATGCTGCTCTTTTTCAAATCAGCTCATACAGTTTGTATCGTGTGCTTTGCAAAAGGATGCAATAGATCCCAAATAAAGAATCCGGCAAACAGAATTCCGTTTCCACGCAGTGATGATGCACCACTCCACCACAAAGCAGCAGCCCAAGTATGATCCTGGACCATATTTAGCATACCCATGAATGCACAAAGTGCAAAGGGTGATTCTGTATAGCTATCGTAAAACACCAGGATCAGAATGATTGTATAAATTAAAAAAGTCAATTATACATCCTTACATTGATGACATGAATATCCCCGCTGGATTAAAGGCAAATAAAATTGCTGATACGAATGCAATGTGATTGTCGTGAAGAACGTGTGCCGACAACCTGGTCAAGTTAACACAGTATTCAATGGGTTGGATAAATACCATAAATATAAAGATAAAATTGCAGGATTAATCATGACATACTTGTACAAAGCTACTGTTGCCATGACAAAGCAAGTGTTGGAAATTAAAATACCAGAGATCACCAATAGAACATGATTGCAAACGGAACTGCCAAAAACACTGGCTATCAAGTCGTAAACAGTTATAATGCAAATGCAAATTAAATGTTAGAGTTGTATGAGATGCATTGCATAGGTTGATGTCTGATTGGACTTGAAACGTCAGTATCTAAGAATCTAGCCTCTTACAAAGCGAATGTGCTGCAGCTTGCATCAATAATGGCAGTCCAGGAAAAAATGCAAACTGTTGTTCATAGGTATAACCTTGCTCAGCAATACCCAAAAAATACACGGCATCCCATCTAACAAGTCTTTTGAGTGTCAGCAGTATCTGAGAAGCAGGTGTACTACACGCAGCAATAGTTGAAGGAGCCAAGACATGTGTTGCTGAAGTGTCATATTCTGTAGTGGTGAATGTAGACAAAGCTACTATTAAAATATACAATATTCTGCTTGCCATGGCAAGCAACAGCACCTGTCCAGTGTGCGATCTCACAAAAGATACAGTGCTCATCAATGATATAGCATGGAAAAGGGTCAAGTTTTGGATATGCAATTTCTTACTATTTTGCAACATGTCAAACGCGTGAGTTCATTTCCCGGCTCGCATCTAATAGTCATTGAACTGTCGAGCAGCTTGATAGTAACCAAAGTGTTGATTGTAAAGAATATATAATAGGTATTGGGCAGAAGCTAGTCATTTTCTCAATGAGCAAATGGATTATGAACTCATGCAGGATGCAATGCTACAGCCAAAAGACCGCGAGTCTGCTTTCCAGCACTTGGCACTATTGTATATCAAGTATATTCAAGTCTTTCGAAAACTTGAGGTAAAATGTGTTAAAGTAGACTGGTTTCGATTTAATCAAGATATTGCATTGATATTCCAACAAATTCGACCTGGTCACATAATAATTGTAATGCAATATTAAATTATAAATGCTAATTGAAAATCAATGCTTGAATAGGATGCATACCACCAAATCTTACATCCTCAAAAAAGACGGCTTTTAAAAGAGGTTGTCATGGCAGTCGCTGGTCGTGTCCTTGAAATCAAACATGTAAAGTTGAACATTAGTTGAGCTCAACCACCTCGTATCAGTCAATGTAACCAAAAATTAAAATATATTGCATGTCAATTTTCTTTGATGATTCTAAAACCCCAATCAGCATATCGTTGGTATTGAGTATTCAGATTTCCAAAACTACAATGATATCTTACTGGACCTGAAACTCACGCCCGATCATTTGCGTATAAGTATTCCGCGATACTTTGTTGAAGATCGTCATCAAGAAATTCAAGCCAGAAAAGAGTTACTCAATCAGCTCAGTGCAAAACCATTTGGATTTGGCGAATCTGCTCAAAAATTTCCAGAAATGAGTATCCTTGAAGCAATCAAAATCATTCAAATCAACGAAAGAGGTCGACAAGGAAAACTACGAGCAAAATATATGCGCGACATCAAACTCCAAACCCAACACGAAAAGGAAATGATTGGAAATGAAGATGAAAACGAAGTGAACGATGCTGCACTGAAAATACAAAAAGTATATCGCGGCTACAAAGCAAGACTGTATTTCAAAAAAGCTTTGCACAATGAGCTGGTATTTCTTGGAATGCAGGATATGTCACGAGATCCAAAAGTTGACCCAATAGTCAAAGCTAATACCAATCGTGCGCGAAGAAAGATTCTTCAGCAACAGTACGAGGAAGATTATTTACAAGCATTGATCAACACAAAAGAAAAGATTCTCAAAGTCGAAGGATCAGATATGAAGGAAGCTATCCAGGACGACTTTCGTCAGTGGTATATGGAGTATAAAAGGTCAAATGGAAAGTTTCCCGAGTTTCCTCCTGATGAGAAATGGCAACAACCTGGATTTAAATTTACACAGCAAGATAGTGCTGAGCCTACAAGTAGTGACAAATCCAAGATTGAAGAAAAACCTGCAACAGCAGCATCTACAAAAGATCCCAAAAAAAGTAATCAAAAAAGCGATGGCAAAAAAGATGCTAAAAAGGACACGAAAAAAGGAGCTAAAGACAAGGTAAAGGTGGCATGTAGTTTAAACTAAATTCAACGAGTCAAACAATCGTGTGTTTGTTATATAATATCTTGTTTAACAATGGTATAGCCTGATGAAGAGGTGGTAGAGGTTCAATTCAAATACGATCAATCCGAGTATCTGACATGCATTTCCAACAAGTAAGTAAAGGACATTTAATGATACTATTTTGTGAAACGTTACTCAATGCTATACTTGAATGTTTAGTCAGTCAGAATACGTTGCTAAATGGAAAACCAAGGACGAGACTGAAAATTTTGCTCAAAAACATGATCAAGAAATTATCAAAACAGACAAACGTCGCGAAGTGGAAGCCGAGGTAAGTGTCCGCAAAATGCAGCATATTCATCAATTCATTTCACAATTTCTATTGGCTAAGTTAATTTGATATCTCTATATAGATTAAAAAAGTATGTGTTTGATATTTTACAAGACGAGCTTAAAAACTTGAAGCTTGCTGTTGAACGGGAAAAAAATGCCAAAGGAAAAAAGACTAAAGGAAAAAGTGGGAAAAAAGGTGACTTATTTGAACTGATACAGCATGATAAATGTCAAATCATCTAATTACCATGACATTTAGGTGGGAAAAAAGGGAAAAAGGGAAAGAAAGGAGGAAAAAAGGTTAGCTATTTGGATTTAAATACCATACAATTATCAAGGCTTAATTTAGGCAAATGCATGATTATGCATTGATTGATTAGGAAAAGGGGAAAAAAGGGAAAAAAGAGAAAGACATTACTGCAAATCGAACCATGGAGTCTCTTGTGGAGGAGCTTATTCAAACGGGAATTTTGCAAAAGGTAATCCATGTGTTTTTGAAAAATCAAATATATTGGCTACAAAAGTTTTACAAAAATAAGGACGCTGAATAATTTAACTTTAATATAGCATACTGATGTATCTCTTGACAAATTTATTGGAGAATTCAACGTTATGGATGGATCGGTCACTAGAGAAACAGTAATATATCCATCCATGGCAGAACTTCAAAGAGTATGTTGTAATCCAATCGTGTTAGCTGTTCAATTAGCATATAGATTGCAGTGTCATTCAACAATGAGCATCATGTAATTTTAAATATAGGTGATGGTGGAATATTGCGTTTTACCAATGTGTTTGAGTCACCAGCCTTTGGAACTTCCTAAAGTGGTATCAATTCTACTTTTTGGATCACACGGTACAGGTAAATCTATGCTTGTGCAAGCTCTAGCTACAGAAACAGGTGCACAAATCTTCAATCTCTCTCCCCGGAATACAGTCGGCCAATTCCAAGGGAAAAACAACGTAACAAAAATGATCCATATGATATTTAAAGTTGCTCGTGCACAAACTCCTGCCATCATCTACGTTGACAATATCGAGATGGTGTTTGCAAAAAAAGTACCCAAAGACGATACATCTGATCCCAAGCGAATCAAAAAAGACTTGATCAAAAGCATCAAAAGCATTCGAGATTTAAACGGAAGGGTTATTTTTATTGGAACAAGCAGTAAACCCTGGGATGCAGATGTAAAGGCCATGTTACCACTGTTTGATAAAGTTATCTTGTGTCCCAAGCCAGACTACTCGTCAAGAATGCAATTGTGGAAACAGTTTATTTCTGAACGATGTGGCGAAAGATATGCAACAATAAATATAAGCTTGTTGGCAAAAATAACAAACGGATGCTCGGCAGGGACAATCAAAATGATCTGTGACCACGTTTTAACTGATCGTCGAATCAAACTAGTACGTTATTATTCATCACATGGCACCGACTTTTACATATTGTATTTGCAAAATTTGAACTGTCATGTTTATACTTGTACATGTATATTTTAGCTGCGAACTAAATGTCTAGCAACAGCCGAGTTTGTTGAGCACATACTGAGTTCTCCTATCGAAAACAAGGAAGAAGACAAACTATACAAGGTAACTCCAAATGTGAAGTGCAATTTCGATCAACTCATGGCCATGTAGATTTTGAAATCTAATGAATGGTAATTCTTGACATGTATGATCACAATAGGATTTTTTCGAAAAAACACCACTATTAAAAAAGCGTGCTGGACTTTTTGTTGTGCCAGATGAGGAAGAAGACTCTGGTAAAAAGGGGACAAAGGGTAAAAAAGACAAGGATCCCAAAAAAAAGAAATAAACCAATCAGGCTTGCTATCAAGCATGAGTAGAGTGACAAGTGATATTAGGACTTTAATTCATTTTTTACAAGTGATGTAAAGTTTATTTAGTCGTAATCTCGAAACTTGTATTCTAATATAATTTACAGTCGACTTTCTATTTTCCATTGTTTTTGGGCAACGATTCAACAGGAATGTTCATGGCAACGTCAAAAAGATTCAAAACATTGATTTTTTTGCCTCCTAATTGCTTGGAAGTTTGTATCTTGAATCGACCACCCCATGGGGACAAAATGCCTAGTATAATGCATATAAACTGTTAGAATCATTCAACTCAAATCAATTTACTCTTATTCAAGTCTAACCTTGATCTGCCCAAATATCCCGATGCTGTTTTGAACCAGTAACTGTTCCAGGCATGGGCATAAACTCTGCCAACAGCCCGTTTGTTTCGGTAAGCATTCCATTGGTAGATTCAATGTCATTTCTATCCATCCGTTGAAGATACGCCAGCTTTTGCTCATTTGCTGCCTTTTCCATCTCTGTTACTTTTAATTTTGATTCTGCACGCTTCTTTAACGACATTTCTGTAAACCAATACAGTCGCTCCATAAAACCCATAGCCATGGGTGTGGAGGTAAAGCGCGGAAGTCTCCGTGCAGGAAGCTCACGTACTTTGGATTTTATGCTTTGTGTTCGTTTAGCTAAAGATACCAGTTTTCTATGTTCAAGTCTAGCTTGAAGCTGATCAAGCCGCAATTCGGACGAGTCATCGTAGTCTTCTGGCATAGTATTTCGACGAAAACTGATACAATCACGTTTTGCAGGAGTAGTAATCAAATTTCGAATCATATCAGTATTGAACTGTTTTGTCTGAGGAGTATGTACGTTTTCTCCAGAATTAGATGGTACGCCTGAACGTGCTTGATTTGTGTAATACAAAGCCATTTTTTGAAGTTGCTCTTGTATAGTCATGTAACGCTTTTCCCATTCGGTGTTTAGATCTTCCTGATCTTTTTGTGCTTGGTCAAGCTGTAATGTCATATGATTTATTCTTTCACTACAATATTCACAAAATATTTTAGTTTTATGATCATTCAAATACATAATTTATATATATCGATAGATCAAGTTTACTTGATTTGTTAAACTCAACTTGTATTCTGATTGCATAATGTGCATTTGCTGAGCGTGTAACAAAGTTAGCTCAATCACCTCCTGCATACTAAAAAACTCCTTGTCTGCATCAAGGTTCTGAAAAACATCTACTTTTGTCTGCTTTCCGCTACCTAGTGCATTATTTTCAACCGTATGGCTTACAAAACAAGTCGGTTAAATTACTTTGTGAATCAAACAAATAAGCTTTTAAACCATGTGCTCGGGTATACCTGGTATATGTTGAATGATTGTCCATAAAAGTGTTGACAATGTTTTGAATGTCTTCGTCTCTAAATCGTTGAAAGTACTACACAGTTGTATATTTTTAATAAAATAGCATTTGATTTAATCTTTTTAAAAGGATCGATACAAATATGCAAGTAGTGTACCTTTTTGTCCAAGTCAGAATAGTTGGCACTGTGAGCACTTGCTTCGGAAATTTCATCTTCCGACTCATAATCAAATTCATTTTCATCCACGTCGTTTTGTGAGCTGTGATTTGAATGGTTTAGTCTGTTTCTCGTGAATGGTTTCCGTAAGTGGGCACGTTTCCCCAAATCAATTAATGTATTGAGGCTATTGCATCGCAAGTTTTTTTTTGCAGTACCAAACAAGGTGCTTTTAATAGATTTCTCCCTTGACTGATCAGGTGTTTTTTTACCGTCAGCATCGTCCATTAGCATGTCGCACATAGCATCTGTAGTTGTCACATTGTCAATCATGTCATCTATGTTTTGATAATGCATATGCAATAGTTTAAAATCATTGCACGAGTACGATCGAGGGCGTGGAAATGATGGTTGTTTAAACATGATAGTTCCTGTTTTTGTAGATATGTAGTTCATACTTGGTCCAGGAACGGGAAAGGGCCGTTTCAAAATTTGTGATAGAATATTTTTCAAGCCAGGAAACGTTTTCTTCAAATGGAGTTTGAATCGTTTCAGTAGAGTCCGGACATGGATAAGCCATTCTGGTTCATTGGTGGCATAAAGCTGGATTGTGGATTTTAGTTTAAGCAAGGCAATTTCCTTTGCATGGGCTTCCTCTGTTATTAAAAACTGTCGATCTTGCTTTGATTTAGTCAAACAAATATTACTTTGGGGTGAGAACTGTCGACCATGAGAATTTTCATGTAATGTGTTGGAGTTACTTTCAAGATTTGCACTTGTGGTACCTATGCGATTGATAATCTGGCCATTCTCGTCATTGATCAGACTTAGCTGCTCGCTTTCCTGATGCATGATCAATTTAGACATTAGGCGTTCCCACAATGCCAATCGATGATGTACCTTTGTTCTATTCATTTGAATATGCATGTTTTCCAGCTTTCTTATCACAATATCCAGTACATGGTGATGTTGCTGATGTTCCGTTTGAAGCTTTAGCAGCGCATTCCGTTTATCACCCCAAGGACGCGAATACATTTTTACAGCCTTGACTAGATCAAAAAATGGCTGGTGAAAATCAGATTTGCTCCGGTAGAGTTTGGAAAACAGTAGAGTAAGTTCAAGCTTGACATCAGATGGAACAGATTGCTTGAGAAAATCATTTTTCCAAGCCGTTACATCTTCTATAGATGTTTCCAAATTGCTTAATACTTGAATGAGATTATTGCAGAGAATGTCAAACTCGGTGTAAACGACTGGATCATCTTCCGAGGTGATGATATTGAGGATTGTTCCAGGATGTTGTTGGCTGCCTTGAAAGCGTTTGAAATCTTGGATTACAGAATTGATTGAAAGGTTTATTTGTGGAGGCTGCTGTAAGGCTGTATCTTGGGATTGAATTGGAGTCAGTTGAATGGGACGGCCTGGTTTAGTAGAGTCCAATGATGAAAGTCGCGCTTTCGACTGTTTCGACTTTGAGTCCGAATGATGCTGTTTCTGTGATGCTGTTATTTGTAGAATTCAAATATTGAAATAATAAAATGAAATTTATGTCAATTATTAAACCTGCTAATATTGTGTTGATAATATTCAATCAACTTGGATGTTTGAATTAGAAAAGATGCTTACGTGCAAGTCGACCAGGCTCTTCTTGGTTCAACAACGGTTTAAAGTCTGGCATACTTTTTTCAATAACGATTTGTACTTCATTGTACGTATCGGATGCAGTATGAGTATTGGAATGGTCTTTTTTAAATGTTTTTCGATCTGTATAGATTTCATATCAAAGCAATGCAATATTGTTGGCATCCATTTTCAACTTGCATGCAGCAATAGACACGAGTTGCATATATCACCACAATAAATGCACTAGAACCAAATCATACATACTTGGTGAACCTGACTTGCTATCTTCAAGTTGTTTCTGTTGATATGGCTTAACACCAATTTTTTCCTTTGTCGATGCTTGGATGGGTATTTGAAGACCAGATGCTGAACTTTCATCAAGCTGAACGCGCAGCGTTTGAGCTGAACCTAGTTGCTGCCCACTTTGAGATGTTTCCTGGGATTCTCCAATAACATTGTTGCTGATATTGGACTTGGATAGTGTGAGGTTATTTCTTATATCAGATAATGTTGCTCTTGTAGTCATATTTTATAGTGCTAGCTAATATTGATTCAAAGCTACTCAAACAGCTTTGCAAGGTTTAAAAATTTCAAGTCAGGAACAATTTCATGAATAAGCTTGCTGACTTGCTTTTCAAGATTTGGTAAAAGTTCAATACCATCAGCATGTATTGGATTACAGGCTAAAAGCTGTATTAACAATCCAACGTTGATATAGTTTATTTGGTACTGCTAAAAAGAATTTCTTCTTTCAAAGATGCATGCTCTTTGGTTGGACGAAGCATTCGACTACTCCATAAATAGGGTCGGTATCCTTTGTGCAAATACTAATCAATTTTTTGTAAATTAAAAGTGCCAGTTTCAACAAAATTCGTACCCAACGTATTACTTACTGCAGATATATCTGCCGAATCAGCAGGATCATAAGAAGACCGTCTATGATGATTATAATGGCGTTGTGTTGGACTGATTCGGTTAATTGGAATACTCACTCTAGTATTTATAATGAGATACACAAGTTAATTGTAGATCTAAAAATAAATAGCTGTATACAGACTAAACATACTTTACAGGAGGCTCATTCGATGCCATGTACTTTGATTTTTTATCAAGCATAAACACATTCGAGTCTGTAGATGACTTGTAAGGATGATCCAGTTTTTCTGGAAAAAGTCGCTCATTGACTCTGAATACTCCAGAATCTAATGTATTAAATCAATCAATCAAATGTGGCCATAATGTAATTCCCTAGATCATCAAAAATCTACACATGTCGTCAGGTACTAATATAGCATCTGCTACTTACAATAGTATCCGTCGTCCTTTAATGGAATAGGTTTGCACTCTACAATGGGCGATCTGTTGATGGATGTTTTGAACTTTGGAGATCTACATGCAGTTTGAAATACAGTGAATTCTATATTCAAGTAGATAAACCAAGCAGCAAATAGAAAATATAACCTACACTTGGGGAACATCGCGAGTATATAAATCTGGATATAGCTGTCGGTATTTGGAAATATCGTCAAAATAAGAGTCATCTCGTTGTAAAATCTCGTCTGCCTTTTCATTGCAGCGCTGCATCAACATTTTTTCACGATCCTCTTTAGAGAGTGGTAAAACACGCACTTTGTCTGGAGAAAGTGGTCGTTTATAAACAGGATTGATGGATTTAGTTGGTGATGGAGTTTTTGAATGACTGATGGGTCTGCTTCGCGCAGTTGACTCTTTTATTTTTTGAATGTTTTTTGATGTTGAAGAGATGAATGCAGCAGAATTGGATCCAAAAGTACGAGTTGGGATAGATTCGGGAATATAATTGCTTGAGCGACTATACAATTGCCTAGATCGTTCTCTTCCAATGCTCAGACGACTTGCCGAGCGTGTATTTCGAGATGGAGAAGGCGAAAACACCTTGTAATATATCGATTGAATATACAGCAGCGTGCAAGGAGTTGGTTAAAGCAGGTCAGATTTGGGATGAATCATGAATGAATCTTACAGTTGTAGTTTTCCGAATGGCATTTGCTTTTCCAATACTTTCTTGATGAAGACGCAGACTAGCAAGTTCGTCTCTAACCAAGTCAGAAGGATACTGTTTGATGGGCTGAGCCAGTGTTTCTACAGCCTCAATATCTCTGGCAGCATCCCACAGCTGTTGGACCAAAGACCTGGTTTGTGACCTCAATAGTCTAATCTTGGCAAGCTCAGTATCATGGGGAGGGTTTTCGAAAGCATCTTCGTACAAGAGAGGAGGGTTTTCATTTCCTTCGGTGACATGTCGTCTATGGGAATAGGCAGATGAATGCATGTGTATACAGGCATCTGCATGCACATGCGAGCAGTCGGACAGTTCATTGCATAATGTGATCGTAGTCGCTCACAGTTGGAATGTTTTATGTCGAGTCGCAATTGATGCTCAACTGCAATCATGTTTGCTATTGGCTTCAGATCAAAATGTGCCTTGCATGCAGTACGGAGAATACCAACAAGCAACTATCTTTCAGTCTCTAATACAAGATCGCTTTTCCTGTTTTCATTTACTGCACCTCAGCACTTGCCAGTCTATACCAAATATATTTCAGTTTTTTCAGCTACAAACCCATCCATATCTTACTTCCATTCATCTGCACATGTATCTGATATTTCTTCTAAATCAACAAAAGGCTCCAAGATCAAAGCTCAGCTCAAGAATTTAGAAATTACAGCACCAGAGATCTTGGTGATTTCTGATGCTGGATTGTCACTGGGGATCATGACTGTTGCTAAAGCCATGACACAGATGGATGTTCTTACTCAAGATTTAATACTAATCAACTCTAAAAAAGAACCTCCAGTTTGCAAAATAGTTTCTAAAAACCCACCCAAACCAACACCATCTCATGAATCCAAATCTGTTACAGCATCAAAAGACTCGAGTCTTGATGCAACGAACGATACACGAGCCAATGCATTGAACCAGCCAACAAAGAAAGCTAAACCAACAAAAAAACGATCTGGAATAGTAGAAAAGGAACTTGAAATCAACTCCACCATTGACCAGCATGATTTTCAAATCAAGATGAATAAAGGCAGAGAGTTGCTGGGTAAAGGATATCGACTGAAACTGACAGTCACCGAACGAGGCAACCGAGAAAGCACGAATATTGTGCAATCGATTCTAGAAAGACTTGCCGAGGACGGCAAGCTCAAGAACGCACCAACTGCTTCTAAAAAAAAGATTATTTTTATACTAGATTCCAAAAAACAATAAAGTGTCTTGATTTGAAGTTGAATTCAACTGTTGCTAACCATCCAACTTGTCCTGAAACCTGCAGAAACACTCGTTGATTCCAAAATGTTTAGATTCACAGCATTCATTGTTATATACTGGAGCATTCTTTCAACTGCATATGCTCAGACTTCTGGCTTGGTTAATCGTCAAAACTACTTTCTGGAATCCAGCATGTATCAAGGATTCTCATCTGCTGCTTGCTCCCGTCTGCAGTCGGCTCAAGGCACTACTGGCTGTAGCGGTATGCTTTTTGCAGTGGATTTTTAAAACTTTATCTTTCAAAGAACAGGATAAACTATTGTCTTGAATTCTAGCACTGGTATTGACCCATTCGTTGCGTTGATTCTAATGGATTTTGTATTGACTTGTAACGTTAGCATTGAAAATGGTCTCTGGCACTTTATACCGGATTTCAACTGTGGATGATATCAACTCTTTTTTAAAAACAGCTCCATCTAGTGCTGACTATGTTGTGGTCATGCCAACCTCACTCCTTACAATGTAAGTTTTCAAACCGTCAACAGTCGCATGTCTGCAAAACTATCCGACGCCTAGAATCTTTAATCCATTTAATCTGATTCAACCTCAATTGGACAACTTGAATGCACTAGAGATAATATTAATTTACTGGAAAAAACTGGCAAAGTATCCGGGATATTTACCATCACAGATAAGCGGTATCCAGCATCATATTCACCTGAAGCTTCTTGTCCAAATTGTCGATATGGATTATATTCTAATCAGTCTAGTCCATACATCTGGAATCCTTTAGTAAGCTATTTTTATACTACTGGTAGTTGGAATCTGCATGCATTAGCTAACGCTATTTACATAGGGAAACTCTGTTTCTACTGGAAATTATGAATTTCCCATTTTTGGAATCTATCCTAGTGATGCTACATCTCTCCAAACAATAGATGCCATTAATGAGGTACTACAACTCGAGGTTGATGTTATAGTGTGCAATAACTTAACACTTGTTGAACTATATTAGGCTCTCCAGTTTAATATCAATCGAGGATATACTGGATATCCACTGTATGCCATGGAGTTTGATTCTCGCATGTTTTCTGCTATCGATTCAACAACATGTTTGCGCCGTGGCCGTTGTCAACCTATTGGAGGATACTCTGTTTGGTCAACATTCTCATCCAACATTGATGCAAGCGATAAAAAGCCTATTGTTATGGTTACCTCGAAACTGGATAGTTCGGCGTTTTTGCGTGACTATGCATTTGGCGCAAGTGGTAGATCTGGGGTCATTGCCATGCTTGCTACTGTAGAAACGCTTAGTCGTGTTCAAGGTGGTATAGCAAACCTGCCAAAAACAGTCGTTTTTGCTGCATTTGAAGCCGAATCATGGGCATTTGCAGGATCACAGCGCATGGTGCAGGACATGACTACACCACTGGTCTGCAAGGATGCATCTGGAAAATCATCTGCAGGATGTTCTATCAATGGAGCTCAATGCAACTCACCCTGCTTTTCTACAACTGATTTTACCAAACTAAATTTCAATCTGATTGATTCGGTGATCGAGTTTGATTCCATTGGTGATATTACCCGTCCCGCTGCAGATGCATCTTTGCATTACATTCACGTGGACACCATCAACAGTCAAACTAATCAATTGCTTAATCAATTCAAAACCGCTTTGATACCTGCACCACCGATATCTGGAACCACAAAACAAATCAATATATCTGTAAATGTTGCTGCTAGTCTGTCTGCAACCAATCATCAATTGCCACCGTCTTCTGCAATGGCGTTTTTGGCAAAACGTCCTGATATTCCTGCAGTGGTAGTATCGGATTATCTATTGGAATTTTCCAATCAATACTATCACTCTGAATTTGACGACGGTTTAACATGGAATAACGATCATGTTGCTGCTATTTGTGGCATGGTTGGTGTAATGGCAAAGGGAATTTATCTTCAGGCTGGTGGAGCTATTTCTAATGTTCCTACAATCAATCCTGATTGTGCCGTGGTATATTTTGATTGATTTGATTTGTATATATCATTTTCCTGTTGCTGTTTTATAATATTGACTATTGATATGTGAATTTAGGTCGGTCAGTTGATGGATTGCTATACTCGTAATGTAACATGTGCTTTGTTTCAAAAACTCAAAAGTAACTCCATCATGCGCGTGTTTAACTCTTGGAGTTGTTTTAATTGCTATATTAACATACTGTTGAATTGTATGGTCTAGTCAAGTCACAGACGAGTGTGTTTACGGGGTACTCGAGCGTTTACAACCCATCGAGTGTCAGCTCAATGGCAATGTTGTCGAATCTGTTGATGATCAACTGGACTGCTTCTGCAGTGGTTGGAAACTGTTCAGATCCAAGATGCATGGTATACAACATTTAATGCCTTTTTGACGCAAACGTATAGTATTATAAAGGCTAATTCATTTTATATACTGTTTTTGATCATCAATGATTTTCAAGACACTCCCATCAGATTATCGGTGTGCTGGAAACCTGTGTGTCCTTTCCATGACCAGGCTACATCGTGCTTTTGGAACTGGTCTTGATTCTAATGATCAGGGTGTATATAGTGTTGTCGATCCACAAAAGGGTACATGGACAGAAAGCTCGTAAGTTTTAATTGCGACTTGTTTGATATTCATGTTTCTACTCTACATCTACTGATGTATTTTGAATTTAGATGGGACACGACACGCATGCGTGTATTTAAAGTGGCATCAAAAACTTACCAAGGCATGCAACTAGGTGTTGGATTAGCTTTGACTATTGTATCTGGACTACTCACTTGGTTTATTCGATCTTATTATCGTGTGCGTACCAAAAAAGAATGATTTGAGATTGCAATGGTTTTTACAGCCGTATTCACGTAAAATGGAGCATTTGTATTTATCTTGCAGACTTTATTTTGCTTTGGAATAAACAATATCTAAGCACAACGTTCATCATACAATCAAATTATGATTTTGAACTGAAATGTTTTTTGATATAACCTACTTGTATAATCACCAGATTCGTGCATTTTAATAGATATTGGATTTGACTGTCTTCAATCAAATTCTGTATAAGCTCATATGTTGTATCCCAAAAATTCACAGATGCGTCTACAATCTAGCTTAAGAGAACAAGGATTGCATGTCTCCAAAATGCAACAGTTGTCTTTATTCCAATCATCGAAAAAAGGCTAGCCAAAGAGGTTAGAGCATAATGCTGTCCAGTAAATTTGGTAGACTGACTGTTTATTATTTGACATCCATCTAGTCTTTCATTCTACGTGAATACGGCTATAGTTGTTGGCACTGTCAAGCCAGATCAATTTTAAAATTCATACCACTTTAGAGTAAATGCTGAAGCTGATTTATACCAAGAGTAATATTTCAATTCAATAGAAACTCGTCAATGCAAAAGTTTTTCAAGATCAGATATTAAGAGAAAAGTTGCGATAAGGACCAGATATATTCAAGTGCTAAATAATCAAACATTAGTCACCAAATTCACAAAATAGGATTAATTTCAATCGGATTTATACAGCTTCTGTTGCTATTGAAACATAAATGCATTGTGATAGTTACCTCGCTGAATTTTGATGTTTGACCTCGAAACACAGTTGGCATATCATGAATTGTAGGATGTTGCTGTCCATACTGGTTTGTAGTAGTTGTATAAAGTGGATTTTGTTTCTTGATCTTGTAGTTCCATGTATCTATTTTAATTACAAATCAATACGATTGATCCAAACAGCATTATTTAGATTCAAACAGAACCAATATTTACATATGATTTTAGTGAATCTGGCATTCCATCTATGCATATTCTTACCTGGCTCTTCGAACCGTTGAGGCAATGGTCCCATCGTCGCGTAAACATCAGAAGTACGCAACGCATTGCGAGTAGCAGTTTCAGTACTTTTACAACTAGAAACAACTGTTTTTGAAGTCATCAATGTAGCATCTAGTTTGTCGAGAGTAGCTTGAGCAGTCATGGCATTTTCAGCTAGTTTAGCAGTAAGCTTTTGGTTCGATTCGGCGACGGATTTCTCGAGCGAAGCGATGCTGGACTCGAGAGAAAACAATTCCTTTCTTATTTGAGGTTCCAACAGCACATTTTCTCTTACTGGATCGAGTCTGAAAGTGTTTTTAGCAAATGTCATTGCAGTATTATTGTAGATGAAGATTGACAAAAAGCCTGAATCCATCTCAACACATCCTCAGGAAATATATGACATTGATTTGATGCTTTTGAAGTTTGCATCCATCACAGCGTCGATTGGGTTTTGTTCTCTGGCCTTGTTGTAGCTGTTGTCCACAATGCTTAATATCATGTCCTTGAAACGAGACAAGGCTACTGCAGGCGACTCTAATGCCTCTGGTAGCGGCTCAAAAAAACCAAAAACTTCTGCTGCTCAAATCAGACTTCAAAAAGGTTTCTGGCTACCATCATATATCTTGATTTCTTTGGATCTGGAAATGGTTTTGATGATGTTGTTCCAAAAGCAGTTGATTTGAATGATTTGTTTTTGTCCAGTTGGATACGGTTTGATTGGGTATGGCACTAGATGGTCTACTTCAATTAAAGTTCAATCTATTCAAACTTGCAACATTGATGCTACTTATGCAATACTTTGGTTCAGCTATTTTAAATCTCGGAATATATTTATATTTTATGGAAATTATCGGCAGACTTGCACCATGCTGGATGTCGGTATCTTTTGACTAAAACTGTTTGGTCATCTTTTTGATTCTTTAGATTTGGGCGACATGGATCAACTCCCATCCACCATGTCACTGGCTTTTCCTGATGGAGATGACCTGTTCAACTTTACATTCACAATCACTCCTGATGAAGGTAGACGACATTCAATATTGATTTGGTGATGATAGATTTGATGATTGCTGGCAGACTGAATCTGTTGCATTGACTCTACACTAGGATTCTACAAGGATGGTGTCTTTGTATTTACTTTTAAAGTCAATGCAGATTATCCTCATAAGCCTCCAAAGGTTTTATGCACGCAAAAGGTGAGTGGCCAAGGTTACCATGTTGGATATGAGATGCATTTTTTATAAACTCATTTCATCTATTTTAAACAGATTTACCATCCAAACATCGATCTTAGCGGAAACGTGTGTCTTAATATTCTTAGAGAGGATTGGAAACCTGTTCTTAATATCAACTCCATCATGGTGGGTTTGCAGTATCTATTTTTAGAACCCAACGCTGAAGATCCTCTCAACAAAGGTAATTCATCGGTTTGAAATATATCGAGTGATATCGAGTATTTCTAATTCCAGTTTACTGTGCGATTGGATTTGACTTTTAGTTGCTGCCGAGGTACTACGTGCAAATCGACGACAGTTTGAGCATAATGTCGAAAAGACGATGCGCGGTGGATCGCTCGATGGCGTAGTTTTTGACAAGGTCAAAAAATAAAAAGGGTTTTATATTCCCTATCTTGTAGATGTCATGTACAAATATCATCAAATCATGATAGTGTGTTCACATGGGAGATAGCTGCCCTGTTGTACACTGTTTAAAACCTTTTGGCTTTACCTATGTTTCTGAAAACATTCTTTAATGGAATATACAGCTGAAATACAAATTCAAAGTCGCATTTACAAGATTTTATCAGTCTTGCAGCTGTTGGCTTATTTATAATTACAAAGTTCTAGATGAATAATGAGATTGTACACTCAACTGATACATTTACAAATTAATGAAATAATAAAAATGAAATACAAATCGTTTACAAGATTGGTTCTGTCACCAATTGCTGTTTAGATACATCTATCCCGTCCCCATAGCTCGCGACGGAGTATAAGCTCGAGTGAAATCCAACATGAGACCCATACCATGACCAGAAAATGGCTGCAACGTATCATCTATGTCAAACTCGGGCATCCCATTGTCATTCAAAGGAAAAGCTCTTTGCTTTTCACCACCGCTACCACCCTCTGAGAATTTTGCCAGTCGATCGCGTAGAGTTTCTATTCTGATCCGTAAAGTTCCATATCGCATTTGAAGCACCTCTAATCCAAACGGTTTAAACGTTGCCAGCCAAATTTCATCGCGGTGAAACTGATGAAGATCTTCTACTGCTTGCAGTAGGGGTTGGATGACTGTATCTATCAGCTGTTTTATACACTGGGGAGCATTAGTTGGATCTCGGTACGCTTTAGTACATTCGGCACGAAGGTTGCACTTGAGTTGTAATACACGTGCAAGAAGTGCTGGGAATTTGAGGCGGTAGTTTAAAGGGTATACATAAGTAGTTTCTGCATTACATGCAGAAATGAGGTATTTGGATATCTCTGTAAAATGCACTTTCAAGTCGTATTCCTTATATTGAGACTCGAGAAAACTGTAAATTGAATCTTGCCATAATATCCATTTTGACGGGTTTGGCTAATACGTTTATACATGTAGTTAATGGCTTGAATGCAGTAGTATATGGTATGGTTGCATCTGAATAAATATATCTTGTATACATGTTTGAAACTAACTTGAACTTACAGGTAATTGATCATGACAAACAAGTGATCCAGGCACTGAATCTAGCTTACTAGCATAAATCCAATCCTCCAATCTTCCACCACAAATTCCTGCAAAATTTCGTCTTAGTGTGTTCCAATCCACATCATAGTTTGTCGAGTAAGCCTGCTCTCCAAAATACGCCAATCCAGGTAAAGCTGACAGGGTATCGCATTCATTTCCATCATCGCCCCTGCAAGTATTGCACAAGTTATTGATTGGCAACTTGAACAGTTTTGATTTGAAAATAGATTTATACAAAAATAGTGTGTTGCATTTAAAATCAGGTCAGACATACCATAATGTGATGATTACATTACGGACAGATAGTTGTTTGCATGCAGATAGACACGCTTTAGCAGCATCAAACGTAAATGGTAAAGCAGCAAAGAATCTATTCCATGTCCAAACCGAGCTTGTAACCCAAGGATCAAATCCCAAAGCCCTATGTTGTTGTATTTTAAGCCGATATATTTCTGGATTGGTCTAGTACATGATTGATGCAAAGATTAGATATGTAAATGGTATGTAATGATACTCCAAGATAAAGGTGATGCCATATGCATCGTAAATACAAGGTGCATACGTGATAGTAGTCCCAGTAGACAAGCTGAATATTGTTGGGAAACTCTAGTGATACATCAGGCATTACAGCATTATCACTATGGTAAGCGTGTGGATCGTTGTTGTTTGCCAAAGTAAATAGCACTAGAATTTTCAAAAACAAAATACTGATCAACTCATCCTGATTTGAAGCAACGTTTTCAATGCATTTCAACCAAGATTTACATCTACTTACTATCAGACCAAATCAATGGTTCTAATCCCTCTTCGTGACAAATAGCAGCAACTCGCTTTAGATGTTCCAGATAAATCTGAGTACCTTCTTTTGTACCAAACAATTGCTTGTACCTTCCCTCACCTAAGCCGTTTGCTTCATCCATACCAATATGAATACGCTTAGAACAAAGTGAGGTTGAGGCAGCTTGAATCATTTTACGTATAAATGTATAGGTATCAGGATGGTTGGACAGTAAAATTTCACTTGTGCTAGCATACAGAATAAACCACGATAAAACAGGGTTACGAGCCGATATACCCAGATTTACAATATGTTTCAAAAACGCTGGCTTACTCTTTCAAATGAGCATAGGGTGGCCATTGCAAAATCTGACCCAAATGCCCCAAAGTTTGAATACACGGAAACACTTCAATTCCCAAATCAAACGCACTATCGCCAATGATCTTGATTTCTGCTTGAGTAAATACGCCTATTGCATACAAAGCAATTTGATGAATTCAAAATAAAGTTGAATTGGATCCGTTCCAAACTGTAATGCATTGAAAGGAGTGTAGTACCTCGATAGAACCCAAAGAAAGGTTCGCCAGGAATTGTATAGGTGTCTTCTGTGTATAATTGAAAAGTATTCAATCCCATCAAGGCACAATTTCTAAGCATATAAAGAACACCTTCTAAACGCATCACGGCAGCACGACTACAATCAATCATGGCTCTAATTGAAACAAAGACTCAGACATGACATTCGTAGTAAAAACAGAAGCCAATATCTAGATTTTTTGTAGTTTAACGTACCCTATTGATTCAAATTGTGCCTGAGATGTCCAAACGGGCTGAAGAGAAAATCGAGCCTGTTGCTGCAATTCAAATACAATTCCAAAAATATGACCCAAAGCACGAAAGGCTAAATTTGTAAAACAGTGATGATTGGCAAGACTTGAATGAGTATCGTAGAAATCGACATGTTTGAAATGCAAATCAAAGCGTACCTTCAATCCGACGTTGATACAACACGATGGCTTCAAACCGATCATGATCACCGACATCTTCCACATGCTGATGAGACCACTGCAGACAGTAAGATCGCTCACCAACATTCTGATCATCTGCTACAAATTTGATGTATAGTCTTATATTTTTCAAGTTTTCCTGGTCCATGTGCAAGGGTGGATCGATGTCTGCCATGGATTCGAATGTTGTAAAGTTGCAATGAACAGCATGAAGCGATATGCTATTTAGACCTGGACTGAGATCGGATGGATACTCTTGTGCTATAACATGAATGTTCCAATGTCGCTGCAGAGTACGGACTGAATGAAAAGGCAAATCAGTAGCTGATACAGTCAGATCTGCCATGGACGTTGCAGTGGGAATGCTTTCCATCCATGAATTAGGTTGAGGATGAATCTGTTCAGTCAAGATGGATTGTGATGATGATAATGACATGGTTGCACCCATATCTGGTGGTGACATGCGCATATCAACCAGACCATCTTCGTAGTTGTTCAAGACAGTTGTAGATATGACTGTATTAGATGCTACTGTAGGTTCATCCTGTACAATAGTGTCAATCTTTTGTACTTTTACTGTGGTTTCGGGCGTCTGCTTTTCGTCCATGAAATTGCTTTACAATGTCAAAATCTTGAACTCGATTGAATATTTTATTCATTATAAAACAATCCGTTGAATATTTTATTCAAAAAGAAATCCTTAAACACTAATCTTGGCAACTCCTTCCTTCAATCCACCCACAAATTGTGGATAAGATAGCAATTGCTCAATCCGATCCTCAACGAGATGAGATAGAAACCACATTCTTAACGCTGCATCTCCATCTTCTTTAACAACATACAACTGCAAGTACACACTTCCCATGATCATACGCTCTTGTCTTACACCTTCAATCAATCCACGAACACGCTCGTTGACATCGTCATTTGGAATCATTGGAAGTGTGGTTTTGCCAGACGGTATGGTGTCCACTTGCGGGTTACCCAACACGGATTGGCATAGCTGTGGGTTGGCTGCCTTTCCTACCCACAAAAACATCTCCAGTCCATTATCAAGCAAGTACATCCCCTGTCGATCTAGCTTCTCGCTCGTAAGATTCAGTTGAGGTGGATACACCACTTGCCCTTTACGCTCACCCTCGCCAACTGTCCCGATTTCCTTTTGTGTCATCACACTGTCTACATTCCAAAATCGTGGATACATGGTCACCTTGATCAGCTCTGGTGAAAATACACACAAAAGAGCTAGCATATAGGATCGCAAATCACTCGGAATGCTTGTAGACTGCCTAAACGCCAAATGTTTAATCATGGCCAAAGTGTAAATCGGCATCAGCTTGAGATTTTCAGGAAGAAGCAGTTGAGAGCTTGGCCCGTTACGTGCAAACTGATTCTTATACACTGCTATAAGCTCATGAAGCTTGTACATCAACGCATCTCGCGCATCTTCAATTTTACTTGTAAGAGCTCGCTCAACAGCTGGTAAACAGTATAAAGAGTTAGAATTACTGATATGTTGCCAATATCAACTCTAGTGATTTACCTTTTTTAGTCAACAAGGTTGTCAAAGCCAGCTGATCTGCACAAGAAAACACTTCGCTCAAATTAGTGGTGACAGGCACGGCAAGTGTCAGAACTCGAATTCGTCGTTCGCCACTACTACTTGTATGCAGCAGAGATGTTTGGAAGCATGCCATACGAGTAGTAATATCCTCGCCAATCTCCATCTCAATAGCATAAGAGTGGTCAGGAGATACATTGGGAAGAGATAAAAGATCGGTTGAGCGTAGAAAAAAGTTGCCGTGGAAAGCCTTCATTTTGATGCCGCGAGTAGTGCGAACTCTCATCACAGCTTCAAACCCAATTGGACGGGTGAGCAAGTGTCCTAATTCAGAAGCAAATTTGATTGAATCTTCGTATCGATTTGCACTGAATCGAGGATAGTAATGGATCGAGCCACCAGTGAATTTAGCGCATCCACCTAGTAAAAGTATGGTTTGATCCAAAAACTTGGACATTAGCATAAATATTACGCGATCAAAATAACGCAACGCTTACCAAGAGTAGCCACATCAGCATACTGAGGATTGAATAAGAACAGATCAATAGAAACTTGCATAGGCGAGCAGTCTACAGCCAAAGATTTGTAAAATCCAATTGCTGGCTGCAGCAGTCCATTTTCCTTGGCCGTCCCAAATAATTTGGGATCCTCTCTAACTTTCAACGCTCCATCATCATAGTTGACCAAAGTATATTCCAATACAACAATCTTTCCTCCAATGTGACCCACAAGTTTTTGTGCGGCCTTGAGAGCTTTGCCCATGGCAAGCTGAGTTTGTTGTGTATGCTCAAATAAAGAGGGTAGTTTATCCAAAAACTGGTCAATAACTTGACGTGATTCTGTCAGGGAAACAAGAAGATCAGATGGCATGGGAAGATAGGTTTCGGTCAAGTCAGCTACAACCATCATTTGAGGAAAAGACGAACTGCTACCAAGATTATAGAAATGCAAAGCAGAGTCAACGGTGATGAATGCGATTTTGGTGCGTCCGTCTAGATTCGGAATTTTATCCAACGAATCTTTGATAGATTTAGCGGCAACAGAAACCATGCCAGATTGAATAGCAGCATATGTCACATCAATGACAAAAATCATCACAACAGGCTGTGGAGGACGCACCATATATTCTTGTGGCGCAACAAACTCTACTACACCGTGAGTAAGTTCAGGTCGATCCAGTCGATTGAGCTGAGTACGTTGATCTGCATCCCAGTCAAAAAAGGCAGGAACGTCGTTGGTTAAAAAGCACATGTTGCATTTCCATCTTGCACCATTTTCTACAAATGTAATCCATGGATTAATGTAGGTGCGGCATCGACGACATCGTACAATTTGTGGAGCAGTAATAACAGGCACTTGTGGTTCATGAGGAAACAGATTCTTGTAGGGAGTGATCAGTAGACCAAACGGAATGCGACTCTTGTTGAGCAGCGCGGATGACTGAGGGATCGCGTTTAGTGTGCATCGCTGGTAGGAATCGTGTGGGTTGGCCATGGGAGAGTTGGATACCGATTGATTATTTATGTTGAGCATAGAATGAGTATCGACAAATGCATCCATTTGCGGTGGTCCATGAAGAATATTGACAGTGGGAACAATTGCTGTTGGGGCAGCATTCCCGGCTAAACCACCAGCCATTCCCATATTACCAAATTGACCAGATAGCTGGTTCACATCAGGCTGGAAATATCCACCACCAGGCTGTTGTTGCATCTGTTGCGGATACTGCTGCTGCTGAGTGTTTACAGATTGCTGAGGCTGAGACTGAAATCCAGTGTTGAACCCAGGCTGAGGCACTTGATTAATCGCACCAGTATGAGTAGGAGCAGCCATCCCAGGCTGAGTAGGCTGGGGCTGTTGAAAATATTGCTGCTGTCCAGCATATCCAAACTGTTGTTGCGTTTGGGGCTGTTGCATCTAGTAGATTAAAATTGTAGTGATTAAGATTAGTAAATACATGTGTACAGTCCAATTCATCGCAATAAAGTCAGATACATTAGAAAAACATGGCGATGAATTTGACTTTTACCATAGTAGATTGACCAGAACCAGCCATTTCAGGGTAAGCGCGACGAGATGTAGATTTTGGAGCAGCGCTTGCCATTGGAGATTGAGCCAAGATTTGTGGTTGACCATTAAGCCCATCCATCTGTGGAGTGAATGGCTTTTGTTGCAAAGGTTGGTTAGCAAATGGCTGTTGATTCATGGGCTGTTGCATGGCAGGATTGAGGTGACGAGGTTGCAAGGTTGGCTGAGCTGATTGGATTGGTTGAACTGGTGGTGGCATAGATTGTAGAGTTGATTGAAAAGGTTGCTGAGCGGACTGCGTAGGCGGTTGATGCCTTGGCTGTTGTGGCATTCCATGAATGGGCTGTTGCATGTTGCCATTGATTGCTCCTTGAGAAATCACAGATTGTCCTGCTTGATGTATGGAAGGTGATGGTTGCCCCGGATTGGTAGTAGGAGAAACAGTAGATAATGGACGTATGGTATTGGGTAATGAGCCATTTCTAGGAATACCGGAATTAGGAATACCTGATACAGGACGTTGAAATGCACCACCTTGTAATAAAGTGTAGATCCAATAATAAATATACGCAGAATATTAATAAAAAAATGAACGTGGGAATGAAAGTCTGGACAAGTTTATAGTAAAAGTGAGCAATATAAAGAAATCATAACTGGATTAAAGAAAATCAACTCAGTAGATCCAAATACAGAATTGAATTTATAGTAGATCCAAGTGGTAATTACTATCAATGACACTACAAAACGAGTCTTTTCAATTCCAGTCATCTTGCGATATGAATAGTAAACAGCATTATATATCCAACACACACTCTTAACTCTTGGCGAATATAATAGAATCAGCCATTCATGACTGCTCTTGTAACAATAAAATGGCAATCAACCAGACATGCATGGCCATGTAGAATATAACATGCCAACCAACTACCTTGGGAATGAACAGACATTTGTCTCTGTTGAGGAATAGTAGATCCAGTAGCCATAGTTCCAGGAGTGGGTCCAGTAGTGTTTGGAATAGATGGTGTCATCAAAGGTCGACCTTCAGCAGTGGATGAATTCGCTATAGGTCTGGTCATCCCTGGCTGCATTGGATGAATGGCAGCTGAAGAAATGGGAGTGCCATGAGTAGGATAAGAAGGTCTTTTATTAGTGGCCATGGGAACAGTGCCATTTGGAGGATTTGTCATGATAACTCCTAATTGCAGTAAAACTTGTCGATTTCATAAATCATTCCATAAATCATTCATTTCTTTAAAATAAAATTCTATGTTTCTATCATCTCAAACATCTTGCTTAGTTGAATATTCTTAATTACAATTTATATAAAATCACATTATTCTTACCTGAATGCATTCTGTCGAACAGTATTTAAAGTTTAATTTCTCAAATGGTGTTATTCCAACAAGTGATTTGCCACATGCACTGCACTTGTTTGCACTCGACTTCATCCGTGCTTCTGCTGCCAATGCTCGCTTCTCTCGATCTAAACGCATACGCTGTTCTGGTGTCATAGAATTCACGTTGAGTTCTTGATGACTAAGTTTAACTATTCCAACTCGTTTAGATCCATCAACATTCGTTCCAGATCCCATCTTTGCAGATTTCTGTTTGAGTTTTGCTTGCTGAGCCTCCTCCTTGATTTGCTGTTCCTTTTCCTCTTTTTCCTTTTCCAAGCTCAACTGTACGAGTCGTTGTTGCTCCCTGTTTCGTTCTCTTTCAGCCTGCCTCTCCTCCATTTCTGCAGTCAGCGGTTCAAAAATATGTGCATCCTTATAGTCCCACTTTTCCATGTTCCTAGCCATAAACCGTCTAAATGCATCCCGTGTAGGTTTATCTTTTGCAACATCATACGCTCGAACCTTCTTATTCATACCTTTTATGGTAGGATCTGCACCCATTCCCAATAACAGTTCCACAACATTCGCATTTCCGTTTTCAGATGCAATATGAAGAAGACTTACACCATATTTATCTGGAAGATTGCAATTGATGATTTCAGAAGAGTTGGATGCATAGTGTTGATCAAGATACGTTTGCAAAAGATTCGATTTTCCACGTTTACAGAAATCAGAAAGTTTAAGCATGTGTTGAGGAGGTGGAGGATCTGGAACCACTGGCGGAACAGATTCGTCCTTTTTACGGTTTTTTTGTTTTTCAGTTGTAGTAGAAAGTGATGGAGTGAAATCTGTATCTACACTTGGCATCTCATTGACATGATCTATTCTTACTGTAGACAGCTCTACAAAGCACCGCATGATCTCGCTCTGTGTAGGCCGCATGGTAGTAAATGGGAACGATCTTACCCGTGGATCCGTTATATCTACTAGATTTTTGTCAAAATATATGGTGGATCTGTTGGCTCCGGTAGCTCGAATAAACAATGCCTGACTCGCTTTAATATGAGGTTTCCATTGAATGAGCAAGTCTCTGACTTCAGTCTGCAATGCTGCTTCATTGTATCTTCTGATTCCTGCACCTGCAGAGTGTGCATTTCCTTTAGATCCATCATTACTAATGTATATGAATACAGCAAAAATAAGTTGAACAGAATCGACCAACACAAGTATTCAAGCCAACTCTAACCTGCTTTGAGCTCCACCTTGCTTTCTTCTTGTAGTGTATCGATGGAATGTTTTTTGTACAATAGATTTGCCAGTCTTCAAATCTATGACAGCACCAGCAAAATGGCCCGATCCAAGCATCAGCAAAGTCCAGTACATTTCACCTACAGGCTTATCCATCTGCAGTTTCAAAATCCGGTCACTCCAAAACTGAACAGATTGTGCTAATTCATCATTGATGGACAGTGAAGCAAGAGACTGTTTGTATATCGAGACTTGATTGAATCCAGCCTTGGTCGTTAAAGGCAACAGCAGTTTTACAAAAGGCGAGCCTTTTGTATGCACTTGATCCAATGACAGAGTAGAATGTTCATTCTTTCCAGTTTCTGCATCACTCGAGTCATGACTATCTGGATTACTCTCTGAATCAGTATTGACTGTTGACTGAGGATGAGTTGATGTTAAAAACTGGGATTCAGAAATGGGATCGAGTGACTTGAGTTTCAAGTGTAAATTGTGTTTATGCCAATCACTCTTATAATGAGTTCGCATGTCAGCATACGAATGGAATGGAGTGGTTAGATTGCATGTTGTCAAGCAACATGGCAGTGAAGGCAGTACATCAGATGCTGAAAAAACAGTTGTTTTTTGTGGATCCAAAGTAGAACAGTTTTGAACAAGAGCCTCAATCGTATGTGTGTTCAATCGAAACAGTGATTGTGTGGTAGTCATCGTCAACCTGTTGCTTGTCGAATATGAAATTCCGAAATGTGTCAACTTTTCAACGTTTCGAATTACTGATTTTTAATCTTGAATTTCATGGCGGAAGCAGCTCTCAAGATTAGACGGAATGCGGAAGAGTATAGAGTAAGCAAGACCATTCACAAGATATTTGTTCAAGACAACTGATTTAATTGTGTTGTTAGGATGCTGTCTCGGATTTGCTGGTTTGGGAAAAGGAAATGATTAAAAAGGACAAACAGCGACAACCATCGGTAATGCATTGGTGTGCATATATCTATCAACTTGAACTCTCAGACTACTCATTTATAGAGTCGAGTTGGATAACGAATATGTGTTCACTTTAAACTGACAGTAGTCTCGTTTTGATATGATGTCGTCAGTATCCTCCAATCCGATCCATCCAAAGTGAAACCACCCAAATCAGTACTCATCCATCCTCCACTGCGCCAGCTCCCATACATGACCAGAAGATCAAAGGATTCAACTATGCTGCTTGGGAAAAGTTTGACGTGGTAAGAGCCTTGTGGTGAGTCGATTCTGGGAGAATGTAGATTTAAACACTTGCGTTTATGTCAATGATAGGACAAGGCATTGGAGCAAATCGATTACCAGCCAGCATCCAAACCAGTTCAAACTCCAGTTGCTCATCTTCAACCCAACAGTAAAGATCGAATTCCTCAAGAAGCTTTGAGTCGTCTTGAATCAGCATTGGTCGAAAAGGAAAAGGTAACCCAATTACCCATCTATGCTCAATCGCAATTCTAGCCTATACAAGCTTACATCACATTTACTGTGGTGTTTAACTCGTGTTGATATGGTAGGGAAATGAATATTTTAAACGAAAGAATTTCAAGCGAGCAGTTCAGTGTTATACCAAGAGTATCGAGCTTAATCCAGCTGACACGGTTCCCATTATTAATCGTGCCATGGCTCATATCAAACTTTTCAAGTAAGAATTTGTTTTTATTAAACTAATGACTTTGAAGATTGGCCAACTCTCGTACGCATTTGTATTATAGTTGGGTCAAGGCCGAATCCGACTGCTCGTTGGGACTGGAGATTCAACCAAAGAATGTCAAGGCATTATGGCGACGAGGAATTGCTCGCAGAGAACTTGGAAAGTTTGAATTGGCTTTACAAGGTAGTTTTCAATTGATTTCTTGCATGCAAGTTGATGTACAGATTGTTTTAATAATTAATATTTTTGTTTTAATAGATTTGGAAATGGCTATGGTTCTTGAACCTGCAAATACAACGATTAAACAGGAGTTACAAGGCCTGAAAAAGGCAATGGAAGCTCAAGTATGTCTCGACTTTAAATGTTAACGAGTTTGAGATTAAAACTAATATATGTATCCAATATTTATTTCATAGAATCCAGTAGCTTTGAAACCTACAACTAGCGCAGCTGTGGAGCAGTCAGCGCAGGTTTCTCGTCGTAGACGACTTGTAATTCAAGAAGTGGGTGATGCTCCCGTATCAGCAAAACCAATCAAGTTGAACCCAGCTAAAATTGTTGACGAGCCGACTTTAGCTCGTAGTATTTCGCCTGCAGCTGAGCAATCGTTTACTGAAGCTGCTCAGCCATCTGTGGCATTGCCCAACACTCAAACTGTAAAAACTCCACCAGCCAAGCCGATGATAGAAGTAATGAATATATCTGATGTTCCAGATATAAAAACATTTAAATCATCTGTGGTGATAATGGATAAGAATCAAGTTTCGACAAAAACAGCTGAGCTACTCAAAGTGCCCAAAACAATGTTTGAATACGCACGAGACTGGAAGTCTCTTGGATCAGATCTTGCTGGGAAATACACATACTTTAAAGTATGCACCATTCAGATTCTATTAAAACTACAGTCTAAACTAATTCCAAATTATTTTATTCACTATGGATATTTAAATATAGGCGATTGCTCCATCAGATCTACCCAATATTTTCAAGAGTTCATTGGAGGCAATATACTTTTGCGGGATGCTTGAAATCCTTTACCAATACTATCTTCCGTAAGGATTGAGTATTCATTCTGCTTTGGTTTTTGATCTTATTGACAAGATTTTCACGCCATGTTTTGTATATAGAAACGAATCGGTCGAATTGATACTAGAAACACTTGCAAGCATGACTCGGATCGAACGTGTGCAAACAGCAGTCATGTTTCTGTCCAAAAAGGACAAGCAAGGTAATCATAATGAGACTACAGCAAGCACTGAGTTTATACTAACGTACCAAACAGTTGTCATGGATCTAGTAAAGCATATTGAAGCATCTGTTCTACACGACAAATTTACAAGAGATTTAATACAAATCAAGTCTACATTCAAGATCAAATAAACTATGATTACAGTCTTGATTCAATCAACACGACCATTGTATGGATGTACTGGAGTTGTGAAGATTGCTTTAAACATTTGTTTAAAAGACTGCTAATCAGCAAATTTGTGCCAATTATTTATGAAATTGGCTGTTTATCGTGTAGTTTTGTTTTGCGTGAATACAAAAATAATATATGTAATGTTAAAGCCAACATTCAGATATAATCCAACTGTTCTGTTACTCTGTTTCTTTTGGCCGTCTTCCATTATAATCATGAGGCGTGCATGGTTTCATAGCCCCACAACTCTCGTGTTTTTTGCCCTGAAGACTGCGATCCAGAACTTTAACCATTTTCTCTTATTAACAATAAAACTGTTCCCACTTTTTCTTTAGTTTCTTATTAACCTCGCTCAACCGTTGAGACTCCTCTTGGCCCACAACACTTGGCACGATTCCTCAAGTACTCTCTCTTTGAACACCTCTTGGATAACAAAAACGACTTGACTACAGAACAAGGAGACCGAGATAACGGAAGAAATGGCTCAAGACTCGACGACTATGGAGTTGCTTTTAAAAAAAATTGAAAAGCTTGAGCTTGAGAACAATGCTCTTAGGCAAACCCTCCAGGACGTTGGAAATTGGATTCCCTCCTATTATGGGCCTGAGTTGGTCTTTCCAGATAAATACGATGGAACTCGGTCTGAATGCCGAGGTTTCATTAATCAACTGGAGCTAATCTTCAAGCTCCACCCCAAGCAATATGATTCTGATTTCAAGATGACCGCCATACTTGGACTCCTTTTAAAAGGAAGAGCTGCGGCATGGTACAACCCTTTCATTGAGCACCCCGAGGAACATGAGGACCTTCTGAACTCATGGCCACTCTTCAAGGTCGAATTCAGAGCTGCGTTTGGCGAAGCCGACTATCAGAGAGCTGCAGAAACAAAACTCATGTACATTAAGCAAGGGAATCAAGACTGTAGCACCTACGCCACTGATTTCCGTATACTCAGTATGGACGCTCAATGGAACGACAAAGCTCTCCAGTTCTATTTTTACCAAGGACTCAATCCAGAGATCAGGAATCTTCTGGTCAATTTTAACAAACCTGACTCGCTTAAAGATCTGATGAAGTTGGCAATTCGAGCTGACGACCGAATTGCTGCTCAACGACAAGAAGAGCGATGTTCCTCCTCGAATGATGCTGATCGTTTTAGCCCTCAACCTCGTTCACAACAAGATTCTTGGACGTATGACAGGCCACAAATCCAATCCCAGACTCAGTCAACCACCTCAGCTTCGACTCCTCAATACGCTGAGTCTATGGATACCGGCACTATTCATCGAAGCTCTCTTTCCACCTCTGAGCGACAACGGCGAATGAGTCAAGGACTTTGCCTTGTCTGCGGAGATTCCGGCCACTTGAAAGTTGATTGCCCAAAGTCAAATCGCAGGATCGCGACTAGGGACTATAAAATCTTTCAAGAACAAACCCCTCCAAAAAACGAGTTTGGCCAATAAATAATTGACAATTTATTGACCGTTTGTATTTCTTCTCTCTCATCGCTGAACAAACTACTTATCCCTGGCACTCTCCGAATCGGGGGTTCAGGGTTTCGAGAGTAGAATGTGTTAAGTTATTGGGAGTAAATGTTAATACGATATTGTAGAAATGGGGTAAAAGGACTCTTTTATAGGAATTTCTGGGTCGCGGTAATTCAGAGACATGGTTATCTGTTAGTAGTTGTGGGATTGTAAAATATGACATGCCATTAGGTACTAGATGGGTATGATTTTAACAATTTTAACAGCAATGATAGTGTAGTGGTTAACATCCGCGCCTTCCAAGCGCGTGGCCCGGGTTCGATCCCCGGTCATTGCAGTTTTGCATTTAAACTGTTTTGGTAGATTATCAAGCACCTCTTTTACTAGTCAACACTAATGTATAATTCAAGCCTTGAAGCACACACTTTGTAAAATAGTATAAGGTGTTTAAAATATTATTTTAGATAAAAGTTACTGCCAAACACCAGCATAAGATCCACGCAGATTAAGTTGAAGAGGACCACCAGCAGTAAACAGCCGATTTCCCTTGGAGTTGTAGGATAGAGTATATACGGCATTAGATATATCTACGCCCTGAAAATGGGTTGTATAAATCTCGTCTCTATGCAGCCATCCTTTTCCTGATTGAAGATAGGAATGGTTGGGCTGGGTAAAATCAGGTTGGCAAGATTGCGTGTATTGTTGAAGGGTAGGGTGGGTACGAGTGCCAACATGAGAGAATATCTGTGTGGAAAGTTCAAAATCAAGTCCATGCAGTTCAGGACTGTTTACTGGAAGATGGTCATTGAACGGCGCCAAAGTGCGGGAAAAGGCGCGAGTACACAATGTGCTATGTTTATTCCAGACAGTCGATTTACGCCATGACAAGTACTTTTGTGCACGCAAGTCATAAAACGAGATTCGTCCCAATCCTCCACCTACAGTGACTGTATCGCGATCCATACATAGTGATCTCACGCCCCAACCTTCATCGCTCGATTCAAACATGTGAACCACAGAGCCAATGCGAGGATCAAGCAGAGATACATGGTTTTGAGATCCAACAGCTATGAGATGGTGTGTAGTGTCAAGGGCAAGGCATACTGTTTCATTTGAATGATGCAGGGGTATGGATGACGACACTTTACACGATGTACCTGCTACATCCCAGACCTTTACAAATCCATCAGATGAAAGAGTAAAAGCATGTTTCAAGTGATGGTCATACTTGAGATCCCTAACTTTTCCCATGTGTTCTTTTTTCATGGACAATGGAGAATAGACGGAAACAAAGTGATTCAAGGGATATTGGTAAAGTGAGTCTGAGATATGCAATGAATTCAGTGACCAGTGCATAAACTGTGCATCCCTGGATCCAGAAACAAGTGTTGTATCGTCCAACCATGCTACAGAAAATACCACATCGGTATGACCCTTTAGTAGCGCATAAGGTTCAAATGTAGGTAGATGGTAGATTTGCACAAGATTGGTTGGATCACCACCACCAACAGCTATAAGAGTGTTTGATGGATTGATTGATATGGAATGAATTCCGGCACAGTGATGCAAAGCAGCAGACTGTAATGGTCGTTGTTGCTGTAACGATAAAGTGCTGAATGGCTGATATAAACCACGCGCAGAATTGGACGCGGTTTCTTGGGATGACTTGGATTGTGGAATGAGATTGCAAGCAGCAAATGTGGGAATATCTATCCGTTTTCCTGAATCTACATCAAGCACTTGCAGCTTATTGCATTTTGTTCCCAGTACAACGGACGAATCCGAAAGCCATGCAGAGGCAAAGATTTTGTCAGTATTCTCCATCAAAAACGCAGATTCTGACAAGGCAACTGGCAAGTGCCGAGTAACAAAAGATGACAGTCTGCTTTCACCTGCAGACATAAAGTTTTCATGCATTCCCAAACGCATTTGTGCTGAACATGTTGCACATCGTAGTTTTTTGTCGGCAGCAGAATTCGAAACAAAACTGGGTCTCTCCATCAGCAATAGCGACGAAAAGTCACCATGTGTAGATGTGGTTGAGCCTTCATCAGATGGACTGCTTGGAGGTATATTGTCCAACTCGAATGGCATGTCAAGATCTTTTTGCAAATCAAGACAGTCTGAACGAGAATCTGAGAGGGAGTTGATGGGAGATGGAGTCTGTACGATTGTGGATGGTATATCCAAGACAGGCCATAGCGCACCTGTCAATGGCTTGACTATAGATGCCCAGTCCACCCCAGCATATATGGGCGAGGTTGACTGAGTTTTTGGTGGAAACTCGAGGCACTCTGGTTCTACTGACGAGTTAGCATTGACTTGAGGAGATGGAGAATGGCAGCGAGAGACTGGTACACTTCCAACACCAGAGTATCGAGGACATTTACAATCAGGACATCGTATGGTGATTGGATCTGACCTGGCATCTATTGTAATAGCATCCATGGTTGGCCTATGTCGGTATTGAGGACGATTTCTATGAGAGGCTATCATCTCACGAGACTTGAGATAGTCTACTACGTTACAGGGCTCTTTCTCGACATAGTATCTGCTGGCATGGTCATGATTAGGACCTTCGGTAAAGGTGGATGGATACTTCCAACCTTCAATACGCCGCGTTGTAAACCGTTTAAAATGGCCTACAAGGTCGGAGGAGTAATGGTTTGTCGAGTTGGAAGTAGATGAGCCAAGTATATCAGCAGAGTCATGGACCAAGTCTAGCCGTCTACTGTCATGACTCGACATGCCATTCTGCGAGCTGTCAGCATCTACATGCAAGTGATGCCGCCATGAAACCGTGGAGGCCATTTGCAGTTGTTGATTAAACTGATAAATACAACAATGAAGGATAAAATCTAGGGTTGATTAATAGAGCAGCAGGATAATGTTATTTCAGATACGATGCGGGGTGTATAAGAATGTTGTGGTAGTTTGGAGTCGAATGGTACGAGTTTGTAAAGGGTTTAAACTCCGCTTCAAACGATTCAGCAGTCGATTGCTCGAGTGATTCAGTTTAACAGAATTCAACGTACAATTCACAGCATGAATTCAAACAAGATGCTTAACGTGGCAGCCATCGACACTCATGAGCCACATGCATTGGCAATCAAGGCTTTGACTAATGCAATGAAACTTTTCCAAGACTGGAATAGAAAGCAAAACAATTCAACGGCAGCGCACCACTGAAACTGAACAATAAATCCTTGATTTATAAGCAACTTGTCGAGTTGAAACCAAAATAAGCTTTTTGATTTAGTATAATTTTTACTACTTGGCCTTGATATACATATATTCTGGTAAGGTTTTGTATGACTATTAGACATGTAATCATCATCAAGCCACAACTGATTCCTTGCTGGTCTTGTGTAGAATAGGATTAATACTGCAACTGTAAATGAACAACTCAATCAACAGCAGTACAAGCAAGCCAACCCATTCTACCACTTGGACACAAGAACTCATGAAACTGGTATCAACAGACCTTTCAACAGCTGCATCTTCGGACATGGTGTTGACAACCCCAGCCTTCTCTCTTGCACAACCTCCAGCTCAGACCATCGGACCAACACCTCCTCCCTTGCGCTCACTCTCTGCCAACAGCAGTGTGACTCCTGTTAGCATGGGATTGTCAGAAGGCAGCACTGTGCGTAGTTCTGATGGTTCTGGTCTATGGCTGAGAGAAGTCAGGATGGTGTCGACCATCGAGTCTGACCCTGGCGGTGGATTGGACAGGACTGCAGGACTGCCACTGGATGGCATCGACAGTGTTTGGCCATCGTCCACCACAACCGCAGTCGTGGCCATTCCAGCAACCAAACCACAGTCGATCGGCATCTCGCAGAAGCTGTTGCGTCCTACAGTCACTTCTTCACTGCAACTATTGATGCAACATCATCAATACTCCAAGACACATGTTCATGACCAGACTGTGTCTGTGGGTGTGCATGAACAGGCTCAGATGACTTCTGTTGCACCTTCTATTCAACGTATTTGCACTCCCCCAATGCCACTTGACTGTAAGCTTATTTATGCTTTTCTAATGGTCTTGACTATAGAATCTCACTGTTCAATTTCAAATAGGGTCGTGGGTGCAAGTGAAGCGACGAGGTCCTGTTACTCCAAGTGTAAGTGGAACAGATGCCGATTTGGATGGCACTGCAAGTCGATGCAGCAATTCCGATTCTGATAGTATTGAACTGGTCTCTGCTTTTGGTGATGCTCTCTCGCCTGTATTGATCCACGCCAATGGCTCTGGATTCGGCAGTTATGTGGTTCCATCTCCTCAATCCTCGTTGCACAATCAACTCTATCATCAGAATATATCTGCACCATTCGGTCAGCCATTCAACAAACAGCAGCCATTACCCAATGCACAGAGTAAACCTTCATCTCCTCAACATACTCAGCACAAGTCAAAAGATGCTCAAGCACTCCATCAGTCTCCCATCATGAATCCTGCATTCTTGGAAGCATTCCGTTCTATGCCCGACTTTGAACCTCTTCCTGCACCATGTGTATCCAGCACATCCAACTCTCAGTCTTTTAAAATCGCCAGTCTCGATGATGTGGACCAAACTATTCCCATGCCACTAAGATTGGGTGTTGGCGATATAATTAGAATGACTACTCCTCCACCAATGCTGGTTCATGGTCCATTGTTTTCTACAGATAGCTACACAACCAAGAGAGACTTTAATTATGGCAGTCTTCTTGTTCATCCAGCAGTTGCACGGACAACCTCTGGCTCAAGAGCCGCTGAGATAATGCTGCATACAAATGATGCTGCACTCAGCGGCTATGTCGTCATGGAGCGTCCCTCAAGTAGAGCATCACTTCACAGTATGCAGTCTGCTAGTGGTGATATTACTGATAGTCCCATTTTAGTCCCATTTGCTTCACGAGAAATTTCTATTGAAAGCACTTGCAATGCAGATACTCCATCGACTCTGGATTCCTTGCGTCTACCTACACGGATACAGGCTTCTGCTACTTCAAAAACCCTGTCTGAATCCAGTGAAACCTCTCAACCTATCAAAGAACATAGTGTTGGCTCCTACGATCAAAAGTTTGATGAGCTGACGCAATTGCTTCCACGCATTCATACTAAAGGGTTTGACAGACCATCGAGAGATCACTCGTTTGACCTGTTTTGGCCAATCAGCCAGATCTTAGATGGAGACATAGCAGGCGATGGAGATTCATGGTCATGGTTAGTCTTTAAACTTGTAAGTGCGTTTGTTGCTGCTGGCTTAGGCGGCTATTTAGCATTTAAATGTGGCATGATTGTTCAGCGAATCGTCTTGGATCGCATTGCTCGTTTGGCCCATTAGATCGTCTTGTCCGACGCTTGTCTAGCAGAAAATACAGCTTATTCTTGTTTTCAGCTTGTGTTGCTGGACACTACTCTTTTGTTATAACTTTTGTCTACTTTTACAAGCACCTAAAAAGTATTTAGACAAAAAGTGCATTTATTGGATTGGTCTGTACCAGTCATTTTATCTTATTGCCCACTTTGCCATTCCATCTCTTTAGTTTCAAATTTACAGCCATATTCACGTAAAATGGAACACTAAATAAAGGCTTATCAATACATAATAAACAGTCTTGTTGGATGGGTGCCAATCTTACCGAGCAACATTGTTTTACAAACTCTTTTAGCTCGCTAATCATTGTGCCCATGTTTATATAAAAGTACAGAACAAATCTTCATATTCCTATTCAATACATTCAAGACTTTTTAAATAATGGCATGCAACATCTCCAAACACGCATTCCATTCTTGAACCCCCATAAAAAACGACTCTGGTGTCTGACATGGCTCAATGCACGACACCAGAAAAGTGAGAACTTCAACAAAAGTCATTCATTTCCAACAACAACAAATATTCAACCATGATCTATTCCAAGACCATCACTGCAGGATAGATACAAATTCCATTTTATGTGAATATGACTTTAATTAAATTGGGTTTTCACGACACTACAGTTTTAATCAGCAAAGCTTGAATGATATTTTAGTTTAAACACAATATCCATACACGTATATTGAATATCTAGCCATTCATTTAAACTCGTCTTTGAGGCACCATAGTCCGACACCTTGCTCATCTTTAGTAAAATAGGCAATACCTTTCAGCATCTTGCGGAACACAGGCAACGTATCTGCTGACAATCGTACTTTCAATGACGAAACTATGCTTGATGTAGAAGCTTTTCCGCCTGAATTTACAAGCCAGTCGCGTATCTGTAAAATCATGCCGGCTTGGGATGCTGGGTCAATGTCTTGATGGGTTTCTGCAGTAGATCCTGAAATGGTAGAAACAGCAGCAGCAAACGCAGATCCCGGAACAATAGAAGCCGATGCAACCGATGAGGATAGTGTAGGAAAAGTACCTTGTTCAGAGTTTGTGCTGGGAAACTGTGTGATGGCTGCACGATTGCGCAACCCTGCAAGCAACGACGATGAAGACAAAAAAGACGGTTTTGCTAATGGGTTGGAATGACTTTCAACATGTTTTCCATTAACTTGATTGGAAGGCTTTGAAGTCGATCGAGATATGGATCCACCTGCACTGCCACTTCGTCCTGTCCAAGTAGGAGTCCCTACGTCTTTTCTTTCCTGTCGCACTCGGTGTCGACTCTTTTTTAATGCTGCAATGGCATCATTGGCTACTTTGGTCGCCTCTTTTTCAACAATGAGCGCTTCTGGCGTAGACGCCTCCATAATCGCATCGTGCTTGAGTGCAGAGTGTACTCCTGTCTTGGAAAATAATGCTTGCAATATTCCCGAATCGTCATCATTATAAGGATTCGTCAAATTTTGATTGGACTCTTTTGACAAACTACCAGATTTATGTAGATCCTGATCAGACATATTGGAATGGACAGTATTATCATCTTGTAAATCTTGATTGACAGATTCTGGCGTTGGCTTATACTCGTCAACTTTTGCAATACCTTGAATCGTATTCAACTCTGCTTGTGTATCACAATACGGTCTTCGTGGTTTTTTGGTCCGTTTAGTGTGGCTGCTCAGTGCACCATTTGCACCAGAAGAACCAGCATGGACTTCTACATCCATCCCCTCAAATAAATTACCCGTTTCAGTCGTGTCATCTTCTTTACTTCCAAGCATAAACAGATCATGCAGATCGTTACTCTTGAAAAACCGTCGTTGACGAGGATCTTTGAGAATTTTGTTGGTGAGAAACTGCTTGAATATTTGACGATGATATATTTTTTCCTCTATTGTGCCAGAAGTCATGAGACGATAAATGGTTACACTCTTTTTCTGTCCCAGTCGCCATGCTCGTTCACGAGCTTGCATATCTGTCGATGGGTTCCAGTCTGGATCAAAAATAATCTAAAGTTATTCCAAACATATAAAGTATTAGTTAATACAAACGCGTATGCTATATAGCAAATCTGAAATAACCGAATCAAATGTATGCTCAATTTAAACAATGACTCTGGAAATATAAATGATTTTAAACAATAAACCATACCACACGATTTGCACTCGTTAAATTGATGCCAAGGCCTCCAACCTTGGTGGTCAACAAAAATACAAAATACGATTCATCCTCATTATAGCAATCAACAATCTTTGATCGTTGCTGAATAGATGTGCTTCCGTCCATTCGTAGATATGCATAGCCTAGAAATTAATAAAGCGTTGATAATTTACACTCTAGCTCAAAATGTATGTAGCCTCTACATTGCTTACCTTCATTTTTGATAAACAGCTCAAGGATGTCTAACATTTGTCGTGTTTGACAAAACAGCAAGACACGATGGCCTTGTCGTTTCCACATTTGAAGTAACGCCTTGACAACAATCATTTTGCCAGATCTTGACACAGCACCATAGTTGGCCTATGAAATTGTATAGTTTAAATATTGATGTTGGAATATATGGTACTTGCAAAGCCTAACCACTCTTAAATGTGGTAGTAACAAAGACTACCTACTGAAAAATCAGCATTGTTGCGCTCGAGTAAATCAGGATGGTTGCATATTTTTCGCAGTACATCTATTCCTGCCAAAATTCGCAACTTTCCCTCTAAAATGCCCTTGAGTTCCTTTGATGAAAGAAATTTTTCATATTCCTGTAATCCAAATAGTCGTCAATTAGCCTACACCAACATGAGCTCTAGTGTATTTTGTAATCACTATACTTCAAAAACATACTCGTCGCTGAGCATCAGATAATCGACAGAATAGGACCTGCTCACTCTTTTTTGGTAAATCAGTGGCAACATCAGATTTCATGCGTCGTAGCAGGTAGGGCGAGATCATATCTCTTAGAATGCATGCACATTTGTAAGCTGTCTGAACTTGAACGTTATTGGCATTGGCATAGCCACCCAAATTGATTGGTGTTGCAAATTGGGTTTGAAAAACAGGGAGCGTCTATTATTATATAGCATTAGTTGGATCAACACAATAGGTGTTAAACTACCATTGGTAATATCACAATCCTTACACCTAGTCGCCCAGGAAACACAAAATCATATATGGACCACAGCTCTATAAGATTGTTTTGAATTGGTGTTCCCGACAAGATTATCCTATGCGGAGTCTATACATCACAGTTAAAATTCGCACAAATAACAGTGCAAAATCTTTAAAAGATCTTGATACTAAAAACACATTACATGCAAACCTTGAAACGCTTGCATGCCATTGTTACTTCTGAATCTGGATTGCGAATTTTGTGTCCTTCATCCAATACGCAATATGCCCATTTAACTGGAAGTAAAATATCCGCATGAATTCGAATCGCGGCATATGTAGTTACAAGTACGTGTCCTAGAATAATAAATAGTTGAAACGCCATTTAAAGCTAGTATACGTCAGAGCTTGAAACATGTACCCCAACAACATACACTAATTCCCCACCGTTTTTTACAATATTGGCAACCAGCGCGCGAGCTTTTGATTTTGATTTTATAGGATAGTGCAATGTATCCGATCGTTTCCCTTTTTTCTTTGGTCTTTTTTTATCCAAAAAATACTCGTTTTCCTCAGACTCATCGCTCATGTAAGTAGACTCGGAATCTCTATCATGCGCCTCCGAGCCTAAACCACTACCGGTAGAATGAAGAATTGCAACACGAAATGGTGGCCACCATTTGTGAAATTCTTGCACCCATTGTCTCAAAACTGTTGCTGGACAAACAATGATAACAGGACCTTTGAGAAGCCTTGAAAATCCCAAGCCTGCCAAAAACGAAATGATTTGGATCGTCTTTCCAAGACCCTAAATCAGAGATTAAATATTTGAGAATCAATCAATACAGTTAAAGATGCGCACCTATTAAACTTGCAAATTTATATCAACAGTACCATTTCATCTCCAACTAAGCCCCCAACTTCTTGGCAATAAAGCTCCCATAGCCATTTTACGCATGTTCGTTGGTATGGGAATAGATGGCGGTATACGTCTCCAGGAACACAATAACCTTTGTGAATTACTTCATCCTCATAAACAAGCGAAGGCTCAAAAATCTCTTTTTCAACATCGTCATCTAGCTGCTCTGTCATTTTTTCATCGGCATTGTCACCTAACTTGAATGAGAGTTGAGCAAATACAATCTAGAATGCATTTTAAAAAGTCAACGTTGCCTACCAACAGATTTTCTCTTTTTTTCCGTCGCTCTATTGCCCATTTTGTCAATCGTCGTCTATATGATAATTCGTCGCCATCGTCCTTGTAACGATCAGCATCCATTCTATGTAATTTTTTTCGTTTAAAAGATTTCTTGTTGTCTTTATAATCATCCTTATCCTCTTCATTGTCATTATAGCTAGAGTGATCAGAAAACTCGTCGCCAGATTGGTCTTTAGGTACAAAATCTATAGATTTCCGACTTTTACTAGCAGTCTGCTGTGGTTTAAAGGTTATATCTAAAGCATCCATTGCTTGGGAATCATCAGTTTGAAAAAATGGAGTAATCTTTCCCGTTCGGATGAGTCGCTCACGCTCAGTTTCAACCGTAGCTTCATCTGCATGGTATTAAACAAAAGTATACGAATTTTCAAAACAAGTTCAATTATACAAAAGCTATACAGCTCACAACAATGGTTTGTGCAAAGCCAACCAACCTGAATTGCCATTGTTTTCGAAATCCAGACGCTTCAAAATGCACTTTTCATCCTTACGCAAAGCCTCGAGAGACTTGGAGGCAGTATTAATGCGGCTGATAATAGCTTCTTTTTCAGATACTTTAGTGCAGGGAGAATCAAGCCGAGATCTCATAGTATTCAACCGACGAATGAGACTTCCTTTTGCTTTGAGAACCTTGTCTAGACGAACCTTTTCGGCCTTTATAACCTTTTCTTTTAGCTGCTGATTAGCCTATAAACATGAGTTTCAAGATCCAATTACTTGTTAAAATGTGATCATGAAGATAAAAATGCAAACTGCATTTTTAAACTCAAAGTTTAAAATCCAATTGAAAGCCAGGATTTAGACTTCAAATGCAACGTGATGCTTGCCTGCTCCATGACAGAGCGATGTAGTCCTTGTTCATCCTGCACACTAACAAGAAATTTTGTATCATCGCCTCCAAAAGATAACTCATCAAGCTTTTCGTTGTCACCGCTGTCATGGACACTTGGCGTATTGTCGAGTACGACTGGAGAGGCATAAGCCAGTGCTGTAGAGTCTTTTGATGCATTATATTGTATGTCAGTGTGACCATCGAAATGAGCATCTGTCTTAATATCATCATCACTAGCGAATGGTTTATACTCGTCGTCGGTATTGCCATAAAATGTATCGCTTTCTCTGTCTACATCGCTGGGATCACTGGAGTGATGACTGAAAGAATCCATGCAATTGAATCCAAACCAGCCTAGACAGATTTAAACAGTGGTGGTTGCAAAAAACTATTATCAAACCAACAACTTTTAGAGATCGTAAACCAGTTGATTAGAAATTGGCAAAATGTGGCATGCTGTATATTTAGAGTCTGGTTGCTGTATTCTGATGGCTGGTCGGTATATTTGCATTTCAGACACCAAATTCCGAAACTCGAGTTTCATGCGAGCGTGTTTTTATTACTTGGACTTGCATCAGGATCAACAGTTTGCATTTCTTTCAATTGACAAGTCGTATCACTACTGCAGCTTGAAAATGAGTAGCGACGGGAATTCTTTATTAGCAGAGGCAGACAAAAAGCTTCAATCCAAAGGTCTTTTTGGATTTGGTGGCCCTAAACTGGAGGAGGCTGCCGACCTGTATGGTCGTGCCGGGGTAGCCTTCAAACTTGCAAAGAAATGTAAAGGTTATTGCCTGACACAAGACCATCGATTTATCTATTTTTTATTTGCAAATCCTACCTTTTAGGCTCAGTTGGATTGGCAATGTGCTTCATATCTGACACTGCAACCATGTCGGGCTGTCTGTCACTAGTGAAATAAGCATCCAATACTGTCATGTCAATTTGTATTGGATTTTAATATTCCAAGGAATTTTTAAGAGTGATTTGATATCTTGATATACAGGATACATTTGATGCAATCAATAAGTGCCAACTCATCTCGAGATGTGCTTATCTATTCATGACTTGACTGACTGCATGGGCTTGTACACCATGGTTTATTTTTCCAACATTCAACACTTGTTAACTGCAATTTTAATCTGTAGGGAAGCAATCTGGTGATGCATTTATGCAAAAGGCTTTTACTCTGGATAAAATGGGTGAACGAGACGATGCAACAAATGCATATTTGGAAGCTGCCAAAAGTTTTAAAAAAGAAAGTCCTCGAGGTATGCTGCTCTACTTTTTTATTATAAAAGATTGACGATATGCCATGCTTGTCCGCAAGCCATCATTCCAACACATTACAATTTGTATACAACACAGATGCTGTGAATGCTCTTGAAATTGCTGTTCGACTTCTTTCTCAAAAAGGCAGATTCTCTGCTGCTGCAAGCAATCAGAAACAGATTGCAGAGATTTACGAAACGGATCTTGCAGATATGGAAAAGGCAATGACTGCATATGAGCAGGCTGGTGAATGGTATTCTGGTGAAGATTCAACTGCGTGAGTTATTTTGCACTGATTGATGTCGAGTATATAATATTTGGGATCACCCTACAAGATTGTTGATCATGTAATTTGGTTTATATAGACAAGCAAATGCATGTATGCTCAAGGTTGCGCTCTTTTCAGCTACATTAGAACAATACGACAAGGCAATTGACTTGTTTGAGCGTGTGGCCAGTAAAAGCCTTGACAATAACCTGACCAAGTGGTCAGTGCGTGAATACTTGTTCAAGGCCGGGATCTGCACCATTTGCATTGGGGTATAACACTTGTATGTCAGTGCTGCTTACTGTCAATATTCCCATACGTTAATGCCATACTTGCCAACATTTTTACAGGATTCTGTGCGAACACACTCTACTTTTGACAGATACAAAGGGCTTGACGCTTCTTTTGCCGAGACAAGAGAATGCAAACTTTTAGAAGTTAGTTTATTTGAACTGTTTGCATACTCAACCAGATGTAATTTCATGGTTTCTATTTCTGTCTAACAATCCATTTTTATTTAGGATCTGCTTAAAGCTCTCGACGATGGTGATGTAGAAGAATTCCAAGCGCATATTGCAGGATTCGATCGACTTTCTAAACTCGATGAATGGAAGATTTCGCTTTTGCTTCGTGTCAAGAAAACTCTGGAGCAAGACGAAGTTGATTTTACTTGAAATATTGCATCTGAATGTAAATTTTTGCATTTCAAGTGCCCAACGTTAATGAATTATGGCTATTATCTGTTAATTGTGGATCTGATTCTTTTTGATTGTCCAAACTGAGTACCTTTGTTTCTTGCAAATAATGATCATGTACTATCCCTTAGTATTCTGACAGTTGTCGTAGTATGTATCATTTTAGTAATATTACATGCAGATCAAATAAAATACAGGCTGATTCCAAATTAATCAAACTGCCTCTTTAAAGCAACACTTTATATTGAAAGCTATTGAATACAGTAGCAAGTTATCTACACAACTGAATTCATTTCCAAGTGTTCAACAAAACAACTGAAGACGAGACAATAGATGCATACACAAAAAGAATTCCCATTGCATACACATTAGACACTTGTAACGTGTTAATGGATAGATTCAATAAGCCAGTGAGAATGTTGGCAACAATGAATGCCACCAACTGATAGCGATTGAGACTTTGGAATAAAACTGGGCTATCTTTGAGCTGTTCTGCAGAGTTTTTAAATATACGTGATAGAGTATGATCGACTACAAAAAGCCCTGCAAGCAAGGACGTACACACAGCCGTGACCCAAAAAACATATGAAGCATTTGCCTAGGTAAAAAAGGGTAGATACATGGACACATTATCAGATACTTGATATTTATGCATGTGATTAAAGGCTGCTAGAAACTCACTAAACGACGCGAAACTTGAAGATCAAGATGGAGTGTGCACACCAGATACAATAAAAATGACATGCCTACTGTTGCTGTCAAAACTTTAAAACGAATCATTCCCATATTGAACGGCTGCACTTTAGGAAGAATACGTGCTCCAATTTCTGCAGATATTAAAAAAATGCAGTAATACCCTAGTATAGCATGGCAACAAGAATAGTGTTGACGTAAGTGAGCAAATAGCTTATGACACTGCAACGAATACAAACACTCTTTGATTTACCTGCCATGCTACAAATTCCTTCGCGATTCATGCTGATTATATCGACCCTAGGAGCACTTATAATATACTGTTCAAGACCTCTTGCAAGTGCAATCTCGTATCCTGTTGAACATGGTACAAATCTTGATGTTAAAAATACTTAGCATTACAAACTTGAATATTTTGCTGATTAAATTCACATACCAATAATAATAATGACTGCAGTAAATGCATAGCTGACTCGAGAAAATAGAGTTCCATGGAGAGTGGCAAGTAAGGAAACACATGCCAAAGTAAAAAAAAAGTTCCAATGCACTCCATATTCGCTCACATGTTCCTAGGAAATAGAAATTACATTCAAACTTTCTATATTAGCTTAAAGCGTATCAAAATCCAAAACGATGATTAAAATCAAGCAAATGATACCTGATAGTTTACAGATTTGACAAATGCGATTCGAAGTACGCCAAAAAGAACAGGAAAAATGACAATCTGGGATGTCTTGATGACTTTTGCTATAAAGCTTACGTTTTTTTGATTGATTCTTGGTCCAGATACTAAGCCACTTGAAAAGATGAATGCACCTGTTCCAATATCCATCTGATCCAATCAATACAATATCAGTGATATACCTTTAAAGCATTGCTATATTCATAGAAATATACGAAATCGCCAATAAGCACTTACCAATGAAGTGCCATACATTTCTGTTTTGGCGAACCGTCTCGGAAATACACTGAAATCCACAGCTAGAATTGCAGTGACTGTTAGCATTTGCAAAAAAGCCCTAAATGCCACTGATGATGGAACATAGCCTGACACGGCTGTTTTTGTTTGTTTCTTTGCAGCCGATCCTTTCAGTGGGTTTACTAGTGCTAGTGCGATAAATCCCAAAACTGCAGCAATCTGTGCTGCAAGTATAGTCAAAGTCCATTCGGTAATTGTGATGGACATTATGACTGGAATAATCAACACTGAAAACTCAAATAGGAATGTTTTTAGAGAGTTTTTTGGATTTGGATTTATATTGGCGAGCTGCATGGTTCTCCATAGCAGATAGGACGACTGTAGGTTTAGAGATTTGGGTGAACACGAAGTCATTGAATGGAATATACTGGGATCAATATATAGCTGCTTACTAGACAAACAAGCAGCACAGTCTGAATTTCTAAAACAGTTGTTCCGTTGTGGCCTTGCACATGCTGCTGTTTGGCTTCTTTTGCTGCGTCGTCTTGAACTATCATGTAAAATCACCAGCAACAGCCGTCCAAACACGAATTCAATTCGCAGTTTGGCGACAGTTAAAAAGTAAAATAGTGTCAGGTGATGTCACGTTTGGTTCTGTAGTGTTGGTCAAGCTGCACTTCAACCCAAACCAACTCGTAGCAACTGATGATATGGCTGCAACGGGTGACAAGGTCCTGGTTCCACCCCTCAATTTCGCAATGGTAGAACCAAATATTTATCGATCTGGATACCCAAACAAAAAAAACTTTCCATTCTTGCTAAAGCTAGGACTCAAGTCTGTCATGTAAAATTATCTTTTTGGCTCTTGGATCCAGTTTTATCGACTTTATCTGGCGCTGGATCTAAATGTTTAGTATATTTTATTGATCCAGGTACATATGTGAAGATGATTATACACAAGAAACTTTGGATTTTTGGAGGATAAACAACGTTTGTGTGTTCCACATGAGAATTGCTGGCAACAAAGTAAGGGCTGATTCCTCGTTAAAAGCTTACTCGTTCATCTGTAGAGTATATAAACTTATGATCTCATACTATGAATAGGAACCATTTGGCGAGATTGAGCAAAAGGATATTGCAGATGCGCTTTTAAAAGTACTCGATGAGAAAAACCAACCAAGTATAATCCAATAAACTGATTGTCTGTTTTCAGTATCGTATCTGTTAAAGATTGGCCCTATACTAACCGCCACATTTACTTTATAGTTCTCCTACATTGCAACAAGGGTAAACACCGAGTAGGATGTCTGATTGGATGTTTAAGGAAGCTTCAAAAGTGGTCTATGGCATCCATATTTGACGAATACCGGCGCTTTGCAGGCACCAAGACACATATTGCCGATCAAGAGGTAGATTTCGAATACATTTACACAAATTTCCGTTACTATCGAGTTGATTGGATATGTTTTTATACTAACGCCTTGTTTTAGTTTATTGAAGTATTTGATTCCAATACTGTAGCACATTTACTTTCTATTGAATCTCAAAAAGCTTGATTTATTTATTTTGCAAATGAAATTAGTAAACTTGGATTAATTGAATTTCAATCAGTCGGGCCTAATGAATCGGAAATTCTATCAATTTCAGACCCTGAGCAATGCAGCTGTAAATTAATCGCAGTAAAATACTGGTTTGATTGCACTGCAATGACGATGCTTTATCGCCGTATTCACGTAAAACGGAACACTAGATAAGAGTGTTGGTGTAATAAACAGCCAATTTCACGTTTGATACCAATTTACTGGAAAACACTGTATTCTTCAAACCGAGTATCACAAGTAAATACTGTAATTAGCATGGAGACAAGATTTATTTCGGAGAAGTGCAATCTTTGGTTTTTTTGAATTAAAGTACAAACGTATCGGTGACTTTATGGTACGGGGTTGTCCAAAGTTTAATTAAAACAATCAAACCCAATATCTGGACTGCAGTGGATGAGTCTGATTATTGTACAATGTATGACTGCAAAAAGGGAATTTCAGTTCAAAACTGTAATTTGTATTATTTGACGAACATTGCTTATTAAATAATGGAGAGTATCTATTGAAAAAGTCAAATCCTAATAGGAAAGTGTAACGCATATTCAGCCATTGTCTACTATTGAGCAAAATTGAGGCAATCTGCAAGATGAGTACAAAATATTATATTTACGTGAATGCGGCTGTAGTATATCTGAGATGATGAATTTGAAAGTCAATAGACAAAACCACTCGACTGTGATAATACAAGTACTATAAAGCAGCACAAAGCCTACTTAATTTGCATTGACAGCTCGATTTATTCTAATTGTAAAGCTTTTTCAAAAAACAGCATTTGGAGCAAACTTTTCAAAAAAAGCTTCACTCACATTTGACAAGACAGACTAAAATGGAAATAGCAGATAGTCAATCATCTACAAATGCCATTGCTCCAATCACAAGAGCAAAAGTAACTGCAATAGCTTCGTATCCACAAAAGAAATCAATCACATCAAAGGCAATCCCTCGAACTACACATACCACTCAGACAGTCAAGAAATCCTTGAAGCATATTGTAGCCAACACCGCCATAAAAAACAGTAGCATGCCAGATACAAAGGTAACCAATACTACTGCGTTACAAAAAGAGTCGTCAAAATCCAATACGGGCAGTTCACTACATCAGGGTGCTGATTTAGACCATCAAGATACTACAAACTATACACATCTGCATTCTAGCGCGACTAAAGATAGTTTAAAAGATGCTGAAAAAAGCCCTATTAATTTAACAAGCGAGGATGGTAATGCTGGACAAAAAGGCGATTTGCATAATGACAACCAAACCAAAGTGACTTTATCAGAACTCAATAACGAGCGTGAGCGAAAAGAGCCTCCTCCAAGTAAGGGGTTTTGACAGTTTTATATATTGTGCAGCTCAGTATTTAGTTTGATGTTAACAATCATCACAATGGTGTTTTATATCACATTGTTTTTTAAAATATGACCAGACCATGTCAAAATCTCGACTCTGCAGCAATCAACAAATCGCCGAGCCAAGTCTGCACTTCCAAAGTCACACCCATCACAGTCGCGCCTTGTAAATGAAACAAAGGCAGCGATGCCAGGTATGTCTAGCTTGAATTCCCATTGATACTGAATATTTTTTGTAAAAGTAATGTCCATGAAAATATTGTACACAAATTTTTATAGCTACACAGTCTCAATCAAAAACTCTATTCCCAAACAAAAGTAAGTTGGTTTGCATTCTAACAAGTATTACCTATTTTTGAAGCAATGTCAAGTTTGAAAAATATCAGACATTTATTGATTAAAATCATTTACTCTTTTTAAAGATAAACATGCCAAGTCCAGTACGGTGAAATACAATGAGAATCAAACAAAACAAGGACCAAATCAAATCAAATCTAGTCCGGAGCAAGAGATAACTGCCAGTCGCACAAATACAACAAAGTTGAATTTGGAACACAAACAGCCCAAGGTTATCTCACCTGCAAAAAGTGCACAAGCAGATATACCAGAACTACAAAGCAAACTGTCGGCAGTAGATCAGCACGCAACTACTAGCAATTCAAAGCTTCACAGCTCAACAATACTACATTTGCCTAGTAATGTTGATTGTGAAATAAATCTCAACCCTGCTTCAGATACAGCAGTTCAAGAAAACCCCACAAATATCAATGCCCAATCATCAATGCATTCCGACCATGCTATGATTGAGCACGACAAAACTGTGCAAAAAATCAGTCAGTCCATTCCAATCGCTGTCCATACTTCAAAACCTCAAATTAACCACTCCAAAATCAGCGCTCCAAAATCAGAACATACTTTCAAGTCAGTGACCATTTCATTACCACTATCTCCTGGAAAAACTGAAAATATTGATCAAATCACTGCAAATCATTTAAAATCGCACGCATCGTCTCGAAAAAGTCATTTGCCCATATTGCAAGCTCGTGACCCTCGGCAGTCTGAACATACCATTCAATTACTTTCCAAATCCATAGAAGCCATGGAATCATTTTCTCAGAAACTTGAGCTATTAAAAGCTCATCACAAGCAAAAGGAATGCACACACGCGGATTCGAAAACTGTACCAGTAAATGTCACACATTTGATTGTTTCCAACGATGACCTCTCTCAAACCCTAGATAAGTCTCATGCAGAAAAACAACTCGAGTGTGCTGATCATGACCGTGAAATTGCCGAGTTGCATTCTAAAATCTCTGTTCTTCAAAAACGAGTGTTGAGGGAGCAAGAAAAATCAAAAATATATCCCAAAGTAACATCCATTGTACCAACTTCACTCGAGGCCAATATTCACTTGCGACATCAATTTCAAAAAAGTTTGGAAAACGAACGAGATAAGTACGCAGCATTGGAAATGGAGAATCAGCGGCTTATTCATGAAATTCGCGATTTAACCATGGCGCACGTCAAAAAGAAACGAGCGCTCTCAACGCAGGAAGCCACGCACTATGCCAATGAGGTGTCACAATTGAGGAACAAATCCAAAGATATTAAATCCGAAAAAATGATGCTTGAAGAAAAAGTGTTGGAAATGGAACGTCGGCTTGCCAAAGAAATCAAAGAAAAAGAGCGGCTGTTTAAAGAAATGATATCCATGCGCCGATTGCAGATGCACGTGTCAAATAAGCTGGACGACTTTTCAAATAGTAGCAGTATAGATAGCAGCATTGACAACTGTAGTCAAATCAGTTTGGATAATGACACGACTACTGGATACCTGCGTTCAATTGGTGTGCATACAGATACCAAGCAACGGTTTGATCCAAGTTTTTATAATCTCGATTTAGATCACATTAGTATTGCAGTAAAAAGAGCCAAAACTGCAGTTCCAAAACGGTCTTCATTACGAGGTCATTCGGAGCACAATAAAGTAGAGTCTAGTGATATTGTGCCAAGAGCCGCTACCGCAGATTCTACCAGGCATGTTCAACTTGGAGGTGCCTATCACAGAGATGATATTGCACAACTTGAGTCTTCATTTAACAAGCAAAAAATGCATGTCTTGGAACAGGATGTTGAATTGGATAAACAATCTACCAATCACAATGAATCGGAAAACGTGTGCCAGATTGCAACTGATATATATGAGATGGATTACCTTCGGCCCATGATTACATTTGGTCCTAAAACGAAAGAGGAATGCATGAAAACTGACTACAAAACATTTGATCCCATTGCAACCGAATCGAATCATATTTGCAAAATCGCAACGATTAACAATCATGGCAATCCTTCAAGTGAGCATCTTGATTTAAATATGCATGGTAATACGGCACATGAAGATATTTCAACACAAAACAACCACGGCAGCACACTGACACATTTTGAGCACAATGCACATGATGATCAGCATACTTTTCCCCAGCACTCCGAATTAGGGATTGAACCAGAGCAGCCTATTGAAAAGCATTTGTCTAGCATTAGCAAAGTAGCTGATTTGGAGCAACTTGTTGTTGATCAGCAGACTACAAATGAAAATCAACCAGCTCAAGCTCATACATCTGAATTATACGAGGCTATTCCAGCCAAAAACACAATGCATGCACGTATCAACGCGCTGCCAGTAGCTACATCAGAGTATTTTGAAATCAGCGAAGGACAAGATCAAGTTCCAGATGAGATACTCTCCTTTTCAGAAAAGCAAGGTATAGCAAAAACTTTGATTACTCGAGGTTTGGAAAAAACTGCTCGGAGTCGACAACCATCTGAGGAATCCATTAGAGCAGCAAAGATACAGTTGGAGTATGACGCATATGTCACTAATCGCAACAATAGACAAGTGAACACGGGTTTTGAAAATCGAGCCTTGGCAGATTCCAACATTTTGCCTTTAACTAAAGATTTGAAAGCTGTAGTAGAAATTCCAGAAGAAAGTGCGGATAAAAATCATGTTTGTAGTAATCTTGAATAAAATATTAAAATTTTATTATAAAATAGTTTTGAATTCAGCATACTGTTTCATCAATTTTGAGTTTGATCATTGCTTAAAACATTGCTTTGATCAATATACTATCATTTCAAACAATCATATCTAAAAGCTGACTTTTGACCATTCATAGCCTATTGATTTAATAATATTCATCAAGAAAAATCATCAGAGTAATTTGAAAGTGTTTCTGCCACATAAATAGCTTCAGAATTTAAATCTGTCTTTTCAAGGTGAGTCGTGGTCTGGCTATGCATTGTTTTGGGTAGTTTTTGCAAGTTTGTGTTAGGTGAGGTGGGAATGGATGGAATATCATAATTGTACGCATTTGATGATACGAATTTGTCTGTCGTCTTTTTCTCTTGCAAGGATGAAGTTTGTCGAGTATTTGGAGAATCGATCGTTGGTGTTTGAGCGATTTGTAAGTTTTGAGAAGTGGCTCCAATCAGCGTTTCAGCATTGCTAATACTAATCAACTGTGTTGGTTGCTTTACACCCATCTGTGATTTGGTAAGCACTGCAGGTTTGTGAATGGTGTTTTGAGAAATGGAAACAATGTGCTGAGCTGGTTCAGAAAAATTGTCTACTTGGTTAGTAGCTTGAGTTTTTAAACTAGGCTTATAGATGTCACTATTTGGACCCAAAAGATTGGAGCTCTCTGTATGATTTACAGATACTTGTAAAGTTTGGGGAACAATATACTTGCACTCTGACTCTTTTGCAAGTGGCAGTAATAGCGATCTTGTTGTACGTAGTGACTTTTTATGAGAAAAAGACTTTGGTGCTACCGGCTCGCATAGAGCCACATGATTGGACAGCTGTGGAAGTGGTGTGCCGCGGGAGTGTTCAAAATGACCATGATTTCTTGAGGATGCTGCTGTTTTTGATGGATGATGACGAATTGATTCGAACTTACAAGAATCATCAACGTACAAAGTTGGGCTGGGTCGTGAAGGACTCCGATTCGACATTGCCATTGATTGTCGATCAAGATCCTTGATTAATGGATATTAATTGCAGTGTTGGAAAATTTGAACATACTAGATAAATCAAAACATACTACTTACGTGACGTTTCTGTTTCAAACCTGTGATTTCAGAATGTGCTTGATTGAGCTCAGTCATTAGTTTACTTACACTTGATTTAGTAAATGCAACTTCCCTGTCGCGCTCGCCTTCCAATTGCCTAACCTGTCTTTCTAGTATCTAGTAATCATTAAACAAAAACACGATGCAAGTTGGTCATTATTATTTTTGAAATATCCAAGACCCAAAACATAAAGTTTATATTTGAATATTTTTACAAACCAAATTCATCTCTTTGGATTTTTCAATTATAGCTTGATGTTGCTCCAATTGCTTTTGTAAAGTGAGAATGTCCATTGTCTTTCCAATCAAGATTTGATCGTGTAGTACATTGCATTTGTTCTGTAGTCGATGTATCTCTTGTGCTTGATGCTGTGTTTTTTTCTGCAGATGTGATATTTTATCCATATGACGACTTTTTTCAATCTTGAACCAAGAGTTTCAAATTTACAAGGATTTATAGTTAAAGCAAACAATTTATAACTTGTAATCAATAACATGTTTTTTACTGCAGTATCTATTTTTAAGCAATACACTAATCACAGACTACTCACCTTTGCAACACGAAGCTCCTCATTCATTGCATGGATGACTCTGGGCATATCACCACGATCTCTATCCGACTTTTGTATTGCTTTTTCTTGTCTCAAGTTTACCTATATTTATACACAAACCTTGCTTAGCTAGCAGACACATTTAAAATACAACAGTGCAAGAATTCCAGTATATCAATCTTTACAATGTTTAGAGTACGTTGTTCTGCGCGAAGTTGACTAATGAATACTTTTTGTTCATCAATTATTTGCATTAATCGAGTCATCTCACTAAGTGATTCGCTAGCAGTATGAGCAAAATCCAACTTGTGCTTCTTTACAGGTTTTTTGGACAAGTTGTCTATTTGAATCGGTATTTCTTGTTTGCTAGATTGAGTAGATCTTGCTAATCTGAATTGCGCACCCTGTGACTCTTTTGGCGTTTCACTGCTCTCTAAATGGTTTGATTAGTCTAAATATTTAACCACGAATGATATATTGCTATTCGTGCATATATTTTGAATTGATGCATTAGCAACTCGGCAAATAAACCTACTACCAAACTTTTGTTTTCTATGGAGAGGCGGAGTTTTGTTGATGCATGATTTGAAAGTAATACTGGGTTGCAGAACATGCTGCTTTTGAGTTGAACTCTCGTGTTTATTGGTTTCCTGCGACTCTTCAGTTGGACTCGTATCAATATGACTAGATGTTGTAGGGCGATATGCCATGAGAGTTGGTGGTTTTGCTGATGTATTATCTAATACATCAGCAGTATAGTTTTTGGTATTAACGGACTTTGCTTCTTTATGTGTCTCTGATGTGAGGTCAGTTATATTTCTTTGAATGCATCGAGGCGACTTTGGGCGAGTTGATGGTAAAATTGAAGAATTGGGCTCGTTTTTAATTGGTTGTATATCATCTATATGACTTGATGGCCTGCTAGAAAAAAATGCATCCATATCGTCATTAGGGTTATTATTCATATTTCCAAGTTTAAATCTACTTTGACAGTTGAGTAAAATATGGTCGCGACCTGATCACTGCCGTATTCACGTAAAATGGAATACTAGAAAAGAAACTCGAAATACATGACAAGTCTCAGGTTTAATTAGTGCCAAATTTACTGGACAATATTGTTCTTGAAGTCATTGTTTAGAAATAGTTTTTGGTAGTTTTAGCATTCAAAACATGCCCTTTTACGTATGGGTTTCTACTTGTGTCCAATCTATACTATATCATCATTAAACAAACACTGAATCATTGATTGATGGCTTGGAAACCCTGTAGCCATCAACACTTGAACAACGAGGCATTGCGAGCGCACTTTGGATCTTTACCAAGCGCAATGTCTCGGCCAACAATGTCAAGGATCTTGAAAGCAGTATTATGCGCAAAAACCAACACTTTTAAATGACGGGCATATTGGCAATAATGAATATGTCCAGGTTTTATTACCAGTATCTAAACAGCATACTCAATCACTGGATTGTAATGAACGAGTTTGGCGATTGTACAATGTATGGCTACGCAAACAAAGACAAACGTGCAAAGTTTAAATAAAACAGTTTGAAACTATAATGTACTGTGTGCATCATATGATGATTGGTGTATTTTCAGACTAATCAAGGTGCTGTCAAGATCGTAGTATGTCAAGACTTTCTAAATCATGACATACAGCATTTTTAAACACGCATATTATCCCAAACGATATTCTATTCCACAAAATAACTGTTTGATCAGATATGGTCTACCAACCGTTCAACAAACGCACACAGATTGGAGCTACATTACACTACTCCATATTTCACATTGCTGAACTCTGGAGAAAATGACTTGAGAGTAATAAAGAATGGGTTTGAGCGTTGAACAAATTGTAATAGGAAAGCACAATAAATATTCAATCATTGTTATTCCCAACCAAAATAGTCAATCATGTTGGATTTTCCGTGTCGTTGACGAATTCCGTTCTAGGTATATTGAATACTCAATTCTTGCATTCAACAACACGATTAATTCATACTCGTCTACTTTTTGATCCTATTTAGGTGTGTTTGTTGTTATGTCGGGTATGCTTTCATCCAATATGCCGCTGGTTCTTGATCGCTTGAATCGCATTTCACCCATTCCGTACCTTACACGATTGATGGCTATCAATGAATTTCAATCCAATGTGATTTACACTTGCACGCAACAGGAAATTCTGACTGGGACATGCATGTATCACACGGGGTCTGACGTTTTAAAGCTTCTCAGTGGAAGTACAGATACTATGGCATTTGAAAGCAACAAATTTGTGCTTTATATTGTTGTTGGATGTGTGTTGGCTGTTGCGTATCGACTGATAGCATATATGGTGTTGCTATTCAAAGTACGCATGTAAATTCTACAAACTATTGTGCATTTTAGATTTTGAATAAAGTTTGGGGTTTAAATATATCGTATGTTTTTTGAGGATGATGGATCAAAAACGAGTTGATGTATAAAAATAAAAAACGCAAAAGTGGAGAACCTGGGCATTGATCCCAGTGCCTCTCGCATGCTAAGCGAGCGCTCTACCATTTGAGCTAGATCCCCATGTCTTCTCAACTACACCATCTGTATATATTCATAACCATGTGTTGCATTTACAATAAACCATTTGTATTGTTGGTTTGCATCTTGCTTTGGGCTGCACAATCTTGGATATTTGTTGTACTTGCTACAGATCGACATTCTCAATCCTTTCAAACATAACGTCCACCATAATACAGACTATAGTTGTAAACAGATTATCCTCACTTGACATAGTCATCCTATTGAGCTTTATCTACCTGTTCATGACACAACATTGTTCAATACACTGACAACAACCATGCCATGACACTGTTTATTGTACTTTGGTATCCCTATTTAGTGTGCCATTTACATGAATGTTGCTGCAAGTGTATCCAAAATGGGATTTATATTCTCACAGTAAAAACTGGAATGCTATCACAGATATTACTCAAACCAAGAGTTGTCGCAACTATTATGCTTTAACTAGAGTAGATAAGAGAGTTGAGAAATGTAACAGCCTAAAAACAACCGTCATGTTTTAATATTTACACTGTAAGCCATTTGTTACAATGTGTAAACCAAAGTCATGTCTAGTGTTTGATCATTCAAGTCATGTATATCAAGTATGAATTTGGCATGGAAAGTTACCAACCATTCCTATTCCATCCCAAGATTTTTGACCAGGATTGCCTTTTCAAATAAAACAACAATCTAGACAACTTTGAACACTAATCGATATTGTTCAACGATGACAGTGCGTGCAGCTCAATATTATTGTTGTGTTGATTGACATTTAAAATGCATTCGACACTGTCATGGTTGATGCCTTGATATGGTAACTACAGCATATGTGATTGATACTACGCACACTGGTCTTGTTAACAGCGCTGTACACATGCTCATCAGCTTGTGCTCAGACTGGATCATTGGTTTCTAACCCATTTCCAATTGAACATGGAGTCCGGTAGTGATATCCACTGTCAAATTACTGTTCAACATGTTCATCAACGACATACATGATGATATCAACCGATTGTCATTGCATGAGTATCGTGTAAATCACCATCAATGTGAGGATTCATGTATGTCCACAATATCGTGATATTTGCCGACTCTGATCAATCACTCCAGTTGGCATCTGATGTACTTGCACGATGGATGGAACAATGTCAAATAAGCTTTGGTGTAGTCAAATGCAACATACTCAGTTTCCGTGGTTACAACACTTTGATTCCAAATTACCAGTTGATATGATGCTACACGAACAACAGATTCGTCGTGTTCAACACTACAAATATCTGGATGTTGTATTGCACGAACCACTATCACACCATGTGACTGGACTATAATCAGGTTGCTGTATCCAATAGCATGTTGGTTGTGTCCGGTTCTTGCAAACCACCAACTCACAATCAACTTTCAGACACGAATATGTTGGCAGTCATTCTAGTAATGATCATGTATGCACTGGATCTGGTTGGTGGTTGGTGGTAACTTGACCTGCATACACAGTCAACAGTCAACAACGGTGTGCTACACATATTGGATACAGCAAATCCACAACTGTCAACTCCTTGTTGTTGAAATGGGTTCAGATCACCATCAGTTCGCTCATTCGTTGCACCGATGCGATTGCATGATCAACCTGACACCAACCAAACCACACTCGAATATATACGTTCCAGTCATGTGCATGGTGTATCGATTGTCAACTCACAATGTCAACTCCAACACATTCCACCATGATTATGGTCACATCACACCATGCTGATGTATGTCGATCGCTATCACATTGCAAATGACTGTCATCCAATGACTGCAATGCAATACCGTGCATGTATTGTGACTGATACGCTGTGCACCATCAACCAGTGTGCAACTGTCACTCGATATATCGACTCTGATATGCAACAACATGCTGTGTTTACCATGATCATGTTTTTGATCAACCTTGGACTCATGGTACATGATTTGTCATGTTGGATCGTGTGGATGTGTCATGGACTGCAATTTAGTTGCATACACACATATGTTGGACATTGACCGATGTATACTGTGCAACGACTGATCAGTGCGAGTGTGATTGCACACTTGGTGGTATTGTGCATTACGGTTGTTTGACAATGTATGAATGCTGGATTAGTCAGTTATATGCAACCCATCTGAATTGACCTATTTGGACAAACACTCAATGTAACTGACAACAATGTGTATACATGGCTGTTCGATCAGTCGAGTTTTTGATGGTAACGACCAGTGATAGCCCAGATCTGTATCTGGTAACATTGGTACAGCCATACAGGAGTTGATCAACAAACTTGTATACTGCCAAAATACACTCGTATGGCTTACTTGCATGAGATAACCTTGTGGTTTAGCATCCAAGTTTATTTTAAATAAAATCCACGTAAAATAGTAATATAAATAGTTTAAAGCTGCCAAACAATATGATGAATATGCACATGCTGATGTATCCAGTGATCGTATACCAGCAGATTGGTGCAATATGATTAAACATACTACTGCACTTTTAGTAAATGTGTCTGCATAATAATAGTGTATGAATAACAATGCTTATGTACCGACATGTGTTGACTACAGTAGATTTGCCGCATTATGATGCGGCTACACAGCATATCATGGATGAATCACTAAGCCTGATACTACGCCCTCAACTCCAACAACGAGCCATTGCATAAAGGGAGATCTTTTTAAAATACTTTGGCATTGTTAGCAATAAATCACCACGAATTTTGACAGCACAAGCTTTTTGGAACGGCCATTTAAGGAATACGCTTTTAGTATTATATACTCTAATGGATATAAATACAATATAAATCAATGTGTTGAATGACAATCATTACAATTTACTCAGCCAAACCAATACAATGAAACTGTCAATCACCGTACTGTCATCGATCCTTGCTGTCTGCTCAGTCACGATTGCCAATCCAGTTGATCCCAGTTCGACTACAAGCATTGAATCTACTTCCAACATAGCTGCTCCTAGTGAAACTTCAATTGCAACTGGTGAACCAGACTACTCAGAAGATCCTAGCCCATATAATCTATATGAATCGTATTGTCATCCAATTACGCTGGATGGAGTAGCAATGATTCAGTTATTTGCATCAAATATGCATATGACTAAACAAATAAAAAAAGAAATCAACAAGAAAACAGCAGAGATTAAAAGTCAAAGGAAAGCGCTGAGGAAGTTGAGGCGAAGAATTAAATCTCTGGCGAATTGCAGTCGGGGGTTGGTGATCTTAGACGTTAAACTCGAGATTAAAGATCAAACCATCAATCTCAAAAAGCTCAAACAAAGGTTGAAATTGCTCATTAAAAAGCATTCACGAAATATTACCAAAGAGGATAAATTACAATTGACGCTTTATCACCACCTTGTGGAATATGATACGACTGGACAGATGACTAATGTGGGACCGAAAGGCCTGTATAAAAATCAGAATTTTTTGAAATGCTTTTATTCTTTCTACGATCGCTTATCAAAATGATTACTATAATCCGAGTATGGTGCAATCTCCATAAGATTCTGGTGCTCAGCAGCAAAGTTTTCAACCAAACTCATCACATTGTTCCAGCTCAGTGGACTTTCAACAGTTTCATCTAGAATATGTTGTAATGCAGCGTGTATTACATGGTGGTTTACTTGTCACTTGTCATGCATCTAATGTCACTCATTCAATAAACACCTTTTATTGCCAAACCATGTGTATTATACTAATAGTTTGATCATATTGCACCAATCAACTACCATGCATTGTATTAACCATTGCGGCGTCATTTCTGGATCCATGCAATTGTGTATATTGCCATTTAGGGTCACCAATCAACCCATTACATTTGACACTGACTCATTGGTATCACTGGACTATTTGATTCAAATGATTCGGCTGATTCGGCTGGTTTTGACAACTTGACAATCTGACAGTATCCACAAACCCATGTTTAATATTTGCACATATTCCATTGACATGCTACAAACTGACATTGAACATCACATTACATTGTTTTGGTCTTGAATGATACGATATGTATCAACCGATGTTTTGTATTCACATCCATATCCACATTCAGTATATACAACAAATCTGTCCATAATTCAACATATCAGCCATGTTTGATTTGACAGTCATTTGTCACATTGTTGTATACTTGCAATGATCAGTATCAATCATTTGCATGTAGTCAGCTGTCTAGTGTAATGTATGCAGTATGATCACATAACATGACATCTGATGATATAGCATACACTACAACCACAACCGGAAACATCGATCGTCAATCGTCGTCCCAATCAATATCAACAGTTGCATCAAACAAATGCACAAATGCACAAATGCACAACTCGGCAAGTGCAATGCATACAACTACAACATGTGTATACGAATACCGATCGTGTCCAACTACAAACTATGTATATTGAAACCATTGGATAGTATGTCCGACACGTCATTGACATTGATAGTCAAATAATCTTGCGAGTGACCCTATGCATGCAACAGGTTAACATGGCTAACATGTTGGTGTTGACTGTATCAATGTGACTATCATCAATATATACTTGCAGTGGTAAATATCAACGTGTGGTGTATTCAGTGATCGTATACTGGTTGATTGGTGCAATATGATCAAACATACTAACAAAGTGTGGATCGTCGTGGTACTTGCAGAAATATACCATATTGCACAGTTGGCATTGCTTTCCAGTTGCAACACAACCATCATAAAGATTCAAGCTGAGATTTGATCCAAAACATCCAAAACGAGATCAGATTGTTAATTTAGCAAAAACTACAGCACTCAGTATTCCCGTGTGGTCCCCCACCACAGTACTGACTGAGCCATCACAAGCTTGACTTCGGAGATCGAACGGGATCCGGTATTTTCTTGTGTGTATGGCCGTAGATGTTA